ATATTAACAAGTATATTAACGGTAGTCGATAAGCTTATTAAGTAAGTATATTTTTTACTATATAAAGAAACTTAATTAGTAAAATAATTAGCGGACGTAATATTACGGTATATTGTAGTAATATATATATAGTTAAAGGAATTTATTACGGATCGCGATACTAAATTTATATTAAAATTTTAAAAAGTATTAATAACGAAGCTAAAGATAATAAGTAAAGTATTTTCGGTTTACTACCTTTAAACGGACGGTTAAACGAAGCGGCTGAATTAAATTATAAAATAATATTTACGGAATTATATTAATTTTAAGTAAAACGATTAGGTTAAACTATTATTTATAGTATAATTAGTATATAATATATCGCTAACGGAGACTACGAAAGTTATACCTTTCTTCGCGAATTTCGGCTACGAGGCAGACCTACGGCAGGGACCTACGGTCGAGGTACCTAAAGTTAAAATTAAAGTAAATAAAATATATATATTTTGCGGTAAGCTTAAGTAAAAACTAAAGTTTATAAAGGAAAGAATACGGAAATACTATAATATTAAAAGGCTCGAGGGACCTCGCTTTAAAAAGAGAGATATAGTATTTCTTTTTATATATAATTTACGTATTAAAAGACCTAGTAAAAAGCTAGACTATAGGAAAGTAAGCCTATTTAAAGTTAAAAAAAAAATATCGAAAACGGTATTCGAATTAGAATTACTTAATATAATACATTTAAAATTATATACTTTTTATATCTTACTTCTAAAACCTATATTACTAGTAAATAAAGTTAATATATTGTTACAGTTAACCCAATGGCAGGTCGCGCCACATGTGGGGCGCAGGTCGCCCCTAGCTAATCATTTAGGAAGTTAGGGAACAAGCCGATCAGGGCTAAGCAAAAGTACTATAGCGCTAAAGCTCACGAGCAGTCTGCAGGATGCAAGATACTAGGGATAATCAGAAGCATAGCACGACGAGCACAATGCAGATGCAATGTGCTAGAAGTGATTAAAGGTATAGCACGACGAGCATAATGCAGGATGCAATGTACTAGGAGTGATCGGGCCTATAGCAAGGCGAGCACCTTACGGCCCTAAGGTCTATATATACGGAGGAACTGGCTAGTGTAGATAAATAGTTCCGCAGTATGCAATTTAAGCTTGTATTTACGGTAGCTAGTGTTTACATTAAGATATTTTGTTGTGTACTGTTTAGCTATACCGAACTAATTGTTAGAAGTTACCTTTAACCAGTATCCCTTTCAGAGGTTCTATATAGGGGTTCGTCACATATATAGGTAGTAACGGAGGACGAAGAAGAAAAGTATAATATAAAAGAATTTTTAAATTTACGATTTAATAAAGATTAATTAAAGTATTTAATTAATTAATTAAGGTATTTAACTATAAATAATTTATAGAAATTAAAAATAAATTTTAATTACTTAAATAAATAAAAAGAATTTTACCGGTAATACCCGGACCGACCTAAACTTAAACAAATAAAAAAATTAGTATCGAGGTTTATAAATATAAACCTCGATACTAAAGAACTTTAACGGGAATCGAACTTATATTTTCGACGTAATAGCTAACGTACTATATACTATACTACGAAGTTAAAAAGTATAAAGGGACCTAAGTATAAGTAATATTATATATTTTAATTACTTTATATTACGGTTCTAAAAAACAGTAGGGCCACGACGGACTAATTAGGACTGGACCGCGCAATCGAGCGGGGCTTACGGTCTAGGTGGGCAAACGGACCAATTAGATAGGGACCGGGGACCGCGGCGGAGCTTACGGTCTACGGTCCAGTATCGGCTAATTAGGGGTGGACCGAGGACCGTCTATAAGTTAACGGTCCACGGTCCTAAAGTTTATATATACGGAGGAACTAGCTAATATAAATAGATAGTTCCGCAGTATGCAATTCAAGCTTATATTTACGGCATTTTATATTTACATCGAGATATCTTATTATACACTATTTAGCTACACCGAACTAATTATTAGAAGTTACCTTTAACCCGTATCCCTTTCAGAGGTTCTATACAAAGGTTTATCACAATATATAACTCTTAAACCCCCGAATCCTCCGAGAGCCCCACTTCCTTACTTATACCCTCAGGCTTATAGCCGCACCCTAAACTAATATTAATAATTATAAACTTTTAAATTTTTTATAAAAAAATATTTTTAAACCTTTTATTTATTTTTCTTTCTTTACTTTTAGCTATTTTACTTATATTTTACTTTTAATAACTTAATTACTATATTTTATATATATAACCATTTAAAACTTTTATAAAAACTTAATAAAATATTTATCTCCTCTTTTAATATATCCGAATATAATATTGGTGAACTTAATAATTATATAAAATCTATTTTATATTTCGTTTGAGAGTTTAAAATTATTATATTTAACTTTATTATTAAAATAAGTGCTATTAAGGCCTGTAAAATATAGGCTTAAATAGCTATCGGCGTAGTATATTGAGAGCGAAAAAGACTTTGACTGCAGCATTCGACAGTTGCCGGGGCACTGAAGGAAGGTGGATTACAGGAGCGGCGCCCTGTAATATATAGAAGAGAATTACTGTAATATAGATTTGTGAGGCACTAATAAGTGTGGTGAACTAATATATTAATTAAACCTTATAGACTAAAAAATATTACAGTGAATAAGATATAAGGCAGAGGTCTTATAGGCCGTCGGCCTTCCACTCGCTCCCCGATAGTAACTCCGTTCCCAGGCCCAAATGCCCGCTAAGTGCGCTAACTAAAATAAAGTTACAGGCTACATTACAGGCCACATTGCGCTACTGTTTAACCGCTGCACGGCACTGGCTTTAGCGTTCGGCTTTCCGGGACTTCGGATTGCTTTAGGGGGCCGAGTTCTGTTCCGGCAACCGTAGTCCTTAAGCACTGCTGATTCAAGCTATTGTATTGCCTCTAAAGCTCTGTAATATACAGGGCTTAGATACACTGTAAAATCTACAAACAAAAGCTGTATTTTAATAAGCTATAAAGTACAAACCATTCGATAATAAATAAATATATATCTTCTACATATATTTATATTTTTAGAACTTTTTTTTTCGTTCAGGACTTCGAGGCCATTAAAGATTATTAACTAAATTTAACTACTGTTCTAAACCCTGATATCCAGCCCTTGTCACATTATCGAACCCAATGACCCATCGCCGCTCATGCAGCATGGCGCTAGATCTCGGAAGGGACAATCTTTACACCCTCCAACCTGATACTCCTTCGTCGTGGTAAGAGCTACACCTTCCGTGACTCCACAGTCAAGCGGGAGTGGACTATCTTTCCGTTCATGTTCTGCCTACGCAATCTTGTGACGAACAATCCATTAAGACTGACCTGGGAACACGAGGGGTGGGGTTGGTATGATGCTGACGAAGTCATTACCAACCCGTCTCTCAACGGCGTTTCAAAGCTTGCAGAAAGTCTCCGACGGGTGTACTTTGAAGCCGACTTTGGGCCGCAGGCAGCTGGAGTTTTGGCCGGTGGGTTGACCAAGTTGGCCACTGATCACGAGAGCGGAGCTAGAGAGCTTGCCACCATGGCAGTCAAAACCCTGCATGATGTTGCAGCCTCGCTCGAGATTTTGGACTGGAACCTCATCCGCAGGCTGGCATCTCTCCAAAAATGGGCGGCCAAGCATGGGAGCAACCATAACAAGCGTTCTCCTGGCCAGATTATCAGAGAGCAAAGCCTAATTTGATGCGGACTCCAACACTTCTGCGCATGATCTGATAATGGCGGTCTTGTCTACCATACAACACCCTTCTCTTTCTACGACTCAGCTCTTGGGTGATATCACAACCTCGTTTGTGTCATACATTCGCTCGTCCTTTTTCGGCAGAGACGGCCTCTCGATCCTCACCCTCTCGTCTTCTTCCACCATCCTGGCCGTTTTATCCTCCATCTCTACCCAGTACACCATTGACCCCAACGTCTTGGAAACCCGACCGCTCTTCGAAGGCGTCTCGCTCTCCTCTTCTCTCTTAGCGCCTTTTCAATCCTCTGGAAGACCCCACAAAAATACACTGTACCCGATACCTCGGCCTCAATTGCCTCTCTGTCCAGGTCTGGGCCAAAGACAGCGGTAGATATGGTCCTTATCGGCTCAGATCGTCTCTCGCCCTCTGGCGCCGTGGTAAACAAGACCAGGCCCTTATCTGCTGTTCTAACGGCAAAGTGCCTGTCATCAACCACCAAGATTGTGGTGTTAACGGACACGGCCAAGATCTCCCACAATAAGTTGCTTCGAAAACTACTGTTGGAGGATAGCGTCAATCGCAAGACTCATACGAGGAAGGTAGCGACCCGTTCCAGGTTACATGAGCTTGGCGGGCCGCCTTCAACACCGAGAGAGTGAGCAACGGGGCAGAAGACTTGCTTCAAGCCACTCCGGGGGTAACAGTTTCAACAAAGGACAGGTTGTGGTGACCACCAAGAACATTCTTTTCAAATGGGTTTCTGGTGACTTGGTCGACGCATACATTGCCGAAAAAGGCGAGTGGACCGTGACAAACATTGCAAAGCAGGTGCAAGATCTGGTGAAGGAAGAGAGCAACATTTTTGGGGACTTGTAACATAGTTGACATAACCTTGATGCGGTAGAATTAAAAAAAGAACTCTGCTATCTACCCAAGTTGCGACTCAGTTGCTGACGCACTCTCGCCCTGTTACGCAAAAGAAAGAATAATATCTGTGCGACATACTCGGGTACATATTCATGGCTCGCCCTAAAAGGCTGCGGAAATATTCGTCAATCGTTCATTACTCGTAAGGTAAAGAAACAAAACAATGTGCCCGTCACGGCCCCCTTTTTCTCTGCATGGCGTCCGGTAGAGGAACGAACCACGGTGACTCAAACCACCGTATATATAGAGGTGTATATAAAAAGTCCAAAAAGAAAACGCTGAAAAGACAGAAAAAGAAGGCTTGAATCGCTTGACCTCTGTACTAGTATCCTCCGGGGGGGAACGAACAGTTTGAGTTGGTATCTGAACTGGAACTGGAAAGAAACACAAAACATTCTCCACCACCGTCACCCTCGTTGGAGTTGTCCTCCAACAGGAGCCAGGACGTTAGCGTGTCCCAGATCCTCCTTGCGTACCCCTTCTTGAAGCCGTGGGCTTGCTTGATGGGGCGGCCCTCGAATTGGACGTCATGCATCGGCACATCTGCACCAAGGTCTGTCTTGGAAGTGTTGTTGTTGCGAGGCGCCGTCATGGCGCCCAGATAATTCTTCAACGCCCCGTCGTCGTCCCAGAGCTTCTCCTTCTCGGTCTGGTTATGAATCCAGTCCCGTAGCTCGCTGACAAGGAACCTGAGGTCGCGCAGGACCTCGAAGCAATCCTTGGCATATGCACAGCCTGTCTCCTGCTCCTGTTTGAAGACATCAATGGCCCAGTCCACATCAGCCACCAGCTGCGTCCGAACATTAACAAAGACGAGCTGGTACATGGTGAGGAAGACGGCAGCATTGAAAATGTGGTGCAAATCCTGCACCAGCAACCTGCCATGCGGGCTGTTTTGGCGCATCAGCCATCCGAGGCGCAGATTGGATTGCGCCGCATCGGTACACCAGCGAATCTCTTCCACCAGGGCGTTGTCGTAGATATTAAACATCTGTCCTGTACTGACGAGGCTAGCAATGGCTTTCCGCACTGCTGTTAGAATCACAGGACGAACGGTGAGGATGATGAGCTGATGGCAGAGTGTCAGTAACTGCGAAGTCTTGTCGTCAATGAGAACTTACCTGATTGTATGACATGTGCAGTGACCAACATGCACGATCGCGACCGAATCCGGAGGGAACTTCCTCGGTCGTCAAGCTATTGGGAAGATGCAGTTTTGTGTGGGCATCCGGGGGGAGTTGAAGAGCAGGAGGGAGGGCCTTCAGCCATTTTTTCAGACTTTCGAGGGATCGTTTGACGTGTGATTCCGCCCTGGCCCTTCGATCTTCGGGCTTCTTGCCATCTGACTGTCTGCGCAAGCCATTATAAATGATCTTGTGAGTGATGCGGGACAGTTCCAGATGGGCCTTCAGGCCGACGGGAGATGGAAAATGGCTACAAGACAGATGTGAGAGGACATCACAATGCAAGAGAACATGGGAGCGCTTACGGGCATTCTCGGGGGGGCCGAAGTGAGATGCCATCATCCGGGATCGATGGCGTGCGTCCCAGTAAGCAGCTCAGCCACCTGGAAGAGTGTCAGTGGAAGTGCTCCAGCGTCATGCGAGAAAAAGGAGCCGTGGAGCATACGAGTCAATAATGTAGAGTGTCCAAAACGTTCTGACTTCGGCCTCATCGTCGGTGTAGCCGCGATGGATTCCACGAACTTCGCAAACGTGCATGGCGTGTTTCACCCAGAGATGCGCATTGTCACGTCTGTTGATCTCAACAAGGTAGAGCGCCAATAGGCCCATGACGGCGGCTTCCTTGATGGTGGAGGTGCCAAAGTCCCAGGGGTCTCCCAGCAGATGGCGCGAGGTGGCATAGAAGTCTTCACCCAGACGGCCATTGACGCGAGAGTCTTTGCCTGCAAGGCCGAGAAGGCTGTTGAAAGCAAACGCGGCAAAGGTCAGTGCGAGCGGGGTTCGCTGTTCGTCATCCCGGGGCACTTGGAGATATTGCTCTCCATGAGCGGTCACGATTCGGTCTCGACGAGCGGTGCCCAGGGCCGAGAGATCAGTGAAGGTCGGGAACGACCAGAACATGATGCCGCCACTTGGGAACAAGTCGTCAGTGGTCCCGTCTTGGATGAAGTAGCGGACCTCGTCCAGCAGCTTGGCCATGTCGGGGGCTGGAGGTAGGTGTCGGACTGGGTCCATCAACGGGGGCCCAAGCAAGGCACGGGAATCGTCGGTTTGGTACCTTCCAGTAGTTTGTGAAAACATGTGCTCGGGTCCCTTGGAGATCAGGGCTGCTAAGGGGGTGGTCAGGGTGATCATGTTCTTGATGTTGTCAAGGAATGTTGCTCCGGATGACGCCCCCAAATATCGACTTGTGCCAGTTGAGTCGGCCAGCATGCGTCCTTCATCACTTCGAGGATCAAAGCCAGTGCTGGTGCTGAGATAAAAATCCGACCGTTTACTCAAGATGGATGAAGTTGAGGGTGATGCCGAGCGAATCTTGTCCAGCTTGTCCCCAGTTTGCGGTGATTCACCCAGCGGCGGCCTCTCCCGGTGTTGGTGCTCCGCTATATGATGTTGCTGGTGCTCCTGCTGGTGCTGCTGCTGGTGCTGCTGGTGCTGGTGCTGGTGCTGCTGCTGCTGCTGCTGCTGCTGTCGTTGTTGTTGTTGTTGTTGTTGTTGTTGGAGGAGGTGGTGGTGCTGCTGCTGCTCCTGCTGCTGCTGCTGACGGGGTGTTGGTGGTTGCGGCAGTGGTGCCGCTGTTTGCGGTGCCGGGGCTGGTGGTAACGCCGGCCGTGACGACTCAGCATTGACAACGTCTTCAGGCGGCACCTCGTCTTGGAAATGTGAAAGCTCGGGCAGCGGCGGCAGCTCACTCGCGGGCTGGTACTCTACCCGACCATCCTCATGAGTGATCTTCCGGACAAGCTCGCCGGCCTCGAGCTGACGCTTCAGCTCGATTGCATGCGGGGCCCATGCTTGGAGGGCTGTCAAGGCTGTCCATTGCAGCTTTGGAACGGTGACCTTGGGGACGACCTCGGGATATTTGCACGGGCGGTTTGTGTTCCGGCACTGATGGCACGGTGTCTCCCCAGTGCACTTAACCCGTCGCACATTGCAGTTGTTACAACTTTGGAGCGGTGGCACGGGGCCAATGTTAGACAAATGCGCGAGGAGAGAAGAGGAGAGGAGAGGAGAGAGAAAGAAGTGAACAAACTCACGCCGAGGAGACCCGCTTCCTCTCCTCAGGCAAAACCTTTTTTCTGCGGGGATTGACGGGCAGGCGGCCGTCGACCAGCTCGGGCTTCTTCTTTCCAGTCGAAGTGGAAGGCGGTTTCGATTGCCGCGGCATGGTGGTTATAAAATGACCATGGATCACTGACTGGATCACCGATAGATGAGATGGGAGCTGCGATGGAGGAGAGAGAGTTTCCAGGTTAACGTACCCGCAGTGTGGAGGAGGAGAGGTGGACTTGAGTGTTTCCTGGGGGCTTGGGCGCCCAGGGTGGAGCTTTTCCCAGGCGGGCTGCGGAGACGACACTCTTCTTGGCTTGGGGACCATCAGGACGTGCGGGATGCGTGGGTTACGCCCCAACCCGGGCGGTACTTGCGGTTGAGGGGGGTGGGGTAGTCTGCGACGATGCCAGTCCTGGACCAATCAGACCCTGCTTACGGCCAGTGGCACAAACAGGTGAGAGCTGCCAGTGTGATAAATGATAACGCAGTGACACCTCACTGCAGCACCCCGCGGAACTGACCAACATGTCCCCGGCCTGATGTTGGGGGGTGGGGGTAGAGGGGCGGGGGGGCGTGTTCAATTCTGCTACCTACCACCACCTGTGTTGTATGTACTGACTGTACAGGTCTTCCAGTTACCTTACAGGTCGTATACAAACACCCATTTGCGGTCTGCATGTCTGACAGAGTCGACACGCTCGGCCTCTATCTGCTCGGCGCTTTTCGATTTCCTAATGGCCGCCCTGCGCGCGTTCACCGCCCACAGTGTGTAACGATACGCTACATAACCGGTGAGGGCAACACCGACGAATCCCAACGTCACCACCAGCGGCAGTTTGTACCCGGGTGCATACTCGGCTCGGTAGAGCTGCGACCCGATGGCGCCCGCCAGGTTTCCCAGCCCATTCGCGCCCACCACCAGCGCCCTCTTCCCAGCCGTCGGTGTGTTGCCGCTGAGCCAGGCCACGGTGAGCGGGGGCGGCACGTAGCTGCCAAAAAGAAACACACACAGCGACGCATACTTGGCTGCGTTGCTGACCGATCCGACCACCCCGACGAGTCCCCCAAGCGCCACCACCAGTGCTCCGACAATGTGCCATCCCCGCTCCCTGTGCCGATCCGAGCTGGATGCGAACAGGTAGAGCCCGACCGCCCCGCACACCGCTGGCGGCACCGACATCTATGTAGAAGGAGTTAGGCTTCTTGTTTCTTGCTTCTTGCCTTTGCTCTTGTCACATACCAAGTTTGCCTCGACCGATTCGTACCCCATACCCTGCACAACCAGCGGGAGGAAGACGGAGAAAGCCGTGACGGGCACGCTGGCGCAGATGTTGAACACCAGCACAAACCACAGCTTCCAGTCCCTCAGCGTCTCGACCAGATCTCGCCGGGTAAGGCTGGAGTATTTGGCAGCATTGGGTTCCACGCCACCGACTCGGTCCACCACAAACTGCCTTTCGCTGTGGCTCAGGAACCACGCGCCTCTAGGTCCCGTCGGTAGCCACAACCATGCTACCGCTCCCAGCACACAGGTGAGAACCCCCTCGATGAGGAAGAGAAGCTGCCATGGCTTGAGCCAGGCATGGGAGACCTGAAAGATGGCATATGCTGGTGGCAGTCAGTCCATGTCAGCCCCGTCCTGCTTCGGTGTCGAGGGAGTGGGTTGAGGGCGAACGTACACAGGGCCCCCGAGAAGGCAGATGCAATGGCATACTGTCCATAAAACAGTCCAATCCGCGTGGCCAGGTCGAACCGGGAATAGAAAGAGCCAAGATAAACGATGCATGTGGGGTAAAAGCCAGCTTCAAAGACACCGATGAGGAGACGAGTCGTTATCAAAGCCGCTTGAGTACGTGATCAATGCCAATGTCAGCGCCATGGTTCTCGTATTTCTTTTTACCCCGTACCTTTTCCCCAGATAAATGCCTGAATCGTGGTTATGAGGCCCCAGCAGAGCTGATCGAGTGGTTAGTCCTTGGCGGTATACATATAACAACGGAACTTGGAGAGGACTGGGTACCATCATGATGGGCAGCCACGTGCTCGGCCCCAGCCATTGTCCCACTGCGGCCGAGGGCACCTGGAACAGGACAAAGGTGACGAAAAGGAGCGACACTGCAAGGTTGAGATCATCCGGCAGGGCACCGATGTCATGCGTGAAGCCTTGGGTTTGCGCATTGCCAATATTCCCCCTGTCGAGGCCGTTGAACAGATACAGCAGCGATAGGAGGGGGAGCAGGTACAAATCCATCTTTCGGTTGATACGTTGCGCCTCTCTTTCGTTTTCAAGACTTGATATCCCCGAATCTTGCATCTCAATGCTGTTGCTGCGAAGCGCGGTGGCGTGTGGAGAGCCAGGAAGCAACGGCGAAAGCACCCCTTGACTTTCGAAAGAGTTCCGATCATGTTCAAGGCGGTATCTGTCATCAGGGTGCTTCAGGTCATGTCCTATCGGGTAATAGTTCGAAATCAGGGCTCTGGAAGAGCATGGAGATGAGGATGGCGGCGGTGATCCATCCTGGTGGCCGACGCTCATTCTTCCTGCAGAGGTACGTTATCAACCAAAGGTACAGCCTGCATGCAGCTCCACAAGTGATACAATCAAACTGCCTGTGTTGCAGCAACGACCACGAGCAGAGAAAGCCAGAAGCAAGACGCGAAGAATCCAACCGATGGTAAAAGCAAGAATCATCAACCTGGAAGGATGACCTCGGGAGTGGCAAAGCCAGGGCCATTACCCCTACTTCTTTTAAGAGGTTGACCAACTACACACCCAACTCCCGCGGCAGAATGACTGACGTGCTTCGGTCTTCTTTGTTGGTTGTCAAACACCCAACCGAAGTTCGGGATGGTTTCCATATCCCGAGCCGAATGCCCCAGCACCAGCCTTCCAAGCTCGCTTTCCCCAGCAGGTGTCGACCTTGGACTGTCGTCTGCGCTCGGGGACAAGAGACAGACAGCTGACTCTCACTGTCGCACACATCATGTGAATGCAGTCAGTATGCGGTGTCACACTGATCAGGATGGCCTTCTCGTTCATCCCATCACTGATAAGAAGTGATAGGGCCCGTGCTGGTCGCGTCAGAGTTCCAGGTTCCACTTTGATGCGATCTGCCATGGGCGTGGCGCCCGCCTCAGCAGCCTTATCCATCGGCTACCTTATCGTGCTTATCAATGGGCACCCCGTTGAGGGCGTTGAGCCTGGACCCTGGGCGGCCACTCAGGCAGCTCTGCGACCGACCGAGTCAACGGTGCCTTGCCATGTTCTTTGACGGGCACAACAAAGGCATTGTTTCATGTTTTCCCAGTGATGCAGGCGGCCTGTGTCGTGAGGTCGGTTGTGAGGCACAAACATCAGACGACAGGGATCTTGTCGCCAGAGCCAAGCCGAGACTTCCGCCCGCCTGTTCGGCCGTATCGTTGATGGCAATTAAAATTATGCCTCAGCAGCAATGGCCCCAGCAACTGCCCCGAGGCACCTAGTGAAGAAGAAGTGCGAGATGACGGGAGAGGTGCAGGTGGCCTGGGCTGGTCTGGATTTGAGTGGATTTGGCAGGAGACATGGGGGGTTTTGCCATCCCTTTTTACTGCGTTTGGCAGTTTGGACCCCTGGCTTGGCCACAGCAAAAATAATGATTACGGCGGGGTCGTATCCGAGTCGCGCATCGCATCGTGAACACTGCCCTGAGGGAAGGGGAGTTGGGTTCCTTCGTGTACCTTAAGGAAGGAAGGTAGCCAACCAACCAACACACACGTTCCCCAGGCCCCATCGAGTCGTTCAATCGATCGCTCGCTGCTGTCAAATCATTCCTCTTTTTTGCCTTTTTTTTCTTTTGCTTTCCTTTTTCGTCCTTGTTTTCTTTCAGCATCAACGTCGCCATATTCCCATCAGATCAGTCCAATCCCCGCTGGTGCTCCCTCTCACCGCCCTGACCGCAAACCGCCCCTCCAATGCGATCAACAGCAACCCGATCGGCGTGATTCTCCATCCCCTACCTACGTCCACACACCAAGCAGGCCTGCCCCGAATCTCACAGGGCGCCACGCTCTGAGCGCAGCGCAGCCAGCCAGCTCACCAATTCGACCGTGTCTGCGACTTTGTTGTCGCTCTTTCGCTGCGCACCCATGGCCGCCTTCCAAAATATGCCCCAGGCATGGCGTCGCCTCATCTTTCTGATCCCCGTTCTCATCATCACCCTCATCCTCGCGTCGGGCTTGTACACTGGGTCGCTGCCCAAGCCGCGCATGTAAGCTGTCCACCACCCACACGCCAACTCCCGTCACCACACCTGGCATTTTGCTAACCATCACGGGTGCTACAATCGCAGGCCCAAGGTGGTGTTTGACGACAGCCATGGCCCATTCCATTCCGACTGCCAGGCGAACCATACTCCCCCGAACCTCGACAGCCTCCCGGACATCATTCGCGCGCTCTGGCAACCGCTCATTCTGCCCATCACGGCGCCCCGATTCGTGACCCTCGACGGAACCGAAAAGCTGCTGCCTCCCCAGAATGAGCTCGTTCACACGAAGCCCATGGGGAAGAGGATCTGCATCCTCGACGTGGATACGCGCGACCTGGCGGGCGAGGGAAGCATTTTCTACAGCGAAGGCGTTCCACCCTGGGACAAGCTGGGCAGTCCGTCGGCAGGCTTCCTCAGCCACTATCTCTACGCCCAAATTCACGGCTACTCGTACAAGTTCATCCGGGCGCCACAGTATGCCGACCGCGCCCCCCACTGGTCCAAAGTCATCTTCACCAAAGAGCTCCTCAAGGAGTACGACATTGTCGTCATGATGGACTACGATGCCATGTTCCCCTCCCCCGAGGTGCCGCTCGAGTGGATGCTCAACTACTGGAAGATCGACAGGGACGTCATTGTGGCCATGGCAGAAGATCCCGCCGGTGAGCCCAACTTCGACGACTCGGAGAAGCACAAGGTCAACATCAACTCTGGCTTCATCATTGCGCAGGCCGGGGAGAAATCACAGCGCCTGTTCAAAGACTGGGCCGAATGCCCCTCCGAGGTGCGCTACAAGGGATGCGCCAAATGGGCCCAGACCTTGTTCCACGAGCAAGCTGCCTTCAGCACCCACGTCCGCTACGACTTTTTGGATGGCTACAGCATTGAAACCCACCCGCAATACATCCGCATGCTGCCGTGCCAGGAGGCCAACGGAATTCCCGAAGTATCCGGGTCCGGTTGTGTCGGACACCTCGTGCGCCACTATTGGGGGAGGAAAGGCCTGACGAACCGGGAGTTTGGCCACAACGTGATGGCTGCCCTCACACCTCTGCTCGTGCAGGCCGCCTACAAAGAACCCGGCCATGTGGAGGATCTCCGGAGCAAAGTGCTCAAGGGCGCCGAGGTGTTGGATAAGCCCCCAGCGAGGTGACGCGGGGTTGGGGCGTGATTTGTTTTGTTTTTTCCCTGCAACTGTTGGCATGTTTCAGGGTACGATACCAAAGCGTGAAATAAAAGAACACGGGCATGGCGGTAAAAGGTAGACGTGAGGAGGAATTGAGGTCGCGTGGGGGCCAAGGCGGATGCTGGGCGTTTTTGGCGAGTGAACTTTTCTGCGTCATGGATGGCTGGCGATTCTTCTTATTTGTCCAAGGTGTTTGGTGTCATTGGGTTTTGTTGTCACATTTACAGCAACAGCAGCGCAGTTTGGACGGAATTTGTAGCCATTTACAACACCTGTACAACAACTTAGGTGGCTTTGCTGGAGAAGCCTCGCTTGAACGCGTGGAATAAAATACTTAATATGAGGATATCCAAAAGACACAATGAATCTCAGGTGCAAGATGTTCACATAAATCTCGCGAACCATCAGCATCATTTTCGGCAGACATGGTCGGCTTTTGCGTGGTGATGGCGGTTCACCTGGCTCGGCTTGCATCACGACGAGGTGAGGCAGCACTGGACCTCTCTGCCCCTCATGTGTGTGCTTGCAGAGGCAAGGTGCCAGAGCAGGCTGTCTAATTTAACCCATCGTCTCGGGCAAAGGGGCTGTCACTTCTCCATCAACCCGGAAAATGCATCGCGATGTGTTTTGTCCGGTTACGGTATCATCCCCCATCCCGGCTCTCGACGTCGGCTGTCGTTTTGTGTCTTCATCTAGAAAACGTGGCAACCAAACGACGCCAAGCAGTGACAGTTGTATATATAATAGCCGCAGCAAAAAGCCACATGGGTCCCATGGCATCGGAGCCTTAACCGTCAGATTCTAGCACGAATTCACAGGCTTCCAAGTTACAAGCATGGTTCTATACGCGGATTCAAGGCTTTGCTGTGCGGGCCAGGCAACTGGGGATACCCTCGTGTGCTACCCAGCTACACTCCCACCTGTATCATTCGGCCCAAAACAAACCCGTAGAGCGAGTCGGCTTCGAGTTCGGCAACCATTCTCACCCATCGACTTTGAATACCTTTGGTTTTGAGAGACAGCGTCGGTGATGTACAGCCGAGCATGTGCCATCTTGCTGGCAAGATGGAAGATGAAGTGGGTGAAGCGACGCCTCAAGGTGTTGTTGACTCAGGAGCCTAGATCACCAACAGCCAAACACCCTTCTATAAATACGAGGCCAATACCTACTCCTTCAGCTCGCTCTCCTCCCACCATCAACCCACACAAGCCATTCGTCCCACACAGGCCTTCTTTCGCTATTCGAGTCATACAAGCTCTCCTCCGCCATCTGTGTCAACATGCAGTTTCCGCTCGCAGTCATTGATTGGTACATTGAGCACTTTTTGCTCAGTGGTACCGCCACCGCCTCGCCCGTCTTCAGTGACCACGCCATGGCCATGCAAGCCCGTCAATCCACTCGAACTCTGGGCTTTATAGGGTGTTCCATGGCCGAGAACGTAGCTCAAGGCTATGTGTCTGTCGGGGGGAAGCGCCTATGGGAGCCCTACGGAACCTCTGGCATGGTATGTCGTTGTTTTGGCCCTTTTTTGATCTTGGAGACTGACCTTCCATCTACCTGCCTCTCAGGTTGTCCAATCGTGGACAAACAGCAACTCCAACTCGTGGCGTCTCTTTGACCAACAGGCCGCCCGTTACGGCAAGCCCACTGCTGTATGGGTACAGATTTGCATCTTTGCTCAGCAGGGGGTAACCTACGACGAGGTTAAGCGTCTCATTGCCAATGCAAGACAGCACGCCGCCCCTGGAGCAGAGGTCTACATCACGGGTCAACCCGTCTACGAAGGTGGCAACACGTGCTTCTTGGCCGGTAGCAAGGGTCCTGAGCTGACCGAGAGTTTGGCCAAGCGAGCGGCAGAGGATCCCGAGTTGAATGTCAAGTATCCAGGGCAGTTTGTGCTGAAGCCAGGCGAGGTGGCGGATGGGTGTCATGCCAATACTGCTGGGCAGCAGAGCTCAGGAAGACAGGCGCTGGCTTATTGGGGCTCAAATGTCCATGTATGGAATGTCCATAGGCATTCCAAGTTAAGGCCGGATCATCATGGGCTCCGGGTTACCGAAAGAGCCCAATTGATTTGGGGAGGATGTCCAGGGCCGGTGGTTCATAAAAGACTAGATTCTTCATCCAAGTACCTAGCCTGCTACTTCTTGCTAAGCACACTCAGGTAGATCGAGTCTTTTCCCTCAGACTACCTATTCGCACTGCGCTTTTCCAGCAAGTGATTATGAAGATGCTAAGCTCGCGTGTTGTCTGTCAACGCACTGAATACGAGACCTGAGCAGCAAAGGGAGACGGAGCTGGGAACGGCCAAGGCTCGGCTGTCTTGGATCACTCGCAATGTTCAAGCTAAAGATGTGAAGAGCTGGGTTTAGGGGAAAGTCGGTTTGTTTTCCACAACATGTACTAGCTTGTTTATCCAGCCAAGCCTCTCACGACTTCGTATAGAAATAAATGAATAAATAAATATCTGAATACGGAATAGATACTCATAGAACCCCCCAAACAGAATAACTGTACCGCAAAGTAGCGTGACAGAAATGACTTGGTGGTAAGGTCAACCTTACCCACTTCGGCCGGCCTCCTCCAAAATCATCTCCCCGAGCCTTCTCCCCACCATAACAGTAGGCGCCATGGTATGCGCACTGGGAATGGCAGGAAAGACGCTTGCATCCGCAATTCTCAGATTCTCAATCCCGTGCACCCTCAACCGCTGATCCACCACGCCGCCCTCTGGTGAAAGGGACATGCGACACGTCGAAGTGGCATGCAGAGCAGAAGCCCACACCCGTTTTGCATACTCGTCAATCTCTAAATCCGTCACAGTTTGCCAAGTCTTTCCTCTGTACCCCTGAGGTACCTGCTGCGACGATGAAGAAGACATTTGGGTGTGAGGATCAGTGATATATGGAACCCCCGCTGAAGATTCTGCCTTGTTGGTCTTCCCCTTGGCCCTTTTGGCCTCAATGACAGAATCTAGATACATGAGGTCCATCCCTGGCGCGAAGCTCAAGACAGCGGAGTGGGGATACTGGTTGGCAAACTCCTCCGCAAATCTCATGCCAAATCGCATTGCTTTTCTCATGACCGCCCAATCTCTCTCGTCCGTCATCATGGGGTAAATGATTTTGATGGCCGGGTCGTCCTCACTTCGCCCGGATGGAGAAGGCGAAAGCTGGACTTGGCCGCGCGAGAATGGCTGGACGAGGGTTGCGTACCAAGACGTAAGAGACTTGTTTGGAATGACAGCTTCCATGAAGGTGTTGACGGGAGTGACCATGATCTCAATGTTGGGAATGTTGGCTGTGTCATTGGGGTCCATTGTGCATTGCCCCGTGTCTGGGTTGCGGGTGAGAATCGACATGGACGTGTCATCAATAGCGCTGCTCTGGACGAAGAGCGTTCTTGGGGTGCTGGAGGCCGCCAGAAGACCTTTGCCCCATATAAGCCACTTCAGAAGCTGCCAGACGAGTACAAAAGGGTTCTGGAGAGAATGTATGGTGTGATTTTGCGGTATTTCAGACATGATAGGAAACGAAGTGTGGTCTGTCAAGTTGCGGCCAACGTGGTTCAGTTCTCGGACAACAGGAATACCAAGAGGAGTGAGTTGATCTCGAGGGCCAATGCCGCTGGAAAAGGGAAAGTTAATAACCATGTGCGGGAGAGTCAGAGCGAGAACTCATACCTCTTCATCAGGAGCTCTGGTGTACCAACAACCCCGCTGCAGACAATGATCTCCTTTTTGACCTTGAACAGATTCATGCCGGGGTATTTCCCTGTAGCATCTTTCACCCATACACCTTCGACCCTGGCGCCTGTTGAGTTGAGCTGCAAACCTGTCGCTGTATACCCCGTGGCGATGATCAGATTTGGTGTCTTTTTCACTGTTTCCGAATCCAACCAAATCCTGTTCTGTGAGGCCTTCGTCCCCCTCTCATCAACTGTCTGGTGCATCCTGAAACACGCCTGTGCCTTTGCCCTCGGCGAGTTGACATTGTCCTCCAGAGGCAGTCCAACAGCCCCGGCGGTCTTGTCCACGAAGGCAACCATCTCTAGAACCTCATTCGGCTCCCTTCGCGGTACCTTCTCTTCAATCATTTCAAAGAATGGCTCAACCTTCCCCCAGCTCCATTCTGTCAAACCAAATTCCTTTGCCCAGAAATCGTAGCCGGCAGGTATGCCCCTCGTCCACAACGATCCATTGATCCTGCTCGTGCCCCCCATTGCCTCAGCAGCCCATATCTTGGCCCGCTGCTGTTGAGTACCAAGCACAGGCTCTGAAAGTCGGCATACTGATTGGAGTCCAGGCAACTCGAAGTTCTGAGAGAAGAGCGGGTTGCGCGAGAGGAGATTGTCGCGCTCGTGGCCTTTTTCGAGGAGGAGAATGCTGACGTTGCGATCCGAAGCGAGTGTAGAGGCAAGCACACAGCCGGCCGTTCCTCCGCCAATGATGATGTAATCATGTTCTTTGGGCGGTAGATGTGGCGGCGAGGTGGATGGCAAGGGCATTGTGACAGCTTGGTATACTTGAGACTGTGTATAGTTGTAGAGAAGAGGTTCTCCGTGCGTATGTAAAGGGTGTGTCGAGGCCAAAGATAAGGTACCTGGTAAGTTGGTTGAGCCAAGTGTGGGAGCAGCTCCCAGATCCATCAGTTGGCTCCCTACCTACCATTCTACACCCCGCTTTCTCACCCAAATTGAACCAACAGACTTCCCAACATCACCAACAAGCCAATTTCATTCACGTCAATATCATGACCAACTGCATATGGAAGTTCTGTAGACCTCGTGTTCATTGCCAAACATGGCTGGAACCGAGGCAAAATAGGTAAACATGCTAGGTATTCTGTGCATATTTGGCCTACATAAAGCCGGGGTATCAATGCGACTCGGAACGAAACCTCAGAACAAATACTGGTCCCATCGGTCCTCATGGTAAGCAAAGAATAGCTCGTCCAAGCTGTGCCCATGGTCTTCGCCCAACTCCTCCACGAATGCCTCAAACGTGGGTGGTCGCCTTGCCGCCCTCTCCGGATCTGGCTCCTCATCACCCGAATTGTAGTATTCGGACGCCTCATCCTCTTCTTCGAGTTCTGGATAATCGTAGTCATCTGGAGGGATGAGTAAGCTCCCTCCTCCGGTTGCTGGTGCAGCTGCCCTCGATGGCCCTGGGCCTGTTTCCTCTCCTGATTCCCACTCGTCACTGTGACCTTCATCTTGCCCTGCCGGCCCGGCTTCCTCATCACCATCCTGAAATTCGGGCTCGTCCTCGTCTCGATAGGAAGGCAGCAAATCAAATGTTCGAAACTGAATGCCAGCCCAGGCACACCGCCGTCTAACAGCCTCCACCTCCCTGCGGAACCTGCGGTGAAACTTGCCCTCGGCTGGCCAAGAGTGAATGGCCAAACTGATGGTGGCCAAGTTGGGCGATCGGGTTCTTGATTGGCAGAGGCACTGCACACCGTGCAGCACCATGTCCAGGTTGGCCATATAACTTTGTTTCCAGTCATTTTCCGTGCCCCACTCACACACCAGTGTGAAATCCTGTAACGACTCGGGCAGGAGCTGACACAGCCGCTCCCCATCGTCCTCCTCCAAAATGCCCAGAGTTCCAAATACCCCGCGGTAGTCCAACGTGAGGCTCTCGAGGTGGATCAGGTCGGGGATGCAAATCAGCCGGTGGTTCTCGGGTTTCCTCGGCCTCTCCCTGCCCCGAGTAAGATAGTGGCCCTCGGAGAATGCGACCAGTTCCAGTGCCCTGAGAGTGGCTGCCCTCTCTCTGAGGGCTTCGCTGAGCGTTTTCCCTTCTGGCAAGTCCTCCCGGTCCTCATCTGTCGAGCTAGCCTCAAAATGCACAACCAGCGTCTGGAGGTTGGTGCAGGCAAGGCAAAAGGCCACCAGGTTTGGCTCCCGTATGGAGCTGCCGTAAAACCGAATAGTCTCGAGCTGAGGCAGGGCTGGCAAAGAAAGAGTCTTGCTGTCCACGGATGACGTTACTGTCGCTTGATCGCAGCAGAGTTCTAATGTCTTGAGTTGTCTCAGCTGGGGTAAGATCGTAACGGCATAGTCAGCAAGTATGCGGGACAAGGATCGGTCTCTGGCTCCGTCTTCGCGGTTACAGTAGATGCGCAGCGAAGTCAAGTTCCTCAGCCGATCCAGTGGAAAGAAGAAGGAAATGTCAAACCATCTCCACGCGACCTGACCTCCGACTGGATGAATATACCGATGGAGAACCCTCCGTGCAGGGATGGAAACAGGTAGAACAAAAGCACCCAGCCGTGGTTGCTGCGGCTGCTGCTGCTGGTCTTGGGTTTGTTGATACTGATCATGATGTGACTGTGGTGGGTCAGGTTCGTCTTGTTGCGGCTCAGTCAAGCTGGTTGCGGTCAAGGCATGATCGGGGAATGCGACAAGAAAGTCGCGCAAGTTGACCGAGTGAAGAAGAACGCGCTTGAGCAGTTCAGAAGCGATAGAAGTGTCATGGCTGACTGGTGGTATAGCCCAGGTGTCTGTGCATGCAATACTTGTGAGCAGAACTGTGCATTGTGCCGTGGTGATGAGAGACCGACATACCACCGCGAATGTTGGCCCACTCTCTATATGTTCCTAGAATGGTGTTCTCCTCAGCCAGGCTGACAAGGCAGCTAAGCTCTCGAACCCAAGGTCGAATTTCAGGTCGAGTGTATAGACGGTGATATAGGACGACCAGGGATTTGGGGTTAGGGATGATGATGGTGTGGTACAGCAAGGGCTTGGCGATGGCAACCATGCGTCGAGATGTCTGGGCGAGAGCCAGCAGGTTGCGGTGGCTAGCCAGCCAGTGTGCCCACTGATGTTCGGCATCGCGGAATTCCCAAGTGCCAGTGGGACGGAGGGCGAATCGGGTCGTCTGGGGAGGGGCTGGGACGAGGATCTGTGCGATGGGGATCAAGAGCTCGTTGGGAAGATGCTCCAGCCCCAATCTGGTCCGACTTGGCGGTTCTGATTCTGATGACAACGATAACGACGCCATGGTTCCAGACAGGACGGACACAGCCGGCAACGCCATCTCAGCGGCAGAGCTCAGCTCCCAACACGCCGAGTTGCCCCAAAAAGAAGGGAAGAACACCACCTTGGTACGCCGGGGTCACCTATGCAGGTGTGATATAAGTGACGAAGAACTGGGTGGGCTGTCTGCGGCGGCAGACGGAAAAAACAACCCTGCGCCGTTGGGGGGAGCCGCACCCATCGGGCGCTGCGCAAACTCCAGGTCCTGCTTGCGAGATCCAAAGGGCGCGAAAGGGCGCATGCTTATGGCCAATCGGGACGATCTTTGGCCCTTTAACACGCTGAGGCCGTCGGCATGTTCCGATCTCGGCGCTCGGTGTCGTGGTGACGAGGGTTGGGATTTCTGTCGCTATAGGTTTCCAAGCAGCATAGTGCAACTGTTCTGTCGCGTGGGAAAAAAGGGACGACGGTTCAGGAAGCTGGCCAAAACTGCTCAACAGAGCGGGTGTTCATCCGCAAGCAGAAGCTCGTTGGGTTGGGCCAGAGAGGTGCAACGGGATTTCAGGGGTTGCTCGAGCCATTCTGCAGCCCTCTTTCTGCGGGGATGCTTGGGACCCGGGGGGGGGGGCCTAGGTAGACATGCCGACATCGCTATTTTGCCCTTCCGCCAGAAAAAGCTTTCATGTTTCCAGGGCGGTCTGGATATTTGCAATGTGTCAAACCAGTTTTGACATCATGCCATCCGGGTGGCACAGAGTGGAGAGCCACAGAGCCAGACGGACCGTGCAGTCATCCCAGCCTGCCAGATGCAGCAGGTGATTCACGGAGCAAGCGAAGACGACCACCCGGAAGGAGTGCCCGGGTGGCAGGACAGAGCCGGGGGGGGAGCAAGCCAGGCTGTTGACCACTTGGCCATGCATTTCCCCCCGCAACCGACGCCAGACGCACGGTCCATACGTATCGTGGGCTACCTACCTTATCTCATCAACCTCACAAACACACGCTCGACGGGAAACGTAGCTCCGCACTCTTTGCGAGCATGAGCATCAGGAGGGTTCAGCAGCTTCCTAATCTAGATATGCCGAGCCGAAAGCCGGGTGCACGCAACTTTACCATCCCAATTTGTCCACCTGTAGATCTCCTCTCTACCTGCTGTCAGATTCACCTGCCATCCGCTGCGATTTTGGATGCGGTAGAGTTCAAGAAGCCTCGGCTTGGTTTCTGCTTTCGATCCCGTTGCCGGCGTGGGAGGCTGTGGCTGTCTTCATTCGACGCTACACTTTGACATGGCCAGACTGGGTGTTGTTCAAACATGGAAAGCAGCTCGGTTTTGTATGGGAAAGCTGCCACCTGCAGGAATTGTGCCTGCCGAAGCTACCTTAAGGAGGACAGGGTGTGCACGGGCTACGGTGTTGTGGGGGTTGTCAGCCAGAGCCCCGGGAGAGGGAACACCACCACCATCACTTTATACACGCTTCAAAAATGGCCCTCTCACCTGATATTGTTGAATTCATGGCTTCGGCGTCTGCCAATCTCGCCAGTCGTCACATCATTCTTGATTCCTCTCAGCCCAGGGACATCTTTCACTTTGGGGGCACATCTTCTCAGCTTGCCGATAGCCGTCTGTCCCTGGCCATTCAAGGCAAGAAAACAGCCACCACCTCCTGGCCGGTTCCTAACCCTCTGCGCTGGGGTGTGGGCGATTACTCCGTCATTCTGGATGGGAACGGCAAACCTGGAGCGCTGATGCAGACCGTCGAACTAAAAGTCTGCAAATTCCGAGATGTCGCCGATGACTTTGCGCTGGCCGAGGCCGAGGGTTCAGTCGATGAATATAAACAAGGGCACCGCGAGTTCTATACTGAACAGCGTCTACGGGATGGGAAGCCGCCTGAGGAGTTTGGGGACGAAAGCGAGGTTCTCTGTGAAAGATTTGTGATTGTTTTTGTGAGAGAAGATCTGAGACCGCACGCACTGCAGTGATTGGAACATCGTTGCTCTCCATTAACTCCTATCGTCAAACAAATGGGTATTATCATTACTGCAATTCTGACCACCGTTCCAGCCGCCTTGCTTCACCTGCTGCTGCTTTGTCTGTCTCAATTCAGCCTTTGCACAGACCCGCCAGGTCCATGTGTCTTGTATATCCCATCATAGTTTTCAGTTGCCACGATCTTATGACAAGTAGCGCAACGGTACTCGGTGTCTTCAAACCAATGGGCGAGGCATGGGACGCAGGCAAGGCAGACGCAGAGCAAACAGCAGAGAACTCCCGCAACCCTATTAGCAGATATATAGTGTCAGCAAAACATGGTGGATAGTTGTCCGAGATACCGCGATGAGGAGAGGAAACATACACCTGCATGGTCGACCCTTCCTTTCGGACTTGTATCTTGGACGTCTGCAAACAAAATGGACACTGGATCCATTGCGTCCGCTCACCAATCTGATTGAGAGGTGTTATAATGATCTGACCAGGCGTGGCTGTAGGTGGTGCTGTCGCCTTTGGTTGGGCGGTGACGGCAGGGGTCGGCGTTTGTAGGGCCCCTGGACTACCAGGACCAGCACTGTACTCAGGTGGCGATACACCATCGACGGCTGGACTAGGGAGATTGGCCAGAGGGAGCTCTGTAGGTGATTGCTCAACTTTTTGCGACATGGTGAAGGGATAGTGTTGATTCTCTAGCTGGGGTGCGACGAGAGGTGTTTGTAGGGAGGCCTTTCTTCAGGAATGTGGCAGCAGGCGAACGCGGTTCCTTTATACCACGCGCTCTCGCACACATGAACACAAGCTTGGCAGTGACTCGACATTTGTTTTCCGAGCATAAACTAAAAGGACATAAGAACCTCGCATATGCTCCACACCAAGCACGGGTTTTCTGCCTTGCCTGCCAGGTGAAATATCAATAAAGAGGCGCAGTTGGTGTACGAGCTGCTATTCTTTGGCTAGTTCGGATTTGGATGGTTAGCTACTGGCACACTGCCTGTTTGCCGAGAGCAACCCATAAAGCTGGTAAAAGCCAAGTCTGAATGCCCAGAAGTAGGGCACCGTATAGAATTGATGGTTGGATTTAGTCGAACTTGGCTCTGCCGAAGCGAAAATCGGCGAGGCAAAATCCTCCAGGGTGGCATCAGGTTTGGTGAATCTTGCCATGAGAATTTACGCTACTGCATTTACAAGCCTCCTCCTAGGTAAATAGGTAGATAGACACTTCCAAGACTTGCCAAATCATCCAACCCAACAGGCCGGATGTGGAGCCAGTTCGGCTCGGGCTCCGGATCTGGTCCAGTTGTTCCCCATGGAGGATGACACTCCAACATTCCCATGCCTCCTTTTCTTGTGCAGCTGTCAAAGCCTACCCAAATGTATCATGCTAAATTGCAGGTAATTCAGTGAATTTTGGATAAAAAACACTCGCTGAATTAGAGTCTACCTTATCTACCTATCAAACGTTCGACTATGACCCCCTGGTCCAAACGTCTCCATCGGGCCCTTGTCTGGATGGCTCGTTGCCACCTTGTTTTGGCAGTCACCGCAAAAGTAATCGACCGTGTCGTTATGAGTTGGTCGGTAAAACATCCCGATGCCTCCTGTGATGATGGACCAGCCGAGCCACATCTTCAATACACCGTTGCTGCGTGGAGCGCGCGGGGACCAGTTTAGCACGTTGAATTGGTCCAGACGCCATAGAGTTGACTGTTTTTGACTTACTGAAAACCCCTGGTTACGGCCCTTCTTACAGGAGTGCCTTTTAAGCAGAATGGGCAGTCGATCCACCGGATATATGGGCCGTGGTCATATTCGTGTAAAAGGTGAAGAGGTATTGTTTGGATGATATCCTCTCGTTCTGCTGTCGGAGAGAAAAGGGTTGGCAACGTTGCAGCATAAGGAGGTGGCGGTAATCCGCCAGCACCGACCTGAAGCTGGCAAGAATTATTGGTGACTGCAGAGGTATATGATGGAGGTTCGAGATTACTAGGCTCCATGGTGCAAGAGAGACAGTCTCCTTGACAAAACGCTGATTATCGCCGGGAGAAAGCGAGATCAAAAGCCAGCCAGAGCGGGGTAATTGTCGGGTTTTGTGGCAGCAGCAAGCCACAAAAAGGAAAACGCCATGTGACTTGGGCGGTGGCGTCAGATGGTGTATACGATTAAGCAAATATAAGTGAGAGCTGATAGGTAAACCTTCCTAACTTCCGGCCTCTGGGTTTATAATGCCGAATGCAAGACAGAGTTGTCACGGCGGACCGGCGCGTTTGTCGCTTCAACGGATTCATACCTACCTTGACTTTTAGTTTCAATTAGTAACCGTGGGCAGGTTGAGTGACAATGGTCCAAGCATACTGTACACAGAACTAGCCCACGTTGCGGACAGTGGCTTTCGTGGCGCCGCCGTAATGCCGCTGTGAATGGCTTGTTCCTGTTTCAGATAAGGCAAAACCAGGAGTGTTGGTATATATGCCTAAGTCCTATGCTCAATCACTCTGTACTCCCGTCAATTTGTTGGAGCAGACATTCATCGATCTACATCAAACTCGAGCAACACTACCATCGTGGGTCAAACAGCACTAAATGCTGAGCCGTTGACCACCCCCCTCCAGATGTTGGGAAATGTGCAATTTGATCCCTCAAGCCCCCCAAAGGTTAAATGTCCATTCTGCCGCCGGGTCACCACGGTTGAACGGGAGGAAGTCCGTAAAGGCACCGAGTGAGTTTCAATCACCACCCCATTGACAGCGTGTCTATGGCAGAGCTAACTGAGCTTGGAATGGCGGTTCACAGGCTATGGAGGAACCTATGCTGCATATTGTCAGCTCCTTTCTGCTTCTACAGTCTTGTGTACTGCTGGGACTATGTTGACTTCTTCTGTGCTGACTGCCATTCCAAGGTGGCGTGCCAGGAGTCTGAGAGAACGGGATCCGGCCTAGTGGTCTACGAACCTGGAGGTCAGACTCAGAGGTATCACTCGAGCACCACAGCTTAGAGCAATACCTGATAGTTACAGATATCTGTAGCTTGGTGACATCATTGTATCTTAGAAGAGAGAGTCTTGGCAGGCACCAATAAATCTCCCAGTTGTTTGCCCCACTCCGATGCTCTGGGACCAGCAATGACATCATTGCACCCATCGTCCCCAGCCTTTGTGTAACAAGCCAGCAATCAGGTCGCCTTCAAAACAGTTCAATTTGCCTAATCACCTTATGGCCATCACCATTTCTCGATACCCAGAACTCAACATCAACACACCACAGAAGCCAAAATGTCCGACATCATCGAGTCCCTTAAAGACGTCGTCGATCCTTCTCGGCGTGAACAGGCAACCACCGAGTCATATGATCCTCACACCCGCGGGCCATATCCTGACCACAAGCCCACAACCGACAACAATCCGGGGTCTCTTGCGGCTCCTGAAGCATCCCAGCCTGCCTTGGAGAAAGCAGACCCAGCGCGGAAGGAACAGGCTGATTTGAGTGAGACGGGCGCTAAAGAGAAAGAGACAAAGGTAAGCTCCCATGCCCCAGTCCACAGTATGTCAAAGAGTCTAACTTTGACAGTAAACGAGAGTGACGACCCGCGGAACGTTCTGGGCATTACGGGCAGCAAACAAACTGTATGATTAGCGCTTGTGGCACAACTGGAACCTATTCTACAAACTCTATTCCATCTAGTGACAACCGCCCTCATACAAGACGATGTGCTCGGGTACTACATCCCCATCAAAGGGGATCTGCACTAGCAGAGTAGGCTCATCGCTCGGGAATTCTGTATAATGGCCCGCTAGGGTACTGATGCTCTTCAAATCTGCTGCGATGAGCATAGACGACCTGAGAGTTCCTGGGAGGATGTAGGCGGTTTTGGTTTCTGGTTTTTTGTATTCCTGATCTTCTCTCACTACTCCCATGTCGACTTCACCGTGGCCAATTGACATCATGACGGAATCGTTCAGCGGACCTTTTCCATTTCCATCAGTCGGTCTCGGAGCCGGCGAGGTGATTCTGATAAGTCCGTTCAGTATTATGGAGAGTCTGCATGAATAATGATTCTTCAGCAGATTGCTCAAAATGAGACGCCAGAGAAGACTCATGGGGACAACAAACTGTGCGTGTGGTGCCCATGCCTCACCAATGTGAGTACGAGGTTCAATGCGTGACCAAACTGCCTTTGTCGTTTGCCCCCCAACAACGTAATTGGCCGCCTGCATTGCGTCGACTGGAAGTGAGGCCAGTTGCCAGCATTCCAGGACCGAATACCCGTCATGGGATGACAATGCCGTGATGTTCAGAGGAGGATGGGCTGGTTTGGTGGCCGTGTCAGTAGATGCACTGATGCACCGGAAAGCAGCTGATATAACGGCCAGATGAAGAATGGACCACATGACTATTGTTAGTAAATAAACAAGTCTACCGGTATGATTTCGGGCAAAACTATCTTAACCCAAAAGTCTCGGTAATATAATGCAGCGAGAAAGGAAAGAAGATGGAATGGAATCCGAGTGCGGACAAGGAGCGCGAGTAGATTGTCGGACGTCCGGGACACTTGCGGCTACTTGCATGAAATTAAACCAAGAGGATGTGGCTGGTGCAGGTGTAAGTCTTGGCCACATGGTTGACAATTGGAATCTATAGTAGGGTAGGTAGTTCATACATATAAAATGAGACATGTTGGTCTGTGTAGAGTAAGACGAGTTACAAACACCCTACTGCTTTACAACCCCCTTTACAGCCTCCCTGGCGTTCGCCAACTCCTGCTGAAGTTCAAGAAGCTTCGTGACATCTGCGCCGTGAAGAATCATGCTATGCTCCTGAGCTGCTTCGGTCAGCGCATCGCCAGGTGCAAAGCAGAAGCCCGCGAGGGGCTTGTTGTGCTTCTTCAATGTTGTGTAGAATTTCTCCTTTGCCTCCAACCATTCGGGCTCACTGCCCATTCCAAAGTTTGCAGGCAGATTCATACTGATGCGGCAGTCGAGCGCTCCGAGCCACACGACATCAATATCGGGGCACTCGGTGAGGATGGCGTCAAGGTTGTTGATGCCGGCAAGGGATTCAATTTGAACCATGACCGCCGCTTGGTCGTTCCTACAGCCGTTCAAGTCAGTCTCTCGTCTGCCTTCCATACCTCGTGGGTTTCGAAAAGAAGCAGAGAGGGAAAAGAAGGCTTACCAATTCTGCCAAACATCTCTCGCACCGTCGTAACCCTGATCGGTGAGGGTAGGAATCAATCGAAAGGGTGGCGCTGATCTTGTGCCCCTGTTCTTGGTTCCGAACTTGGAGCTGCTCATGACATGCTTTGCCTCTTCGACCGTCTCCAACTGAGGGATGACAATGCTGGCGCCGGCATCGAGGGCAAAGCCAATGGCAGCGTGGTCGTGGCCGGGAACCCGAACGAATGGGATGGTTTTGCCCTGGCTCATGAAGATGGCGTCGTGGACAAGAGACGTCATGGTCTCGACGTTGCAGGAAGTGTGCTCCCAGTCAATCCACACCACATCAAACCCGAAGGGAGCCATGTAACGCATGAGCGGAATCGAAGATAGGCCTGCGTAGAAGCCGATAAGAGGTGGGATCTTCTTCTCGTGGGCATCTCGTATGGCTTGACGGGCCCGATGTGGCTGGAACATGGAAGGTCCGAGGTAGGCTTGCATGCCTTGAGGAGGGCCGGACGGGTAAGCAGTTGTCACCTTGGGACCAGCAGCTCGGCGCTCTTCGAGCGACTTGGCCAGCGGGCCAAAGCTCTTGATCTCCTCCTCGGTAAGCTGTGTGCCGTTGGTTTCAGGCATGGTGAATGTGTGAAGGCTGAGGTTGTGTCTTTGGTTTGTTGAGGGATGAGCCTGTGTGTCTGAGGTAGTTGTGATGATAGATCTGGCTTCACTAGATCGGTGAAGGGTCGCAGATGCCCTCCTTCTTATAGGCTTTTCCAGTGCCAAATGGCTTTGGTATTATAAATCAACGATACAAAAGATCTTGCGGTGTGCTGCCCGGAACTACATCATGTCCGCATGGGCAGCTCGGTCTTAGCGGAACCCCCTGCCATCGTTCACTTTGTCCATGGGATCCATCAAGTAGGTACCAGGCAGGTATCTACATGGTGGCTACCTGAGCTAGAAAGTGACTAGCACGGCTTATCGTACCACTGCTTTACCAGAGCAGGGTACTGGGCTAACGACATTGTATCCCATACGGTCGGTTCCCTGTTAACAGAGGAGGCCAATGGTGTTACCTCCAACCGATGGGCCTGTTGTGTCTTAAAGGAGCCACTTTCGGTGCCTTCGCAAATACACAACGTCGCGGCCGCAACCACCAACCACTCGGCTTACAGTATTTCCGCATGTTGTTGGTTGTTGGACACCCAGCCGCGTGGGTTACCACCTAATACGGATAGCAATCTTGTCTTGGCGCAAGGCAGTCAATGCAAGTCAGCAGCGATACTACAGTCTCGAAAGCTGTGGAATATAATTAACAACATCAAGACCGAATCCCGGCGGTCAAAAATCCTTCCAGGAGCTGATAGTAGGGTTGTGCACGAGTCCGACAAAGCCAGTTGCGCGCGGCTTCCAATCAGTCCGCATATCGCTCCGAAATCGAATCGAGTTCAATGGGCTTAGCATGTCAGCTTGAGGCCAAATTGTTGCGAGTTGTGACGAAAGTCCGTGATACGGGAAGAGCCGCTCGGTGCTGACCAAGCAAGCCAGGTTGCCCACGGCGGAGATTGCGGTGCTGGCTAGGGTTAGGGTCTCCTGCCACTTCAGTATGCCAAGCCTAGATAGATGGATCAAACGTCATCTGGGGTTTGTGGCTGCCAAGCCGGGATTGTGCATTGTCGCTGTGCAACCACCTGGCCAGCAAAGACAACACTTCACCCATTCTTTGGTGCAGAGCGCAAACCGCCATACGGAGTACCTAGTATTCCTTCATATGTCAAGAGAACGCGCTGAGATGGTGTGAACCACCGACTAATCATGGCGACCATAGTCGGCGAGGGGCCTGACGAGGACTCCTTCACCCCTTCTACGACCAACGGCCCCAGCGCTGTCAAGCTTGCCCACCGCAAGCTGTCTCAATCTATCAGCCATCTCCCATCACCAATACTGACACCGAGCGATCCACGTCCAGACCCGACAACCGAAGAACAACTTGTTTACGAGCGCGCGACTACAAGCCCAACGAGAGGTGTCCCGACACCAGAACCCTCGGAAGAAAGCCAAAGCGATGTCGAGCCCTCAGCGGAGCTATCCTCCTCTGAAGGGAACAGCCACGATGCAAAGCCCGAAATTCTGAACCAGACGACCGTCGCCGTCCCCAAGACACGAAGTCGGTCAAACACAAAAACAAGCAACCCGGGCGGCGGCGTGAGGAGACTGTCAGCCTCCAAAATGCAAGAGCTGACTGCAGCCCCCGAATCCCTCCCAGTGGCTGCCGTGCCAGAGCGCAGGCTAGCAGATCAACCGTTGAGCGCGGGAATCGCCGAGACCATCAGCCGGACCGCTGTGGCCGATCGTCACGAGTTTCCACGGGTGGACGGCTTGGATACTCGACAGGATGCGGGAAACGCACGACCAACCTTTCAGGCACGCCCGAATCTGGGTGGAAGGACGTTGTCTACGCCGCCAATGAGCAGACGAAAGTCGACGAGTCAACCTCCTGCGCAGTCGCCCTCCTCGAATCGGCGCAATTCTTTTCAACCGCCTCCTCGGCCCGCCCCTCTTGATCTAGAAGGCAAGGGAAATCACGCTTCGGAAACGTCTAAACAGCCGTCACCTAGGAGGGGTGACGCCGCGGAAGACATCCCTCCTTCACCTGTACCGCCATCGGTACCGCTGCCGCCAATGTCGGTCCCTACGCTTCTTCAGCTGGAATTGGCAGGTCAGCGGCCCAGTCCGTTGTACATTCACCACTCCTATACCACCGATATACCCTACGAATCTAGTGCGGTCAAGTTTGAGCGTCTCAAAAACGTCATGATGCTCCCGTGGTTTCTGGAAAGAACCATCATCTTTGGGGCGCTGGCTTGCTTGGATGCTTGGCTTTGGACATTTACAATTCTGCCAATGCGATTTTGTCTTTCGCTTTCTATCTTGGTTCAGTGGTGGTGCCATGTCCTACAAAAAGAAGCAAGGTGGCTGGTCGGTTTTGTCTGGTACGGGCTTGGACGCATGTGGGAGAGAGGACGGCGTGGCAGGTCTACGTCCAAGATCAACCACCATGATTTGGGCCAAATGGATGAGTCTAGGAGCCGTAGCAGGGCACGCGATGTAGGGGATGGCGTCGGGGGCCAGTCCTCTGGGGTCTCTGCTGCTGCCGGCGAGCCAACCTCTCGTCGCCGTGAGACCTCTCGTACACACAGCGGCGGTTCGGTTCCGTTGTCTAAGCGACCAAGCAACCGGCCGCCGAGGACCTTTCGACATCGACGAACCAAGTCAAGCCCATCGAATCTGACGTCGTACAACAAGGCCGATCTTTTGCAAGGTGCCATCATTATTTGCAGCTCCGTTGCCCTGATGAACCTAGACGCCAGCCGGATGTACCATTTCATCCGTGCACAGTCCGCCATCAAACTATACGCCATCTACAACCTGCTCGAAGTAGGAGACCGGCTCATGTCGGCTCTTGGTCAGGACGTTTTGGAGTGCTTGTTTAGTGCCGAGACGCTGTCTAGGAATAGCTCTGGCCGCTCCAAGGTTATGCTTCCGCTGGGCATGTTTCTAGGTGCTCTTGTGTACAACATTTTACACTCTGTCATCCTGTTCTACCAGGTCATTGCGCTCAATGTTGCTGTCAACTCGTACTCGAATGCGCTGATGACGCTGCTCTTGTCGAATCAGTTCGTGGAGATCAAGAGCTCCGTCTTTAAACGCTTCGAAAAGGAGAACACGTTTCAGCTAGCCTGCGCCGACATTGTGGAGCGTTTTCAGCTCTGGATCATGCTCGTCATTATCGCCATGCGCAACATTGTGGAAGTGGGAGGATTCTGGGTTCCGGGCGCGGGCGGCGACGATGGCGGCCCGAGCAGTTTTCCGCTTCACACCTCATCGATACTCCCGGCTAGCTTCACCATCATGCCGTCGTGGCTCTGGTCTGGCGAGGTTTTGTCTCCCTTTTTTGTCGTGATTGGCAGTGAAATGGTTGTGGACTGGGTCAAGCACGCTTTCGTGAACAAATTCAACAACATCAAACCGACGTTTTACAGCCGGATTCTTGATATTCTCTGCAAGGATTACTACACTAATGTAGGCACAGCCCCCACCCTTTCTCAAAGTCCCTGTCATTGTTCCGTCGCTAACCTGTCACCCCCAGGCCTTCGTAACCCCCTCACTAACTCGCCGCCTTGGCCTTCCTGTTATGCCCTTATCCTGCCTCTTTATTAGGGCATCTGTGCAGATCTATAACATGTTCCTAGCCACGCACCTGCCGACGCCTTTGCCGCCATCAACACAGACGGCCTTGTCGGTGGACTCGGCCGCCCCATCCCCAGCCATGGTGGCTGCCCTGGACAGGCTGGACAATCTCATCCGCAACGCCCTCGGCCGGGCGGTTTACGGTTCGCCCTACCCCGATCTCGTTTCCTCCCCAGACAATGCCACATCGGAACAGGTAGCCGCTGCGGCGCAGGCGGGAATGGGCACCAAGCTTTGGATGAGGTGGCAGTTCACCTCGGATGACATCATCGCCGGCTTGACCATGGTTGTTGTTTTCCTGCTCGTCTTTTTGTTGCTGTTGATTATCAAGATGCTGCTGGGCATGGTGCTGCTGCGGTACTCGAGAGACCGGTACGCCAAGATGAAGATGAAGGAGCATGCCATCGCCATTGGCAAACAAGAACGCGAGAGCTTTGACGCCAAGGGCAGACGGGTTGGCGGCTATGGAAACGTGGAAGTCGGGGATGACAGGAGGAGGTGGATCTTTGCTGACGACCCAGAAGGGCTGCGCAAAGTGCAGGAGCGAGACAAGAGAAATCGGGACAAGGAAGAGAGGGAAAAGGAAAAGGATTTCAGCGGCGTCGTGAGGTATGAGATGGTCGCTCGGAGGATATGGTAGAAGCATGCATGCATAAAAATGGCGTTTCAACGGTATGGCTGATGATAGTTGATTGCTATTATTATTATCTCCTTCGACGTTCAAATGAACCGCTCCCCCTCTTGTGGCGTAAGCTGGCTCTGTAGCCCCTTTTTGCCCACCTGCATGGCCCTTTCAAGCTCCCGTTCTTCTTCCCTCAGCCTGGCACGCTCAAACTGGAGCTTCTTTTCCTGCCTGTGCTTTTCTTCCTGCACCGCCCGCTCCCTGTCCTGAAGCGCCCTTTCCCGCTTGCGTCTTTCTTCCTTGGCCTTTTTCGTCGCCTCATCCTCTCCCGCCCCTTGCTCTGCGCCCGAGTCAGGGGGAGGCCCCAGCCCAGCAATGTAACCCTCCACAAATTCATCTCTGGACTTTGTATCGAGGGACCAGTACCGAAGATCCGTCAAGACGGCGGGTGGTAAGGAGGAGGCGGAAGACCGGTTGTTGAGCTGCGACAGGGGAACCGATTCGAGCAGTTTCTTGAGGTCGGATTTCAGCGTGGACTGGGGAAGTTTGAGCCGCGAGATGTATTCCCGGTACCACTTTTCCCTGTCCTTGTCAGCCACTTTGATATCCTTCATGGCGTCCTCCCGCTTATATTTTCGTTTGAACTCGGCCCAGTAGAGCTTTGGCGTGGCCTTGTCCTGCAGCAGGGCGAAGTAGGCGATACGGGGGTCCTTTTTCTCTTGCTTTTGTCGCAGCTCCTTGAGCTCCTGAATCGTGATTCTGGACCACTCCTCCCAGACCTCCTTGCGGGCTTTTGTAGTGGGCAAGACTGTGTACCGGGGGTCGTCTACGATCCTGCCCTGCTCTATCAAGGTATCCCAAGGGCTGTAGGGGTTTATGTTGAAGTCGGACAGCATGTCTTTGAAAAGCTCGCGGGCGTCGTCGTCGGATAGCTGGGGGGCCGCCTCGCCATGGTCATAATCGTCGTAGTCTTGGCCCATCTCGTAGTCTTCTCCATAGTCAGCACCCATGGCGGCCAACTGCGCAGCGATGTCTTCCTCGGTAAACTCGACCGGCCCGTTGTTTTCGCTTTGGTCGGGATCCTCGGTTCGTTGGCGCTTCGTGGCGTGGCCATCGCCGCCATCCTCGTCGTCGGTCACTTCGACTTCTTCGTATTCAGAACTGTCGTAGTCCTTCTCTTGTTCTTCAGGACCGTCTGTTTTTTCCGGCGGGCCTTCAGAGCCTTGAAGCGTATCCAAAGCTTTGCCCTCTGCCTTTTGGCGAATGCGCGCCTTGTCGAGCTCAAGAATGGCGGGCATGAGCTTCTCGGGAATTCGCCAGTAACTGGCATTCTTGGCCGAGTTGTAGGCAAATCGGCGGCCGTATTTGGTGTACACGAGGATCCATGGTTCATGGCCGGGAATAGCCACCTTTGATCGCGGCTTGTCGATGGGCTGTGGTTTTGGTCGCGCGTGGGAACCGCCTCGGCCTCCCGGCCCACGCCCACCACGCTGTTGCCCTGGCTGGTGCTGTGGCTGGCCATACTGTGACATGAAGGCATTGGCGACATTGGGATCGGAGAGGTTTATCTGGGGTACGGCTTGGTGTTGCCAAAAGCTCGATGCCGGGTTAGCGGACGGCGCGGTTGGAGGGGCTGCTGCCGTGACAGGCCGCTTGTAGGTGGACTCTTTGGTTTCGGCATTGTAATAGTACGTGTGCCCCGTCGGGGCTTTGTGCTCAGTCCAGCCTGGCGGAAGAGGAGGCGCCTTGTAGGTCGACTTGAGCGCTGGCTGCGGCTGCATTGTCGTGGTGATGGATGCTATTGTCGCGGTGCTGCCGTTGGTGCAGTTGTTGCGCCACCAGTGATGATGATGCTCTGGCGCCCAGATGCCAAAATTAAGTGGGTCGTTTTTCCTGCATGCTGATTGGCCACGGGCATTCCAGTTGTCTGTCTGTCAGTTCCCCAGATTCTAGGTTCTCAACGGGCCAGCCGTCAGCAGCTCTGATTCCTGAAGCCATCACCAATTTTAGCCCAAAATGTAACAATCCGGGTGCCGTCATTTTGCGTTGGGCTCGTCGCATTGTTTGCCCGTGTCTCATGTCACTGGGCCAGTCACTGCCCTATCTTCCCCAGACGAACTGAACAATTTCGACCTGATGCAACACATTGGATCCCACATCGCCCATCTGGGCAGCCTCAGAGTCAGGGCGCTGTCCATTTGTGCAAGTGGTGACAGCGCTCAGCAGAAACCCCTGGCAGTTGGCGCCTTGGATTGCGCTGGAATTCTGTGCTGGACCAATCAGCACCCGTCGTGTTGGGACTTGATGTGCATCATCGACCACTGAGGGGCTGCCGCGATGCTTTGGGAATCAACGGGCCACCTCATGCGTTAGTTCTCGGTAGCCAACGTCCGAGGGTTTTTTTTTCCCTTTGATCGTCACCGCTTCCATGATAAAATACCATGGACTCCTCCCTGCCCACAAAACATATCCATTCAGCAGTAGTCAATATTCACCATGTTTGCCCCATCGTCCCCATATCTCCATCTCCAACACCATCAATTTGATAGAGCCATGAATCCACCATACTACAGCAGTCGAGCCGGCGTCAGGGGGAAGAGGAGTTCGGGTCCGTCAACCTGCACTTGTCGTTGTAAGTGAAAACCCCTCAACCTCATCGGCCATGGCCATGTTCACCGTCTCACCGTCGCTCCCAGCCCGGCGAAGAGGATGTGGCAGAACACTTCCGGCTTGTCCAAACTGTCGCCGCCAGGGCCAGGAATTCGCCATGGGATCATGGCATCGTGGTAATGACGGCCGCCTTGTGGCCCGCGGCGGCCACCAGCGTGGCATTCTCTCGGTCCGGTCCAGAAAAGTCGATCTTGCCAACAAGCGAGCCGGCCACCACCCCGTAAAGAAACACAGCTTCATCCTCTCCTTGCCACGGGGTCTTTCCCTTGCCCGCCTGGTCAGGGGGGACAAGTCTTGTTACCGTCAGAGTGAGCTTTTCTTTTCTTGTTCATTGCTTCCTTTTGCCTCTGTCTCCACTGCGGTTCAGAACAACAGTGTACTTAGCATTATCTATCAGAAAATGGCGATCTCCCCCTCAGCGTCTCGTTCCCCCTTTCAGACGGTGAAGATTTGGAAATGACGGATCTCTACGAACTCTTGGTCAAGATGTCTCTGTGTGAAGAGGAGGCGATGCAGCAAGAACAGCAATTTGAAGCCCTTTCACTCCCATGTGTCGAAATCGATATGCAGGACGAAATTCCAGCCGTGTTCCAACGGGAGGCTACACCTCCGCCTGAATCCTCCTCCGAGCCAGCATCCATCTCTTCCTCGGCTACTTCTTCGGCCTCGTCATCACCGGTAACAACGCCCGAAGTTGACTCTCAGGGTGAGACAGCAAAGGACGGGCCAAGTCGGGAGGCCGAGACGGAAGCAGAGGTCAAAGCTGAGCAGGTCGAGCCAGATACTGAAGAAGAACCAGCGAGCGAGCAAGCCTGTATCATGCAAGAGCAAACGGAAGCTTCAACGGCCAAACCCACCACCCCTCCCCAATCACTCCTCAACATTCTTCACCCCCTCCATCAGTCCACCCCCCTTGACGAGGCGGACCTGGCCACCATACTCAACTGGCTCCTTCAGCCCGATATCTTCAGTCACTTGTCGGTCCAATCGTCCTCGGCCAAATCATTTTTCACCGCACCCCCCAAGGATGACGATGGCTCCCCTTTCCCCAGCACAGACCACTTCCTCCAGATCATGGAGGTTATCTCCCAGCTCACCGCCAAAGTCCTCATGAAACCTTCCTCTGTCGACGCCGAGGTCCAAGAAAAGGGGCGGGTGGAGATCACCGCCGAACACCTTTCCGTCATCATGAACTTGAGGCTGCTTCTGGACTATGCGGCCAGGGTCTTGTGCATCAGGAGCATCGAGACTCAGAACAACAACACTAGCACCATGGGTGCCAATGCCAATGCTCGGCAAGTGGCTTGAGCATACCTGTTCCTCGAGGGGAGAGAGCTTTCCTTTGCTTAGACAACAGCACGATTTCCTTTGTTTGAATGGGATCAATCTGGGTTTATGGGGGTCGTTGGAGTTCAGGGTTGATGGTAATACGGCCCACAATGGCAGAAGGCGATGAGACACGTTTATGAATTATGATGGGGAATGACTGCATATCGATGACTTATGACAGCATGGGGTGGCGTTTTACTTGGTTGATTTTATAGTGGGGGATATGTAAGGTTGTGCTTTGGACAGGCTGTATTGTCTTCCTCTATGGAGTAGGGGGGCATGCACCGCATATCATAGTTTCTTTTGTCAGCATCAGATGGCGCTGAATAGAGATATTTAGCTCAAGGTTCTTTGCCAAAGTTCCATTTCTTCGAGCCCCAATCGGGCACCATTGCTATAAACTGTTTGGACGTGATAATATCATTACATTACGAGTCCCTAGTCCATAACTAGGATTAGTGGTTTGACCTCCCTTTCATCAGTCAATCCACCTTCGCCAAGCCATAGGTACCGTAGTTCATTAGCCGTCATCAATCATCACGTTCTCCTGTTCAGCTCAGCACTGCCCGTCCACTGCTCCCATCACGATTTGTCCCATTCCCCTCCAGCCTGAGTCTCATTGCACTTTCTCTGGTTGCTTGTGTTGCTTCCTCTGCCGCACCAGATATTCACCCTCCCAAACGACTTGTCCGTTTTTGGCCTCCGCCGATGGTCGCACCACCACCCGGTTGGCGTGTGGTTGGTCGGGCTGGCACAAAATGTGAGGCAGCAGTCTGTCTTGTTTGGAAACCAGACGTAGCTCCACGCCATGAATGGAAAATCGTAAAAGCCTTCTTCAGTGTACACGCGTGTCTTGTCACCGGTGTATTGGGGCTCTTCCCACGCTTGAAGCATGAATCCCACGTTTGGGGTTTCATCATCGAGAGACGAAGCTGCTGGTCTGCTGTGATGAGTTAGCAAAAGTCCGGGGAAACGACAACAGACAAAAAGTAAAAGGGGAGGCCACGCACTCGGATGATGTCCTGTTGGTCGCGGGTGTTGTAGTCTTTGGCGGCGAACTCTCGCCATGCTTTGCTCTCATCACGCCCGCCACACCACCTCCCACTGCCGCTCCGATTAGGACAATGACGGCAACCAGCACCATGGTGAATGTCCGTTTGCCGAGACCGCATGTCTTCTTCTTTTCATCCTTCAGATGAGGCCCAACATACAACTCTTCCTTTCCAACCGGCGATACGGGCTCCCAGGGCACTGAGCTGTTTGGGCTGAGGGCGCCCATGGGCATTCCACTTGCACTTTGCGGCCATAATGGCTGCCGATCTTGATTTTGCCTGTAAACGTCTGCTGTGGGGGTTGGGGGCTCGAATGGCAGTTTGGGGGCATCGTCATAATCGGCGGGGTATTTGTACTGTGCATAAACACGTTGGGGATCACCGACATAGTAATTAGAGATGACCTGAGGCCCGGAATCAGCAATGACCTCGGGCAAGGGTGTCGGCGGTTTGGGGACAACCTCTGGGAGGTCTTCGGGGCGCCCCATGTCGGTGGTGTTTTTCTACGACAATTTCTGGGACTTGCTTGGTGTCTTGAAGACCCTGGCAAAACCGGGACCTGTTGTTTTGTATTCCAAAATGCATATGAGGCTCGCCAGGGGGTGACTACCAAGGGCCCCCAAAATTTCTAGAGACAGCTCTAATAAAGATGCCCCCTTGGCGTAAGACGGAAGAATTACAAGCAGTTTTTGCACGTCACAGTTTCACGGCCAGCCTGCCGACTTTAAAAGCGGTGACCCGGGCTGAGGGCTGGGGCTACACTTGCGCCTCTTTTTGTTTCAGTGGAAGAGAGGGTAAACGCATGCTGATTTGTTCGTGGCCGAAGCTGAAAGGTCTCACCCTTCTTGTGCCGCAATGACCGTCTGGGGTATCGCGAGTCTACTTGACGCCGTGTCACATCGCCTTGCGGGCTGTGGAAAAGACCAGCCAGTGTGGCATAAAGTTACCGGTGTCGTACCATTGGGGAGTTGAGGTCCAAGTTTGGGCTCATGGGAGATCCCAAACCGCGACCAACATTCGCTTGTGTCTGTAGGCCGCGCTAAAAGACACAGCCTTCAGGGTGCGAACAAGGAAGGGGGTATAAGATGCCGAGATATTGACTGATCGGTTTCTCACAAGAGAAGCAAGAGAGGCTCTGGTGCTTGATATATATAGCTGTTGATGTATGCGCCAATCTTGGAACGATCGGGCCACCAAGCGGCTGCCCGCAACGGCTTTCCTTGGCACCCCCTGAGAAGCTTGTTTAGAAAGCGCCAATGAAGTGCCAGTTTCTAGCAACCGCGAAACCAAGATGAATATAGTGGAAGAAATACATCCCAAACCATCTTGTGGGTTGTTGAGATTCGACACCGACCGGCGATACGATGCGAAACCGACGCAAACCGTGTTCGGGAAGTGACTGGGGGTGTCTTTTTCTGCATCAGATAATTTTTCGGTGCGGGGTAGGTTCGTAGTGTACCTACACAGTAGAGGTGCTGTCGCGGCGGCAGGGATGAGGGTTGGTACAGGAACCGACTCAGGTTTGCCTGTGTGCCGGTACCTTAGGTAGGTCGACTGCAGGGAACGCAAGAGACGAGGCCGACGTCGGCTTGCCAGAAGCAGACACGGTACAGCAGATGGGCGCATGTGAAAGCTGGTGATGGGGATGAGGGCAAATACACGGCAATTCTGGCATCCCAGTCGTCCGATCCTGCCACGACGCACCCACTCGCCAGCAGCTGCCAAGATGCAGGTGGGCATGGGGTGGGGCTGATTGATCTTATCAGATTATCAGATAGGCTGCCGCGGCTCCACCGAGCCCCACACTTTTCATCTCTGCACCTCCTCGGCAGCACACAGTGGAACCCGGCTCGGAGACAGGGCAAGGACAACCAGCTCAATTGAGTCAAATTTTGCGCAATTCCATTCCATTGTCGACTGCCAGATAGATGGTCCCAACCTGGAAGGTCATGTCATCAGCCATCAGGACCGTCTCGCCTTCCTTTACCCCGGAGCCCGTTGTTTCACACATGGCCGGCCGCACCTTTGAGGTGGAAGGGATTTTGTCGATCGAGCGGATGAGAGCCTGATGTTGGGCGATCCAATTGATCCGGAATTGATCCAACACATGCCCACGATGCCCCCCGTTGCCATGGTTGGCTGTCGGCTCGGATACCTTGAATGGCACCACCACCATCACGGCTTCTGGAACCGGGGCTCTGCCGTCCGTTGTCATACGATCAGATAAACAATTTTTTTTCCCTCGTCCCGGGACTGGCAGCCAAGAATGCGAAGTCGACTCCGCCTTCGGAGCCAGAGGGGGACTAGCCGCCGGAGGAGATGACTGGGCATTGTTGGAGCCAGCAAATAGGCTCATGGCATCCCGTCTGTCCCCGTCCGTCCCCATACAAACTGCCAATCTTCTCCACTGATTTCATCTTATCTGATCCGAAGATAACGCTGAGGAACTGGCAAGATTTGCAGATTGCGTCAGTACACGAGCCCGTCCCCATCCCCAGACACCCACACCGGCAGCAGGCCTTTCACAAAGGGACACCCACCACCGCCGTGAACACCAGCACACCACCACCCCACGACGAGATCTGTTTGCCGTGTGCCCCGTCGGTTGCAACACGGTTTCACGGTTCACGGGGAGCCAGTGAGCACCAGGTGGAAAGAAACACAAGTTGAGCATCAAGTTACCCCCATCGCCTAAAAGCCGATCCCCAGAAAACCGGCGAGGGGTCGTTTCCGTCAATCGCAACCCGAAATCGATCAAAAATTTCTCATTGCCTCCCCCCCCCCCCCCCAACCCCCCCACCAGCGAAGTATTAGATCATGTCACCGCTTGCTCGAAGAAGAAGGGTCTCCGCAATGGCGCAGGACGTTCCCTGCATCACATCGACCCAAGCTAGCTGCAATGGCTGCCAACACTCTGTTTTGCACCCCTCAACGCCCATCGACCATGAGGCAAAATGGGGCATCGCGTGGTCTCATTGCAAGGTCTAGGCGGTTACGCTAGGTTCCTGTTTCTTCGTCCCTTCCCCATGAGCAGTGCTCCGCCGTCAGGACGACTGCGTATCAAAACGGGAGCCGTGGCCGCCCTCATGCCAGCCGCGACTCTCTCCTCGTTTTCTCCTTATTCCTCCCAGTACCAAAACCATCTTTTCTCTTGGAGCCCTTCCCTCCCCCCTTTTCTGGTGTTCATCCCGTCCCGGCGGCACTTACGTCAATCTTGTTGTGGACGATCTCCAGGCCCAACACACCAGCACCGGCATCCACCAAGGAGGCCACTGCATCGGCACGACACGACGACACGACACACACACACCTTGTGCGCCACAGCTTACCGACCAGACCCACATCCTTACTCCTTCCCCGGTACTATTTGCTTGCCCTTGTGCGCCCCGAGACTGCCCATCTCCTGGAGACCAGCTTATAGCGGCACCGAAACCCGACAGTAGCATTAGGTTATCATGTCCCCACACAGCATCAGCACAATGGATGAGACCGAGGCCGTCCCCCAGCTTGTCAACGGCGCCAGCCAGTTCCCCAAGAGCCAATATGTTACTCCCACAGAGGTTGATGCCGTGCACGACCTGGTGTGCATTGGCTTCGGCCCCGCCAGCGTCGCCATTGCCATTGCTATGCACGACGCCATGGAGGCCGGCAAGCTCAAGCAGTGCCCCAAAGTCCTCTTTCTGGAGAAGCAGCCCCAGTTCGCTTGGCACGCCGGCATGCTCCTGCCCGGCGCGAAGATGCAGATTTCCTTCGTCAAGGACCTCGCCTCTCTCAGAGACCCCCGCTCTCATTTCACCTTCCTCAACTACCTCCACAAGAACGAGAGACTGGTTGACTTCATCAACCTGGACACCTTCACCCCCGCCCGCGCCGAGTTTGAGGACTATCTCCGCTGGTGCGCCAACCACTTTGAGGACGTTGTCTGCTATCAGAACGAGGTGGTCTCGGTCGCTCCTGTCCAGGAGGACGGCCCCGCCAAGATCTTTGAGGTGACATCACGCAACATCAAGACCGGTGTGACCAGCACCTACCGCACACGCAACGTTCTTGTGGCTGCTGGTGGCCAGGCCTCCCTCCCCGACATCTTCCCCGCTCACCACCCGCGTGTTATTCACTCGTCTCAGTATGCCCAACGGGCGCCTCAAATTCTTGGCGACAGGTCGGCCCCCGTTCGCGTTGCCGTGGTTGGTGCCGGCCAGAGCGCCGCCGAGATCTTCAGCAACGTCCAGAGTCTCTACCCCAACAGCAAGACCTACATGGTCATGAGATCCGAGTTCCTCCGGCCAAGTGACGATTCCCCCTTGTGAGCACCCAATCCCGACCCAGGGACGTCATGCAAGCCCCCTCGCTAACCGTGTGACTGCAGCATCAACTCCATCTTCAACCCCGAGTACATTGACCAGATCTTCCCCAAGTCCGCCGCCTACAAGGCCAAGTTTCTCCATGAAGCCCGCGCTACCAACTACAGCGTCGTCCGCCTTGAGCTGATTGAGCACCTCTTTGAGACCATGTACCACCAGAAGCGGACGTTGGGCGCAGATGAGAAGAAGTGGCCCCACAGGATTCTGGCTGGCAGAGAGCTTATCAAGGTGGAGGACAAGGGCGATGGACTGCGCATCAAGGTGGCCAGACTCTCCACCACTGGTGTGTCAGATGGCCCCCTCCTCAACGAGGAGGACCTGGATGTGGATCTCGTCATCTGCGCCACTGGCTACAAGAGAACGGCCCATGTGGACATCCTCAAGGGCGCCTATGATCTCCTTCCCGAGTTCGACGTTGCTGGTGAGCAGGAGCAGGAGCAGATTGGCGTGCCCAGAAAGGACCGGTGGGTGGTGGAGAGCGCCAACAAGGCCCAAGAGTCATCAAAGCGCGTGATTGAGGTTGGCCGTGATTACGGTGTTCGTTTTGCTAGCGGTGCCGTGGCTCAAGGCTCCGGTGTTTGGTTGCAAGGTTGCTGTGAAGGCACCCATGGTGTAAGTGCCCCATTCTCCCCCTCCTCTACACACCCTCTCTTTGCCGCGCTCCGCGTTGTGTTTTGTATCATTTGGCTAACCCCCACCCCAGTTGAGTGATACCCTACTTTCTGTTCTGTCAACACGGTCCGGCGAGATTGTTGAGTCTATTTTCGGAGTTTCCAGGTGATTGTGGAACTCAATGTCTATGCATGAATGGGTGATATGATTTTTCTGGCTGTTCTATCTCGGTTCTCTTTTCTTGTATATAATTTCATTTCATGGGTTTTGGAGTTTTTAGCATTTTCCAGGTGCTCAAAAATGGGTTTCAGGGCAATTTGAAAGCTTTCCGTATTTCTCCGGTAGCACTTCGCCGTGCTGTCTATGTTCGAAGCAGCGGGACATCTTCCGAGCAGACACGGAGGATGGAGGTGGGATGAATCCATGCATCATGTACGCATATTTGAGCAGGCATATCACGATGCGGGTGACCAAACATGGAAGACCGAAGATCGGATCAAACTGCGGGCAGCAGTGACAAACGGACAAGAAGCCCACTTTCGGCGTCTCTCCCGAGCGCGGCCTTTGCAACACCGATCATGACCGAGCCCGAAGACGTGGAGTTGGGGGCCCACGACTCTCGCCCACAGTCTTCATGACGCAATGACAAGTTGAAAAGCCCGCTATGACTAAGAACGAGGCGGTTCAAAAGAGGGGTTCTTTTAAGCTTAAGATCAAACATTGGACCACTTATGAACTCTGGCAGGAACCCAGGAGTACAGAACAGGACCCCCTTTCCAGGCTGTTTACGTTGGCATTCGCCAGGCTCTTACCCAACTGTACTTGTTCACAGACTTGCAACACCTACCCAACAAAGTTGGACGAGTAACGTTTCGAATCTGGCTTGGGTTCGAGTACGCTGTTGGCTGCTGGAGATATTGCCCTTCCCGTAACTAGGTACGTAGCTGTTGCCTCTTTCTTGTACAGAACAGATGGAGGGTAGATGTAAGGTGAAATGCCGCTCCTTCCACACACCCATCCAATCGCGTCCACTTGTGATGCAGATGAGAACGAGCTAGCAGGCAAATATTTTTTTCAGGACGGCGGGGGGCATGTTACATACGTCGATTCGAGCCATGGTCTGAGGTCCATGTGGTGGAGGCTGACAAAACAGAACTGTACCGTTCCGTGGACGGCGGCACGCGGCAAGAACCCCTTCCATGACAACCCTTGCCCATCCCGCTGCCAACCCTCTTTTCCTGGTTTGATTTTGTGGGCCAACAACCCCCATCCATCGTCCGCTCACTCTGGTCACCACCGCCCCATCTCCCCATCCACCCGCCAGCGCCGGTGTTCCTGGTAACCCTAAACCTGGAACCTCGTCGTCGACAAATACAAACCTGCAGTGCTGGAGCAAGCCAGATCTGGCCAATAACCGCCCGTTCATATCAAATCAAACCTCCGCCAGTCGCTCACCTCGGCTTTCTTTCCAGCCAATCATCGCCACGCCATTTTCACTGTTAACTTGGCACCAGGACGCCGGGACACAGGGCTGCCCGTTAGATAGGTACGTACCGCCCATGTCTTGTCTACCTCTGGCAGATTGCCGAGCTAGGAAGGAATCTGGTGTGAATCTTTCCTCTTAGTGGCTGCAGCACAAGGCGCGTTGAGAGTAGTGACCTTGGAGGGTACCGCGAAGAGAGCTTGTACCCGGTGTGCCATCGTCACCCATTCATGTTTCCTTGATCCTCACCTACCTGCTCTGGTTTTCAGACTTCATTTCAGTTGAGTTGTTTCACTTGCTACATTTTACGGTACAAGATATTAACATCACTCTGCAGCCAACAAACGAGATAGAAACCATCCTATGATGGACCCCTCCGTATCACAAAAATCCCACCAAGTGGACGAAAGGCTCTCCGTTCTCAATCACCCACCAAAACGCTTGAATGGGCCAAGTCTGTTGCATCTTCTCGTTCACCAAACGTCTGCAGAGCCGGCTATTGATTTCTTGGACGATGAGGGCCGCCAAATCTCCATCTCATACCCCCAACTACACCATGCGTCCAGCGCTCTTGCATCCGCAATTCAAGCACAGGTTGGGTCCCGGGATAACAACAGACAGTTTGTCGTTCCTGTCCTTGTCCCGCAAGGCCCAAACCTGTACATTGCACTGCTAGCCATTCTAAAAGCCGGCGGTGCCTTTTGCCCGCTCAACTTGGACGTTCCCCTCGAGAGAGGCCAGTTCATCCTCGACGACGTGGAAGCCAAAGTAGTCATCACGACCCACGAGCTGGCCAACAAGCTTCCACCAGTCGGCCAAACCGGGCGGATTGTGCTCCTCGTTGGAGAGAACACACCAGCCAGGGCTGCCAGGCAATCAACAGGTGATCCACAGCATTATGAGCCGAAGCCTCAGGATCTGGCCTACGTGATGTACACTTCAGGCTCAACCGGCACACCAAAAGGAGTTGGTGTCTCGCATGACGCAGCAACTCAAAGTTTGCTCGCCCATGATCGACACGTCCCGCCCTTCTCGAGATTTCTTCAGTTCGCAGCTCCAACCTTTGACGTGTCCGTGTTTGAGATATTCTTTCCACTTTTCAGAGGCAAGACCTTGGTGAGTTGCACGCGAGGTGCAATGCTTAACGACCTGCCGGGTATCATCAGGCGAATGTCGGTCGATGCTTGTGAGCTGACCCCAAGTGTGGCGGGCAGCTTGCTTCGAAAACGCGATAGTGCTCCCTGTCTGCAGCTTCTTCTCACCATTGGAGAGATGCTCACAAAGCCTGTGGTTGAGGAATTCGGCGGCAGCGAGGAGAAGGAAAGCATGCTTTGGGGTATGTATGGGCCAACCGAGGCCGCCATTCACTGCACCGTTCAGCCCTCTTTTGCTTGCAGCATGTCCACAGCCAACATTGGCATCCCGTTCGACACGGTGTCTGCATTTGTACTTAACATTCCCGAGGACGAGTCCGAGCCTCCAAACTTTAGGGTTCTCTCGCTTGGGGAAGTCGGAGAGCTTGCTGTCGGTGGACCTCAAGTTGCAGACTGCTACGTCAACCGGCCCGAGATGACGGCAAAGGCCTTTGTCGAAACGCCATACGGCCGTTTGTACCGAACAGGAGACAAGGCACGCATACTGCCCGACGGCACGCTTGAGTGTTTGGGACGCATAGGAGGCGGCCAGGTCAAGCTCCGTGGGCAGCGAATGGAGCTTGGAGAGGTGGAACATGCCGCGCTGAGAACGACAGGTTGTCATAGCGCTGTCGCCGCAGTCATCAACTCGATCTTGGTTCTCTTCTGTGCAGTGGATCATACGGATGGCATGGGCAACGCCGTGGAAGCTTCCTGTCGCGCTTGGCTCCCGGGGTTCATGTTGCCTGGTGACGTTATCGTCATGGACGCCTTTCCTCGACTCCCCTCGGGCAAAATCGATCGGAAGAGACTTGTTACCGAGTACAACAACTCACAAGCGGGGTCTGAGGTCATTCAACAAGGCATTTTCAGAGATGATTTTGAACGAAAACTGTGCTCTTTGGCCGCGACCGTTCTCGGCACCGAGGTGAAACCGGGTCAGAACTTGCTTCAAATGGGTCTTGATTCACTGGCTGCTATACGACTTGCCTCCTTATTACGCCAGGCCGGTATTGATAGTGATGCGATCGAGATCTTGAGGTCCCGCACAATCTCAGCGCTGCATGCATGCGTGTCCGAAAAGCAAGGCCATCGACCAGCCTCCATTCTGGATACCTTTCACCCCCGCGCATGGCAACCAGACGTCCCGGCAGTACTCGCGCAGAGGTCTGAGCTGTTTAGAGACAACAGGCCGGTTCAGTCGGTTTACCCCTGCACACCCCTCCAGATCTCGATGCTCGCCGAAACTGCAGCCAATCCTCGTGCATATTGCAACTGGATCAAACTTCGATTCCCGATCCCTTGCTCGCCAGACTCCGTCCGCTCTTGGTTCTTGAGGCTTGTTGAGAGAAATGAGATACTGCGTACCGGCTTTGTCCACCACGATGGTGACTTTTTTCAAGTCGTCTTTGAACGCGCCTGCGAATCATGCATCTCATTCTCAGACTCGCCAGTTTGTGAGTTTGAACTGCGAGATGACCAGGACTTTCTCACGCCTTTCAAAGTGCAAATCTCGGATGCTCAAACCATCGGTGAACCCGCTGATGTTGAGGCTGTGGTACACCTTCATCATGCGATATATGATGGCTGGTCATGGGACTTGGCTATGGCTGACCTTGCGGCGCTTATGCAAGGAGAACAGCTTGGTGAGCGCCCACAGTTCAGCAAGATCGCCTGCTACTATGCCTCCCCGTGTTTTCGTCACATTTCGGATGCTGCTAAAGAATTTTGGGCGGCAAATCTTCGAGGGTTCCAACCAGCGGCGCTTCCGATCTTACGAGCTGGCACAGCAAAGGTGTCTCCTACCTCTACCTCCAGTGTCATTGTGGACATCAACCCAAACGAGCTAAGGAGATCACTAGATGACATCCAGTGCGGGATTCAGACCATCTTCCAGGCTTCGGTCGCCTGGATCTGGAGTGCTATGGTTGGGAGTGACGATGTTGTGGTCGGTACCGTGACATCTGGCAGGACACTGCCAATCTCGATGATCGAGGATGTGATGGGGCCTTGCATCGCCACAGTGCCACTTCGTACCGACTTCTCACAAGTCAGCAGTATTGCCGATCTCCTTGTCAGCACTCAAGCGACCAGTAGAGCCATTCTCGAATACAGTACCTTGCCTCTTTCAGAGATCAGGCGGGCAGCGGGAGTCCGGCCAGGGCAGCCCTTTTATGATGTTTTGTTCGTTTATCAGCAGTCACTTCAAACCAGCAAACCAGACTGTGTCAGGGGATTCGAAGAGGTTGACCATCAGGATTTCTTGGAAACGCAGCTTGTTGTCGAGGTGGAGCCAAGAGCTCATGACTTTGTTCTCCGTATTACATCGCACGAGAACACGTTCCCTGATCAGCAAGCCATAGCCCTGGGCTGTTGTATCGCCGAGATGGCTTCATGGATGCTCAGGAATCTCGACTCCAAGATTACAGGGATACAAGCAGCCTTCTCCCAGTCGCTCCTCTCCGTATTCAACCCCAAGCCGGTGACCTTTGCTGGAATTCCTGATCTAGCTCACGCCATTGACGTGGTGGCCGCAAACCACCCTGACAAGGAAGCTCTGTGCTTTGCACATCGTATTTCGGATGATCTTGTCAAAACAACCACGTTATCATTTGCCCAGCTCAACCAAACCGCCAATCAAATTGCATGGCACCTTCAAAAACATGGGCTGAAGGAGGGGGCAGTCGTGGCCATTATCATGGAGAAGTCCGTCATCCTCTACGCTGGTATCCTTGCCATCCTCAAAGCTGGCTGTGGCTATCTACCCCTTCTGCCCACTACCCCGGAGACGCGTATCGGCACCATTCTGCAGCAGGCCGGAGTCAGTTTCTGCCTCACGGACAGGATCACTCGAGACAAACTATCCCCTCAGCTTTGCCCCACTATCATGGACCTCGACGGGCTCGAATACATGTCGCTTCCAGTTAAGGCTATTACACCAAATCCTGACCCCTCGAGGCTAGCCTATGTCATCTACACATCTGGCAGCACCGGTGTACCGAAGGGGGTTTGCGTGACCCAGTTAAACATCATGAGCAATCTCGATGTTTTGTCCAGAATCTACCCTGTAAAGGGCTGCTCCAGACTGCTTCAGTCTTGTTCTCAGGCATTTGATGTCTCAGTCTTTGAGGTATTTTTCGCCTGGACCCAAGGCATGTGCCTCTGCTCTGGCAAAAACGACACCCTTTTTGAGGATCTCGAGAGATCAATCAGGATGCTTGAGGTCACCCACTTAAGCATGACCCCAACAGTGGCATCTCTGGTCGATCCGGACAAGGTTCCAGCGGTGGAGTTTCTGGTGACGGCCGGCGAAGCCATGACGGAGGCAGTCGCCAAGAAATGGGGGAGGAAGCTGTTCCAGGGGTACGGCCCGTCAGAGACTACAAACATCTGCAGTGTGAAGAAGATGGGGCCGAACCAGGCAATCCAGCATCTTGGTTGGTCTTTTGAAAACACTTCGACTGTTGTTTTATTCAAGGATAGTGAACACGTTGTTCCACTGGGCTGCCTCGGCGAATTTTGCTTTGGCGGTGATCAGGTTGCTCAGGGATATCTCGCCATGCCCGCCCTAACTTCATCAAAATTCATCGATCACCCCACCTATGGTAGGCTCTATCGATCCGGAGATATTGGACGTATGCTCCCGGATGGATCAATGGTCATTCTTGGTCGCGTGGACGACCAGGTTAAGCTCCGCGGACAGCGGGTGGAGCTCGGGGAGATCACAGCGACGTTGCGGCTCTCGAGTGCGGTCGAGGATTGTGCAAGTCTGTTCTTGCGAGCGGGACCGGAAGACTCCCGGGATCAAATAGTCTCTTACTTTGTCCCCAGCGGCATCCAAGCAAACGAATATTCTCTGTTGGAACTCAACAATGATCTCCGACAAAAGGTGCAGTCGCTGTTTCGAGTGCTCACTTCAAAATTACCGCAGTACATGGTGCCATCGGCGATACTCCCCATTTCCGTCTTGCCGACCACAGCGTCTGGAAAGTTGGACAGGGAACGGCTTACCGCCTCCTACCGAATGCTCAGCCAAGAGTACCTCGCATCGGTGACCGATCACGTCGCCGACAACGACGAGGACCATGAGGAATGGACAACAGCCGAGCAGAAAGTAGCTCGTGTGGTTACAGAGGCCCTCAAGATTTCAAGGCACGAGGTCCAACGATGGACATCTCTGGTTACGCTTGGTCTGGACTCCATCTCTGCCATTCAATTGGCGAGGTCATTCTACTCACAACTTGGTCAACGCATTCCGATCTCGACCATCCTGCAAAATCCAAATGTTTCCCGGCTTGCTAAGATCCTTCTCGATCTCGAAAAGACAACATCCGAGCCACCAAAAGCCCAGGACCTGTTACCGAAGACCCTCTTGGCGTCGCTGAAGGAAATACTTCGACAGCAAGGAACATCGGCTCAAGAGATTCTACCATGTACCCCGTTGCAAGAGGGAATGTTGGCAGCCACGGCGAGCAAGGAAGCTTATATCAATCGCATGCTGTTTCTCGTCAGTGGAGATCCTGCGCAGCTAGAGACAGCCTGGAACGCGATGGTATTACGGCATGGCATTCTTCGGACCTGCTTTATGACCACTTCCAGTAGCCAGCACCCCATAGTTCAAATTGTGCTCGATAGCTGGCAGCCGGACTGGCGTGAGTTTGACGCTTCAAAAGAACAAATCCCTTCCTGTGTGGCTGAGCAAATCAATCTGCTGGGCGATGGCGTTGACTCTCTTCGACCTATGATCTCACTTGCCTGGATCAAGAACAAGACTCAGAGATACTTATCCTTTGTCTGTCATCATGCTCTTTATGATGGTGTCGCTGTTGAGCGCCTTCTTTATGAGATTGAGAAGACTTATCATGGGCTTTCGCTGCCACCGACGCCATCATATGCCGCCTTTCTCCAAGAATCTTCGACTTTGCCGGAGCAAACAGATAGTTTCTGGGCTACCCATCTGTCTGGAATGCAACCGAAGCTGGTCACGGAGCTGATAAAAGGCGATGAAAAGGCAAACATAGCCATCAAAACTCGACGACTTCAGCTTCCTCTCTCAGAAGTCAGAGCAAAGATCAAGGAAATAGGGGTTCCTCTTCTTGCACTGGTTCAGTCTTGTTGGGCAACCACACTAGGGTGTCTTTTAGACACTGATGATGTATGCTTTGGAAATGTGGTCAACGGACGATCCGTTCCTATGGAAGGTATCGGCGAGCTGGTTGCCCCTTGTTTTAATACCCTCCCTGTGAGAGTCAACCTCTCCGAGGTCCACCAGCGACTCGACTTGATCAAAAAAGTTCAAAAGACCAGCACAGCATCTTTGGACTATCAGTTTACCCCGCTTCGACGTATTAAATCTCTAGCTTCGCAACATGCAAACCTGCGTTTATTCGATACCCTTTTGTTACTACAACAATCCCCTCGGTGCCTAGATAGCCGAGTCTGGAAATTGGAACAAGACGATGGCGAGATGGACGTAAGTCGCTGAATCCCCCAGTTGTTTCTTTCACCCTTGCTTATACATCGCAGATCCCGCTTGTTTGTGAGGTCATCCCCGATACAGCGACAGATGCAGTGACCGTAAAGCTCCACGGGCAAAGGTAAACATCCACACCTTTCCTTCAGAGGGCGCTGATGATAGCCACCAATTAACACCTGATTCGATAGGCTCTCGACCGATACTCATCAGGTCGTATTGGATCTTTTTGTATATGCTGTTGAGATGCACCTTCAGTATCCGGCTGGTCGTCTTCTTACCCTGGACAGCCTTCCACAATCGTTGCAAGACAGACTCTCGCTCATTTCCCATTCCCGGCCATTACCCGGCAGCCAAAATCTGATTCCACCTGAAGACCACTCAGAGGAAGCATGGACTGCCACGGAAATCGCAGTTCGTCAGGTTTTTGCTACCTTATCGTCATGCGACCCCAGGGACGTGCGAAGATCCACGACCATTTATCGGCTCGGCCTAGACAGTATCAGCGCTGTCCAAGTGGCTTCTATGCTTCGTCAGTCCGGGTACCACGTTCTTGCTAGTGACGTGGTTTCAAATCCCACTTGCCAGGGATTGGCTCACCATATTACTTCCGGCAAGGGAGTCAAAATACGCACGCCGCAGTACGACTTTGCCAGCTTTGATTCCCAAGTTCGCCCACAGATTCTTGCACGGGGTGTGGTGGAACCCAGCATGGTGGAAAAGGTTTTGCCCTGCACGCCTTTACAATCCAGTATGATGGCGCAGTTTGTTACATCTGGTGGCAGGGACTATCTCAACTACCTGGCTTTTGAGTTTGACACTCCTATTCCCGTTGCCAAGATGCACGAGGCATGGCAAGCAGTTTGTGCAACGTATCCTATCCTACGGACGGGCCTTGCGCCTGTCGAGCACCAAGACTGTGATTTTGCCATGATTCAATACTACACACCCTCCTTTGTCCCCTTACTCAACACCTTTACTAGCCCTGAAGTTGCCTTCGACTTGGACCAATGGCGCCTCGGAACCCGCCACCAAATTGTTGAAGCACCACACAAGAGACTCTTCGCTATTGCCTTTGTGCAAGAGGTCAGCCATCTGACCATGCACTTGGCCATACATCACGCTCTCTACGACGCACAGTCTCTTCAACTAATTTTGTCGGATTTCTCCAAGGCATTGCATGAGCTCAATATCATCCAACGCGACAATGATGAGAATGCTTTGGGTGAGATCTTGGATGAGGTATCGACCTCCTCTGACAAGATTGAAAGCTTCTGGAAGCAAAGGGGCCAGCAGGTGGTGGTGAATGGTTTTCCCACCATGACACCGCTCCGTCAGGAATCGCGTGAGATTATGACGCAGTCCCTCATCAGCCAGGTGCCCATGATCAGCCTGGAAGAGGCTGTCAGAAGCTCGGGTTATTCCATGCAAGCTGTTCTTCAAGCTGCCTGGACGCGCGTCTTGTCATCATATCTCGGTGAACAGTCTGTCGTCTTTGGCGTGGTGTTGTCTGGGCGCAACTCTGAAGCAACACGCAAAGCAGCCTTTCCCTGCATTGGTACCCTGCCGATTATTGCAACACACACCGAGTCCAACCGTAAGCTCTTGGCACAGATGATGCAGTACAACGCCGAGATCTATTCCCAGCAACATCAGCCCTTAACAAGGATCCAGAAATGGCTTGGATATGCCGACGCAAAGTTGTTTGATACCTTGCTGGTGTATCAAAAGCTTGATGTTGACAACGCTGAAACGAGGCCCTGGCGAGTGATTGAGGATCAGGCCAACATCGACTATCCCATCTCTATAGAGGTTGAACCTTTGGCAGAAGATCGGCTCAAATATCAGATCACGTTCTTCACTGATGTGCTCCCCAGCGAGCAGAGCGAACTACTCCTTCGCCAGTTCGATGCGACAGTATGTCATTTGGCGTTCAGTCCGGACCACCTCGAAACGGAACTCTTCTTGGGTGCGCCCAACCTTTTCTCGGTTCTACCACCAAAAAAGCCCGAGCTCCCAACAGGAGTAAGGTTCTTGCACCAGTTCGTCGAGCGCCAAAGTCTTGAGACGCCGGAGGCTAGTGCTTTGCAGTTTGTGGAGTCGTTCGACGGAGACGTGCCGATTGATCAGAGGTGGACGTACAAGGAGCTCGACAAGAACGGAAATCGGGTTGCCAAGTTGTTGACTCAGCATGCAAAGGTCGGAGACATCGTCGCGGTGTACTTCGACAAGTGTCCCGAGGCATACTTTTCCATCCTCGGCATCCTCAAAGCTGGTTGCGCGTTCGTTGCCTTGGACCCTGGGGCACCGGCATCACGCAATGAGTTCATCTTGAAGGACTCGGGTGCCTCGGCACTTCTGACAGCAGATGCCAGGAAGAGGTCCCTTGGGTTTGAAGTCTCTATTCCGGTCATGGCCATCAACCAAGAGACACTCCGGCTGCTCTCCACTGAACCTGTCGTGCTCAGTCCATCTCTTGAGCCAAGCAATGCCTGCTACTGTTTGTACACTTCGGGTACTACCGGAACACCAAAGGGTTGCGAAATCACACACGACAACGCGGTTCAGTGCATGCTTGCTTTTCGGCACATCTTCGAGGGCAAATGGGAGCCCGAGTCACGCTGGTTGCAGTTTGCCTCGCTTCACTTTGACGTTTCGGTCCTTGAGCAGTACTGGAGCTGGTCAGTCGGCATCACTCTTGTTGCTGCTCCACGAGATATCATTTTGGAGGATCTGTCTGGCACCATCTCCCGCTTGGGAATCACACACATTGATCTTACACCGAGTCTGGCTCGACTGGTGCATCCGGATGATGTTCCCAGTTTGTGCAAAGGTGTCTTCATCACAGGTGGAGAATCGCTCAAGCAAGAGATTCTCGATATTTGGGGCGACAAGAGAGTCATATACAATTTCTACGGCCCCACAGAAGCAACCATTGGTGTCACGGTTTATCCTCAAGTACCCATCAACGGCAGGGCTTCCAACATTGGGAAGCAGTTCATCAACGTCGGATCATTCGTACTGAAGCCCGGAACAGATACGCCTGTTTTACGCGGCGGCGTGGGCGAACTTTGTGTGTCTGGCCGCCTCGTAGGCAAGGGCTATCTTGGGCGACAAGACCTGACTAGGGAGCGATTTCCGTTGCTGCAACCGTTTGGAGAGCGTGTGTATCGGACCGGAGATTTGGTTCGGCTTCTTCACGATGGTTGCTTTGACTTCTTGGGCAGAGCAGATGACCAGGTCAAACTTCGCGGGCAGCGGTTAGAAATTGGCGAGATTAATCACGCAATCCGAAAAGGTGTGTCTGAGATCCGGGATGTAGCTACCCTCGTGGTTCGCAACGAGACCCAGCAAAAAGACCTGTTGGTATCCTTCATCATGAACGACGAGGGGAGCAAGAAAAGCCCCGACCAAGCTTTGAGCCTCATCGAGGGAACGGAAGCTGCTGAGCTATGCCGAAGAGCTCGAGATGCGTGTCGTTCGAGGCTCCCCGGGTACATGGTTCCAACATATGTGCTCCAACTGCCATTCATCCCCCTTTCGGCCAACAATAAGGCTGAAATCAAAAAGCTTAGACAATTCTTTGCTACCATCGAACATGAAAGACTGATTTCTTGGGCGTCGGCTGCCGACAGGTCTTCTGGAGAGCTGAGCCCAACGGGCATGCAAATAGCCAGAGTCATTGCCGCCATGCAGCGGATCGACATCGCTAGTATCACTCCAGGGTCAAGTATTTTCGAGTTGGGTATTGATTCAATCTCAGTCCTCCGGCTATCGCGCGCCCTCAAGGACAGCGAGCAACTCCACGCCAGCCCTGCCACCATCCTCAGGAATCCCTTGATTGGGGACCTGTCCCAGGCTCTGAAGAGCAAGGAGAGCTCTCCTGGGACGGAATCAGTGGCATCTGCTCGGCAACTTGTACAGGCTTGTGCTCACAGATTTCGGTCTCATGTGTGTGGAGAGCTACTCGTTTCCCTTGACGATATTCAATACATCGCTCCTTGCTCGCCACTGCAACAAGGCATGCTTTCCCGGTCCGCCGACAACGCTTATTTCAACACATTTCGTTTCGATCTAGCAGCCGATGTTGAACCCGGGCTGCTTCGCAGGGCTCTGGAGAGCACCATGGTGGCATTCCCCATCTTGAGAACCAAGTTCGTTGAAACGACAGATGGCTTTATTCAGGTTGCACTCAAAAGAGTCAAACTCCCATGGGTAACCATGTCTCTGGACAACGAAAGGCAGTCACATCAAGCCTGGACGCCACAGCTGGGGTCCATAGATACACCTTCATTGGACATTTCCAACCCAACTCTAGAGATTGTCCCTACCTCGCTCGACGGCGAAATGCCTCTTCAATACATCGATAGCTCTATTTTGCCCGTGTGGGGATGCCTCCCGGACAAGGAGAGTGCGCCATTGAAACAAAGCGGGTCGGCCCTCCATTCAGATGAACTGGTCACAGAGGCAGTTGCGAGATGGAGAACGTCGTGGATCGCTCGGAACAGACAGCGCTTGATTCAACCATTCGAGGTTGCGTACCTAGACAGCCCTCGGCATCTTGTCCTTCACATTTTCCATGGCCTTTACGACGGCAACAGCTTGAAGCTCATCTTGAACCGGATAGCTTCGGAATATCAGGCCTTAGCCAATGGCTTGACCGACACTTTCACAGATTCTGCCCCGTCATTCCTGCAGGCGCTGTGCTATGGGCCGCTCCGCAACTTCACAAGCAGCAGGCAATTCTGGACCCAACATCTACAAGGTTCGACGCCTCTGTCTGAGCCCGATAAAGCCCATTCGAGCAAAAATGCCGTCAGGGTCCGGTCAGGCCTTTCGTTTAGAAAGTTGGAAGAGCTTAAGTCTATACTCCGAGTGACGCATCAGGCGATTGTGCTAGCCGTGTGGGTTGGCGTTCTTGCGAAAAGGCTCGCGATTAACCCCACAATCGGCATGATTGTTTCCGGAAGAGCCATGGATTTGGAAGCCGCTGATCGAATCGTCGGTCCCCTATTCAACACACTTCCATTTTACGCTCGAATTACAAGCACCGAGGGGGGTAGGTGGACTACTTGGTCCTCTCTGATTCAGCAATGCCACAACTTCAACACTGCTGTGCTCGAATTTCAGCACGTTGCTCTCCGAGATATTCAGAAATGGTGCTCTGGTGGCAGGCCACTGTTTGACACCTTGTTCTCGTTTCAACTTCAAGATGAAACCATGAGCGAGCACTGTTCTTCGCTGTGGAAGGAAGTGGAGGTAGACCATACTCCAGACTACCCGCTCGCACTGGATGTGACGCTGAACTCTGACGGCAATCTGAGCCTCTTGCTTGTATCGCAGGAGCATGCATTTGACCACAAAAGCTTGTCAGGCATTATGGAAGAGATAGTCGAAGTTTTGGCATCCATGCCACAGCGACTAGACGAGTCCGTCGTTGAGGGTGGCGGCGGCGGCGACCTCGCATCAGTCCGGGCCCAGCAAAACACAGGTATCGACAGCCAAACTTCGTCCTCTCAAATTGGGGCCCATGCGGTATCCAAGTTCATCTGGACGGAGGATGCATCCAAAATTCGACGCGAGATAGCAGAGCTGGCGGAGACACCTGTGGATCTTGTTACTGAGACGGTGCCGGTTTTTGAACTGGGTCTTGACAGTATCGACATGATCAAGCTGTCCGCGAGACTCAAGAGAAAGCATGGTCTGCTGCTTGGTACCAGCGACCTCATGAAGGCACAAACTATTCAGAGCATGGTCCAGTTACTTCAAGACAGAGCCGAGTCTTATGACGTACCAGAGGAGATTCAAATCTCGGAGAAGGACCAGACAATGTCAAGTCTTGTGGAAATCGTTGGGCGTGACGCACTGCCCCCAACCCCTCTGCAAGAAGCTATGGTTGCCGACATGATCGAATCAGATTTTCAGCTGTATTTCAATCACGATATCTGGAAGCTATCCCCTGGTGTAGATGTCACTCGACTCAAGTCCGCTTGGAAAGCGGTGGTTCAGCATTCGGAGATCTTACGAACAGTCTTCGTGCCCGTTGAAGCGAAACAGTTTGACTTTGCATACTGCCAAGTCACAAAGCCTGAATTCCAGGGTAATCTCATCTTTGAGGCGAACTTGACGAGTGTCGATAAGCTTGGGGGCCTCTGTGAAGCTGCCCGTCTACGAGCTGTTGGCGGTGCTGGCCAGAAAGAACTCTTACAGATTACCTTTGCCACCATCAACAAATCGGACGAAGTATTTGCCATTCTTTCCATCTCCCATGCGCTTTATGACGGCTGGTCTTTGGGACTGCTTCACCAGGATGTTCGTGCGGCCTATCAGGGGGTCTCAGGAGTATCGACGAAAATTGATCACAGCACTTTGGTTGATCAACTGTTGCTTTCAAACCAGCCAGACGCCTCGACATTTTGGTCCGGCTTTCTGGAGGGTGCCTCGTCTACTATATTCCCACTGAAGCCCTTGCCCCATCAGCAGGGTATACATCGAGTCGAGTATGCATCTGCATCCACAAGATTTAATATCACACAGTTCTGCAAGTCCATTGGTATTACCCTCCAGGTCCTTGGTCAAGCCTGCTGGGCGGCTCTACTGGCATCTCGAACGGGGTCGCTTGATGTCACATTTGGTGTAGTTCTCTCAGGCCGCGACAGCGAAGAGTTGGAAAAGGTCATGTTCCCAACCATGAACACGGTCGCGATCAGGAGTGTGCTACACGGCACAGTGTCGTCGTGGTTACGGTATATGCAGGATAACATGATCGGCATTCGTCCATTTCAGCATTTTGGGCTCCGTCAAGCACAGAAGCTTGCCAGATCCAACGGACCACTGTTCAACTCTTTGTTCATTCAGCAGCATACTCCTTTTGACTATTCGACAGCGGACGGTGATACTTTATGGACATCAATAGGTGGGGAGTCGGCTGTTGAGTATCCGATCTGCGTAGAGATGGAGATGTCTGGCCCTGGGCTCGTGTGGAGGGCAGCCTGCGATGGAACTTGCCTCTCACGCCAGGACGCCAAGGAGATTGTCAATCAACTGGATGCAGTCCTTCAGCATATCATTACCTCGGCGGAGGAGAGTGTCCTACTCTTTGCGGATCAGAAGGTTTCCATTTGTGGACTTCCACCAGCTGAACTTGACCATCAAAACCACACAAAGCCACAGGAGGATGGAATTGTGGAAAACGACAAAGTTTCCGCGTGGAGTTCAACAGAGTCAAGAATTCGAAATGTTCTCGCAGAAGTGTCGGGAATACCGACGGAGAGCATCTTGAAAAGTCACAGCATCTACCACCTTGGGCTTGATTCGGTCAGTGCAGTCAAGGCTAGTTCCGCTCTCCAAAAGCAGGGTATCAAGATTCGGTTCCGAGACTTGCTCAGAGCAAAGTCCATCTCTGAGATGGCCACTCTCCTACAAAACCACCCATCACCAGTTGCAATGAGGGGGATTGACCCTGTGGAAGAGTCTTCTGTTATTGATGGTCTTGGCGTTCCTGGCCTCCTTTCGGCCGCTGGAGTGCAGGAATCCACCGTTGAGACGGTCCTTCCGGCCACGTCGATGCAAGTACACATGCTTTCCGTCTGGCAGAACACACAAGGTGCCATTTTCTATCCTGAATTCCGATACGAGTTGGATGGAGCTGTCGATCTCAAGTCAATCATTGTGGCCTGGAACACCCTCAGGGCGGAAACCCCGATTCTGAGAACTCTCTTCCTTCCTACGAGGACTCGAGACGTTCCGGTACTGCAGGTTGTTATTGAGAATAACCACGCTGATATGACACCGCCACCATCTCCAGGGCCCAAGGCTAGAAGTTGGTTTACAAAGTTGAAAGAGAAGCTGTCGCCGGACCAGACTGCTTGGACGAGTTTCGCCCCTGAGCAACATAAGCGGCAGCCATTTGCAGGTCTTGAGGTCAAGCGACACGGCAAGAAATGGGCACTTGTGTTTCGGATTCATCATGCCATGTATGATGCAGTCAGCCTTCCCGCCATTCTCGTCAGGTTTTGTGCACATCTGTCAGGGGTAGAGAGGAAGCCTCAAGTTGCCACGACGGCATGGGAAAAGGCTCTTGGGGTGGAGTACTCTCCCAAAAGCAAGACAGTCAAGATGCAATTCTGGAAGGAATATTTGGCTGGTGCGAAAGCGTCATCGCTCACGCTTGAGCCAAAAACAGCCCAGCAGTCTCAGTCAAGCTCCCCAAGGCGTCGGAGGCTTCATGATATCCCCAACATATCTGCTACCCGGTCCAACCAGCCGGCAGAGCCACAGTCATGGACAAGTTTTGTCGAACACGAGGCAATCCAAGATGTCAAACCGCTTGTACAGCTTTGCATGTCCAGAGGGATCAGTCTCCAATCACTCTTTTTGGCCTCTTATGCAAAGTTCCTTTCGTCAAAAGTTGAGAAGAAAGACGTGGTGTTCGGGATCTACCTTGCCAATCAGTCGGAAGAAGATGAGCTTTTGGATCCGCCGTATCCAACGCTTCGATTGGTCCCGCTGAGAGTTAACTTTGCAAACGACGATGCCGATCTGTTTGATATTGCAAGCAGAATACAAGATGATATCCATGCCGTATCCTCAGGTGCCAATGCCACTGTTGGGCTGTGGGAGGTCGAGGACTGGACGGGGGTCATTGTGGATTCATTTGTTAATTTTATTTCCAACCCTTCTGATGGAAATGCCGTGTCGTCGCCCAAAGGAAAAGTCAAGTTGATTGCGAGTCCATTGGTAGGACAAAGGACGGTCAAAAGACGTGGTGGAGATGGGATGGAAGATATAGGTGCGAATCCAGCGAGAGGATCATATCCGGTAAGTCCTTTTTCTGTGTTCGAGTTCATCACACGGCAACTGATTCGCGAACAGGCTGCGATCGATGTCGAGGTTTCTGTCACAGGAGAGATGATGATGATCGGTGTCTTTGGACCAGGAGAAAAGGTTGGGCCAAAGGGGGCCAGTACTGCGGTGGATGAGATTGTTGAGATATTAAAGGGCTTGGTCCGGAACTGAGGAGGGATTGCTGTGTGATATTTCTACATTTGGTTCGAAGGTGTTGCTACCAATGAGATCTGAAAATGAAGTTGTCGGACGGTTATTGTATCCGTAATGGCCATCCTTTGACGTTTTGTTTGTCTGTATTTATCAAGGTACCACTGCGTGCGAAAGGCTTAGGGTTAAGCCAGGAGATAAAGCCCCACACCAGCCCCTGAGTAAGCCCCTGAGTCTGCCCCACATTTCTCGTCAGGCGCTGCCAAGAGCCAGGGCAGCAACTTATGCAACCCCTCAGTCGCACTGCGGTCAGTGAAGAATCTATATGTTTGATGACTGCTCGTGCAGTTCTTGAAAATTCCACTGCGGCCTCCTTTCTATACCTGTTTTCACCCCTATCCGTCACCATGGCAACGTCCCAATGCCCCGGCGGAATATGTGATGGATTCGTCGATCTATTACACTCTCCAGAGTCGTGGAGTGTGAGCCATCCTGGGTGGCAACATGACGCTGCCTGGGATGACATGGTCACTGCTGCAGAGTCAGGATGCAGGACTTGTCGAGTGTTTTTGAAGGCAGCAAGTTGCTTTCCTCCGCAACCTTTTTATGTCTCTTTTTTGTGCCAGCCAGCCAAGGTTTGGGGTGAAAATGGCCAATGCACATTCACTGGTGCATTCCATTTGAGCATCGTCTACCAAAACATCATCAAGCTATTCAAGCCGGATGATGGCAGCTTTTGTGACTGGCCACTGCCGCCATTACCCCAGAACAAACGGGATCTTAGCCTTGATGGAAAAGTTACCATTGCCACATCCTGGTTGACAGCATGTCGTGACAATCACTCTGACTGCAACTCCTATTCAGAAGGGGTCGATGAAGATACGACAAAGTTGCCAAAAAGGGTTCTTGACGTTTCACCGCCGGATGGACATGGACAGTTGCGTCTATATGAGACGCCAGAGGGGGCAAAAGGGAGGTACATTGCCCTGAGCCATCGTTGGGGACAGACACAGCCTCTCACCACTACCAAGGGAACGATCGGCAATTGGAAGCAGACGATCCCGTGGAAGCACGTTCCTCAAGCCTTTCGAGACGCCATCACTGTCACCCGTGAGCTTGAAACTCGATACCTCTGGATTGATAGCCTCTGTATCATCCAGGATGACCACGATGACTGGTCAAAACAAGCACCAGAAATGTGTTCCATCTACAGCAACGCTCTTCTCACCATATCTGCCACGCGCTGCGATGAGGGGTGCACGGACACCCTATTTCCTGACTTTCAGCATAGCGTCACGGTAGACGGAGATCCAAGCATCACTGTGGCAGTCCGTGCCGAGGGCCCTCATGTCTCTTCGTCGACTCATTATCCCCTACTTCAACGCGCCTGGGTCTTCCAGGAACGGCTTCTCTCGAGGCGGATCCTCCACTTTGGATACGACGAGCTCAACTGGGAGTGCATGGAGAAGGCGTGGTGTGAGTGTGACCCAAACACTATCTACGCCACCCTGCCGCATTTGAAGTCTTCCCGGAGTCGCAATCCCACCTCTGCACTGGCCCCAAATTTTCCAACCTCAGCCCATCACGACATGTGGCGAAGGATGATATACTGGTACACTCAGCAACAACTGACGTTTTCCACCGACCGTGGCCCAGCTATACTAGGCCTGGCAAAGGAGCACATGACACTCACGCGTCCCAAAAATTCCGTTTACCTCTCTGGACTTTGGTCGGATTCTCTTGTGGGGGACTTGGCCTGGGAAGTAACAGCGGTAGTGGTGGCCGGTCCAGTCAGACCAGGCACTACTGCAGAACCGCGACTCCCAGGGCCGACATGGTCTTGGACAACCGTCGCAGACGCGATCTGCATGTGGCCACTTCACTGGGTGGATAGTGCAACAACTGAAGTTCTAGACATTATCCCACCACCTGCGTTTGCAGTCCCCTCCACGATGACTTCAGCGGCACTTGATCTAGAATCGACGCGACATTGTATCACCCTCAAAGGGAAAGCACTCAAGGGCATATCAACCAAGAGCAAAGACCCTGCCGTGGCACGCGACAGAAAGAAGTTTTACAACGCTTGGTTCGAGGCTAGCTTTGGAGCCGCGTCTGGAACGTTCAATTTTGCCTCGGACTACCCTCCCCCTTCTGAAAGCGGGGACAGCATTGTCATTTCCGATGGGGAAATGGTGTGGTGGCTGCATCTTGGGAGGAATCCTGTCGAGGGGAGTAATCCGTCGAACAGACCGCTGGAGGAGATTGGGCTTGTGCTGCGTTGTGTTGACAAGACGTTGGGTTTGTATGAGAGAATTGGACTAGCGGGCTCTAGACAGGGGCAGTGGGATGATCAAGGGGAGGAGATCGTTGCAAATTTGGTGTAAGGAGGTACATAAGGAATGTCTGCACTGACCGGTCGACTGTTCACCGCTACCTTATGCATTTGAGGACACGCGGTCTTCTATAAACGCGGTCCAGAATGTCGCATGCGTAACAAGCCCATGGTGCATCGAGTAGTCTCAGAGCTCAGACCAGCTTGCTGTTGGATGTGCTCTTTGCTCTACAGGCCCACACCCCCCTGAGCCGGCCAATCAGAACCCACTAAATCCAATAGCGTTAGCAAGTCTAAGTCCATTTTACAATTTTTCACTGAGCGTGACCCAGGAATATCAGGCTTTTTACCACTACTGAGCCTACTTAGATATAATTAATATTTGTGACGAACCCCTGTACAGAACCTCTGAAAGGGATACGGGTTGAAGGTAACTTCTGACAATTGGTTCGGTGCAGCTAAACAGTGCACAACAAGATGTCTCGATGTAAACACAAGATGCCGTGAATACAAGCTTGAATTGCATACTGCGGAACTGTCTATCTACACCAGCCAGTTCCTCCGTATATATAGACCTCGTGCCAAGCCCTGATCATAGTGATCATTCCGCTCGTTCCCAATGATCACAATGATCGCTATGATCCTCCGTGGCTCCCTATTGGTTGTGTTGCCGCGATCACTGTGTCTTCCCAGTCTGCTGTCCATGATCGCGTATCCTTGTCCTGATTGGTCCTGCTAGCGATTGGCTGTGCGTCTTGTGCCCCGCACACGGTCCGTCCTGCCTGTTTGGCTTAACTGTGACAGAGCCTTGTGGAATATAGGGCCTCAGAAGCAATACAATAGCTTAGAACAATAGTGCTCACTAAAGTCCAGAGATTACGGCAACCGGAGTAGAACTCAGCTCCGTTGAGGCAATCCGAAGTCCCAGCAGGCCAGGCACTAAGGCTAGCACCCTATAAATGTAAAACGATAGTGCAACGTAGCCTATAACCTTATCTTAAACCACGCACCTTGCGGACGTTCGGACTCGAGGTTAGAGAGAGTTTCGGGAAGCGATCTTGTCACAGTTAAGCCAACAGGCAGGTTGAGCAGTATGTGGAGCACGAGGGCGCCCAGCTAATCGTTAAGGGAACCAATAGGAAGTGGAGCGCCTGGGAGCGCCGGGAGCGTGGTGATCCAAGTGATCCTAAGGTGACGGGAGTGATCCAGGATCACTCTTGGCACCACGATCCACGGTGATCCAACGCTGGGAGAAGTGATCCAGAATCACGCTTGGCATGGTGATTCAGGTGATCCACTGGTCTATATGTACGGGGGAACTGGCTGGTATAGATAGACAGTTCCGCAGTATGCAATTCAAGTAACAGTTGTTGGTATCTAGACTATTGTGATTGAGACAAGCCATTTGTTGTACACTGTTTAGCTGTACCGAACCAGGATTGTTCAGAAGTGCCTTCGACTAGTATCCCTTTCAGAGGTTCTGGATGGGGGTTCGTCACAGATCGATAAACCGAAGGCTTGTATAAAACCTTTACCTTAGACGCTATTCACTATGATATTTCTTAGTCTAAGTTTCATTAATATACAGGTTTACTATATATTTTCTGTGCTTTACAAGCCTACACAATAGTGAATACCTTCTATGTATGGTAGGGCGCCGTCTCTGCAATCTATCTTCCTTTAGTGCCTCCGCTCCTGTCGAATACTGCAGTTAAAGTCTTCTTCGCTCTCAGTATACTGCGCCGATAGCTGTTCAAGCCTATATTTAACAGGCATTAACAGCACTCTTTCAGCAAACTCTTTTAGATATATATATATATTTATTAACAAATAGCCCGTATTCTAATTGGCCGTATCCTAATAGCCTTAAATTACTAATAAATCGTTTCATATACTCTATAGCTGATACCATCCCTTTAATAACCGCGAAATACTTAATTACCTGCCTTACTTTTAACCACCAACTCTCGACGTACTGTTGGGCCGTAATATGGCCGATTATTTGATAACGTGTGACAAAGGCACCCATCCAGTTAGACAAAATACTCTTCGCTGCACCGCAGATTAGTTTGAAGGGAATGTAATAGATAAGAAAGAGACGCGGCATGCGAATCTAATAAAGTAAGGTAGTATTTCTATGTACCTGGATCTAGGCAAGATGGTTGTTATGTGGTGGTATTCCATGCAAACTATGTGTCGTATCATAAGGTATGGTATCGGCTTGTAATGTCAAGCCTTGACTCAAAAAAAAAAAGATTTCCCACCGACGGATGCGTAGGCAGGCAGGCGGTTTAACTGATGCAAATAAAGCAAAAGAAAACGGGTAAAAGAGACGGAAAGAAAATCGTTCAGCTCAGGCCATCACGGAGACAACCGAGTCCCGGTCCTCCTTGTCCTTCAGCTTTTTGAACAATTGCTTCAACATGTTCGGCTTCTTGATTCTGTCATCCTTCTCGTCAGCACCTTCCTCCTTGACGGGGGTGACCTTGCTGCTGATGTGCTTCGAGGATCTCGAGACACTGGAACTGTTGTCGTCTCTGTCTCTCTCTTTTTCACGATGGCTTCTGGTGCTTCGAGCACTTCGGAAGCTGGCGACACTGCCATCGTCATCCTTGTCGTTCTTCTTCTCACTTTTATGTTCTCTCTCCCTCTCCCTCTCGCGCTTGCTGCGGTGACTCCTCTCGTTACCGGCAACACTCGACCCCTCGTCCTTTTCGTTGATCCCCTCCAGCCTGGAGTGGTCCCTATCCCTCTCCTTCTCCCGGTGATCCCTCCTGCTGGTGCTGCTACGGTGGCTCCGGTCACTCACGGCAGACTCAGCCCCATCTCTGTCTTTGGAATCTCTGGTTTTCCTGGAGCCTCGGTGGCTCCTTTCGCTGCCGGCCACGCTCTCCCCGTCGTCCTTTCTTGAGCTCCTTCGCTCAGGGACATCATCAACCGAAACCTCGGTCATCCTATCCTCCCTGTTCCTCTTCGATGTGGAGTGATGTCGGCTAGATCGGGACTTGTACGTCTTGTAGGTTCGCATACTCTTTGACGGTGACCAACCGATCTGACTAACCGAGTCTGAGGGTTCGACCTCGATGTCGTACTTGTTGCTGCGGAAGTTCTCTCGGGCGTATTTTTCGGCCTCCCTGCTCATCATCTCAATCTCAGCCGCATCATCACCTGCCACCGTGGTTCCCTCGACAAAAGCGGGCTCGATACCCCTCCTCCACATTTCGATCGAGCTCAACTCCTGCACGTCATCCACGACCAACGGTTCCTGATAACTTGCCTCGCTTTGCTGTTCGGCCTGGCCCTCGAGTTCCTGTAACCTTTGTTGATGTTGCTGGGCACCCGACGCCATCGGCAGCGCCCTCATTGCAATGGGCTGCTCCTTCAAGGGCGGAGCGTTGCCGGTCATCTTCTTGACAATCTTCCACCCACCAAACATGACCACCGTAATCCCCGCTGCCACTCCCGCCCCAATCAAGAATTGCGGGCTAGCCAACAAGGCAAATACGGCTGGGGACCCTCCTTTCAAAAAAGCCAAGAAGGCTGGGCTCATCTTTCCCACGAGGGCGCTGAGCTCGGCAAGGGACAGAGCGACGGCGGCAGCAGCTTCGGGCTTTTGCTGAAGTGACTCAATCATGTTTGTGGCCGAGGCGTGCACACAGTCGGCCTCTTGCAGGAACTCCTCGATCTTGTCCATCAAGCCAAGCGCTTCGGCCTCCTGTGGGTCAATATCTACCTGCGGGTCTACTTCTGTCTCTCGGTCTGTCATGGTAATGGCGGTCGGGCCGATAGAGCGGGAGATGGGCACGTTCTTGGGGGCGAGGTCGTGGCGCTGGGCAAGATCGGGAGGAATGCTGCCGTAGGCAAGGTCCATATCGATGGACTTCTTCTTTTTGACCGTGTTTACGACAGGCTCGGTTCGGGACCGGTGAACAAGGGCGCCCGGGCCGGGGGCGGCGGACGGGGCTTTGGACGGCGCCTTGGAGGGTGCGGCGGCGGATATCTCGGAGTGGGCCTTGAGCGCGGATTCTGTCAGGGAAACAACCGTCCTCGGTGCCGCGGCAGAGACTGGACCTGCGGGGGCCGGCAGAGCCTGTTGGCGGCACGAGGTCCGCTTGGAGCGGGTGGTGAACCTCGATGATGCATGGCTTCGGCCGTCGTCGTCGTCCTCGTGTGATCTCCGCCGTCCGGGCGGCGCCCCAATCATCCGCCGTTCATATTCCTTCTCTTTCTCGTCGTCAATCTCCTCGATGATGAACCCTCCCTTTCCCGGGCCATGGGTGTAGTTGAAGTCCTCCGAGTAGGGACCGCCGCGGGTCAGATTGACATCGAAGGTCTGAGCGCGACGAATGCCGGCGCGCTGTGCTTTTTCGGCCTTGACGGCTTCTTTGCGTTCTCGGTAGGCAGCCTGGGCGTCCTTGAAGATGTTGACCAGTTGCTTGCCCTGTTGTGTAACTGACTGTCAGTAGCCGTCATGCAAAGCGATGCAATGCGACACGAGAAAATGCGATGCGCCAGGTGGGATGTGCCCCTCTCCAGCTGCCGGCCAGGTGCTCAGGGGAAGAAACAAAAGAGCAAAGACATACCGTGCTGATCACCTTGCCCGAGTTGTTGATGATGGTGACGATCTCGCCGGCAGGCATTTTATCTTGTTTGTGTACCTATGGGTACGTCGGTCGAGACTTTGGGGGGGTGTTGGTGAGCGAGGGTATGTACTGTCGTAAGCGCCTTGATCCAGCAAGTGCTCTACTTTGGGGGCTGGGGTGTTTTCTGTGGTCAACGCAGAGGGGCAGAGCAGAGAGTGAGTGAAAGTTTGTGGGAGGAAGAAAAAGCAGAGGAAACAAGAATGCAGAGAAGCAGATATTGGTTCGCTCGAGCCAATATCATTCGGTCCAACGCATTAGCAGGAGACGTCAAGCAGTCCTGGGAAAATGGGGGGTGGAAAATGTTTCATTCCAGCCCTCAAGCTTCCAAGTCCACCGCCAGACCACTCAGGAGAGGGCGAGCGACGGCGCCAGCAAACATTCCTGGTTGCATTGGATCGCAGTGATCTGGGGCTGGCGAGGTGATTGGACCGACAGGCCCAGTGGGAACAGCTGGCACATCGCATCGGGCAGCACTATGTCCTTGCTGAGCACTGTGATGAGAATGGGGCGGATGCTTCCGCGGGCCTTTGTGCTTGTACGAGCTTCCACCTCTTCGATTTCCTGCTGCTGCTGCTTGGTTCACCGCTGCACCTCCCGCCCCGGTCACGGCGAAGCGGGGGAATGCCCCCGCAGTCAGTCCCAGCAACTCGCAGGCGGTCTGACACCGCTCGCCATTGGATCCCTCCGCCACTTTGACCGACCGACCCGGGACCCCGCCAACTCTCGGCCCCCAGGCGCTGACGGGGGGGCTGGGTGGGTGTGGTTGGCCAGCATCAACTTCTCCTTTTTCCCTCGAGGGGGCCCCTCTTCCCCCTCCGCCTCGAGAAACTGACGATGAACTCGCTTGCTCTGACTTTCCTTACAAAGCGGGGACCAGCTGCCGACTGCTAGACCCGTTCCAAACATCCAAGGAAAGCATCGAGAGTGGGGTACGATTTTGCCAGTTCATCAGCTCCATCAAAAAGGTAACGCAACAGGGCCTTGGCAGGACCCACTTCAGGCTTTATCTCGTGTGTGCCGACATTCAGTCTTTGCCGTACCGGGTTGGCGCAGTCGCATGCTCTTGGTCCGGCCGGCGAGGATATCGATGTGAAGATGATGTTCGGGTAACGATTGGGTTGATTTGGGCCGCCAATCTCTGTTCCAATCCAAGTTCCCCGTCCTTCTGTGCAGTTATGCCGCCAGCGCAGCAGTCGGTAGTGGCGAACCAGCTCCGCCTTTGCTGTGCTTGGGGGATGTTTGGATGGTCAGCCAATGCAGGTCATGACGACCTCTGCAGAAGAATGGGCGACTGCGTGGAGCCTGCCAGCCCTCTGTCGTGGATCGCTGTGCTAGCCAAAACGCACATCCACGCACCCACACGCCTAGGAAGCAAAACAAATCGCGAATCGTCATATTTCCAGAAGTGATAAAAGACACGCTCGCTTGCTCGCTCGCTGATTCTATATACAAGCCAAAAAACAAGAACAAGAAATAAGGGTATTCTACTGCAAGAACCAAGTCGTAAGTGTCGTCATGAGTCCATTTTATAGCCCCAGATACCATGCTCCGAAAATGCCCGTGTAAGCGCCAAAATAACTATGACGTTAGTTTTGAGGAAAAAAAGAGCGAGAGAGATCATGTAGTAAAACGTAAAAACTGCACTGTTACATGCCAACTAGGCGATGTACACAGGCAACCGGTTTCCCAGCAGCTCGCTCTTGGGGATCTGCACATCCTTCTTGTTGAAGTCATGCAGCAGCAGCCAACAGAGCATACGAAGCACGAGGGTACACCAGATATCTGTGGCATCTGTGTCCAGGCTTGTCGTCTTGTCCACCGTGGGAGGAGTGGGTGTCGAGACTCGCAACAGTGGCACTGATTGGGTGCTTCGATGCTTTTCCAATGCGGGCGGGGGCGGGCCTGGGGACGGGACTGGCGGCGCAAGAGCCGGCGAGAGTGGCCTGTTGGGCGTTGAGACAACGGTAGGGGTGACTGGCTCGGAAAAGGACTTCATGTCTGGCAATGTCTCGAGCGAACCGGAGCGTGAACGGATCGAGGGTGCGTATCCAGTGGTTTGCTGTCGCTTATACGACGTGACAGCGCGGTATCTAACTTCGGGGAGCACGCTGTAAAAGTACAGTTCCATGAAAGCCTCCTGGCGGACCTCGGGACTTGCTGCGCTGAGTTCCGAGAAGCGTTCTGCCCGCTGGCGCTCTTCCCCGGTGGCGTGCTTGCCGTCGTCCTTGGTGTTGGCCCCGGGCTTGTCTTGTGGGTCGTTGATCATCTTGAGAATCCTTTGGAAGTGCTCCCGGACCACCATACGCACCAGATCCATGTCGGCTACTTCCTTGAGATAAACGTCACACCTGTCAAGCACCCCGTGTAGGTTGTTGAGCAGCGGTAGCGAGTAGCCTGGAGTTGCCGACTTCTTGTCGAGGTTCAAGTCGAAAACCAGCTCAGCGACATCCGCCTTGAGGTCTTGAATTCGCGGAGTCGGTGCGATTTCCGAGTCTGTATCGTCAATCTTCTTCTTGTACTCCTTGATCAACCTGCGGAGGTTGAAGAAGTTCTTGTCCCAATGATACGGCGTCGGGTTCGGCAGCATGCGGTAGGCGCTGTTGCGGATATGCAGTGTTTTGCCAAGCATACCAAGCAACTCAAATGGCACTGCATTGTGTTAGCAGGAGGAAGCCTCGTCTTCTGGACGGCAGACGTGACTTACCGGGAAAGAGATGGCTGTGCCGGGCAGTGGTGTTCTTGGATCGGAAATAGTTGGCCGTGTTGGTATTGCAGTCAATAAGCACCATGGTCTCTGCAATCTCGTTCATGCTCCCAAACTGCAAGACGCTCAGGTCTTTGGCATCCTCATTTGGAAACTCGACCCTGCGCTTGTCCTTGTCGCTCTTCTGGAAGAGGGTGGGCACGAAGCCGCAGCACAAGTCTTTCACCTCATCGACCGGGATCACACGGTTCTCTTTAAACCGGCTCTTGCCACAGATCTGAAAGGTGAAGACGAGGCCAAGGTCGTTGACGTTGGTTCCCGTAAGCATGTATCCGTTTCCTTCGGCGCGGTACCTGTCACGTGATCGGTCAAACTCTTGCCAGTAGATGCCCATGATGGCGGCAAGCTCGAGCAAATGGCAAATGGCTGTCGTGGCATACGGCTTCTTGATGTCGGTCGGCATGTTGTCCCAGCTGCGCTTCTTGACCTGCATGGCGATGGCAAGGGTGTGATCTCTAAATCCGATGTGGGATCTGGGGTTCAGAGGCGGGTTCTGGCCGTAAAAGTCCTTCTGCCATTCTTGACTCTCCCGCTCCATGGACTGAAGCTGGGAAAGCAAGTTCACCCAGGTCGCTCTTTCGTTGTCTGCCGTGTGCACCTTGCTCGACGCAAGCCTCTCCTCCCGCGACTTCTCATCCTTGGGTAGCAAGGCGCGTGTATCCTTCAAGCTCTGGTCAGAGCCGTCGACAAAGTAGATGGGCTTCGCCGGGATGGGACCTTTGGTGTTGGTCGGCGGGCAGATGAAGATAACAGGCGTCTCAAACTGAACCTCGAATCGCAGCTCGGTCGCTCGGAACGCTCGCTTTTTGCTTTTGTGCCATTCGCCCATGACGCTCTCGCCGCAGTTGGAGTAGCCAGCGGCCGAGGCGATGTACTGTTGAAGCACCTGTGCAAAGGTGCCAATCAGGGCAACAATCGCAAATATGAGGGCCGTCATGTTGACCTTCATCTCTTGGTCGTCGTCGACCTTGACAAAAACGGTGCTGTTGGGGAAGTCATTGTTGGGATCCATGTTGGCGGTCTCGTGGCGATGAGGCCCGGGGGGTTCGGGGAGGAAAGGGATCTCGTCAGCAGCACGTGCCCCGTGATGAGAAGCAATCGTCGGGGGCCGGGTTCGACTTGTGGAGAGGGAGGTGTCAAGACATGGCAGGGTGGATTTCGAAGAAGAAGTTGATGGCGTGGACTGAAAAATAGTTGTGCAGAGAACGAATTGAGGCGCCGACCTGCTGTCCGCGATGGGACAGGCCTCGATGCAATGGGCCGCCCCGGTTCAGAGCAAGGCAGCCAATGGGAGCGGTCGTGGCTGGGAGAATGGGCTAGTGCGACGATGGACACGCCAAGCTGTCAACGCTGCGCCGCTCCCAGAGAGCCTGACGACACAGCCGCCAGTCGCTGTGCTTCGAACTGTGGCTTCTTGATGCAAAGCTGTTTGAAGCCCGCATGCATTCGCGAGCTGCTGCGGCTTCCATTGGCGAGCTGGTGGCCGTGCCGCGTCTCTCCACTGCTGTCGTGTCGCGTGCGCAATGGCGGTGCAAAGGGAAAGAAGATATTCGATGCTCCCGCTACTGTCGGTGGCTGTTCTGAGAAGATATCTTCCCAAGTTTGCTCTGCCGGGTGGTGGTCGGGGTGACCCTCCGCTTTTTGTCCCACGGGCAAGCTGTCTGTTGGCCAGAAGGAAATAGCGGAAAATAGGTAGTGTACTCCGCAAAACACAAGAGCTGAGGCTTCACTAAGAGTGTCGGCATCACGGTGACGTCACCGCATCTGATTGGACCATCTCTTCTCTTACAGGTTCGTCCAACCTTTTTCTGCCCACGAACATCGTGATACTTCATAAGATACACCAAAAGAAAACATACAGATCTACCATCACAATGTCAGCTCTTTTCCACACTAAAGATCGCTCTGCCAAGGAATGCCATCATGTTCCTGGCCAGGAGAGAAGCACCAAGTCCACCATCCTCGAAACCGGCGCCGCCCTGACCCAAGATTTCACTCCCACCAAGAACATCTGCGCCCACCTCAACGCCTTCCACGTCTATGCCTCTGACCCAACACGGGTAGTAGAGGCAAACCACTACTGCGGTCACCTAACAGAGGATGTTCGCCAGTGCCTGCTCTACGACTCACCCGATCCAGGCGCCCGTCTCATTGGAGTCGAGTACATGATCAAGCCTCATTTATACGAAACCCTACCGCAGGAGGAGCGCCGACTTTGGCACTCGCACGTCTTTGAAGTCAAGTCCGGCATGCTTGTCATGCCACAGCCCAACTCCGCCGTTCCTACAGCCGCCTGGGAAAAGGCTGAGACCGAAGAGATGAAGGAAGTAATCGAGCTTTATGGCAAGGTCTATCATCTTTGGCAGGTTGACAGAGGGGACAGGTTGCCCATGGGGGCACCGCAGCTGATGACAAGTATTACCTCTTTCGACCAGGTGCCCGATTTGGAGAAGAAGATGGATGAGAGAGATCAAAAGTTTGTTGGCCAGGCCGTGGACTGGAGACGGAAGAGAGAAATCAGGAAGGACCTTGTGGAACCAACTGTTCATCCGGACGCAGATTATCAAGTAAAGAGGAAGGAATAACAGTGACAGCCAGGAAGGCTGCGGAGGTTTACAACTACTTAAAAACAAATCTGCACTTCTACTTGCTCAATACTTTGTCCTTGAAGCAAACCTCATCTCGGTATTTTCAATGTCAAAAACGGCGACCACGCTTGACAAGAATGACACGCCCAAGACATAGGGGCCCCCATTCACGTCCGTGACCCCAATTCGACAATATTCCCCAGATGGATCACGAGCCGTCTGACGCAGCAGGTCCTCAGGCGCAAAGTAGAAAGTGTTTTCGCCAATGTTGACACCGAATTTGGGGATGGTGGCATTGCACAGGGCAAAGAACAGGCCGTTGGTGCTCAGGTATTTGGCGGGAGGATCGAACGCCGCGTACAGCTTCTGAACCAGACCTATAAACTTGTCAGTTAGCTTGTCTTGCTTTTACAATATGCAGACTCACCCTTAGGAAGCAAGCTGAGTGTAGCCCCCACGTCAATCAGAACGGGAAACTGGGTAGTGTTTGTCGTCAGCCCATGTGTCGTGACAGCGCCCTGATCTGCCTCAGCCGGCGTGACATCCTCCGTTTCGCGTCCGTACACCCACGAGTCGGGCTTAATAATGTATAAACCCAGGTCTGATTGCTCAAACATCCACTCGGGGATAGCGTCAACACCGTGAATCTTTGTCCTCGCCCAGCTCTCCTCATCCACCTCCACGGGTGGCAGACCACCTAGTGCCAAGTAGGACCCTTCTGGCGTCCTGACCTCCCCATCCGGCCTCGCCCTGGTTCCCACTCTCCCTGGAGAGCGCAATGCTGAACAGAGGATCAATCAGCTTGTTCTTCCACATGGTCGTGAAAACGGGGTCATATGGTGCCTGGTTTTGCTCTGCCCCGTCCAGGCTCGTCATGAAGGGATACCCCAGCCCCAAAAGACCCGAGGTAAGGCCATCGCCCGCCCAAAACGTGTAATTGACGACTCCAACGCGTTGGTTTTTGGCTGTGATTGATCCAACAGTGACATCTTCGAACCCGTAATAGCCCGACACAAACGTGGTATCCATGTAGGATCGGACAAATGGTGGGTTGTCCAGGACTCCGCCCGACAGGTTGCCCGTAAAGCCGTCTGCTAGTCCACAGTTTGGTTTCTGCAAGTAAATAACAAAGATTAGCTGTACGGCCAATACCTACAAGCCACTACTTGGCAAACTAGGGAGTATACATACATATTCTGGACCCTGCCACCAGAACCTGACGCACTCAAAATAGTCCGACACAAACCATGTGTCGCTTGATCCTGTGTCAACACTGACAGCGAGAGTCTGGTTCCCAACAACGATATCGACGATGTAATAGACATCGTGCACGTTGGTCAAGTTGGCCGGGTGGTTCACGTCTGCTGTCCTGCGGTAGACGGGTTTCACGACACTGGAGCGGTGTTCGGAAGAAGGCACAATGTGCTTGCGCATGGGGATGACATTGGACGTGACAGTATCTGGTACAAGTCCATGTCGAGTAGCGTGGAGCAGCCGGCCGGCCGAGTGCGCGACGCCCACTGCGAGGAATGCGAGAAGAGAGGATTTCATGGCGTCGAAGTTGCAATGCTGGGAAACTTGCACAAGGCCTCCAAAGAACCACCGTCTGAAAGGTTGGTTTCTGGCCACGGTGCTAGCAGCATAATGTACATTTCGGAGTTCGTACAATCTAGCCCGGCTTGAGGGGGCCAGATTCTCGCGGGACAGAAAGTGTGCCGAGCATGATGGGCAAACTCGAGAGTGGGCAGATGGGAATTCCTCCACAATAGCAGATCCCATTTGCCGTTATTGAGGATATTTGGGACTGATAGTGCTTTTATACGAGGCTCACGCCCTGCTGACCCTGCATGCTGTATGGCTTAGGTGCCGGGGCATGGGGTCATTGGGCGCCGGGTCCGACGTTCAGCCTAAAGGATGAGCATCGGGATTTGCAAGCCACCACGTTTCCTGGCAATTTGCATTTCTTGGGCCAATAACATGCTGGAGTCATAGTGGCCTTGCAGTAGATTGGGCATGTTGTAGATTGCGATAACTTTGGCATGGCCCCAAGCCTTTTGGGGTGTTTGCTTACATCAAGTCAAGTACCCCTGAACCCCTGAACCCCTGAACCCCAGACTGGCAATTCCAAAACATGAGGTGGGTAACGCCATCAGCATCGCGCTATTTTCCCTATGGCATGATTCCCAATTCAAGGTTCTCGGATGATCTCCGGCTACCGATTGAAGTGCCCTTCATATTGACGAGTGATCTCTGTGAGTGAAGCTCGGAATGCATCCCTTGAGCTTTCCGTTCGCTATCATGGTCAGCCGTGCCTGTCTTGGTAGTCGATGAGCGGGATGCGACTGAAGTAAAAGATCGCGACATCTTGGATAGCAAGGGCGTGAGAGATGGGAGCTTGTCCCAGATCCAAGCGCTTCGGGGTACGCAGGAGACAATGAATCCGACGCCAATTTCCATGTATGTCCAAAACAGTACAATTGATACGACCCCTTTTTGCACAAAATCAGATCAGGTAGTCTCCCAGATGTTTAGAAGGTAGGGAGGGACTCACCTTCTTGATCAGTCACCGGCAAATCGTCAGCAAGGATTCTGATGGTGGGATTCCTGACATCTTGCATGTAGATCTGAATCCAGGGAATCATCCGCAAGAGTCCAGCAATCACGGCACTAGAATTTGGTTAGGATTGACTGAGTAAATGTTGGTGGGTAGGGGGTCACGTACAAGCCACTGAAAAGAAAAACAATCGACGCCTGCACTTTCCGCTTTAGACTCATGTTCAGCGTCCGGATCTGGACCTTGTCAGTCTCCGCGTCAACATGGGTTGGAAAGGTTGGGACAAAGCCGTACCATGATCAACGGCTCGATAAAGATAGCCAGGTCCAGAACCCAGCTAAAGACGGAACAACCGGTTAGCATGCCGAAGGTGTCCATGCACTTGGTTCTCAAAGACTCGAAGCTTTCCCATCCGGACTCTGGCCTTAGCCCGCAGGCAAATATCTCGAGAAAGAGAAACAAGATTGTCCAGAGTATCACAAGGACAATGAGTGTCCAGTTTGAGTAGTCGAATGCTGTTCGTTCGGCCCGGCCTGTGCAAGTTTGCGTTAGTCAACGATCTTGGGTCCGGCATGAAAGTTCGTCTCGGTAGGTACCCTTAAACAAACCCCGGAAGAAGAAGAGCAGGGTAAGTTTGATGAAGCCGATGGCGAGGATATGGCCCATCCAGAAGGCGTACTCGAACTTGAACCTAGTCAGCCTTTCCGCGCGGTGATGCTATGGTCGAGCTGTAGCGAACCGACCTTTCCAAGCTTGACGTTATCTTCAGGCCCCCATGAACCGTCAAGGGAATGGCCACCGATGATGTGCATTTGTGCCCCTATCGCCATCGCAACGCCAGATGTAACCGTGAGAAACTATGGGAGCTGTCGTTTAGCTTATCGCAAGTCTATAGAAGTCTCCAAGGGGTCACAACATACCGCCGCCGGTACAATCAGGACATCATCGATACCGATATCACGTCGAGAGTAATGCCGAAAAAGCCCATAGGTACGAATACCTAGCAATATTATCGCTAACGTGGGGAAAAGAACCCCAATCGCAGTTGTACTCTGCTCGGTGACATAGGTGGCCATAGCTAGGAAAGTGGTAAGATGGTATAACAACTACCAGAGTTGAAGGAAAGCATGAAAGGCAAGAGGAACTGATGAAAATCATGGAGAAGACAAAAAGCGATTCTCGGGGGCGGCAGGTAGCTAAGGTACTGCCTGCTCAGACAGCACTGACAATGACCAGCGAGCTGGCTCTCACTCAACACATTTCTACGCCGTACCCGTACAGCCCTATGGCGAAAGTTGCAGATCCATTCCCTTTGGGGAAGTCGACCCGCTTATCAATATCATGCCTCGCTCTCCCCCAGCAGCGCATAATCGCGAGGACCATGAACAACCGTCCAAGGGAATCGTGTAACACAGTATGCCAGTAAACTCGGAAATATGACCCAACGAGCCGACCCTAAAGAAGAGGAACGGGCCGGTTGGGTGTGGCTCCAGAATCCTTTCAATATGCCGCCGCAGGTTCATGGACTAGGATTTATGCGAAAGAGCCGTGAAAGGAGCCGTGGCACCTTACTGTTTAGGTAAGAATCTCGTCAAGGCGTCTCTTGTGTCACGTCCATCGGACAATATCATGAATTGGAAGGATTCCTGTCGTCGCAGGTTCAGCAAACTCGGTCCCGTGTCTGCGCCGCTTGACTGCGGACGGGTGCTCATCCGACTGGCAAACGCAGGTAAAACCGGTATTTGATATGAGGGTAGCATTCTACGCTTCCTGGTGAAAGAGCTGGGTACGAATTGCCGGATGGCGTGAATTGAAGCCTAAACCCCTCAAAATAACAGACAGATATGCAGCTACGTACCAAGTTCAAGGGGCCCTAAACCCCCTCCGTGCTCAGAGGGGCTTACTAGACTCTCAAGAAACCGATCCCTGTCACTCCCATATATTGTCCTGTCTTCCGCCCACTCTTGCAGTTTGTCCCAGTCGGTGCATTTTCTTGGTCCTGTCCTATTCCCTTTTATCATCAACTTACCATGCGAGTCCCTTTGCCACAAATACGTGTTTATTGTGGTATCGGCGTTGCACATGATTCCCTTACGCAATACTTCGAGGCAATGATCTTGAAACAGGAGTCGACGAAGTTAGTATGATAAGTGTATGTTTCCGGCCAGCTTGAAACGGAAACCTACCCCAATGATGGGTCGAAAAGGCATCTTCTGCCTGGAGCTTGGGGTAGTGTTCGGGATATTGGGCTTGGTGCATTCGTTTCTAAGACTTTCAGCATGATGATACCTAAAACAACGGCACATGAATCCGAGGAAAGCGACTTACCACGCAATGTAGCATGTGAATTGCCTCAAGGTATCCAACATATCCAGATCCATCTTTGAGCGTCACAGAGGTTTTGTTCATCTTTCTCATTTCGTCCGCCGATAATCGAATCATCGAGGCTTGACACACACATCAGTGGAAGCAATCAAGGTGGGGACGTCCAACGTACAGCGTAGCAACTTTGACCAGGCTTCATCCAGCTCGAGGCGAGGCACTCCTGAAAATGGGCTTGGGCCCTCTTCATACTTGTCTTGGGAGACCTTATACCGTATTGCTGAGTGTGCAGGGGCTTCCAAATTTCCCATCAGGTTAGCTCTCTGAAGGGCTCTTCTCGCGGATGGGTAGATAAGGTAGCAACTCACAATAAGGGCTGTGATAAACGTTCTGATTCAACGCACCACAGGATGTGCAGTCTGTATTGGATGCCTTGGTAGTCATGAACAGGGTGATATTGAGCAGAAAAAACAAAATTTGGAAAATGAATATGATGAGATGGGTTTTGGGATGTTGTTTTGGCCGTGATGCATATTTCAGGTCGTCTTCCGAATCAAAGCCTTTGGCAATAAATAGATCTTGCTCATCTTGTGAAGCCATCTTCAGGTGGTCGACTGGTTGTAAGTAGGTTGATAATGTGTGTCGGAAACAGCTCGAGTACCTACCTTAGTCAACGAGACAAGAAAAGTTTATTTATCTGCATAATGGGGCCGCCTTTCCAATCGCATCTGAGCAAGTCACCCATCACCAACACGTCCTGATGTAACCAGCAACAGATGAGCGATCTGCAACATCTTACTCCTTCCCCTTTCCGGCCCTCGCCGAGCGGTCCCTTCCCGCCCTGACTCCCGTGGTGTGATTGGCTTTCTCGCTATCTAAACCAGGCAACCAACATCGATCCTTAACGCCGTGGTCGGGCACAGTCCAAGTGTTTTGCATGACCACTATATCAGTACATGTCACAGCCCCCAATTCGCGGTTCATCCGGCAGACAGAACTGAGACGCGTCATCTGGTCATCAAACAATGGCTGCGGAAGTGCTGTCTTCAAACCCCTGAGCTACCTGGGACACTAGCAACACCCAAAAGTTTGACAATTTGCAGGTAAAAAGAATAGTCTGCAGATAGATTTGTTTTGTATGTGATTCCCCAGATCTAAGTCTATTCTGTCCAAGGCCGTACCAGCATATCTGTGTTGGCCGATCTTTCTTGCATCCAATTATGAAGTTTCTCCCAGTTCACACACTTTTGCACTGGCGGATCATGATGTGTTGGGATGTCTTTTCGCTCTCCCCAGTACACTGTGTACAGCGAGTAATCTAGATGGCACATGATGCCTTGACGGATGAAATCAAGACAATGATCTATCGCAATAAGTCACTACTCGCCTCCATTCATGTAGGTAGGAAAGAAAGTACAGCAACATACCCGCATGCGTTTGAAGGTCTTCAAACCTTTGACTACCTGTATCCAGGTCTGGGTAAAGGTGTTCTCGATATAGGAACTGTTTTATCTTCTTGACACAGTGGAGGTTGTGTGCCACACCCAAGCCAGCAGCATAGCCGCCATCTCTAAGTGGAATTGAGTCCGTCCCGGCCAACTGGAGTTCCTCATGTGAGATTCTGATCAAAGTCCCAGCCATGAGGTCGTGCATCGACTTGTCCCATTCCTGCGTTGGGCGCCCGATAAAGCGGGAGTCATTGCGAATAACGCCTCGATACTCGAATTCAACGATGGAGTTCGCGGGAGCTGCGAGGGGGAGAGTAACCAATCGTCAATGTCAAGTGCAAGGGGAACAATAGAAAGAGAAGCAAAACGTACAGTATGGGTCGGGTAACTGAGCTTTCTTCTGGGCGTGACCGAGGACAGAAAAGACTGTCCCGCTAAGAAGAGCAGAGATCACGAGAAGAACCACATTACTGATCGCGGATGCCAAAAGTAGAGTTCTTTGGCTAATAATCGGGTGACGTGAATACCCGGCACTCCGGATCTCTTCACTGTCGTCAGCGAGAAAAGGGCGTTGTTCGTGCTTGTCGGTGGACATTGTTTGGGTTTGATAGCTGGAGAATGGTAGAGCCTACAACTTTCACAGGTTATGAGAATGAGGTTGAAGGGGAGTGAAGACTGGCGAATGGAACCCGCCTGCAACATCATGACCAACCTCTGAGGAATTGTCTCATTTCTAACTGCCAAGCAGCAATCGGCCCGTTGGATCTGCTTGTCAATGGTTGACAATTTGTGTTGTTGGAACTGCCTAGGTTTCACATGTAGGATCTGTTGTGTCGGGGGCAACTTACGAGCCCTATCGTGGTGGTCCTGGTAGCCAATAGTGAGGCATCTTACCCGCCACTGTCGATGCTACCTCGATATCAAGTGAGGCACAAGTTTTCTCCTTCCCTTCGTGGTGTCTCGTTTGCTCCGATTCATGGCCATATTCGTTACATCCTGTGCGCTGTGCCGCGCCGATGATGACAGTCCCCGAGTACCATACGGGTACTATAGGTGTGATGTATGTAATTGGGAGCCTAACGTACGTGGGAAAGCCGGGAACTGGGCAAGAAACCTACACAGGAGCAACCAGTCGGCAACTCGGCGAGTATCGCACAGCCTCCATGACTCAGGCCTCATGACTGCGTTTGAGAGGCGGCTATGCTAACTGTCCAGGTCGACCGGTATATAGACTCCACCATCCGTATTCCCGTCTTCATGTTGAGCTGCTGAAGACTCTGCAACTACCGATACTCCAGCGCATACTTACTTACATCCACGGTTTTACCTATTCGACATGAAATCATCAAATCTCCTCGCCGCGTTGCTCATCTCGGTGGCAGCAGCATCACCAATGGTTCCACGTAAGTACTTGCCCCAAAGGGAATGTCGCTTTCCTGAGGTTGCAGTTGTTGACAGAGGCATCTCTGCATCAGGCCGAGCCGTGATGCTCACTCCGCCTGTCGAAATTGATCGTCGTGATGGGACTACCGAGTTCGATCCTGACCTAGCGTTCAGAAAGGAAAAGCGCGATGGGACAACGGAGTTTGACCCAGACCTTGCCTTCAAGAAGAATCGCCGTGATGGGACTACCGAATTTGACCCGGACCTTGCCTTCAAGAGAAGCAAAAAGCGTGATGGTACTACAGAGTTTGATCCAGACTTGGCATTTTAGAATCTATGGCAGGGCTCATAGGGAGAGAAGGTACTTGTGAATGGGCACCTGCAGGTTAGGTCTTGGTTCTCAACAACCCTAGATACCTCTACTTATCACTTAAACATGGTTCGATATTACTACTTCCAACATGCCAATTTGTGACAATGGCAACAAGGCCAATGAATCGAGAGTCCGACACCCACCAGGAAATTTTGCGAGAGGATCCTCCTTGTCACCTACGTGACTGGGAAGAATGCCTGTGTGTAACCATCGAGCGTGATCTTGTCGGTCTGGTGCTTACACAGTGCCGAGCTCGAAATCATGCACGGCTTTGGTGTCTCCTCTTTCGATTCCAGCTGTTGTTTGCAGTCACTGTATCGATTGCACACCTACACAGCCACACCGCCCAAGTTGTTGGGGCATGGGTATTAAGTTCATGTTAATGTCTGCGGGGTAAAACATGGACAGCGGTTATCTTCGAGACATGCACACAGCAAGACCCGGGCATCAGAGACTGCCTCATTCACTTTAACTTGTTCACAACCCTCCCTGATCGGCTGGGTTCGACCAGCCTTTTCCCTTTGTATTTCCATATTTGCGAAGATACCTAGACAACTACCATGGAATCCCAACCTCCACGCATCCGCGTCGCCATATCGGGAGGGGGCCTAGCAGGTGCTTCACTCATCCAAGCTCTCCTCAAACATCCACAGTTGGACGCGCATATCTTTGAATCGGCCCCAATGTTCAAAGAAGCTGGGATGGCCATAGGAGTTACCCGCAACGCACTCACAGCACTCGATCTCCTCGGTTCAGCCGCCGTCAAAGCCCTCGAGAATGCTAGAGCAGTGCCCATGCGCGGGGTCCGGTTCCTCCTTGCCCAGGGGGACAAACCGGGGACTGTGTTGGATGAAGTCGACTACGACAGTTCGGGGAACAAACGTCTTACAAGTATTGTTCACCGGGCCGATTTTCTCCGCGAACTACTGAGCAGCGTTCCGCAAGACCGAATGCATCCGTCCAAAAAGCTCAGCAACATCACCACTGACGCGGATAGCGATGAGGTCACAATGCACTTTACAGATGGGACAGTTCACAAGACCGACATTTTGATAGGTGCGGACGGCATTCACAGCACAGTCCGTAAATTCATACTCGGTGAAGACGACCCAGCTTCTGCACCTCGAAACACTGGTGTTTGGACCGCCATGACTCTGCAACCGTATGCTCAAGCGCGGGCAAATATCGGGACGGAGGCGGTCGATTTGGACAGTCCATTTGAACATTCATGGATAGGCAAGGGGTCATTTGTGATGCACAACTTGCTCAGCAAAGGACAACTGGTCCAGTTCGTCATTGCCGCCAGAGATAGAACTGAAGGAAAAGCTGATGAGTGGCACCGTCTGGTGAGCTCGGAAGAAATCAAGAGTGCAGTTCAAGGATGGCCTGACCATTTGGTCAAGGCAATTGATGCCGTAAGTTGTCTCCGGTACCCCGTCTGAAATGAAGTCAATATACTGAAAAGTTGCACAGCTGCTCTGTGCCCAACCCACACAACCAGCCATGTATCTCTGGGACCATGCTCCAGCGCGCCGTTATGTCTCTGGGCCGGTTTGCATCATGGGCGATGCCGCGCATGCTACTACTCCGTGGCAGGGATCGGGAGGTGGAATGTCCCTCGAGGACAGCATGATATTGTCGTCTCTTCTTGGTGAAGTCAAGACAGCGGCTGAGGCGAAAGTCGCACTGGGGGTGTATGATCATGTTAGGCGTGCCAGGACGCAACGCATCGTCCAGTCCAGTCGCGAAACAGGAGAGATTCTGCTTGGTGGCGACGCGGTTGACGCATATTTGCGGGAGCCAGGTTCATTTCTTCATAGGTGGGAGTTTATATTGGACCTGGACGTTGAGCGGCACCGCGATGATGCCCTGCGCGAATTGCACGCAGCCTTGAACGAAGCTCATCAAACTTCATGATCGCCAAATGTGTAGGGATAGCTAAAACAGTTGACATTCCGAGTCAGTCGAGCTTGTACATGTCGGCTTGACTTTAGCCCTGCAGTTCTCTGAGACTTCTGAATGTTCATCTTCCACCGCAGCAAACCTGTCTTGTTCGTTCTGACTAGTGACTTGACCCCATGTTCAAGAGAGCTAATATTCCGTTCATCCGCACCCGAGCCTGGAAAAGTACAGAACTGGATCTTGGTGCCAAGATTATAAGCAACGTCAGAAAAGATGCAACCAGCAGAGATGCCAAAACCACCCGATGACCGCTTGTGTTGGAACATTGTTATGATAGTTGATCTATGATACAAGAGACATAAGCCTAGAGAGTTCACGACCTATCCCCAGCCATGCCAGTGGTAGAATAACAATCAGAAATCTGGTCCTTCTGATCAACAAAGTAGATACGTAATGAACCAGCTCAGGTGGGTCAGAGCTAGAAGACGCCTTGATCCTCTCCAGAGCAGGTGCAAACAAATACTTGTAATTGCACTGGAAGCCTGAAGAAGAAACACAAAAACCCAGAATATGTTGATCCGAAGCCATTTCAATATTCCCATTACCAAAGAAATGACCATGTCAGTCTCGATTTCAGCGCCGAACGATATTTGTCCTCCATCCAGATGGTCCATGACACTCTCTTTGAGCTGGTAGTCCGGCATCCTGTCAAGACTCGACGCCAGACTTTTTGAGATGCTTTTGCAATTCGCGCGACATGTGCGGCATGCACTCCCATTCCCGTGGAACTCGGTCGTACTGTGCCAGCGGCAAGTTGAACTGTGCTTTGAGCCACAAAAGGAAGATGCCCGTTGACCAAAGCAAGACAACATTGATAACTATGTACAGCTGAAGGTAGGAGAATCCCCACTGGTATTTCTATGTTTCATTAGCTCGTCTTCTCGACAGACAAACAGACAGACACATAAATATCGAACTAAAATCAGATATGGGCTGACAGATGCCATTCGCCAGAATGTAATCCAACGTAAAGGTTCTATTGCCAGATGCGAATGTCGTCTTGGATGTGTTGCGGAACGGGTAGTTCTTTGTCAACGAATCCTGCCAGTTGTGGCCACACGTCACGGAAACATTGGACTCGCCGGCTGCACATCGGCCACTGGTGGAAGGTAGAAGGCTGAGATGTCAAGGGCTGGCGCGGATAGATGCTTGTCCCAATCTCCCCATGTGGTGTTGATGTTTAGGCGACCAAAAAACCCGTACCGCCGGACATCTGGTCTCGCCAGATCAGTATCGAAGCTTGGGTGTAGTATTCACGACGAACCTACAGTTCCAGATGTGCATTTGAAGCTGCCGCTTCTCACCAGGGAGATCATGGAGGTGGTTACAACTCGGACGATAGTCCGTCCGACTTATGAGAGGTTCTCCACCTGATGAGTAAGGGTCAGTATACATGGATGTTTTGTCTTGTGGCATTAATGAACTCACCGATGTCTCCAGGGGCCCTGTAAGACAGATGATAGTCTCTGGATAAGCCTACCCGGTCCCCATCATGTATGATATACTGAACCAGCTCAAAGGTAGATTATTTGATGTAGTCCCCATTACCTATTTATATTTTGTACAAATGCTTCCGTGCTGGTTGAATAACCTGTCATCGCACTTGTAATTGTTGGGAATGCCAAAATGAAGTTGAATGTAAGGACCACAAAGGCCATGACAGCTCTGGACCTGAGCATGTTTCGTGGTCCCAGCTCAGTTATTAGCCTAGAGATGGTCGTAGACGAGGTCTCTTGTTTGATGAGATTATGTAGTATGCTGCATACTTTGTTCGTTGTTTTTGAAACATGACCGCGACGTATGCGGCGAAGACCTTCCACAAGACCCGGGCTAAAAGCGCTTGTCCAGCTCTGCCGATAACCTTGAAAGATAAACGGATCAGTATAGGTAGTCTAAGAAGGCTTCAAGGCTTCTGCATAGAGAAAATACCAGAATCCCACGCCAAATTAATTACTTTTACTTGGGCAAAAGACATCGGTTGAGCCTTAAAAGTGATATCGAAAAAGCTCGGCCGAGACCACCAAATGTAGTCGTCTGAAAAAGGACTGAAGGATCCGTCTGGTTTGCATGCTGATGCGGAGGCTGGTAGTGCACCCCACACACCCAATGCGATCGATATTGTTGATAATACAGTAAACCAGATTCCCACAGTAGTCAACAATGCGAATCGTGACCAGTCGAACTTTGTGGGGTCAACATGGTGTCGGCTTTCCTCGTCGTGTCTACTCATGATTATTCGTTGGGTTTTCTGGCGTGCATATTAGCTAGGTACTTTGAGGAGCTTGGTTCATGAAGCGACGATATTGGGCTAGGTAGCCAGAGGCGGCATGGAGGGGCTTATAGATACAAGAAGGCTTGATGCCGTGTGGTGCCTGAATAAAGCAGATAAAATACCTTGCTGATCGCACAACAACCCGGATACCTGTATGAAGCCAAATTGGGTGTGTTGCAGTAAGCCCGCTTAGCAGATTAGCGTGTGTGCGCCTGCCATTCACGGTTGTTAACCCCCACACAAGGGTGGTTAGATTCCGAGATTCCGTGCTGACTCCCGACCCCCAACTCAAGTTGTGAGCCGTGAAGTGCAACTCGGTCCGAAACGATAGGGCCTCACAGTAACTGATTTGCTTATCACTACACTGTGTTTTCGTGGCGCAGGAGGCCCTTCCAGGCAGCCTTTTGGTCCTTGTCTGAGTCGCGTCACGCCAGTATGGAGGAGACAGACAGGTAATTAGGAACAACGCTCAGCTTGCATCTGTCAATTGTGGGCATGTTATCTGCTGGACCATCCAGATGAGAGACACAGCTAAGTAAGTATATTCAATACGTTCTCTACATACCTAAAACTGGCAACCTTGAGTACCTTATCTTCCCCTGCACCTCGACCCTCAAAAACGCCAAAGACCATGCTAAAAATGCAAAGAACCCCCTCTCATGTAGGATATCTCTTCCAAACCGCCCATGACTCGAGAGTCAACCATGCTTGACTAGAGAGGTACAACAAGAGACCCATCGGCTTGCAAATATTGCTCTACACCGTAACGGCGACAAAAGAGTCTACAGAATCAATCAGTATGGCCCTTTTCAAACCAGTGTGTTTCCCGTGCAGGTTGAGTAACAGAACTTACGACCACCAGTAATTCCCGGTTGCGCTGGTTTGAAAACACCGGACATACTGTTCCATATTTTGCCTCCCTTGCGCTCCATGACTGTTCTCTGCGAGAGCAATCAGGCTATCCCCCGCTCGGTTCATGCTGTCTCCAATGTTGCGCAGCGTATCAACTAAGCTGTCGACGACCGTGTCCAAGTTTGCGCCGGTCTCATTCATTACAATTGGGACGAGGCTATGGAAGCTTGACTTGTCAACCTCCTTTTTGAATGATATTAGATCATTGACACTGGGTGTGAATAACGATTAATGTTGTGCTTTCTGTCATCTTGAATCAGTTCGGGAAGACTTACGTGACAATGTGCCTGTTGATTCCCACCCAAAGCTCCTTTAGCTCAGGGGTATCCAACATTTCTGGTGGTATGTTTCCGCCACTCATATATTCGCCCAGAGCGCTGTAGGTATGCACAGATGAGGTGCCCAGTCTGTGCGACCAATACTCTCGCCAACTCGGAAGCTCGCCAGCACGCACAAACTCCTGTTCGACTTCACAGCCATCCATGTATACCTTGAGCTCTTCATAGAATCTGATTCTCTGTAAGAGGCTTGATGCTTTCCGGAACGGCTCGGCGGCATATCTGAACAATGTGCAGTATTTGGTGGGGGGTATTGGTTCTTCGAGGGAGGATGAAAGGCCGAGATGGTACTCCATGTACTTCAGTGCTTGGTGGTGTATCCATGAAACCTTGTCGGTAATCCCGGAGGCAGGAGTCGCACTATCTTCAATAACATCGTCCCAAAGGAAGATCCACATTGAGTACCAAGTTATCATTTCAAGACGGTCCAGAGTGGCGTGAGGGTACCAGCTACGAAATAGAGATGGTTAGTGAGTTCATGATGAAAAAGCACCATCTTGCTTTCCAGAGAAGAGAAGGGGTGATCACACACATTGAAGAAAACAATGGCAAGTCAATGATTTGTGCCTTTCGTCGAACGCGCTCGTCAGAAATCCACTCGTCGATTTTCATGCCGACCTTCCTTTTGAGTTCAGCATAGTGAGGGCTCAACAGTGTCGGCCAGTTCGAAAGCACAGGCTGAAGGCTTGGGAGGCGGAGGGATTGACCATGTATTAGGGCAGCGATTCGTGCCACTGGTGTCTCTGGTGTGTGTGTCATGACTGACATAATGTTTCTAGGTACTGGTCTGAGAAGTTGTGAAATTATTTGAAGAGAACATGTAAGGGATGCGGCATCAGGTCCTCGTTTTATAGAAGGATCTGGAGACGGCCACCATCACGAAATAGACACTTCAGCTCCAATCATGGTACATGCCCTTGACCTCTGCATCCAAATGGAAATAACAAGCGGCAATTGGTCTGGGTCAACGATGTCTTTGCTCCACACACTCTGTCAGGCAGCATAAAGGAGGGGCACTGCCCCTGTTGGAGGTGAACGCGGCTACTACATCTGTCGAGAGACGCCACGGTGTCTTTATTCTACACACATATCATAGCTACGGTAGCCGGCAGGTAGGAAGGGTGTACCACTTAGCCAGAGGTCGGTGAATCTGCTCCAACAGAGTATCTATCAGACCGGATGCATTGACTCCATGTGACTAAGTACCTACCGCACTCCTCAGATATGCGGCTTCAATCGGGAATGCAGATGCGAGGAAGATCAGGCAATCATGCATTGGAGGACTCAGATAGGTATGGAAGCCACGTCGAAATACCTACAAGCCACAAAACCCCCCTTGAATGGTGTGGGTGTGTGCTCACAGGATCCGGCTTGGTGCCGCAGTCTTGCACCATAGGGCTGACGAATGAAAGCATTCGACCTCTTGCAAGACCAATCAAGCAGAGCTGTGTGGTCATGGAAGCGTCACACAAGGGGACTCCGAATGAAGTTCACGTGAACTAAATGCAGCGGTAAGCCGGCCCCCATCGTCAGAACAGCCCACACCACCATCACTACACCGCCCAACGGCGGTTGTATCACCAACAGGATGAGACCCATAATCCTTCCCACGGCACTGATCCCTGACAATGCCACGCGGGCGGCGTGGATGTCAACTAACGAATGTTTGCAGCAGATAGGCGACTCGGGAGTCTCAAAAACCGACGGTCTTTTGTTTTTGACGAATGGCTGTGTGAAAAGTAGCAAAAGGACTTCGGTGTGGTGGGATCGGAACTGGACCTACCTTCGATGTTAGGTACCAAGCAACACCGGTTTCCAAGCTGCCTTGCTTTGCTTGGCCTGTCTTACTTTCTGGTCTGTTTTTGAAAAGGCCGAGCAGAGAAACACGACTCACTGCCGCTTTATCAAGAGTTCGTACAGCTCCTACCAATCAGATTTTATCTTCTGATTCCAGGCTGGGTAGAAATGGTCCTCATACACCGTGTTACCACTCGCCTACCTGAAATGCAGTCTCGCTGGTCTACACCACACCCACCTATTCAGGTACCTATTGAACAGTCAGACCTGGCAGCCAGAACTTTTCCTTGTCAGGATTTCTCTTGCCGGACTACCCGCCTCAGCTGCGCTATGCTCGCAAGACATGCCCATATCCAGGTGACACTGAACTTCAGCCATCTTGCATTTGTCGGCACGCTTTTCCCACTGTTGGACATTCCCTTTTGTGCATATGATCCCACGGCTTCTTCACAAAAGGGCGCAGGTGGGCGATATACCTGTTTTTCAACGCAAATTACATTCTCCGTCGCATGGCAGCTGCCCGGGGCGAAGTTGACGGCAGCTACCAACTTGCCGCATGTTCCGACGATGACGCTTCCTTGCCCATCTTAGTAACTCGGGTTCTGTTTGCTTTTATGTCAACTTGGGGTGGGGTATTACTCGGTGTGATGAGTGTGCCCGACTTGCGTTGAGAACCATGTGCGTGTGACTGTCATTTTTGCCTCAACACTGCTGGTTTAGATTCCACAATTTGATCCTTCTGCAGACCTTTCCTTGTGTTGATCGATAAAGGATTGTGACAGAGGTAACGCTAACAGTCGTTATCACATCCTACAAGGGAGCATATTGGCCCGCATTGAGGCAAAAAGTTCATGATGTAGCCTCAGCAGGACATTTCTTTTCGATCTATCGGCCGCTGTCAAGCCGCAGTAACAGCAACAGCAGCCGCTGGTGCGGGTGTCGCGGACGTTCTAAGACCAGAACTCGCAGCACTCTGCAGTAGTCCAACGATGCTGTGATAGGCTGGCTTCTTGTTATAATTCCTATCCCATAGACACGCCTCTCCCTCCCCAGGATACTGTTGAGGGATCCACGAATACTTGCATCGCATCTTGTCAGCAAACTTCCTTGCGGAGAAACGATGTCACAAACCTGGTCAGTGAAATCCCATACAGTGATCCCGACGCACTTTGGCATCTCCAAGCATGCCCCTACAACTTCCATGTAATCTTTCCCTTGCTGTTCCCTCTCGGCCGCCCCGATCGGTAGCTTGGTGTGGCGAATATCAACCTCGGTGAAGGCAACTTCGTCGACAAGCTCAGAGAACCGAGCCATGGTCTCCTTCATCTCTCGCTTGGAGGGTGACATGCCCACCCGGGAGTGACCCTGCATGCCGATTCCGTGAACGGGAGCCCCCGCGGTCTTAACAGTGCGAATCATGGCGATGGTGGCATTGATCTTGGCGTTGCAGCATCGCTCAATGTTGAAATCGTTGTAATAGAGCTTCGCGGCGGGGTCAGTTTGCTGGGCTACCTTGAAGGAGTGTGTGATGTAGTCAACTCCCATGGCTCGGTACACTATTTTTTGGTCATTGTCAACATCCCATGGTAATCATAAGGGGCAGGGGACAATGGGCATACTAGGATTGTTGCGGTATCTTCCGTCATCCTCCATAGCTTCATTGACCACGTCCCAGGCATAGCACCGTCCCTTATAGTGTCCAGCCACATTCTGGATATGTGCGGTAATGATTTGTTGCATCTGATCGCGACTGTAGACGCTGCTGACTGTGTTTACCCAGTTAACACACACACATCGCGGACGCTTCTTTGGTTTGACTGGACTGACCCCATCCAGGCAACTGGTTATACCACACCAAGGTATGGCATCTCAACTGCTGGCCTGTCTGTCGTGCAATATTAGCTATCGCATCACCACTCCCGTAAGTGAAGCGCCCCTGGCTCGCCTGGGTGTTGGACCACTTCTGTCCGTTGGCCGGAGTGAGCGAGCCAAACTCAGCGGGATCACGAGCGATACGGAGATAATTTTGGTTGTTGAGACTGGGGTTATCGACTGCGGTGCCAAAGTACAGGAGTCCGGCTTCTTTCGCAACCTTGTCGAGCTGGCCAGAGACCGCCACAAACGCAGAAGACAAAAGGAAAAGGTGGAAATTCATTGTAAGCCAGCAAAACAAGACAACTCAGGAATGACTGCAGTGGTTCTTCTGAATTCTCTGTTGGAATCGCAGGAAGATTCAGTTGATAAACCTGACCAGAGATTTACACCTGTGTGGACCCATGCTGCAACCCAAGAATCTGGAATGCCACGTGGGGGATGCATTTGCATTCCCGTTTCTTATTTGGAAATCTATTATTCGTGGAGATATGATCGGACAATGGAGAAATCCAGGCGGCTAATTGGGTTGATGGTGTCGATGCGGTTATGAGTGAACGAGTACAGGCTAAAGAGGTGAGAAGCTGGGTATATTGGGAGATATTGCAAGGTTCTTGGCTAGAATCATGGTTCATCTGAATCTAACCACCCAGTTTGGGAGGAAAAAGGTCATGTTGACGTCGGACAGCCTTCAGCAGCTGAACGCAAAACAAGCCCCTGAACTCAGGGGGTAACCCTAACCCCGTAACCCCCTTTCCAATCACATCTACCCCTGACTGACCCCATACACCCCACCCGCTCGTGAACAAGCAGTCGCGGATGCGGAATTGGTTGATACACCGAGAATGGTTTGCCTATATTGCGTTAGCTATATAGTACTTCATTTTCAAGATGAGTCTGCATGTAAACACTCACGTAACAAAGATTGTCTCAACCACACCAGTAACAGCAGTAACAGGGCTCAACACCGTTAAAGCTGGGCCTGTTACGGTCACAACTTGGGTAGCATCCCTCTGCCAAACGCACACTGTCCTTGCTGGTGGAGTACTGCAGACCACACAACATTAGTTTACCTAGTCAAGGTACTACGCCACGACAAAGAATGGACACTCACATTGTCTGTGTAACTGTGCTCACCACTGTCGAATAGAACTGTTAGTCCAACTATACTTAACCTTCATCAAGAGGAAAGATTGCAACAACAACTCACCAACTCGAGTGACAGTCACTGTTTCCGTCCGCGTCTCTACGGCCTGCCTTCTTCCCCAACCCCCCCATTTACCACTAGCGGTAGGAGCTGCACCAGGGGGTCTACAAGTCACCCAGGGAGGCAGGTCATTTCCTCCACCCCAGCCACCACCTGGACCACCCCAGTTCCCTCCACCTCCCGGTCCCCATCCACCGCCTCTTCCTGGCCCCCAACTGCCCCCGCCACCACCGTTCCCTGGACCCCAGGGAGGATTTCCAGCACAGATAGATCCGGAAGCTGTAAACGTGAAAGCACCTGTCAAGGGGCTTGTTGTAGAGGTTGTTGAAGGCGGTCTTGTAAGCGTAAGAACTGCAGTAGTAACTCGCACTGGCATCGTCGAGGATGGAATCCGACACACGGGCGTGAGTGTGCTGGTAACAAAGGTGGAACTTGTTACTCGACCTGAGGCCGTCGTCCGGATGATGGTTCGCCATTCAGTAATGGTAGAGGGAGGCAATCGATCTGTTGTCGTGACCGTTGAAGCAGTATTGCAAGGGACAGTCACAATCCCAACGGACTGGTTAGGGATGGTAATGCGAGTAGTGGTTTGCGAGGTTGATGTTGCGGTGAGTGTTGTAGTCACAGCTTGAAGTCAAAACAAGAAACGAATTAGTATATCACGGGTCTCGAGCAGCGAGATATATGTAGTTCTGCTTACTTGCTATCCGTGAAGGTGTTGAGGTTGACCTCACACTCGTTAGAGTTGTTAACGGACGAGAGACGATTATTTCAAATGGACGGGTTTCCACAAAGCCTGTGTCTGAGTGAGGGAGAACAATGATCCAATTGCCTGAGTACAAGTCGAAATAAGAGATCGAGCTGAAACTGCGGTCAGCATACCTTCGTTACTTGGGCATGAATCTACAAAAGATTGTACCATGTTGATATTTGAATGGACTCAGGAGGGCCTGGAGTGATCTGGGAGCAGGGAAACTGATTGCTGTCGTAGTCCTGCAGAATTGGTGTGATATCTACATTTTCACAGGCGCCTGTTCATGTTGGTAAGGTAGTTAGGGACAGTTCTTTCAAGTTCAAAGAAGTTTGGAGGCGCTATTACCTTCAAATGTTGAGGCAAAACTGAAGTTTCCGTTTCTTGTCCCATCAACGAGATATATTTCGTGGTCAAGATAATCGACACCAGTGCAAATGCAGGTGTCATCACTCTGGCCTGAAGTGAGACATAACGCTTGCCCGGACAAGGCTAACCACAGGACAAGAAATGAGGCAATCATCGTCCTTGATCGGTAGGAGGATTACCGTGGCAGAAACGACAATGATCTGCAGTATCACAACACACGGCATCCCTATATACTCAAACAGCTGAACGCGGCAAAAGGAAGTCTGGTACATATTGAAGGTGGTTTATAAATTTGACGCTATGTTGAATCTGACGTCAAGTTACAGCACAGGGTGACACTGAGATAGAATCTCATGATATTGAGCACTACTACCTTGATTGTGAAGGGCCGGGAGATGAGCCGTGGTAGGCGGTAATTAACAACTTGCTTTTACCCATCCGCAAATGGACAGCCTGGCATGATAAGGTAACCGGCAGTTTCCACTTCGTGGGGTTGTTCACTTCGCAGCGAAAAGGTTAAGATTCCAACAGACGTACACCACCGAAAGGTAGAATACCTAGACAAACAAGCAAGGCATAGGTACTATGGCAAAGACCAAATACAAGCCAAAATCCTATCGCCCTATAAGGTACACAACCGAAAAGAAACCAGACGTATCGTGAATATAAAGACAAAAGCCGTTGTCGAAAACCCCCAAAGCCGAGTTCCGCCAAGCGACCAGGTACCTAGGAATCAAGGATCCAATGGCAGTTTGAACAAACGGATGGCGTTTCCCCTTGCTACCAGCTCTTTCTGATCGGCTGGCAAGTCCACGCCGTGCCACCAGTATTGTGCCTCTGCAATGGTGTCGTATGGATAATCAATTGAGAATAGACACCGTTCCACTCCAATTTGATCTATGCAAAACTTGAGGCCTGGCTCGTTAAAGTTTCCCGACGTGGTGATGGAAATGTTGTGGGTGAAATAGTAGGTGTAGTCCTCCTTGGACGGTCGGGTGGCCTTCTTCACGGGTTTGTTATACCAGTGGTCTGCCCTCCAAAGATTGAAGGGAATCCTGGACGTCACGTTAGCAGTTGAAATCACGTAGATGACACATATTGACGACTCGCCCTTCTCCCAAGTGTCCAATAACGACCTTGACTCGTGGAAAGAGATCGAATACGCCCGATGAACACAGTGCGTACACATGCGTGCTCAGATCCAAATGGAACTGAACCGCAGCCCCGAGAATCTGCTTCCTATCTCCCCATTTGGTCCCAGGCTCGAGGTCCAGTGCCGCCGGGTATCGAGGGTGCAAGTACACTGGCACGTCCAGTTCTTCAACAGTCTTCCAAAACTCGTGAAATCCTTCACCGTCGTAGTAGATCTTGCCTTCCTTGTCCGCGTTGGGAGCACCAGGTGAGGAGTCCTGGTAGTCGTTGATGATCAGACCGAAAAATCCCAGTTCCTTCACTGCCCGAACTGCTTCAGCTGAAGCATCAGCAGAGTTGTGCATGGAAACTGACGCGAGACCCCCGAAACGCGCTGGGTTGAGTTTCACTTGCTCTGAAAGCCAGTTATTGGCCTCACGGGCGATGATCGCGGCTTTGGCAGGGTCTGATTCGCCTTGGGGTCCGGGGGAGGTTAAAGACAGAAGCATGTATTCCACGCCATGTGTGTCCATCTGGTGAAGGCGGGTAGTGTGGACATCTTGGAGAAGAGATGTAAGGTGAGAGTGACGGGTAGGAGAACCGGGAGGAGAGCCGGAAGGCGAGTGCGGAGGTGTTTGGCGATGTCCTGGGTTGAAGAGAGGCGCCGAGGCAGAGATCCAACTGAGGCCGGCGGGGTCGAGGACAGCCTCTTCGATGGCGATGGTGCCTTTGGGAGCTTTCTGGAAGGTCATGTTGCGATGTGCAGTTTGGCTTGAGCGACAGAGCGAACGGCAGGCAATGATATAACCTCGAGGGTGGAAACAAGCAGCACAGTTGAAGGTTTTAAAGACTTGAGGATGACCAAAAACAAGCATGCCCAACTGGCACCTGGGGTGGGGGGTCAAATCCCGGGAGATGAACCCATGGGCTGTTGCCAAGGCCAATGGTTCCGGCCCGCTGTCTGCGGTAAATGGGCCCCGACCCCCCGAATGGACCCCCAATCCCCAACGGCAAATGGCATCCTCGAGCCCGACAGGATGAAGGTGACGAGCCCGGAGATATGGACCCATGGGTGGGAATTTGGGCAGTCAAAAATGGAGCCTCACAAAGATCCAGCGTTTGACCCAACTCTTAGTGTCCCCGCAAGGCCCGCTCGTCCATGATAGGGATTTTGGGGATGGCCTCGTCTTTGGACCCTGGCCTAGAGTGGAGATAGCAACCCAGCTGGATGGAATCCCACGTGGCGTCAACAGCGATCGGTCGTTGAATACAGGCAAGGCTCATCTTGGGTTCATGAAATATCCCTGCATCAGACGAAATGTTGGTTCGTCGAGTTGACAACCTTATCGTATGATCCTACTATCATACGTTTATGATGTCGTTGTGATGATTTCTACTCGCCAGTTAAACGCACTGCCTGTCGTATACGAGTATGACCGAGATTTGGTGGTCCAAAAAGAGAAAGTAAGCCGCGTATGCTTTTGTCGAGTTTGAGGGAGTCGGGCGTGAATCACTGTAATTGCAACATGGTAGAGATTGTCGTGATGTCGAGTCCAAGTAGGTATCCACAGCCCCAGGGGCAGGTGCCCTGCCGATGGAGCCTCATTCCCGCAAATGCTTCCCAACCTGACGGGACGCTCCCTGTCCACCATCTGATTCCAAGCAGCGGTCCGCCGACAGGGAGTGTTCTGTGGAGAACCCTTGTGAATGCACAGCGTAACCTCGTAGTGAATGAATAACCTCTAGATGTCTACCTACTTGTGATCACGTATTATGTCACAGCAACGCTTAGTCACCTCGCCATCCGCCTCTCACACTTCCTATTGTTTCGTTGCAATCAGCCGGATAAAGCTACCCGGTTCCAGCTTCCCAAAATGGCGACAATGTTACTGCGGGGTTAACATATCTTGATATAGGGACGTGGATCAAACTAGCTTATGGATGCCGGTGGAACTTAACGCCGAAAGAAGACTTCATCGCAAGTTTACTTTCATGTTCTGGCCAATTCCTGTGGAAACTTTCTTTCACCATTGCCTAAGGTACCTACCTGCCTACCACGACTCACGGCAATTTGGTGTGAATTCCGCCCCCTTTACACTGTATCAGTGACATAACCTCAGAATCAAGCCAGGATGGCATTTAGCACCAGTCCCATCCGGCCACGGATGTTGATAGATGGAGAGGTGTGATTCCCATCGTTGCCAAGTACCTAGAAGCACCCACTGACATACCTTTAGCTCGTTGAAGCCTCGGATGGCAAGACATTTTCTGTTTACAATCCCGCCACTAGAGAAGTGTCAGGAGAAGGTAAATAACCGCCCACTTTTTCCAATTTAACGAGAACATCAGCTGATGACGGTGCGCAGTTCCTGAAGCTACCGCAGATGACACCAATAGAGCGGTGGCTGCAGCCAAAGCAGCCTTCCCCGCTTGGTCAGCGCTGGGTCCAGCAAAACGTGCTGTTTACCTAAAGAAGCTCGCCGCTCTTATCCGGGAGCACAGAGATGAAATTGCCAAGCTGGACGCTGTGGCGATGGGGATGCCCGTTTCTACCCACTTCTTCGCCGAATCCGCAGCCGGGCAATATGACCACTACGCCGAGGCCTGGCCCCATATTCAGGGCCAGGCCAGTGTCAACACCCCTGGTCATGTCACCATGACGCTTCGCCAGCCATTCGGGGTGGTAGCTCTCATCATTCCGTGGAATGTGCCAGTGCACTTTTTTGCGTCCAAGTCAGCGCCAGCGCTGATAACGGGAAACACTATTGTTCTCAAAACTTCGGAGAAGGCGCCTCTGGCAGTTGCTCGAATCGCCAAGCTCGTCAAAGAAGCAGGCTTCCCGCCGGGGGTCTTCAATGTTCTCTCCGGTCATGGCATCCCCTCTGGTCAGATCCTGTCCCGCCACATGGACGTCAGGGCACTGAGCTTTACAGGCTCGAGCCGTACGGGAAAGCTCATCCAGGAGGAGGCGGCGCGAACAAATCTCAAGAAGGTCATTCTCGAGCTTGGAGGCAAGTCACCCGCCATCATCTTCGACGACGCAAACCTCGAGAAGGCGGTTGCCCAGACCCGCTGGAGCATGCAGTTCAACTCTGGGCAGGTTTGCATGGCCAATTCCCGCATCTACGTACAGTCAACCATCGCCGAGAAATTCGTCGAGCAGTTCAAAGTTAGCTACAGCTCGAGCGTCAAGTCAGGCAACCCTTTGGACAAAGAGACGAATCATGGCCCCCAGGCAGATGAGCTTCAGTACAAGCATGTGCTTTCTTACATCAACTCGGCGAAAGACTCGGGCGCCACTCTCGCTCTTGGGGGGTCTGGAAAGTTGGAGACCTCGAATGGATACTTTATCGAACCGACCATCTTCCTGAATACCCCAGAGGAGGCTAAAATAACCAAGGAAGAGGTGTTTGGGCCAGTGGTTATCATCAACACCTTTGAGACCGAGAAGGAGGCCATTGCCAAGGCGAATGATACCGAGTTTGGGTTGTATGCCTCGGTCTTCACCAAGGACATCAGCAGAGCCATGAGAGTCGTACAAGCGCTGGAGAGCGGATATGTGGGCATCAACACCACCAGCCCGAATACTGCATATGACCTACCTTTTGGTGGGTACAAGGGAAGTGGACAGGGGCGCGAGGGTGCATTGTGCAGCATGGACAACTTTCTGGAGGTGAAGAGCGTTATCATGGCCTTGGAAGAAGAGTGAATTGTACGTAGATATCTCTATGCAATTACTGACAGGTAGCTAGAGGGTTGGCCAGGAGCATATCCGTTTTCAACTAGGGTTTTCACATAAAACAAAGGCATCCTGTTCAACACGGATGATATTGGAAACTACCTCTACAGCTCAAGCAAAACATGCTCCCAAGCGCCACGACTGGACTTCATGACTAGGTACCCAAGGTAACGAAATTCTAAACCACTACAGCAGGAGGCACAGCTGCCAACGGAGCGGTTTCCTCCTCTGGCTCCTGCTTAATTGCCAGCTTCTTGATCGCCTCGTCGTAATTATCCGCTGCGTACTTTTCAGCGTCAAAGCCATGGATCCAGTCCTCTCGTGGGAACTCAATGCTCTTCGGGTTTTGTTTAACAGTTTCCCAGTCCGTCTTGTGCCATCTGTCGCGAGTGGACTCGCCAGTCTTTTGCACAGCTCTAACGCGTTCATATCTGTTGTCATGTTAGCGGAACACCCAATCCAGACTCGAAACGTTGCTGAACATACCTGAGCTCTTGGTGAGCCCTCACTGCAGCTGGGACACCATCCTTCCCCCCGCGCTTCAAGGCCACGGCAATCGTGACACCATCCTCCATCGCTTGAGTGGCTCCCTGGGCACTGGTAGGCAAGAATGGGTGGGCAGCGTCACCCAAGAGCAGAATCCGCGCGTGCTTGCTCACCCAGGTGGGCAGGGGGTCTCGGTAGACCAACTTCCAGTCCACCAAGCTCGGGGTCTTCTCCACGATGGCCTTGCAAACGGGATCCCACCCCTCCAAAACCTTGTACACGTCTTCCAGCTTGCCCGGGAAAGACCACGACTCATCGATGTCGTGCTCATCTTTGTGGGTGAGCACCCAACAGCAATCCTTGCCGCCCTTGATTGTGCTGAAGAGGAAGTGCACGTCGGGCCCGATCCAGCCGTTGAAGGTATCCCCATTCTCACAAAACTCCTTGGTGCGTGGGTCGGCAATCATGTCCTTGTTAGAGAACCACGCCCGCCAGACAGCATAGCCGCTGCTCTTGGGCTTGTCCACGTACCCAAGAACAAGCTCCCTCGCCTTTGATCTGACGCCATCAGCCCCAATGACAATGTCGGCCTCGACCCGCTCTCCAGACTTGAGTACGATTCCGGCCTTGTCCTCTGTTTCAAAGTACTCATCGACGTGTTGGCCGAGGTGGATCGGGATGCCGAGTTCGTCCCTGGCGTAGTTGAACACCACCTCATGCAGCTCACCGCGGTGGCCATTGAAGACGGGCGCCTCCTCGCGCTGGGGTGGGGTGGGTTGGTGGTAGACTACCTCACCCGTGTCGTACTTGTGAATGCGGAAGCCGTAGTCTGTGAGGTCGATGCAGAGGGAACGGAGCTTTCTGGCAATGGCGCCGTCGGCCCAGCGGGCAAAGATACGCCCGCCGTTGGCACCAAAGGAGATGATGTCGCCGAGTGTCTTGAGAGCGGGGAAGTTCTCGTAGATGGTGACGTTGTGGCCTTGTCGGTGGCACTCGATTGCTGCTGTAAGGCCACCGAAGCCGGCGCCGACAATTATCACGTTGATGCCGGTGGGCGTGGGGGCCATGATTGTGAGTCTCTGTGGTGTTGGTCTGGCGGTTGGAGAAGGTAGGTATGGTGATAAGTCTGGCTATGAAACGGGTGCGTGGGTGGTTTGTTGCGTCTATCAACGGCTTATATCTGTAACTTGGATGTACTGCAACGTCAACTGCTACATGATGGGGACCAGTCTCTTATGCATGGCAATTTGCTGGTACCGCACGACCCTCATCATAAAGTTGTCCCCGAATTTGGCAATCAGGCTATTGACGTGCCGGCCCCGGTCAGCGTTTCCCTCTCTCCTTGTCTGCCTCCGAAGAACTGTTGGATTTCCGGATCGGGATTTCCTCGCCTCCACGCTGACACCATGATCCGACATGTTGGTAGTGTGCCCCTCACATCAGATGCCGAATAGGTGCCCCCAACAGCTGAACAGCAACCAAGCGTATGAAGTCGTTCTCGGCGTGGGCGTCACGCGTTTTCCCATGACCGTGGAGAACGCGCTCACTGTGAATGCGGGGAATACACCCCCGCATCCCAGGTGACCAGGTCTTGGGGATTGCCACATGCCCATACGATCGTCGCCAGTGCCGCGATTTCTCCAAACTGAAGCTGAAAGAAAAAGGGAAAGAAAAGCTTGCGTTGAATGGAGAACTGCCCGCGTGACGTCGCCTACGCTAACACAGAACATGCAGGGCCGTTTTTTGACAAGCCATGTCCTTTGTTGGAGTAGGTACACTGGGTGTTGTTTTCCGGTTCTCAGGGGTTCAGGGGCATTACAGGGTTAGGGTTACTCGCCTACCACAACCGCCTTCGATTGCTTCGACTTGAATGCTCTTCATTTCATGTATCGCTGCGACGGTCATATCCCGTGATATTTTTTATAACGTAAAACCGCCATTTTGACCATGTTTTAGTCTGTGGTCAGAAGTCTCGGGGGTACCTCGAGATAACTAAAACTGTTCGAAGGTTTAAACCATGTCATGACATCCAAACAACGGCATTGGCGTGGTTACTTGTGTGCAAGGGCGTTGTATCAATAAAGTTTCAGTTTTGCCTCTTTCACTAGACTCTCCCTATTATCCCTTGTGCTTTCTTGCATGAGGTCACTACCCGACCTTGACAAACCTGACGTTGCCCTTCTCATCGATGATGGGCTCCTGAGCCACCTTTTTCTTTTGTTGCTGGTAGAACGTGCTCATCCTGTATTGACTCTCCCCGTCATGGATTTTGAGATCTTGCAACGCTTGCCGCCCCTCCCGCTCGATAGCTTCCTTGATCTCCTGGCTCCTTGGCACGATCTCGCAGGGGAACGGCTGGGGCCGCATGTTCAGACCGTTGGTGAAGGCAAAGATGTCCACATCGATCTCCTTGCCTGTCGTGGGGTCACGAGCTTTACGGATGTTGAACCCCCATAACAGTCGAGCAACACTGATCCATGTTCCCTGTTCCGCGAGTGCTTGTCCGCTGCACACACGCCTCCCCCAGCCAAAGGTCATGTAGCCTTTGTCATTAGGGAACGGGCGCTTGTAATCATTGCCCTCCAGATATCGGTCTGGGTAGAAACGGTCCGGGTCTGGAAACTCTCTCTCATGATGGTGAATGGCCCAGACGTTGCCTTGGATCCAGGAACCCTTGGGTATGAGCCAGCCATTGTAGGTGTCATCTTGGGTGGGCGAATGAGGTTGGCCACCAATGATAGCTACGCTTCTCCAGCGAAGCACTTCTCGTACAAAGGCGTTGATGTAAGACAGGTTTGGTGAGTCGTCCCAGTGTGGTGAGCGATTCGGCCCGATCACCCGGTCGAGCTCTTCCTGGGCCTTCTTCACAGTCTCTGGAAATGCGCAGCATGCCAAGATAAAGCTGACAAGTGTGCTTGAGGATGTGTCGGCCCCGGCACCAAAGAGGTTTCCGGTCAAACCGGAGAGCTCGGCGACTGGCAACTTGTACTTATCAGCTTCTTCGAACAGAGTCTTGACATAGGGCGTAGGCATGCTGGCTTGTTCCGAAGGGGACTTTTGGTTGTACTGCTCGATAGCCTCCTCGGCCAGCGTGTAGAAGAAGTAGTGACCGCCTTTTGAGTTACGGCTTCCGAGTCCCTTGAACCACGGCATGAATCGCGGAAACTTGGCAAGGACTGATTTGGTCAGTCGGCTTTCCGCATGTCTGAACAGGACAGGGATACTCACTAGGAAACGTCTCGAGCAGCATGGGGAAAGACTTGCCGGGAACGTTGAGATCAGCTGCCAGCTGCATCAAGGCAATAACCTCCGTGATGATGGGGTCATTGTAGCTGGCAACCCTTCGCCCAAACGCAATGATAGACACGACGCTCGTGGCATACCTCTCCAGGTGCTTGACGTACTCCTTGGGCTCCCTCAGAAAGTCCAAGGCAATGATTTTACTTTCATTGTTCTGGATAGCGCGATACCCCCGGACCGACTGCACGCCAACTCCAATGTGCATCAGCTTGCGGTGAATTCGCCATCGCTCGCGCTCCTCTTGGTTACGAATTTGCATCGTCACCAGGTTTGACTGACCCGAACCTAGCTCTCCAAAAACAATCATCCGAGGCCTTGAAGTGTAGATTTGAGCCTTCTTCTCAAATATCTCATGGGCACACCAAGCTTCGTTGATCCAAAGTGTGGGATTCCTGCGTGAACAGGGCGTTAGCAACTCGATTGTTGGTTTGTGAAAGCTACCTAGGTACTTGCCGCCCAATCCAGTATGTGATAAGTGGTGTGTTGTATCTCTTGGACAGCTCCTCAAAGTAGATCCATGGCTTGTTGTCTGGGAGCGAGAATGTGTTGCCAACAATGGGTAGCGGGAAGGGCCCAGGTGGCATCTTTGATCTCAGATAGAGCATGTGCGCGTAGTCGACTGCAACAGCAATGACTGCGACGGTCAACAACCCGAGGACGACATTGTCAATACCGACGTCGGCAATGGCCAACTGGCACTTGGCCAATATGATATTGTCCAAAAGCCTGTCTGCGAGCATGGCTTGCAGTTTCCCACCCACGATGGCGAACTGGAGGTGTGGTAACTAGGTAGTCCAATGGCAGGTAGTGTCGTGTGTGGGTGGTGAGTGTCTCAGCGGACAAATGCAATCAGGATATAACGAAGTTCGCACAACCAGCAGCCATGTCGCTGCCCACCAGCTGACAAAGGATGTCGAGACCATAACATGGCCAGGTCGATTTCCCGGATGAAGTTGAGCGGGTAAAGGCCCCGCATGGTCCCGTCTCGGCAGCAGATTTGCTTGCCGCCACTAAGGACAGCTTAGTGCGAGGTGAGCTTGGTGGGGGAGCTGATGGGTGTCGTCTGAAGTAGGTAGCTATCGATTGTTGGAGACAGCTCGGAGGTCTGGCATGGCACGTGTCTACGAGGGGTTGCAGTCGGAAGCAATGAAGCGAATCATTGTACTAGGCCAAATATTGCGCGCAGTTTCTGTGACGTGTTACTTAGTTGTACGACGCTCCAGCAAAACCCACCCCCGATAGTAGGAGGGTTTGCTCACCGTGAAGTGTGTCTGAAAACAAATCTATGTGTAGTTCGGAGGGCCCGCCGAAAGCATCGAGATGGACCAGCAATGGTTCTGGGCTGCTGAATTTGGCACTACCTGCGGTCCTTTTTCACTTTCCAATGATTTACCAGCCTGCCCGGTGGAATGTTGCGGTTGCCTCTGAAGAGGCCGAAAGGTGAAATATTGGAATCATTTGGTGGTGTCCTGCCTGAACTTCAAGTACCTACCTCGCTATTCGAGTATGTTTCCAGAATTACCTTATATGACCATAATTCTAGCAGACATATGATATTGTTTGTGTGCGACCTGACATTAGCGGTTGCCGAGCAGACGCGGCTCGAAATCGATGTTGGAGGTTGTCAACGTAGGGGCAAGACGAGCCTGAGATGATTACTGTATTACGAATTGCCGACAGTGGTAAACTTAACGACGCGCTGACGATCATTCGGTGCTGAATGGAACCGTTGAGCGCGAGTACAACGTTGAGTGAATGATGATGAATTATGTTCATGTTGCCCACATCTCACGTCGCAATGACTGTGGAACTGTCGAAATGAGCACCTAGTCACACTCTCAATGAGCAACACCTAGTGGAGGTGTACAACATGGCGATACGACGGGGCGTATCGATTCGACGGTCAATTCCTTGCACCGAGGCTGATGACTAAATGTGTTAACGCCGACTTTGACGTTCCCTGATGATGGTGTCTGTTGTACCTTCTTCGAATCCCTTTTCCTCCGACCGCAGGAACAATGTGGCATGCCAACACTGCCGTCCTATGCCCGAACACATTACACGTTATGCAACGGGTGATTACAGCGAGTGATGGCGACACCTACCTTACTTATTGAACCTCAGAGCCACCTTTCTCCCCCAATACTTACCTTGACAATAAACCCCATCCTTTACGAGCTGCACCATGACAATTCTTGACAGAATTTCTCTCGGGACGTATCCATTCATTGCTTGGCCAACATGGCTTGCTGGGGCGGTAGGAAATCTCCATTCTCCAACACTTCGCGTTGCTTTATATTGACCTGAGCGCCTATTTCTGACTCGATCAATGCTTTTCGGTATAGACTATCATGATACTATTATCTACAGTCCTCTACAACCTGCTCCTCCATCCTCTTCGATCTCTTCCCGGTCCAAAGCTTTGGGCGGCGACGCCGATACCATACACCCGAGCATGGCTTTCAGGACGAATGTCGAGTAACATTCACCGATTGCACGAGAGATACGGCGACGTCATCCGCGTTGCACCAAATCGTGTCTCCTTTGCACATCCCGACGCTTACAATGCCATTCGAGGCCACCGCAAGGCTGGTCAACCAGAACACGGAAAGGACCCTGTTTTCTACAAGATGTCGATGCACAACATCTTGGGCGCGAACCGTGAGGATCACAGCCGCTTCCGTAAGATCCTGAGCCACGGATTCTCAGCAAAAGCGATGCAGGACCAGCAACCCCTTATCACGCAGTACATCGACCTGCTGATGGATCGTCTGCAGGAATTGACTAAGGGAGGACGAGAAGAGGCCGTTACGGACATGGGCGCCTGGTTCAACTTTACAACCTTTGATATCATTGGTGACCTGTCGTTCGGTGCTCCATTTGGTTGCTTGGAGAGCAGTTCATACCACCCCTGGGTCACGGCCATCCTCAAGGGCGTCAAGGAATTCGCCATGTTGCTGGTTATGAACTGGTTTTTCCCCAGTTTTTCCAGAGTCGTCAAGGTTCTGACCCCTTGGCACCACCCAGCAAAGCATACCAATGAACAGGCTGAATTCGCCCGCGTCCAGGTGGTCAAGCGACTCAACTCTGGTGTTGAAAGACCGGACTTCGTTCAGGCCCTGACCAACGGATCCAAGGCCAACAACGGAAGACCCTTGACAATAGAAGAGATGGCAATGAACGCAAGGCTGTTGATTCTGGCAGGAAGCGAAACCACGGCTACTGCGCTGTCGGCAACAACATATTACCTGGCGACATACCACCGCGTGCAGACAAGGCTGGCAGAGGAGGTCAGAGGTCAGTTCAAAAGCGAAGATGAGATCAACTTCTTCAGTGTCAACAGATTGACATATATGCTTGCCGTTTTGGACGAAGCAATGAGATTATTCCCGCCTGTACCGGCCAATCTTCCACGCAAGGCGGCCAAAGGTGGGGACGTGATTCTGGGATGGCAAATTCCAGAGAATGTAAGCTCATGTCCTACGCTCGCAAACAAATATGACGCATAGCCAGCTAACCAAGAACTGATTCAAGACCGGCCTCGAGATCTGGCCGTGGGCTGTGAACCACCTTTCCCGCAACTTCACTGAGCCCGACAAGTTCATCCCCGAGCGTTGGCTTGGAGGAGATAGCTTTGAAGGCATAGTGTTCGACAAGAGTAGACACAGTGCACTGCAGCCATTTTCAGTTGGCCCACGAAACTGCATTGGCAAAAAGTAAGTATCGCCTACATAGCTTTACCTAGCCTGGGGACTTATTCTGACTACGATGCAATAGTTTGGCATACGTCGAAATGCGGGTCATCCTAGCAAGGTTCATCTGGAACTTTGACTTGGCTCTGGCCGACGAAAAGTCACAAATGTTTCCGAAGGCAAAGTCATTTGGTCTCTGGGTCAAGAAGCCGCTGAATATTCGGCTCATTCCTGTTAGACATGTGTCCAAATGATGGCAGTCGAAAGTTGGCGAAGCGGATCAGTGGTTCGAGGAGCGTGGGAGCGTGGGGAGTTGCACGGTAGCTCTTTATGATGACAAGGATGTATTTTATTCTCCATTTTGATGTGGACAATTCCAAAAAGCTGGAAAAAAAGCAGGCATTTTGGTGATTTTGGCCAATGGCATTTGGAGATGGGCACAGGGGGGGGACACCAACCGCTCATGAGCCCCTTGAAGCCCACCCCTGAGCCCCTGAACCGTTCCGCTGCCTTCTGATTGGTCAGGGTCTAGATAATCAACAGAACCGCTTTCGCTCTCGAGTTCCAGGTTCATCAAGAAGGTGCAGGGCAGTTGTGTTGGCAAGAAAATGATAAGTCTAACGTTGCTAATAGAGCCAGCCTTAATGCCAGTTCTGAGCCCCGTCTTCAAGCGTCTTGACACGACAGAACAGGACATATTTCGCATGCTGAGCAGGGTAGCATTATGCACGTGGACCAAAAGGAATACCTACCTGCGCGCATACCAGTTTGCTGCACCTGCAAGTCGAGGCCGCGAAAGCATCCTATTGGACAAGACTTGGGCAATACATGAGTAGTCTGCATCTGCTTGTCTTGCGTCCCGAACAAAGGAAACCTCCTGACAAATCGCATCCTGTCGGACTTGCTGCAAGGATTGTTCACCACATCACAAACCAACTCCAGCGGGGGTCACGGCAGGGGTCTTCACACTATCGGAAATCGGAACGGATCATTCCTCCCTTCTGGAAGCTGTGGCACACCCACTGTCGCTCCGAAACCCCGCTGCTGGCGAGAGAAAAGGCCGTCTGTTCAATCCATCTCGTCGTCGACTTCTCACGTTACACAACCTGTCGTCCCGTTCGCGTTTCCGAGCCATTCCCGCCCGCGCCGCCGCCTCTTCCGCAGGCTTGATCGTCCCCCGGCCCACTCCACACCAACGCCGTACAACCACATCGCCGCATCTCGTCTAAAAAGTCCGACCGGCACCTCACATTACACAAATACGCCTCTGTGCTCCCAACCGATTCGGAGTGCCATTACCGCCGAGATGGGGTCTTCTAAGCCGCCATCTTCGCCCGCTGCTCCTTCGAGCCCACCGGCGGCAGCCGCCGAAGCGGGCACGCACGGAGAGGAGGCCGCGCCCATCATTGTGGTGAGTGTGACGAGTTTACCAATGTCTCGCTCCCTAAAAGCTGACCAATTGTCCAGGATCCCGAGTTTGAAACCGAGGTTCAAGGTGATGGTGACTCTGCCCTTGGATAGTATGTCCAACGACCACCCACAATTGTCAACGAGTGGTAATATTCGCCAGTTGCTAAAATTTACTGCTTCAGTGCCGAATCTTCCACCGCGTCTCTCAGCTCTTCCATCTTGCAGTACCGTGAGATTCATGGACGCACATATCAGAATTTCAAGGAGGCCGAGTACTGGGCACCTAATGATGACAAGCAAAATGATGGGTTGGATTTGCAGTATGTTTATACCTGCTTTTCTTGTTAATCAGATCTGATCGCTAGGGAATGGGGCTTATTACTGACGCACATGCAGCCACCACATGATGTATCTGATCCACAACAACTCGCTTTTCCGGTCACCAGTTGAAGACCCAGATGCTATTCTTGACGTGGGCACCGGAACCGGTATTTGGGCCTTGTAAGTTTATCTTGCACCTCCTACTCGGGAACCACAATATTGACATGATGAAAAGGGACTGCGCGGACCAATTTCCCGCCGCCGAAGTCATCGGCACTGATCTTTCTCCCATTCAGGTGTGTCCACCACTTTATGCGATATCCCATGTTTCATGACCAAAATACTTACCAAAAAAAATATACAGCCAACATGGACGCCCCCCAACTGCCGTTTCGAGCTTGATGACGCCTCCTTGGACTGGACCTTCTCCGCTGACAAGTTCGACCTCGTTCACCTCCGCTTCCTCATCGGCTCCATCGAAGACTGGCCCAAACTCTACCGCCAAGCCTACCGCTGCCTCAAGCCGGGCGGCTGGCTCGAGCACACCGACTTCACCATCCGCATCGCCTCCGACGACGGCTCCATCCCCATCGAGGATCCAAAACATCCTTACGCCATCTGGAACAGGATTTTTGCCGAAGCTGGTGAGAAAATCGGCCGCACCTTTTTGGTGTCCGACAAGGGCAAGAATGCCGAGTGGATGAAAGAAGCAGGCTTTCCTGGGCCGTTCAACGTCGAGCATTACAAGTTGCCCTTGGGGACATGGCCAAAGGACAAGAAGTGGAAAGAGGTCGGAGCCTTTAACAAGCAGAGCTGCTTGGAAGGGCTGGAGGGGTATGTTCTTTACCTTGCGGTGAAGATCTTGGGGTGGGAGTTTGAGGAGGTGCAGGTTTTGTGCAGCAAGATGAGGAGCGCGTTGGCCAACCCCAACTATCATGCCTATTATGGGTGGTAAGTTTGAACCCACTTTCTACTTTTGGCTGCAGATTTGCTAACGTTTGACTCGGCTTAGCTCAACGGTATGGACACAAAAGCCGCTTGATGAGCAAGCTGTTGGCGACGCGGAAGCCTAGAATGATGCACATTCTTTTATGCTTTGGTCATGTACGGAGGAATCAACGATGGCTACAGTGAAGGCGGGAAATTTGGGTCGGCCAGAAAACAAGGGACCTACCTAGTACATATGATGTATCACAAGAGGAAACGGTTTTGGCGATAGCCGAGCTTGTGAATGGGACTTGACACATACTTTGTTCTAGCATATGGCACGCGTTAGTGTCTACTCCATGCATAAAATGGACGCGATGTAAATAATCAAGTCATGGTTACCTTACCTTACCTATCATGAGATAGAGACAACAATCGTTCTTGAACTTACTCATGTGCGAAGTGTTCGCGTTTTTCCCAATTTGGTCTGGCATCACCTGCATGCCAAAGACCCTAGGTAGTTTGCCAACTGGTCGCAATCCCAGGAATCAGTGCGAAATGGTTCCACGTGAAGTTCCAGTGGCTCATGATTGTGGGTGATGACTAGATCCAGGGTCCGATATGGTACACCGATCCAAGGTGGGAAAGTCCTCTCGATGGTCTGTTGCAGCCGCTATAGTCGAGTCCCTTCCGCCCCAACACCCTGAATCTCTGGCTCGAAGCCTCGAACAATGCAGGCAATTTCCAGGTTAGTTATCAGGTTACATCTGGTGCTTACAAAGGTCAGTGACTTGCCTACCTATCTTACATGTAATGTGTTATCTACCGACATCTCAAAAGTGGCGGTGCCTGCCGTAGCTGCCTTCCCTACATGTATGCTGATCGGTGCTGTCCGCACGTAAATAAGGTAGGTAGATAGGGTAGGCATCGACGCTTTCAACACTGCCTTCTCTTCTCAGCTGTGCCTTAATCTTGAAACAACATTGCAGGCATCAATTTGTGGCTTTCCTCTGTCCAACGTTGGGCATACCGTTACCGCTGATTCAACAATGCGAGAAGCAATTTTGCTTGCGATGTTCCAGGTGAGATAATTATTGATGTTACATCTTGCACTCAGGCAACGTGTGCCAGTCTTACGCCGGCCCCCGACTCGAACATGGAAAGGGAAAAGGGTTCCCCGTTCGCCGCTCGGTTCATTTTCACATACCTATCTATGTCTCCTCTTTGAAAGGTTGACCCCGTGGTTTATCCCATGAGAGTATGAGTACAAATGCAGGGTCCTGCTCTACGGCGGCAATCGCTGGAAATTCTTACGTGTCATCACCGTCGAGCATCTCAGCAAAAACACCGGAGGCTGATGAGGTCACTATTAAATGCCACTGGCTTCGTCTAGCTCTATGGTCTTCGTTCCTTCTCTGGTCTTCGTTCCTTCTCTGGTTTTCGTTCCTTCTCTGGTTTTCGTTTCTTCTCTGGTTTTCGTTGTTAGTCTCACTCACGATTGGCCTTCCGCTATGGGCCTCTTGGATTGCCAACCCGACTGCTTGTCGCCCTGATGACACGTTCAGTCCTGTGAGCACAGGTTACAATTGGTGGTCTCAGTCCGGCCTTTTTCAAATCACATACGGAGGAGGAAGTTTTACGTTCTCTCAGGCCAAAGGTCTTGATATTGCATGGGACCTGGTAAATATTCCCCCGAAACCGGCTGATTTAGCAATGTGAGGCCTCCTAACTGCGTGTGTGGTTAGTCGGGCGTCTAGGTCAGCTCTTGATTTCGTGCCTCTTATGGCGCGTTTTATCCGACTATATAGCATCAACACTTGAAACCGGATCTGTCTCCTATTCCACATTCTGGATGATTTATTTACGCCAGGAGTCATCCATTGATGCAATCTACCGTCTTCTCAGTAACAGGACCTTCTACCGTATAGTTCAATCAAGGGTGGCTATTGCCTTCATCGTCATGTCACTGACACTCATTTTGGCATTCCCCACTCTTACCAGCGCCATGACCGGCTACGCTGCTAGCACCGAATCGTTCGTCGTTGAGTAAGAGACAGGCAATTATATACGATTTGCCGAATTTCGCCCCATTGCATACGTTATTCATGACGGCGAGCGGATCAATCGGACCAAACGTTTGTGGTGCCCATGGATGTTCAGTGGAGACCAACGAACTCTCACCATGTTATCCAGCAAAGGTAGGTAAGAGAGCCATCGATTCCTTTACGGGCGTTCATTATTTATTTCCCCTATTGTGGTTGAAATGGTTCAAGGCGATCCCCTGTTAGACCACATGTTCTACCAGCTTAGAACGGCCTGTCCCATGATCGGGGAAGCAGGCTTTGAAGAAGGCAGAGTCAGAGACCCGGCCGCTGAGTATGTCGGAAGGTATGGCTTCCATGGGTCGCTTTTTGGGCATTCCGTACTGCGGTCGCCGCCTTCCACAACATTTTGGGGTGACAAGGTCTTAGAAGGAACTCCGCTAAATATCTCGGCCTATTATTTCGGGAATCAGTGTCTCCTTCCGGGAAGTTTCGACACTAACTTAACCTCCTTCAAGGACAAGCAAAAGGTTCAGCTTACAGTCTCCGGGCGGATATACAATTTGGACTATATCGCTCAGTACGGCTCTTGTCAACCAACTACAGGGGTATGTCAACCTTTCATAAAAGAAGAGTACACGTAGAAACTAAATTCTGTCAACCTTGTCCTTTACTGTTTTACACAGCATGTAGCTGATCGAAATTCCAAATAGCGGTACCGATGGGGCTTCTCCTACGTTCAATTGTGCCTAGTAGTCGCCCACCCTCCTGATTTGGACTCTGAGTGTCTGTTTACTGTGGGCTAATGCCTACTGGAACTTGCTTTCCAACGCAGAGGCAAAGGTGCCCAGGAAGTGGAAGTCGGTCCTTTTTCTTGCTGAGACCACCACACGCGAACTTCAGATCATGGAGATTGAATCACCGTTACAAATGGCCAACGGCCAACTCAACCATGCTACAAACAACGGTTTGAAAGGTGGTCAAATATCTTTTGTGGACGTCATCCTGTGTAGGAGTGTTGGTGTTTGGCGGGGACTCTGGCGTTGGACTAGAAGCCATAAATACTGGGTTATATGCTTTTCGGTCTCCGCGGCCTTTCCTATCAGCATGATACAAACATCTCTGGGACTTTTAGACTATGATATGCGTCTTCCAGATAATCTGATGATGGTGGGACTGCGAAGAGAGGATGGTGGGAAGGCGGGTGGGACTGTGATAACTGCGGCTTTGGTTTCGTTTCTGTATTCCGTCTCTCTGTTGGCTCTCATTCTTGCCCGACACACCCGCGGTCGACTACGTTGAGGGGTTGGATTACCTGGTACCTAAGGTAAATACTCCGACCGAAATTGGTCCCAGGCCAGCCCGCCCATACTGTTGCAAAAGAAAAGAACCAATAGTCAATCAGCAATCGAACATATTTCAACATATCCACATCACACTTTATCAATACATCAAAAGTTGCGGTTTAGTTCCGAGATGTGTTTACGCTGACAACTTAAAGGTGTATTGTGACAGGTCATCATACAGGCTTTGGCTATAACATAATCTGACTTCATCTAGAGCAAGTAGTTGTCAAACCAGGTGACCGCCTGCAAGAAGGCCTGCTCCTTGGCATACCTCGTCACCTTCTTGTTCGGGTCCCCTCTGACAGCAAAGCCATGTTCAACGCCAGAGTAGAGGTTGATCTGGTACGGTTGACCGGTCTTTTGCAGAATCTCCTCGCTCCTGTGGCGCTTCTCGGCAGGGAAGATGGAGTCAGTTTCGGCCGCAGCAATGCTGAAAGGGCCCTGAATAGCAGCCAACTCGTCCTCCTCGACAAACGAGGGGTGGGCAGCATAACCGACCTTGATGCCATCCTTGTAATGTCTGACGACATACTGCATTCCACGTGTTAGCACTCCGCACGCAGCTGGCATGATTTCGAACAAAGTGAGCGGGTCTACCTTGGCACCGAAGCAATACCCAACAGCCCCCAGCTTCTCCACCCCGTATTCTTCCTTGAGTGCCTTGATCGCATCTTCAACAATAGGATCGACAGCCTCCTTTGTGTGAGGGTTGTTTCCATCAGAGCCCTTGGTCAACCACGCGTTGAAGTCGAAGGGCCCTGAGCGGTTCAGGGGCAGCGCGTCGCCATTGAACACGTCGATCAACAAGGTCAAGTATCCATTGGCAGCAAACTGGTCGGCGATCAACTTGCTGTTTTTCCAAATACCGATGACGTCGGGGATAAGGAGGATGCCAGCACCCTTGTGGGCCTTGTCGGCGGTGGGCGTCGCGAGGTAGGCGTCATGCTTGTTGGCTACTTTGATGGATTGGCCTGTGGTTTCACCTCTTGAAAAGAATAGGCGCGTGGTCAGCGATGGCGCACTGTGCTGTGTCGGGTTGATGCTTACTCGTGCTTGACACCAATGGTGCAGCATTTCGCGGGAGGATTGGACGCCATTGTACAGGGGTTCTGGGGATTCGAGCTGATGCTTTTGCAGCGAAGGAACAGGAGGAGAGATGGAGGGCTGAGCGTGTCTGCTTCAAGTGTTTCTGAACAGGCGTCGATCACGATCTCTTGCTTTCTATTTATTTTCGACAAGCACTGCTGAGCACGAAATAAGCAGCCCCTCCAGCTCCCCGCCCCCCACTTTAATCCGTCATTACCCCGCCAAATTTGCCATATCTCCGGCCCCGGCCCCTGTTCCAGGTTCCCGAATTGTCTCGGCAAGCCCAAGACACGACCCCACCTCTATCCGCTGTCTCGGTCTAGTAACATGTTGACTGAAATTCATTGTTACATAAACTCATAAACTCAAATCGAGGTATCTACAGCTAGAGACAATATCTGCACCAATGAAAAACATCACCAACTAATGATCCCCTTTTCATCCCAAAGTCACCGAGGTGTCCTTCATTCCGGAACATCCTCAATATCCTCCTCCACGCTCTTCAACCACAGCTTCTTAAACATGCCCCCTTCCCCTTCCTCCTCCACCAGCTTCCAAGGACGATCAAACTCGACCACCTTACCCTTATCTAGCACAACCACCTTGTCAAAATCCATAATGGTATCCAGCCTGTGCGCCACAGCAAGGATGGTGTAGTCGCAAAACTTCCTCCTAATCAACCTTTGAACCATCTCCTCTGTCTTCCCGTCCAAGGTACTGGTGGCCTCGTCCAAGACAAGGATATTCCCCGGCCGCACTATTGCACGAGCAAGACAGAACAGCTGCCTCTGCCCCTGCGAAAGATTGAGGCTGTCAATGTCGGCATCCAGTCCGCCAAATCTGCTGACAATATCCCAGACTTTGACCTCTTGGAGTGCAGTCTGTATTTGTGCATCCGTGGCTTGACCAAGAGGGTCGGCGTTGAGTCTTACAGACCCTTTCAGGAGGAAAGGATGCTGCGGGACACCGACCAACCGGCGGCGGACATCCTCACGGGGAATCGTGGACGTGTCCACCCCGTCAATGCAGATGGAGCCAGCGTGAGTAGCGGTCATGCGGAAGAGCGAAGACACAAGACAGGTCTTGCCGCTTCCTGTTCGGCCGCAGATAGCAACCTTTTCTCCGGCAGCGATGGAAAGAGAGATGTTCTTGAGTACAGGGTCTGAGTCACCCTCGTTGTACGCGGCCGTGAAATTCTTGATCTCAATGGCACCCTTCTGAGGCCAGTTTGGTGGTGGAGTTTGATCTTCGCCGGGAAGGTCCTCAGATGGGACAGCGGTGCTGGTGAAGCTCTTGATGCGAGCTACCGAACCAATTTGCGTCTCAAGGGTTGTCCAAAATGTGACGAGAAGTTTGACGCTCTGGCTGAACTGGATGACATTCAGCAGTGCGAGCCCAACACCACCTGCGGCAACAGTACCGCGGAGATTGACAACGAGGATAATGAGAAGAACAGCGATGGCTGCAACAAGAAGGTCCAGGACAAGAGTAAGCCAGCGTTGGACGGCATACATGAGGTAGAACGGTTTCATGGAGCGGTTGAGGAGGGTGTGATTCTTTTTCTCGAGGGCGTCTTGCCAGCCGAAAGCGCGGATGGTGGCAATTCCGCGGAGACTCCTCAAATAAGGAGTACAATGGCGCCTTGGTTTCAATATCGATCAATCGGATCTGGCGGGATGTGCGAAGGTAAAACTTCTGGACGAGATAGAGTGTGATGAGAACGATGGGGAAGGAGATGGCCGCATAGATGGAGCCAACACCGATGAGCGCCATCTGCGCGATGCAAAGAATCAACGTGGTGAATGTGTTGAGGGCAGCGATGGGGAGCTCCATGTCAATGAGTTGCAAGTCCTGGCTGAAGCGGTTCATGGTGACGCCTGTGTCTGTCTTGACAAAGAAGGACATGGGTGCACTCAGAACGGTCTTCAGGAGCGCCAGGTGGAACTTTTCTCCGGACAGAGGTACCATCTTGATGATCATTTGCCTGTTGCCGGTCAGTACACATGACAAATCTGACGATAGCAAGGATAACATACCAACAGCCAATGGTGAGACCAACAATGGCGATACCACCAAACATGGCATAAAGACCAATCCAATATCCCAGGTTATCGTTGGGGCGAATCTCATTTTCTGCAGCCCACCATTGAACCCAGACAGCTATGGTAATGTTAGTGTTTGCCTCAAAGCAAGAAAGGATCAAGCAAGGTAGGAACTCACTCGGAAACGAAATACAAAAAACAAACGCAACAATGCCCAAAACAAAGATCAAGGTCGGCCACAGCCCCACAGACTTGATGTAGTAAGTATAAATCTGCACATCACCAGTCTGTCTCCCCGAGTCCAGTGTGTTGATTGCGTCAGCTTCATTCACTGTCTGGATCTCTGACGAGGAAGAAGCAGCCCTTTCAGGACTGTGAGAATGGGAAATCCTCTCTCTGGAAGAGCCCGAGACCGAAGTCCCACAGTCGGTCTCATGCAGCTCCTTTGGACGATCAACATCAGTGGTATCATCATCATCACTGAAGTGATCGTCGTCTGGCTTGAAAGTCCAGTCCGGTCTAGAGGCCAGGGAGAAAGTAGACACGTAACCAGTGCCGGCGTGGTTGAGCTCGTCAAACGTTCCTTGAGCACTGATCGTGCCGCTGGAATCAAGACAAACGACATACGCAGCGTAAGGCAGTCTTTTGACCGAAGAGGAGACAAGCAGGACGGTAGCTTTCGTCTCTGTGAAGATGCCTTTCACACCAAATAGACTGTGGAAAACATGGTTCTCGGTTGAGGTGTCGAGACCACTGAGGACATCATCCAAGATGACAATCTCACGGCGGGCATAGACCGCTCTTGCCAAGGCGATGCGTTGGCTCTGGCCACCTGAGAGAGCGATTCCACCGGATCCTATCCGAGAGGAGTCACCGTGAGGAAGCTCTTTGAGATCACGACCAAGAGCACAGGCGCGGAGAACTCTTCCGTACCATTTGGGATCATACTTGGCGGTGCCGAGAATGGCTTCTCTAATGGTGCCATTCATGTGCCAAGGGTCTTGAGAGCAGTAGGCAACACTGGTCGAGCCAAGGTGAACAGAGCCCGACAGTGAAGGAATCTCGCCCAAGATGGACTGGAGCAGAGTGGACTTGCCACACCCAACCGGCCCAACCACCATGGTCAACTGGCGCCATGGCACAGTCAAGGTAATGTCGCTGAGGATAGGAGACTTTTCAGCATCCCAACCAAAGTCACCTTTCTCGATAAAAATGGCATGGGGCGAAGGCTTCTCCATGTCCACGATTGGCAAAGCCAAATCGAGCGAGTGCTCAGACGAGACCATGTGAGGGTCCTGTTTTCGGGGATCTTCTCTCTCATCAGACTGGAGGAAGTTTTGAATGCGGCTGAAACTACCCACGGACCCCAGAAACGTCGCTAAGGACATGACAAGGGATGCCAAAGGCTCCGAGAGCAGGGCAAACAGTGACAGCGCTGTGAAGACGCGCGCTGTGTCCAACGTCCTATCGCCAGTATCCCGTGCGCGGACGGAAAAGATGGCAAACGTCAGAACGGGTGCAAAGACCTGGGTCACATAGGCTGTCATGTGTTAGCGACTGGTTGCATTGCGAGGTTCAAGGCAGGGTTGACTCACCAAACACCATGTTCCAGATGATCAGTTTACGGAACCGCTTGGAGATGCAAAGCTCGTCCACCCGGAGCTTCTGCATGCTGGCCATCAATGTGTCCTTGAGACCACACATCTTGACGCCCTTCATGGATGATAACATGGCTGATGTGGCAGAAATACGCCGTTCAATGGCCTCCAACCACATGGCTTGCCGGGAGACGATGAAGTTCATAGCCACCATGGAGCCAAGCAATGACACTGTAATATGCTGTCAGCATGACCGTTGCGAATGATAAATTCACGTGTTGACTCACAGATTGACAAAGCTACGGGAACTACACATGCAATGCCCAGTTGCCGCTCCAACAGAAAGATGGCAACGCCTACTTCAATGGAGTTGGACCAAATCTCATGCATCGTTTGCCATCCTTGCACAATCCGCTCCATGTCGGCACTCATAAGCGTCATGGAGGCAGCAGGATCAATGTCCTTCAGACTGAGAGTGCTGGTCTTGTGATATATCATGGAGATGAGACCTGCACGAACCATCGCGATGGTACGGTATGTCTTGTGCTGGTACTGTCCCATGGTAACCTACGCATTGATGAGATGTTAGCATCGGTACACAATGTGGGGTGATGTGATGAGAGGAACATACCGCAATGCCGACATAGACGAAGAAGTAGGCCCCAATGAGGCCGTACCCAGTCTGAGTGCTCTCATCGGTGATGGGCTCCTGTGACAGTCTGATGGTGCGATTGATGAGAAATGGCTGGCAGAACATGAGGGCTGTGAGGGCAGCCCGTGGAGGAACTGTGCTCAAGACAACCCATTTCAGGACACCAAATGCTGTCAGCAATAAAGCATAAGGTGACTTGGTCTTCTTAGCACCGCCTGTGTGTCACTGTCAGCAGCTGTGGGCAAGGTCATGTCGAGGGACTGACTTACCAGAGACAGTGGCAGCCCATGCATTCCCCAAACGCCGATAATTGTAACCGGCCTGAAGATGCTTGTCCAGCTCAGGGAGGTCACGTCGCTTGTCGACATCCAACACCCGGCCTTTCTGGAAGCCCTTCCAAAACAATGGATTGAGCCACCAGAAAAAGGACCGGTTGTAGAGGCCGCTTGTCGCTTCGGGGCCGTAGCCATAGCCCCTGAACTCGGGTCGAAGCACCCTTCGTTTGCTCAAGGCTTCAACGACAAGCAAGAACCCCTTCACCACGACAGCAGTGACGGCGAGGTAAGCCAGGGAATTCTCCTTGTTGATGTCAAACGAGTCACCGTCTTCGTCCAGAGAAACAACATACGGGTCGCGTAACCACAAGGTTCGTGCCCGTGCAATGTCAAACAAGAGGGTAGCAAAGAGAAAGGCACCGATGATGGAGGACGGTCGTACGTTGCGAGTGTGCTCAACGTAGGACAGCAGCGAGAGGGCAAGAGAGGAAACAAAGGTGAGGGCAGCAGCGGCCAGGGTGGTCCGGGTTCGGACGGGGGAAGGGAGCCTTGACCAGAGGACCAGCGCTGCAAGTTGAAGGACAGCCAGCGCAACCCAGGTGGACTGTGAGATTATGATTTGTTAGAATCAAAGGTACTCTGGTGCTGACAAACAGGAGAGCCAGGCCGGGAAAAGTACATACAACTTTGACAGTTGCCAAGTGACTGCCACTGGTGAGTTTCTTGGCTTTCCTCCACATAAACCACACTCTCGGAAGTGAGACGAGCAGGATGAGTCCCGCGGGCAGGATTGTGAGGATCGTCTCTTCGAAAAATAGAGTGAAGTCGAATCCACCTCGACACTCGCCGGCGTGAGGGCCAAACGAGTTGTCAAGATGAGCGCATGCTGCCGAGACCGGAGAGGAAGCTGGCGGATCCATGACTGCACCGCGTGTTCAGACTTGAGGAGACGCGTGTTCAGTGAGTCGTCCCGACGGGTGATCAGTGTCTCATGCAACTCGACATGAGGGAACCAGACAGAGAAGAAGTCGAAGTTCCAGAAGAATCAAAAAAAATCGGGGGGGACAAGAGGTCACCCAGAGCCCTGGGTTCGCAGATGAGCGGCTACATATTAATTCTCGCCCATTCCGCCATCGATGGTTGCTTGAACTTGGCGAGTTTTGTTTGCATCTTGTTGAAAATCTTTTCCTCGTTCCCGGGACCAGGCCATCGAGAATCGTCGATCATGTCGAGAAAATAGCAGGTAGTGGCCATCTCCGTCCTTGGTTTTCAAACCCCTTTCCCTACCGAAAAGAAATTTCATGGCCCCTAGTGCCAACAACGCATCACAGACTTCCCCTTGTTACACCAGCCCATCTCCACACACCCTCATAGTAAAAAGCCACATGGAAGCCGAATCGGCCCAATAGAAAAACTCTATGGTAGCTTTAGGAAGTCAGACGTCACCCCACAGGCCGGCCCAGTTGCTGAATCCAGCGGAGCCCCGTCCCGTTCAGAAAAAGAAGCAGTCCACTCTAGGTTGGTTGTGCCTGAGCCTCCCTCCAGTCCAGGCGTCAGTGTCATGCTACGCCATCGTCATGGTGCAACATGGGCCGGCACAGAAGGCTCCCTTACTCGGTGGACGTTGGCGGACGGTTGGAGCATGCAGGCACTGAGTTTTGTTGATGCCGGCTCCCGCCTGGGGATGCGCCCCCCTATGCCGTGCGATGACCGGAGGGCAAATTACATGCAGAAATCCTGCTTTTCCCAAGACTGAGAACCAACCCTCAGCTCCCCCCTCCTGAGCCGTGAGGCGAGCCCAAGCAGCTTGGCACAGACGGAAAAACACGACAACTAGCCAGCCACTGCAGCCCCCTTTTGCATCCCATCCTTCTCCCCGGCCCTATTGCGCGAACGGCCGGCAATCTTGCTCAAGGTGACACTGCTTCTGGTCTCGTAGGTCAGCGGCGTTGGTCGGTGTGCACTCAGCCGCCCTCAACTGCAGCCAGCAGCACCTGAGCGCTCCCTTGCTTCGACATGTTGGAACCGTTCCCCAGTCCCAGCTCAGCTTCCGCTTTGGGGCTGACTCCCTCAGAATTCCGGTCCATGGTACGGTGGACGCTTCTGCGGCTGGCAACTGGCTGGCTATATTCAACGTTGTGTCCGGGGCGATCCTCGACCTGTCATCGCTGCTCCCAAGCCCGCCAGATCCTGGACCACACCTCATCATTGGCCGGCATCTCCCGCTTCCCCCACAGATCTACACATGTACTTTGTCAGCCGTTGTCCCGTCCCACCACTCCACCCAAACACCAAGTAGTGCTGAATCTCTCCCTGGTCGCCAGCGGTTGGGCCGTGTGCCGCCCCCTGGTCCAGTGCCAAGGTGCTGTCAGTGGCCCGTTAACCCCGAGAACCACTCTATACAGTGGAGTCATAGTGCATATATAGTGGAGCACTAACCACTCTTGTCCACTGGGCCACCTCTTTTCCGTCTCATCTCAACGATCTCCATTTCCTCCTGCCAAAAATCGAAAGGGTGTTGTCGATCCTCTTTGCATGATCTGATGACTCCATGATCGGATCTTTTTTCTCATTCTTGCTCCACCGGGCCCACCACCGCCAAATCCATGACAGACAGAACCTGATCGACGTTCCTGGATATGGTCTAAGCATGGTAAAAGCGTCTCCAGCGAAGCTAGCACCTGTCCAGAGATTTTCCAGATGTTACCTATGGCCAAGGTTTGTTGGGATCCCGGCCACCCGCGGTCGAAAAAAGAACAAAAGAGCGAGAGAAAAAAACAGGGCAGCGGGAGAAATGGGTGAAGGGGGCAGGCGGGAGCTGGAAGAGGCCAGAGAACGAGGTGGTCGCAAAAAAAAAGAGGAAATGAGGCAATCGATACCCAGTCTATAACTGATGTAGTTTTCTTCAACTCAGGTCCCACCTTGGCCTTCCGAGACATGATCGATCAATGTTCAGTGAGACCTGCAGTCTGAACTCATGGTAACTGAAATCAATACCTGAAGCCTTGAGTGATCAGCAACAAACAGTTTGTCCCACAAGATTCAGTGATACTTTACCGAGTACCTCATTCTACCTTTGAATTTCCCTCCTCTTCATCCACGCAATTCTTCGATCATCATGAACCCCACCGGCAACATCACCGACATGAACATGGACTGGGCCGCGTACCTGACTGGTGTGGCACCATGCCGCTTTCCGCCCTTTAGCCGCTCAGCAAAGAGCGAGACTGCGCCCAACCGCCAGCCAATTGCATCGACAACCCGGGTGCCTGTCGAGCAGGAGGATCGCGAGAAGCTGCTAGAGCTGTCTAGAGCCGAAGACCGGGACGGGCTCGGTGCTGTGCTCCGAACGGCCTGGGCTGTGCTCCTGCGCTGCTACACAGGGCAGGACGACGTGACGTTTGGATTTCAAGGTGACACACCTCATCCCGTCGTTGCACGGTTCTGCCTTGATGATGCCGCGTCCGTCTCCGTGACCGTGGAACGTGCCAAGGCCGACTTTGCCAAGCATCTGCCCCCGGTCCCGGCCGAGCTGATCCGTGCCGGCGATCACCCGCTGTTTGACACTTCCGTAGTGCTGTGGGGCCTACCCAGGTCTTCGGCACCGCGTCGTGTTATGCCTCTGGTAAGTTAGATACTTTGTCAGTTTTCCTAGTCTCACTTCATCGCGACCTTGGCTGCATAGCAAGTCAAGCTAGAGAGACACGTCAAAACTACACCCAAGACATCTCTCTCGTGAGACACCCCAGATCAGTAGCGCGAGGCCAAGATCCCTGACCCTGCTCAAAATGATCTGGACTTGGGCACTAACCCTAACCCATGATCCCTGTCTTCCCGTCCTATAACACCGTTTTGTATACCTAGCCCTAGTGATTATGTTAACAGCCTCATCTATAGCAGCAGCAACCACAACAACACAAGCTCCGCCTCCTTGTCAAAGGCGGGGAGTCAAGCTTGAATCTGTTCCTAGAGTGGAACAGTACGCTCTTGGGCATGCCCATGGCACAGGGCAACCTCATCGCCAGCACCTATGCCAAGATCCTATCGGCTCTCCTAGCGAGCCCTTTGGATGCCACACTAGGTACGCTGCCCGTTCTGAGCCGGGCCAACGAAGACCAAGTACAGTCGTGGAACAACGATGTGGTGATCGACCCAGTGGACCGGTGTGTGCATCATGTCATTGCCGACCAGGTGCTGGATCGTCCGGATGCAGAGGCCATCTGCGCGTGGGACGGCTCGCTCACCTATCGTGAACTTGACGCTGTGTCAGGTCGGCTGGCTGCACGCCTTGTTGGGTTGGGCGCAGGACCCGAAGTCCTGATCCCACTTTGCTTCGAGAAATCGGTACGTTGCATACCTACGTGACACGGTACGGCAGCCTTGCGAGAAGGTGTGTAGCTAATTTGGCGTGTATCAGAAATGGACAGTGATTGCCATGGTTGCAGTCCTGAAGGCCGGTGCAGCCTTCGTTCCTTTGGACCCCTCTCATCCCGTAGAGCGACTTCGGAGTCTCTGTGATTCGGTGGGAGCAGACATGGTCCTCTGCGCTCGTCAGCTGGTGCCAACTCTTACTCAGGTGGGGCTGGAGACAGTACTGCCTGTGGATGACCAGACTCTTGTGGAATGCCCCGAGTTGCCGTCTGATCAGCCTGGTCATTCTGTCATGACCAATGTGTCTAGCAGCAATGTTGCCTATGTCATCTTCACATCTGGCTCTACCGGCAAGCCCAAGGTAAGCAACATCATCTCTCCTCTCCCATCTTGCTGCTTGATGTTCGCTGCATCACAAATACCTGGTAACTGACTGAGTCGTCCACAGGGTACCGTTATCGAGCACCGATCCTTCTGTTCCAGTGCCAGATCTCATGCTCCGGCGCTTCGAATCGATGGCACCTGTCGAGTGTTGCAGTTCGCAGCACATACATTTGATGCTAGCCTGGTGGAGATCCTGACACCACTCATGGTTGGAGCATGTGTTTGCATTCCCAGCGAACAAGACCGGCTGAACGACCTCGCCGGGGCCATGAGCCGGTTGCGAGTTGATCATGCCGTTTTGACACCATCCTTTGTCGGTTTCCTTACCCCTGCTACCGTCCCTCAGCTTCGCAGGCTAGTTCTTGCTGGTGAGGCCATGTCACCTACGCACGTCACAACGTGGTCTCACATCGAGCTTGTCAATGGTTACGGTCCGGCCGAGAGCTCCGTCGCTGCTGTTGTCAACCCTCGCGTCGGCCCTTCCACCGAGGCCACTGATATTGGCATGCCTTGCGGTGTTCGTTGCTGGCTTGTCGACCCAACCGACCACACCCGTTTGGTGCCTGTCGGCTGTGTCGGTGAACTGCTCTTGGAGGGCCCGAGTTTGGCTCGAGGCTATCTCAACGAGCCGACCAAGACTGAGGACAGCTTTGTCTGGATGCATGGTCGACGCTTCTACAAGACGGGCGACCTTGCGAGATACAACTCGCCCAAGGGCTCTTTGAGCTATGTCGGTCGCAAAGACACACAGATCAAGTTCCACGGCCAACGTATCGAACTGGGAGAGATCGAACACCACCTGGCCGTCGATGAAAGCGTGAAGCATGCCCTAGTCCTCTTGCCCAAGCAGGGGCCATTGGCCAAGCGCCTGATTGCGATTCTTTCCCTTCCGGACTCTGTCGGGTCTACCACCACAAGCTCCACTGGTGCTTCAGTGTTGAGGCTGACTGAGAACTCTACCCTGACTGAGCCTATTCTTCAGGGCATCCGTGAGCGACTGGGCACCCGCCTCCCAGCTTACATGGTGCCCTCCACTTGGCTATGCGTCGATGAAATTCCGATGTTATCGTCGCGAAAGATGGACCGCAAGACCGTGTCGACCTGGGTTGAATCAACCCTCACCAACGACCAGTGCCAGCAAATTATCATCAGACAACAGGTTGCGTCCAACACCGACTCTGTCGATGCTGACGGCAAGGGTTCCGACAATACCCCTAGCGATGCCAACCTCACAGACGCCGAGTCCAAGCTCCGTGGTATCTGGAGTTTGGTGCTGAATCTTCCTGCTGATCAGATTGATGTCGACAACCGGAGCTTCCTCAGCCTTGGTGGCGATTCCATCACTGCGATGGCGTGTGCAAGCCAGGCCAAGAAGGCAAACATGGGACTGTTGGTGCAAGACATACTCCGTGCCAAGTCTCTGAGACGACTGGCCGAATGTGTCAGAGTCCTTGCAGAGCCGGAAGGACATGAGGCTGAAGACAAAGAAGAGGAACTAGCTCTCAACAAGCGGTTTCCGCTCTCACCCATTCAGCAGTACCACTTTCAGGCTCGCCGGCAAGCCGAGGGCGATGAGCACTTCAATCAGAGCTTCTGCCTCCGACTTGCGCGGCCCCTCGATGAGGCTGTGGTACGGAATGCCCTCAGAACTGTAGTTCATCGGCATCACATGCTGAGGGCGCGCTTCGAACAAAGCCCGGAGACTGGCGAGTGGCAACAGTACATCACCGCCGATGTGGAGGGCTCTTACCGCCTTCGCATGCATAGCAGGATCTTAATTGCTGGTGAAGCCGATGCAAGCATTGCTAGCGCCCAAGGTTGCCTCAATGTCCGTCAAGGTCCACTCATCGCAGCCGAGTTGTTTGTAGCTCAAGGTCGCGATGATGGACACCAGGTACTCTTCATGACAGCACATCACTTAGTCATTGATCTGGTGTCTTGGAGAGTGGTACTAGAGGAGGTAGAGGAGATTTTGGACAACAAGGCCTCCGTTATCCACAGATCCCTCCCATTCAGAAAGTGGAGTGCTCTTCAAGCAAGCGACTGTCAAGTCAAGGATCTTAACAAGCTGCTCCCGGGATCCGATCAGGTCCCTCCAGCACGCTTCGAGTATTGGGGTATGCAAGAGCGCCCAAACTTGTACGGTGATGTGGCCTGTGAGGGCTTCGAGCTTGATCCAAATACAACGGGCCTTTTGCTGTCAGATCAGTGTCAAGCACCTCTTCGAACAGAGACAGTGGAGCTTCTCCTGGCAGCCCTTCTCTGGTCCTTCCGCACAGTCTTCACAGACCGCCCCATGCCAGCCATCTTTAATGAGGGACACGGCCGTGAGCCTCCCCGACCAGAGATTGACATCTCTCGTACTGTTGGCTGGTTCACCACGCTATTTCCCGTGGCCTTGTCACGGCCCAACAGCTTCGTGGATGCCCTTATCCAAACCAAGGACTCTCGGCGCAAGGTGCCGGGCAACGGTCGTCCCTATTTTGCGGCACGATTCCACACCAACGGTGGACGTGAGCGATGGGCTACTCATCACAAGGACATGGAAATCTCGTTCAACTTCCTGGGTCGATACCAGCAGCTCGAGCGTGCTGGTGCTTTGTTCCAGCCTGCCTCGGGTGCCCTCATGGCCGGTGAAGCACATCCGGGCAGCCCAACAGCTGACTTTGGCCACATGGCTCTTCGATTCTCCCTCTTCGAAATCTCGGCCGTCATAGTGCGCGGTGCTCTGCGATTCGGCTTTGCTTGGAACCGCCATATGCTCCACCAGTCGTTGATCCACGATTGGGTTGCTGCCTGTCGCCAGACCTTGATTGATGCCACAAGGGCCCTTTCCTCGCTCAGATATCGCCTCACGGCTAGCGATCTTGCGCTTATCCCCGAGCTGAAGCCCGCCGACCTTGCTACCTTTGAGGAAAGTCGCCTCCCCGGACTGACAGGAGGTCGAGGATGGGAAGCTGTCGAGGACATCTATCCGGCCTCACCCATCCAGCAAGGTCTCTTGATGAGTCGAACCAAAGACGGAGACTTCTATGCTGTCCGGCGAGTGCTCCGCTTCAAGCCGCATACAGACCTTCCCTTGAGCGCGGATAGGCTTGTGCAAGCCTGGAAGGGTGTTGTGCAACATCATGCGCTGCTTCGAACCGTCTTCATTGACGCGATCAGCTCTGTGCGGGCTGGCGGCTATGACCAGGTGGTGCTCAAGGATGTCGAGCCTTCGATACAGCTGCGGGAATGTCTGAATGACAACGAGATGCTGGCAATGGCCAAAAGCCTGCAGCCCATGAAATACCAGGATAATAATGCCACCCAGCACCGCTTCTCAGTCTTCCATACCGCCGAACCCAGCAATGGCATCATCTGTGTTTTGGAGATGAGCCACACGGTGATGGATGGTGCATCCATGGACCTTTTGCTCCGCGACCTTGGCCGTAGCTACGAAGGGACTCTGAATGGGTTCCCGAAGCCACTCTTCAGCCCTTTTGTTTTCAGCCTTCAGCAGCGTGATTTGGATGAAGACATGGCTTTCTGGAAACATCATCTCGAAGGTGCCGAGCCCTGTCACTTTCCAGTTTTAACCGATGGTCTCGTCATCCCGGACCACCAGAAGGAGCTTCGTTCGCTTCGCATCTCATTCCCTGAGCTCAGCTCCTTGCGATCATTTTGCCAAGAGACTGGAGTCACTCTGCCAAACGCTTTCCATGCCGCATGGGCAGTTACGCTGGCCCGTTATACCGGCACCGATGATGTTTGTTTCGGTTATCTTGTTTCCGGCCGTGACGGCGAGCACGTCGAGGGCTCGGAAGACGCAGTCGGGCCTTTCATCAACATGGCCACTCAGAGGGTGAAACTCGAGTCATCTGACGATGCCCCTATGTCTTTGATGAGCCTTCTTGAGGCAGTGCAAAAGGAGCAGCTTGAAAGTATGCCATACTCTCAGGCATCTCTGGCTGAAGTTCAGCATGCACTGCATCTTCCCGGTGGGATGGCACTGTTCAATACGTGCATCTCGTATCGCCGACTTCTCCAACACACAGCCGAGACCAAGCCAGGATCACTTGTTTGGGAGGATGTCGAAGCTATCCATGACCCTACAGAGTATCCAATTTCGGTCAATGTTGAGGTTGACGATGATGGCTGGGCTGCCATTGACATTGACTACTGGACAGACTCGGTCATCGACGCTCAGGCGCAGAATGTGGCTGCAACCTTCCTCCAAGTTTTGGCCAACATCGTCAAGCACGCAGAACAGCCCATCTCGCAGCTCGATTTCGTCCACGACACTAGCAAGGAGCTCATTTGGGCATGGAACAAGAACATGCCACCGAACACAGCGGAATGTGTGCACCGCATGGTGGAGAAACAAGTTGCTCTTCGACCCAATTCACCAGCCGTTCGCGGATGGGATGGTGACTTCACCTATCAGGAAATGAACACTCTGGCCAATCGCCTTGCTGAGCATCTTCGAGCCTTTGGTGTCGGGCCAGAAGTTTTGGTGCCTGTCTGCTTTGATAAGTCATCGTGGACCGTCATTGCCATGCTTGCCGTCTTGAAAGCAGGCGGAGGCGTTGTTCCCCTCGACGCTACTCACCCCGCCAATGCATTGGAGGGCAAGGTCCTTGACGCGGGTGCCATCATCGTCGTTGCTTCAGAGACACGTGCCTCCATGTTTGAGACGATGGTACCGTACGTGGTGGCAGTAGGAGCAGAGATGATGCAGAGTCTCGAGGATCTTGTTGTCGAAGACGACCACACCGAGTCCTCACCAGAAGATGCAGCATTTGTTATGTTTACTTCCGGAAGCACCGGAAAACCGAAGGGTGTAATTCTTTGTCATCAAGCGCTCGTCTCCAGCGCCCTCGCACACGGATCAGCGCTAGGTTTGGGGCCACATACACGTTTCCTGCAGTTTGCAGCTCACACTTTCGACAACAGTCTGGAAGAGATGTTCACCAACCTCATCCATGGTGGCTGCGTTTGCGTTCCTTCGGAAGAAGACAGACTCGGGGACCTCCCGGGCGCCATCAGGAGGCTTGATGCCAACTTTATGGATCTGACGCCCACCGTGGCGGCATTGCTCCGGCCCGAGCAGGTGCCGAGCATTCGTGGTATGGCTGTTGGAGGGGAGGCTCTGACACAGGAGGTTCTCAATATCTGGGGCGGCGCGATCCCTGTGCACAATCAGTACGGGCCCAGTGAATGCTCCATCAACTCGACACACCGTCTCCACATTGACGCCAATGGTGATGTTGCGAATATTGGCACCAGCGTTGGCAGCGTTTCGTGGGTGGTGGACCCTCGCGACCACAATCGATTGGTACCCATTGGCTGCGCTGGCGAGTTGTTGATTGAGGGGCCCATCCTGGCCAGAGGTTATCTCGAGATGCCCGCCGAAACGGCGAGGGTGTTTGTGGAGATGCCTCACTGGGCTGCCCTGGACCCGTATCACTCAGAGAGAGGCGCCAGGAGGATGTACAAGACGGGAGACTTGGTCAGGTATAACTCGGATGGCTCGCTAATTTATTTAGGTCGAAAGGATACCCAGGTCAAGCTGCACGGGCAGCGTATCGAACTCGGCGAAATCGAACACCACGTGAAGGCGTGCCTTCCAGAAACCTCCCAATCCTCTGTCGAGCTCATTTCAGTCGGACAATCTCAGAAGGCTCTTGGCGCCTTCATCTGTCTGACCCAGGAGGATCAGTCAGATGAAAAGATTGCTATTTTTCCCATGACCGCCACTTTCCGATCCCTTGCCCAGACCATTGTCGACTCCATCTCCACCAAGATGGCCGCTTATATGGTACCATCTGTTTTCATCCCCGTCACCAAGATGCCCCTGACGTCCTCTGGAAAACTCGACCGAAAACGACTACGCAACATGGCACAGGCGCAGTTCGAGAAACTCGACAAAGACGACCCCAACGGTATCACGGCCTACCGACTCGGGGCGAAGAAGAGTGGTGGGCGGGCTCCTGAAACCGCCATGGAAAAAGAACTTCAGCAGCTGTGGTCGACCGTTCTTAATGTTGATCTTGAAGCCATTGGCGCCGACGACAGTTTCTTCCGTCACGGTGGTGACTCGGTCGGAGCTATGCGTCTCGCAACGGCTGCACGACAGAGGGGTCTCGTTCTCGCGGTTGCCACCATATTCCAAACCCCAAAGCTCTCTGAAATGGCGAAGGATATGAAGACAAGCGAGTCTCACAAGTTCGGATCGTTGAACGAGGCAGTCAACAACGAAAGCACTGTCGATTATCTGCCCGGGCCAACCAAGGCGTTCAGCCTCATTGCTTCAAAGGCTCCGCAGGACATTGAGGCTTTGCGCCAACAAGTAGCCTCGTTATGTCGGGTCAGTCCTGAAGTCGTGGAGGATATCTACCCCTGCACGCCACTCCAAGCAGGCCTTGTCGCAGCTTCACAAAGACAGCCCGGAGCATACGTTGCTGTCAATGCATACAAGCTGCCGGCCGGGACAAACTTGGAGCGATTCAAGCAAGCGTGGGCAAAGGTCGTTGCGTCCGAGTCCATCCTCCGTACAAGAGTTGTCTTTGTAGAAGATCTCGGCTTCTTGCAGGTTGTTGTTCAAAGCCCAATCTCCTGGACCACTCTGAAGGACATCAATAACCTCCCCAAAACCTCCCGCCACCTTCCACCACACGATGGCGGTATCCTGTCTCGCTACGCCATCGCGGGAGAGGAAAGCGATTCCCCGACTTTTGTATGGACCGCTCACCATGCTCTGTATGATGGATGGAGCTTGCCAACGTTGTTGGGCCGCGTCGAGCATCAGTACCACCACCCCGAGGCCCCTCTGGCGCCAGTGCCAAACTATTCACGCTTCGTCGAATACCTGTCCAACAGCGATACAGTCACCTCGGATGCGTTTTGGATCGAAGCTCTCTCCGGTTCTACAGCTCAGCAATTCCCTCCACTGCCACGCCCGGGTTACGACGTAAAAGCCACCAGCCAAGCGCGGCGATCAGTGCGGTTCACCCGTCCAAAAGGGACCGAAGTGACAATGGCGTCTCTGTTACGAGCAGCATGGGCGGTTGTGGTGTCCATCTACTCTTCGTCAGAGGATGTCACATTCGGTGAAGTGTTGAACGGACGTGATGTTCCTGTGGCTGGCATTGAAGACCTCGTGGGCCCAACCTTGACATCAGTTCCCAGGCGCATCCGCATCGACCGATCGCTCAGCGTGCAAGAAATGCTGCTTGAGGTCCAAAGACAACTGAACGGTGCCATCCCCCACCAGTTTGCCGGACTGCAGCGGATCCGAACACTCAGTCCAACTGCTGCTGCTGCATGCGACTTCCAAAACCTCCTTGTTATCGACACAGCTGAAGAGGTGGCGGAAGATAGCCTCTGGAACAACCTTGCCGGCGGAGGGTCGAAGCAAGGTGCGGACTTCTTTAGTTATCCGCTCAACGTGACGTGCACTGTCGGCTCTGGGGGTGCCTCAAACGACAGCACCATCGAGTTGTGTGCTTATTTCGATGCTGGCATCTTGGCCGAGTGGCAGGTGGTCCGGATGCTGGGCCAGTTTGGAACTGTGCTGGAGCGACTGTCTTCGATAGACAATCAGACAACAAGAATCGGGGAGATCGATCTGATGGGTGCTGAAGATAAGGAAAGGGTACGGGAGTGGAATCAGACTCCGAGTCCGGTTGTGGATCGTCGCGTGCATGACATGGTGCTCGAGGAACTGATTCGGCGGGGTAGCGGATCGACAGCCGTGGTAGGATGGGATGGAACCTTGTCGAATGGAGATCTCGACGCGCTCTCGGCGGTGCTGGCAAGGGAGCTATCGTCAAAGGGAGTCGGGCGTGGTGATGGCACTCGCTTCGTTCCCTTCTGTCTCGAGAAGTCGGTGTTTGCCGTGGTTGCACTGCTGGCCATCCTCAGGACAGGAGCAGCCTTTGTGCCACTGGACCCAGCCCACCCAGTCGAGCGCATGAGGGAGATTGCAAGAGACTGCGACGCCAAACTTATTCTGTGCTCCCCGCAGTTTGAGAGCACCTGCCTCCAGGTTGTCGACACCATCGTTCCTGCCGATCTGGCTAGTGTCAAGAGTCTGCTCGCGGCCACCACGGAAAGTGTTACTGGTGAGTTGACCCCGCCTGCCTACCCACCCACCCACCTTCCCGTTCATTATTGCTAACAATGAAATGATGGATCAGATCAAGGACAGCTTCAGCTCCACGATGTCTCTGTCCCAACCGACCCGGCCTATGTCATCTTCACCTCGGGCACAACGGGCAAGCCCAAGGGCACCCTCAGTATGTTTTCTTCATTTTTCATCTTCATCTTTGCTGTCTCTCGTACTGACCGCTGCTCTCTTCCCGTTATCCTTAGTTTCCCATGCCGCCTTCTGCTCAGGTGCCGCTGCCCATGGGCCAGCCATGCTCATGAACCCTCCCTTCCGCTTCCTCCAGTTTGCATCTTACACCTTCGATGCCTCGATGGTTGAGATCTTCACCACTCTCATCATGGGTGGTAGTGTGGCCGTTCCTCGTGGGGAAGACCGCACCAACGGCAACATTGCTTCTGTCATGGAACAGATGGAAGTGACCATGACCTTGCTCACTCCCTCCTTTGCCCGTGTCCTGAAGCCCAGTGATGTTCCTCACCTCAAGACACTGATCCTGGGTGGTGAGGCCATGACGCAAAGCCATATTGACACCTGGGCTGACAAGGTCAACTTGGTCAACGCCTACGGCCCGAGCGAGTGTGCCGTGGTGGCTACCGTGAATCCCCTCATGCACCGCGCAGCCATCCCGTCCAATCTCGGAAGAGGAATTGGTCGTTGCTGGATTGTTGACCCCCAGAACCATAATCGCCTCGCACCACTTGGATCCGTTGGTGAGCTGCTCATCGAGGGTCCCACACTGTCGACCGGTTATTTGAGAAACGAGGTCAAGACCAAGGAGGTGTTTATCGAAGATCCTCAATGGGCCAAGGCGGAGTCTCTGCGCTTCCCAGACATGCCACCATCTTCTCCGCGCCGCATGTACAAGACCGGAGACCTTGTTCGCGTGTGCGACGATGTGTCTGGCGAGATGTTTTACATGGGACGCAAGGACTCGTCTCAAGCCAAGCTCAACGGCCAGCGCCTGGAGTTGGACGAGATTGTTCACCATCTAGCTGCTGATGATGGCATCCGACATGCTGTGGTCACTATCCCCAAAACAGGTGCATGTGCCAACAGACTTGTTGCTGTTGTCTCTCTTCGATCAGCTCCCCCGGAGGCTGTGGACCCGACTATCAAGTTCCATATGGTGACGTCCAGGCAGGCGTGCGACGCCGTCAAGCAATCAGAAGACCGATTACGACAGAAGCTGCCACCGTACATGGTGCCTTCAACATGGCTTGTCCTTCAAGAAATACCGCTTCTGCCGTCTGGAAAACTTGACCGCACCAGTGTCGTCCGGTTTGTGGAAAATATTGACGAGGAGACTCTGGACACAATCAACCGCGCCGTCTCGTCTGCTGTCGACTCAGTTCACCAAGGTCACTCTGCCACACAGGATGATGTTGTTTCTGTGGAAGAGAAGCTCAAGTCTGTCTGGAGCCAGGTGCTCAATATCACACCAGACAGAGTTGGACGCAATGTCTCCTTCCTGCACCTTGGAGGTGACAGCATCACCGCAATGCAAGTCATGGCTCGCTGTAGATCACTGGGCCTCACTGTCACTGTGCGGGACATCATCAGCAGCAAATCGGTCCATGACCTCGCCCTGAAGGTTGACGCCCCTCGCCATCAACGACAAGGCCCGAAGGCCAACGGCGAGGACCAACACGACTTTGACCCATCGCCGATCCAACAGCTGTACTTCGAACAGCTGATGGGTGGCAATGCCCCATCTGCTGGATCTCGGAACTTCCACCAGTTCAACCAAAGTGTTCTTCTGAGGCTCGCAAAACACGCTACCGCTCATGATCTCGAGCGTGCCATCCAGGCCTTGATCACAACACATTCGATGCTCCGCGCTCGGTTCCGTCGCGGGGGCACGGGACACTGGCGGCAGCGCATCACAACTGATGTCAGGGGCTCATATCGCTTCAAGACACACGCCATTAGCGACCAAAGTCGAATCGAGAAACGTGTTCAGAATTCTCAAAAGGCGCTCGATATCCAAAACGGTCCCTTGTTGGCAGCAGACTGGCTCACGGTCGGCAAAAGCGACAAAGATGTGTTCGTCTTCATCACGATCCACCATCTCGTGGTCGACGTTGTCTCGTGGGGCATCATTCTCCAGGACCTGGAAGACTTCCTAGCCACTGGGAAAATCATGGCCCCTGCGTCACTGTCTTTCCAGACATGGAGCCGTAAGCAGTCTGAGCAGGCCCAGTCGCAAAAGAATGGCTCCTCGTTGCTTCCGCACCACGAGCCTGCAGCCGAGGACCTGCAGTACTGGGGAATGATTGGTACCTCGAACGTTCAAGGCGATGTTGTTGAGGGTGCTATTGTTGAGTTGGACGCAAACACAACTAATCTGCTGCTTGGGCCGGATTGCCACAAGCCCCTCCAAACTGAGCTGGTTGACGTTTTGCTTGCAGCCTTGTTGGTTTCATACCGCAGCGCAACACCTGACCGGCAAGGTGCACCCACGATTTATAATGAAGGACACGGACGTGAGACGGGGGATGACACAGTTGATCTATCAAGAACTGTTGGATGGTTCACAACTCTATCGCCAGTGCACCTGCCAGAAGAGTCTTCCTTGGGTAAGACAACATGTGCCTGTTCTGTTTTGGGACATCATACTAATCTCACTGTATTTCTCATAGATGGAGATATCGTCAACGCGATTCGCTGGATCAAAGACTATCGACGTCGTTTGCCCGAGAAGGGTCGCCCATACTTTGCTTACCGCATGCTCACCTCGGAAGGCCGCGAAAAGTACGGTCACCAGTGGCCCGTAGAAGTGGCCTTCAACTACCTCGGGCAGATGCAGCAGCTCAGCCGTACTGACAACTTCCTGCAATCCTGCGATCATCTCTCAGTGAACTCGGAATCTGATATCGGGAAAGACGTTCCCCGTTTGGCACTCATTGATGTGTCTGCAGTTGTCTCAGCAGGGCGTTTGAGGCTGTCGTTCTCGATCAACAAACACATGAAACGCCGGGATGCCATCAACACGTGGGCGAAGAACTGCCAAGGTCTTCTTCGAGAGGCCGCCGAAAGATTGATGGATCGTGCACCCGAGAAAACTCTCAGCGCATTCCCACTGTTGCCCCTAACCTACTACGGCCTGGAAAGTCTCAACGAGAGACTGCGGTCTATCGAGGTCAACCCCAGCAATGTTGAGGACGTCTACCCCTGTTCGCCGATGCAGCGCGGCCTGTTGTTGAGTCAGCTTCGTGACCCAGAAAAGTATGCCTACAGCGCCGTTTTTGAGGTTCAGTCTTCCGCGGGAGAGGTCAACCCGGAACGGCTGCACGATGCTTGGCAAGTTGTTGTCCAACGCCACGCAACTCTCCGGACGGTGTTTGTGGATACTGTCGGTGATGAGGGTTTGATGGACCAGGTCGTATTGCGCGAGTTCCCCGGCAGGGTTTATACCATGACCTGCGAGGACGCTGGTCAAGACGCTGACAAGGCCATTGTTTTCTGTCTGGAGCAGATTCAGGGCATCGACTACAACGAAAAGAAGCCATCGCACCGCCTCATAATCTGCAACACGGCTAATGGACGGACCTTTTGCAGACTCGAGATCAGCCATGCGATCTGCGACGGTTCTTCGATACCAATACTGCTCGATGACCTGGCGGATGCTTACGGTGATGGGGACGATTCAAAACCCATCAAGATCCAAAAGTCTGCACCGCTTTATCGCGACTACATGGCTTACATCCAGTCTCAACCTCGTGCCGACAGCGTTGCTTACTGGAAGAACTATCTCGACGGCGTTGAGCCTTGTCTGTTTCCCGCTCTCTCGGACGGCCACGCTCATACAGAGCCATCACTTGGGTCTCACATCATATGCTTTGACCGCCAAGTCATGGGTGAAGTCAACACATACTGTGCTGACTCGGGAATCACACTCTCGACACTGCTTCAATTTGTATGGGCCATGGTTGTGCGATCCTACACGGGTTCGGATGATGTCCTCTTTGGCTACTTGGCATCTGGAAGAGACCTCCCTGTGGCCAACATCGAGCATGCTGTTGGCGCCTTCATCAATATGCTCGTGTGTCGTGTCCACATTCCCTCTGATGCCGAAATTGCTGAAGCTTTAGACACCATCAAGGGTGACCTCGCGGATGCCATGGCACACCAGAGCTGCTCCCTTGCCGAAATGCAGCATGAACTGCGACTCGCCGGCTCGGCCCTTTTCAACACGGCTTTTACCTACCAGAAGCGAGGCCGTGCGCAGTCTTCTTCTTCGCAGTCCGATCTCCGGTACCGCGTCGTGAGTTCGGAAGACCCAAGCGAATATGTTGTGGCCGTCAACGTCGAGGCCACGGACGACAAGGTCGAGGTTCACTTCAGCCACTGGAGAAATATCATTTCGGACGCTCAGATCAGAAACGTTGCCAACGCCTTCCAGCAGACTCTGTGCGATATCGTCACAGATAAAGGGGATGACTGCACTGTGGCTGAGATTGACATGGTCGGCCCAGCCGGGCTCAGCCAGATCTGGTCGTGGAACAACTATGAGCTACCGTGTGTGGAGCGGTGTGTACACGACATCATATCGGAGCACGCTCTTCGACGTCCTTTAGACACCCCTGCTGTTTGTGGGTGGGATACATCCTTCACCTATGTCGAACTCGAGGCTGCAGCATCAGCCTTGGCCCGCCATCTCGTTGAATGGGGACATGTTGGCCCAGACACCTTCGTGCCGCTCTGTTTCGAGAAATCTGCCTGGACTGTTGTGGCTCAAATTGCCGTTCTCAAGGCTGGCGGTGCGTTTGTGAATCTGGATCCCAGTCACCCAAGCGGCCGGCTCGAGCAGCTCATCCAGGATGTCGGGGCTCAAATCGTCCTCTGCTCCCCTCTGCATCAGGAGAAGATGGCCAAGATTGCACCAAAGACCCTCATCGTCAATGCCGATTCCATCACTACTTTCTCTCAGGAGCGGTCAGGGGCAACTTCTTTCCCAGCGAGGCCAACCAACGCCGCCTATGTCATCTTCACATCCGGCACGACGGGCAAACCAAAGGGCACAGTGATTGATCATGGAGCATTCTGTACGGGGGCTCTCGCTCATGCTCGTGCCATGTTCATGCACTCAGACTCGCGCGTCCTTCAGTTTGCTTCCTACACATTCGATGCAAGCGTCATGGAAACACTTTCTTGCCTGCTCGTTGGCGGTTGCGTGTGTGTCCCGTCAGATGAGGCCAGGATCAATGATCTTGCAGCTGTGATCCGTGACATGAACATCACCTGGACCTTGCTCACGCCATCAGTGGCGAGCACCGTCAAGCCAGAAAGTGTTCCTTGCCTAAGGACACTTGTCACGGGAGGCGAAGCGATGGCAGCGGGTCATATTGAGCGCTGGGGTACCCAATGCGCACTGGTCAACGCCTACGGTCCTACAGAGTGCTCAGTGGTGGCCACTACCAGCACCAAAGTCGATGAGTCGCATCGCGTATGCAATGCCGATCGGTCCAGTATTGGCAGTGCGGTAGGTGGTCGTGTCTGGGTTGTGGACCCCCAAAACATCCACCGCCTGGTGCCTGTGGGTGCCATTGGTGAGCTTGTGGTTGAGGGAAGACTGGTCGCTCGAGGCTATCTCAACAACAAAGAGCAGACAGACAAGGCGTTCATCCGATCACCCCCCGAATGGATGAGCCACCCGGTCCTTGAAGGCATCGAACAGACCTATCCGCCAGGTCTCACTGTTGGTATCTACAAGACCGGCGATCTCGTGCGATGCAACTCGGACGGATCCATCTCCTACGTGTCTCGAAAGGACACACAGATAAAGTTGAACGGAAGACGCATTGAGCTTGGCGAGATCGAATCTAACTGCTTGGCGGGCCTTCCAGCGGACTCACAGCTCGCTGTCGATATCGTCACTCCTGCCAGCAGCCGGGCCGCAACAAAGTCACTGGCTGTCTTCTTCTGCTGCAAGGTTGTGGAAGAGGCTGCCGATACACCTGCTGGGTTCTGCCTCCTCCCCATGAGTGACCCACTCCGTCAGGTTGCCCAAGCCCTCAAGACTCACCTCATCGCCGTCATTCCTGCCTATATGGTCCCACAGCTCTTTGTGCCTGTATCTGGAATGCCCTGGACCAGTGCAGGGAAGCTTGATCGTAGACAACTGCGTCGAGCCATCGAGGAAGATGTCAGCAGAGAGCTTTTGGCCGGCTACAGGTTGTCTGCCGCTGCTGCCACCAGCAAGCGCCGCGAACCAGCCAGCGAGGTTGAGAAGAAGTTGCAAGGTTTGTGGGAAACCGTGCTGGGGCTGCCGAGTGGTTCTGTGAGCCTTGACGATAGCTTCTTTGGTTCTGGCGGCGACTCCCTCACTGCCATGCGTAATTTGGGCTCACGCGCCCACAAAATGGTTTTGTCTATCTTGGATGTATTTGAGAAGCCCACCCTCGCCGAGATGGCACTCGCTTGTGTTCGGGAACAAAACACGACAACGTCAGTTCAGCAAGCACTTCAGCCATTCGACCTCGTGCCCTGCCCCAAGACGAAGCTCGATACCCTTCTCCATGAGGTGTCTTCCCGTTGCCATATGGACCGCCAAATGATCCAAGACATATACCCATGCAGTCCATTGCAAGAAGGACTTGTTGCTCTTGCCAACAAACAAGAGGGTGCATACGTGGCCGTCAATACTCTACAGCTTCCACACAACGTTGATATGGATTGCTTCAAGGCAGCTTGGCAGAAGGTTATCGACGACACGGATCTCCTACGAACTCGGATAGTCCACACAGCCACTTCCGGGTTTCTGCAGGTGGTCACCGCACCTCAGCCTGTCGTCTGGCATCAAGATGGCCACCTAGACGAGGCTGACTTGCGAGGCAAGGCATTGGGGCATCAAAACGGTGGCGAGCTCACTAGGTATTCTTTTGTGAAGCACGGCGACGCTTGCCACTTTATCTGGGCTATCCACCACGCTCTTTACGATGGATGGAGTCTCCCTCTCATTGCCCAACGAGTCCAAGAGACTTACCACCAACTTCAAATGTCCGAAAGAGCCAAATTCTCCTTGCCCGACGAACCCAATAGCCATGCTCGCTACGCCAGTTTCATCCAGTATTTGGGTCAGCGCGATGTTTCTGCCTCGGAGATGTTCTGGACCAACCTCCTTGATGGCGCATCGTCGGTTACACATTTCCCGCAACTCCCTGCAACTGTGGCATCTATGAATACTACGACGAAGAAATTCCGGGCAGAGACATGCAAGCTCAATCTCGGCCGAGCACAGGTTCTTGCAGACATCACAATCCCCACCCTGATTCGGGCGGCTTGGGCCATCACCCTCGGCGCTTACACTGGGACTGAAGATGTAATCTTTGGTGAGACGTTGTCTGGTCGCAATATCGACCTACCCGGCGTCATGGAGATGCCAGGACCCACCTTCACAACAGTCCCCACAAGAGTTCGGCTATCACGAGATATTCCCGTAGTCCAATTACTACGCAACATCCAGGCGCTGACAAGCCGGTTGGCCCCTCACCAACATCTGGGACTGCAGCATATCAAGAAGCTTAACCAAGACTGCGCGGGCGCTTGTGACTTCCAGAATCTACTGACGATTCAGAGCTCGCCATCTTCCCGACAAAACACCGAGTTTGCAGACGTCCCCTGGGACTTTCAAGGGGGGTCTTCCACAGAAGGCTTCTTCACACATCCGCTTGTGCTCGAATGCACCGTTTCTGATGCGGGCATCCAGGCGACCATTCACTCGGACGAGGATGTCCTTTCAGACTGGCAGACTAAGCGCCTTGTGCAGCAGCTCGAGTCTGTTTTGCAAGCACTTGCCAGTGCCTCCAAGAGCGTCAACACCACTCTAGCCAGCATCCAAGTCATCAGTGCCGATGACCAGGCGCTCATTGCCAAGTGGAACCGCATCAACGCCCAAGGAGATATTGAGCACGTCGTTGACTCGTGTATTCACAGTCTCTTCTTGAGAGAGGCTTCCGCACATCCAGACCGCGTTGGAATCAGTGCATGGGATGCTGAACTCACGTACGGCGAAGTCAAGGAGCACGCGACTCGGTTGGCGTTCCGTCTGAGGCAGCTTGGAGTCGGCCCAGAGACCATGGTCCCAGTCTGTGTTGAGCGGTCTGCTTGGGCCGTGGTCACGTTGCTGGCAATTCTTATGAGTGGTGGCGCATTTGTGCCCCTGGATCCCGATCATCCTGCTGCTCGACACAAGGATATGATAGAGACAGTCAGCCCACCGTTGCTGCTCTGCAGTCCTGCATACGCCACCCGGTTCCAGCATCTCGTCAAGACTTGCCTGTTTGTGGACAGCGACATTATCCGCGGCCTCCCTTCGGGTGGCTTAGGACTTGTCAATAAGAATGGCGCCCGCCCTGACAACACGGCCTATGTTCTCTTCACATCGGGCAGCACCGGGCGTCCGAAGGGTGTCGCGGTTGCTCACGGTGATTTCTGCTGCAGCTCTCGCGGCTACGCCCGTGCAACCCACATTAAGTCGTCCTCGCGCGTTCTGCACTTTGCCTCGCTCACCTTTGATGTCGCCCTGATGGAGGTGCTTACGCCCCTGACGCTGGGAGGATGTGTCTGCGTTCCTACAGGAGAAGAGCGGCTGCATAACCTTGGCGAGGCGATTGTAAGACTGCGCGCCACATGGGCATTCCTCACACCGTCAGTGGCCCATTTGCTTGACCCTGATATCGTCTGCCCTACGCTCAAGACTCTTGTGTGTGGCGGCGAGGCCATGTTGGCCGAGACTGTCGAGCGCTGGGCTGATCGTCTGGAGCTCATGAACGGCTACGGTCCTACCGAAGCGTCAGTGTTGGCTGTTGTGAACCCCCGTGTTTCAATGGAGCGTGATTCAAGCATCATTGGTCGCGCAACAGGGGCAGCACGTGCCTGGGTTGTGGATCCTAGAGAGAACTACAATCATCAACTGGCACCAGTTGGAGCTGTGGGTGAGCTTGCTATCAGCGGTCCACTCCTCGCTCGGGGGTATCTCAATGACCCTCAAAAGACAGCCAAAGTGTTCATCGACAGTCCGGCGTGGGGACGTGGCCCTGCTGCTGGAGCCATGCCCGCCACTCGTATCTATCGCACCGGAGATCTCGTTCGATACCGACACGACGGTGCTCTGGAGTTCTTCGGCCGCCGAGATGGCCAGGTCAAGGTCAACGGCCAGCGGATTGAGCTGGGTGAGATTGAAAGTCGCCTGTCTGTTGATGATCGTGTAAGCCTGGCATTGGTGGTCCAACCCAAGGCAGGGCCTTGCAAACGACAACTGGTAGGCGTCCTCACCCTTGGTGGTGATGCTCACAGCCATCCCAACACTGGCGACAATCAGAATGGGGACGAGGTCTCCATCACTCAAGATTGCTGCCCAGTTGCGGGTTCCGCTGATTGTCTTGCCCGAATTCGCACTGCCATTGCCGACATTCGGAGCAACCTCGGAGACTCGCTCCCGCACTACATGGTTCCTTCTGTGTGGGTTGTTCTTGAGAGGATGCCTGTGGTAGTGTCGGGCAAGTTGGATCGAGTCAAGGTGGGAAGATGGGTTGAGAGCCTGGATGACGCGGCGTATGAACGGATATCGCACGACTTTGGGCTTGCAGGGGAGGATGAAGAAGAGATCGAGGTGACCGGTCCCATCAAGACTCTGAGAGACATCTGGGCCAAGGAGCTCAACATCCCCGCAGATCGCATCAAACTGAACAAGGCATTCCTTAGTCTTGGTGGCGACAGTATTACGGCCATGGGCGTGGTCTCGCGTGCCCGTGTCGCCAAAATCAAACTGTCGATTCAGGATGTTCTTCGCTCCAAATCTATCGTCCACCTTGTGGAGCTCGCAAAGTTCTCGCACTCGGAGCCATCTAGCAACCAAGGACCCAAGGCTGAGAGCGGTGAGGACAAGCCATTCCCTCTGTCACCGATTCAGACCTTATACATGAGCTCTACCACCAAGTACTCAGGCGACGCACGCTTCAACCAAAGCTTCTCTGTCAATGTTGCACGGCATATCACATCCGACACCATCAAGCAGGCGATCGAGTCGATCGTTGCACGACATAGCATGCTACGCGTGCGATTCAATAAGACGGCCAGAGGTACCTGGCAGCAACAAGTCCAAAAGGTATGTCCCTTGATCGCCTCCTCATGTCTCGTGATGCCCTCGAATACTAACGAAGTAATCAGATACAGGCCAATGCCTACTGCCTCGTACAACACCGGGTCAATTCTCGCCGTGATATTCCTGCCATCGTGGCCACGGCTCAGAACAGCTTGGATATTGAGAGGGGTCCTGTGTTCCGAGTAGATGTTTTTGACGCCATGGCTGAAGACGAGACCATCATTTCCATGATTGCCCACCATTTGTGCGTCGACATGGTCTCATGGCGTATCATCGTCCAGGACCTTGGTCAGTTCTTGGAGACGGGTTCGTTGCCACAGGACGAACGCCTTTCCTTCAAGGAATGGTGCACCATCCAAGCTGCCAACACCGCATCACTTGACAAGGACACTCTCCTCCCCTTCAAAGAGGTCCCAGCTGATCCCCTGTACTGGGGAGTGAGCAACCCTCTGACATACGGCACAACGGAGACCAGAGCATTCTCACTCGACGAGAGAAACACAAAGATGGCTTTGACTGATTGCCACAAGACGTTCAGAACGGAGCCATCTGAGCTGTTCGTGGCAGCTATTGGCCACGCATTCTCTATGATCTTCCAAGACCGGGTCACACCCACAATCTACACCGAAAACCATGGGCGTGATCAAGCGTCGGATTCTGAAGTGGACTTGACTCAGACCGTCGGGTGGTTCACGTCGATCTGTCCCTTGCATGTTCCGGGCGGGGTTGATGAGGTAGATACGGTGCGCAGGACCAAGGACATGCGACGCAGCATCCCAGAGAACGGTCGTTCGTACTTTGCCAGGAAATGGCTGGATCCTGCCGCCAACAGAGAAAAGTCGACACCCATGGAGGTCCTTTTCAATTACCTTGGAGGTGGTGTCCGGAATGTCGACGATGCAGACGACTCGATTGTGAGGGCAGTCGACCTCGCTGACCATGAAGGGCTAGTAGCCGATGTGGGACCCCAAACACCAAGGCTTGCTTTGTTCGAAATTTCCGCCATTGTGGTAAACAACAAGCTTCAGTTCAGCTTCGTGTACGACAAGGGCCTTCAGAAGCTCAATGATGTTCGCCGTTGGGTTGGTCTCTGCAAACAGAGCCTCGAGAAGATGGTCGCTTCTCTCGTCCAACAGCCGGCAGAGCCAACCTTGAGCGATTATCCCCTCCTGACCCCCCTGACGTATGGTAACCTCCACAAGCTCAGTCAGACCGAGCTTCCACGTCTTGGAGTGCACTCTATTTCCCATGTCGAAGACATATATCCTTGTACCCCTGTGCAGGAGGGCATGTTGATTGGGCAGCTACGCGATGTGAACGCCTATTTCTTCCATGGCATCTACGATGTCAAACACGCTGACTGTCGTCACCGGTTGGATGCTAACAAGCTCCTGCGTGCATGGCAAAAAGTGGTCGACCGTCACGCTGCTCTGAGAACCGTGTTTGTGGAGAGTAGCAGACGGGGAGCGGTTTTCGATCAGCTGGTGCTCAACAGGGCAGACTCGGGTGCTGTGCTGTTGAGGTGCAGTGACGAAGATGTCTTTGGCCGCCTGAGCCAAGTGACGATTCACGCGTCTGCCAAACTCCGAAAGTCCAAGCGTCAACCTCAGCTCCCACATCAACTGACCATCTGCACGACTCCAAGCGGCCGAGTTGTGATCAAACTGGAACTCAACCACGCGGCTGTTGATGGCGGTTCCCTTGCCATCATCCTTCAAGAGCTTGCTTCTGCATACAGTGGGTCTCTCGAGCTCCGTGCAGGCCCTCTGTTCAGCAAATATGTCCAGTACATCCGCAGTCTACCTGCCGGCGCCGACACCGAGTATTGGATGACATATCTGAAGGGTATCCGGCCCTGCTATTTCCCCAAGCTCATTGAGGATACTGCCACAGACAGCACCAACGACAGGAGACTCGGCTCTTTGACCCTGCCATTCGATCGGTTTTCGGAGCTGCGTCAACTGTCAGAGCATGCCCACGTCACCCTGGCAAACATTATTCACACAGCATGGGCTTTTGTTTTGCGAAAGTACACCAGAAGCGACGATGTCTGCTTCGGGTATCTGACGGCAGACCGCGACGCCCCGGTTGATGAGATTGACAAAACGGTCGGGACTCTGATCAACATGCTCTGCTGCCGCATCCAAGTCACTGAAACCCAAGCACTTGAAGATTTGTTCCGTGCAACTCAAGATCAGCATTTGCAGAGCGTGTCGTTCCAGCGTTGCTCTCTCGCCCGGGTTCAGCACGAGCTGGGCCTCGCCGGGAAGCCGTTGTACAACACTTCTATCTCGACACAGAACCATGGGAACGGGAACGATTGGGGACGCGGTGATGGAATTCGGCTCGAGATGGAAAAAGCACACGATCCCAGTGAAGTGAGTCAACGCTGCACCTACTAACCCTTCTGGTAATCTTGAGCTTCGCTAACTCTACGGTCAACAGTATGCTGTCACTGTCAATGTTGACACATCGAGAAATAGCGAGGGTGTGGTCTTTCGGTACTGGACTAATCACATCACGGCTGAGCAGGCTGAAGAAATGGCACAAACCATGGCCAGCATTCTCAACGCATTCATTTCCCAGACAGCAAAGTCTGTTGCCGCTCTGGACCTGGCCATCTCACACCGCTCCACTGCCGGAGACCTGGAGCCCGAGAACATTCCTAGCAGCGGACGGACATCATCCAGTGCCGACTCTTTCCAGACTGTCCCGTCGCAAGGACCACGGAGCACTTCGCACAAAACCACACTTCTGACGTTGTGGAGTGCATTGTTGGACCTTCCACAAGATTCCATCAGCGGGCCAGACAGCTTTTTCGAACTTGGCGGTGATAGTATCACGGCCATGAAGCTGGTTGGTGAAGCCAAGGACCATGGGCTTGCCCTCACAGTCGCTGACGTTTTCCGAAATCCATGCCTGGATGACATGGCTGCGAGCGCAAGCGCCGCCGATACGTACGCTTCAGATGAGTCAACGGCAAACGGGGCCGATGGATTCACCAACATGACAGCCTCCATGCTTCAGGATACCCACGAATACGAGCGATTCTCCCTTCTGGCGGCATCCAATGTTGACGCTTTCCTTCAGACGGACATTGTCCCTCAAACGGGTGTCTTTAGAGGGGGGTTGTCTGACGTTCTTCCCGCCACCGACTTCCAATCGTTGGCAGTCGCCGGCTCGCTTCTCAGATCTCGCTGGATGCTCAACTACTTCTACTTGGATGGCGATGGGCTTGTCAACTTGGTCCGGTTGAAACGAGCATGCTTCCGTCTGGTGCAGTCCCTGGATATTCTCCGGACCGTCTTCGTGCCTTCGGGCGGGCGATTCCTCCAAGTAGTCTTGCGGACAGTTCGACCAGCCTTCCACGTTATGGAGGTGGAGAACGAAGATCAGCTCGATACTGCTACACAGGAGATGCAGAGACGGGGTGGATTTGAAGGAGAGCTCGACGTCGATGGGGAGACAACACCACGTCTCGGCGAACAGTTCGTGCAGTTTACGGTTCTGCGCTGTCGCCAAAGCACTCGCCACAGAGTCCTCCTGCGGATTTCTCATGCCCAATATGACGGTGTGTGCTTCCCAAAGATCCTGGATGTTCTTGTTGCCGAGTATCGTGGCGAGTCGGTGGAGCGTCCACCATCTTTTGCAAATTATCTACGTGCATCTGCTGGCACCTTGACATCGGAACATTACCAACACTGGAAGAAGCTTCTTCACGGTTCATCCATGACCGAGGTTGTCCGCCGCATGGGGCCAAACTATCGGAGAGCCGGGACTGGAGCAACCGCCTGTCTGAAAAAGGTTGCTTATTTGCCCCTTGTGGACTCGGGACGCGTCACCACCGCAACTGTTGTCAAGGCTGCCTGGGCCTATGTCCTGGCGCAAGTCTCGGCCAGCAACGATGTGGTGTTTGGCCACACTGTCAGCGGCCGCAATGCATCAGTCGCCGGCGTTGAGAGCATGATTGGCCCTTGTCTCAATCTGCTTCCAGTTCGTGTCAAGTTTGGCACGGCCGGCAGCACAGCGAGGAAGGTTCTTAATCAGGTTCAGGAGCAGCAAGTTGCGAATATGCCACACGAGGTTCTTGGCTTCCGTGAGATTGTTCGCCATTGCACCAGCTGGCCTCGCTGGACCTACTTCACCACCACAGTCCAACACCAAAATGTCGACCAAAGCACTCATGTGAGACTTGGCAATGTTGACTACCGCGTGGGGTGCGCAGCAGGTGCCGACGAAGACTTTTCTGATCTCTCTATCTTCTCACAGCGAGCGGAAAGTGATGGAGCTGATATGTACGAGATGATGCTCAGCTTTGCCGAAGACGGCCCAGTTCCCCGCGAGTTTGCTGAGCGCGCATTGGACATGCTCTGCAGCGCCGCAGAATTGTTTTGCGCCAACCCTGATACACCACTGCCGTCGGACACTGAGATTTCTGGTGCCGCTCATCAGTTGCCGTTCAACGATATTTCCACACAAGACAACGACGAGGATACTTTTGCTGTATCCCGCTTGCGACATGTCAAGAAAAGCCAGATCGACAACCTCTCCACACTGGTCAAGAAGGCTTGGTTCCAGGTACTGAGTCTGCCAGCGACTGACGATACCATTAATATGGACACATCTTTCTTCGCCGTCGGAGGAGACATTGTTGATCTTGCGCAGGTAGCATTGCTACTGGAACAAAAAGGTCTGCCGGAGCCCAGGTTGGAGGATTTGATTGACCATGCCACCTTGAGGGGTCACATGGCTGTCGTTGCTTCTCTATCTGGCGTGGTCTCAACTACCGATGACAGGAGAACCACTACGGCTGGGCACCAGAGTGACAGAGCTAGCATTTTGACGGTGCCTAGTGTCCATCAGGACGACAACTCGTTTGCCAAGGTGGTGAATATTGTGAGGATGGCGAAGAAGTTCATGGTTAAGCCTAAGGCTAAAGGACAGAGGGTGCACGCTACTATTTGAGCAGGTATTGAAGATGGCGTGGGCAAATGTTAACGAGGGAAAGATAAGGGATGGGATACTGACCAAGTGAAAAGGGGGCAACGCCGTTGTGGTGAGACAAGGTTGGCAGGTATTCGGGCAGTTTTTGTTTTTCCACTGTTTTTACAGTCTCTTGATTTCAGTTGGTATTTGGAGTTGTTACTTGGAATTTCTGCAAATTTTTACAGAATACGAGGTGTTGGGTGGTGTTTATATCTAGGTGGTTTTATTCTCCTTTCATAAGTTCATTTTCTAGAACCAAACTTGTGCTACTACTCTACTTATCACTCTCAATCTTTGTGAACGTTCGTACTGGTACCTACTTGGCTTTGTGCCGCCATCCAAATGTTAAGCTTTTCAACAGCCCGATGGCTCTCAGCTCATTGCAGACAAACGTCATATCACCCTCATTCAACGCTAGCAAAACCTCCCATTTACCCTCTTGTTCTTCTGTCCCTGCCTGTCGTTCGTTCCCCTGGCGTCGCGGAAGGATGTTCATGCTCCCGTCGTTGGCGCTCCACGTTTTCCTCGCCCAGTCTGGCCGGCTGTTGACCGTCCCGAGGATACCGAACCGGACGTCTGCGCCGAGGAAGCTCCAGGAGGAGGAGTCGAGTCCGGTTGTTGACTGCTGGACTGTGTTTTGGTGGGCTATGGCGAGGTCATGTGGCGGAGTGGAGGACAGAGTTGCTAGGTGCTTGGATAGTGAGGGGGTGATGGTGGGATCGGTGGAGGTGCTGGCGGTGATGGATTGGATGCTGTAGCGGATTTTGGAGGGCGGCGGTGGCGATTTGTGCAATATTGGAAGGGGTTTGGGGTTGATGGTCGGGTGAGGAGGGAGCAACAGGCTTTGACGGGGGAAGTTGAAGGCCATGAGGGTGAGATGTACTGGGAATTGACTGTGGAGGTGGGATTGCTCTGCTGTTGAAGTCCTTCTTAAGATTGATGCAGCTTCCGGTTTCGGAAGTGACGGGCAGCTTAGAGTCACCAGGAATGGTTTCGAGCACTTGAAGTAGACTGATTCCATCACAAACAGTGTGATGTGAAGCAATACAGAGAAGCAAACCACCTTCAATAAAGCTAGCCTTGAGCGTCAGGGGGTGGCAACTCTCGCCTGGTGAGAGAGAGAGAGATAGAGAAAAAATATCTTGCTCCATCAACGCAGGCGGAATACCGAGGTCCAGGAGCTGCTCGTATGTGTAAGGGAACTTTTTCTTGGTCAGGAATTCATGGCAGAAAACCTCATGAGGAAAGACATTGATATTGAAGTTGTTGAGATCCTCGCTGTATACGACTTGAGCCGTGGTTGAATCGGCTGGGTGCACGACTTGGCCGGCCAGGAACGGCCAGCGTTTGAAGACCCTGTGCAAGCCTTTCAGGAGATAGTCCACTGCAGCTGGTATTTTGTCGGTGTCGGGGAATCGAAAGCCGTACACAAGTCGTGTGTATGTGACTAGTGCATACTGATTGACAACCGTCAATGGGAATATCTCCAAGAGGCGAGCCGTCCAAGTGTGTTTCGAGGTGTGTGGACGCTTGGCAAGAGAATATGTAGTGTGAGTAGCGTTTGCAAAGTCAGGTGATCATAGTTGACCGGTTTTGTAGGTTAAAAAGGGTCTATCGGCGGCATTTATACGTTACCTGTAATTGTCTGTGAACATATTCTCGTGACCCAGACGTTCCAATGCGGAATGCAGTATAGCCAACAAGGTATCTATGTGTTCCATTGACGTCAGAAATCTAATTCTGCTAGATGGCAATGTACCTCTTGACCAGAGTTTCCCCCAGCGCGGTATTTAGTTTCTAGACGGACTGAACGACGCCATGACCAGTGCCATGAACCGGTCGTATAACGCCTATCTCAACTACATCGACCCTGAACTGGATAGGGACGAGGTGTGGCATCTCTACTATGGGAAACCACTGTTTGAAAGACTGAAGCCGCTGAAAAGAGACCTCGATCCTGGAGATGTCTTCTGGAATTCCGCAGAACATCCCTGTCTGGAATGACACCTGGGCTCTGTAGGTCCGTGGTCCCATTCAGGCGGCGGGGTGCGGAGCTGAATCATGAGGCGAAACAAGTAGGAACGGTGAGCTTGCAGAAAAAGGCAGGGATAGAAATAACAGGCGAGTCATGTGTAAGCAGAAAAATGGCACTGCGATGTCATTGCCCCCAATGATTCAGCGTCGCCGTATGGTCAAAGCTCCGAAGTTGTGTCGAGCCAGCTGTTCAGCTGGGATCTCTAAACGGTACAGCCACTTCCTCATATTCCATTCACCATCAAGTGTTGAGTATCTACTATGTGATCTCAGCTTCTATGTGTAGATGTTTTTTCGGGATATGTAATTCGTCGACAGCGGGTAAGGTATAGAGCTGTAATTGTGTTGGGTCAAAAAGAACGGTAATATTTCTCTATACATCAAGGATTCAAGTGTCCGAAAGACATCCGAGAGCCACCGAGGAGCAACTAACCCAAGACACGGAGTCGGACGCCAGGTGGATGTTGAAGGGACGGATAGACGTTGGCCAATGCTGGCCATCTAGGTGCGAGGGAGCCGAGTGGGTCGTCCGACGTATTTCAGGCGAGCATCGGGATACCGAGCTCGGTGCTTCCCCCGCGGCACGTCGCATGCTCCCGCTCGTCTTTCAGCCCTATAGAGCGACTAATCATCTCACAGCCTCATGTCAGTACCCTCTGGTCGGGTATTAGTGGGCGCGCTAATGGGTGTCGTGCCGCATCTCCAACGGCCAAAGCCACGACCCCATATTGTCACTCCAAATCTGTTTCACGATGGCCTTCAAGTGACGGGAGCGACCCACTTACTTGGCATTCCAGTCCGTTTCATGTTCTCATTGACAGATCACACAAGTGCGGAAAGTGTGTGGGGAAATGGCCACCAAGTCTCTGCATTGGCCACTTTGGCTGCAGTCTGGTCAATATTGAACACCACTTTCATCCCACTTGGACGACCACAACCTCGCGGTCTTCGTAGAACTCACCATGACCCACCACTTCAGCTTGATCCATTTCAGCTTCATGATGCCAAATCGCGCTTCATCCGAAGTCTGACCCGGCCTCAATATGTACACCCAATATCGTCAAGGGCCACCACTGGCCCCTGAGGCGATTCACATTGGTGATATGGCCCCACACACATCGCCATTCACTTCACTCCAGCTGCTTTTGTGTTCCATGGGGCATCCCACGACAGCATCAGTTGAGGGTCTTGTCAAGGCTATATATTCGCGACGTCTGTCCGTCTCAAGTCTGTCTCTCATACCTTGACAACCCACACTACCTGAGCCACAGCATCAGCATCAACCACATACCTTACCATTCATGTTCAGCACTCTCGCTTATTTCTTTCTGCAAGTATCAGATCATTCATCCGTCAGAATGTTCACTCTCTCTGCCATTTTCCTCGCGCTCGCCTCTCTCGCTGCTGCCGAAGTTCGCAACATCACACCTCACGAGCAATACAGCTCCTCGGTCGGCGTTCTTGGTTGCAAGATCAACACCCACCGTGTCGCCTATTGGCCCGAGGCTGTCGACTGCAATAACATCTGTGTCCGCGTAAGCCATCAGGGCCGCTCTCTTGAACTCTTACGCATCGACCAATCCGGCGGCGCCAACGACATCTCCTATGATGCCTGGAACTATCTTGGCTTTGGCAAGAGCGCCATTGATGATCCCCAAACGGGCGGCGGCATTGATATGGACGTTGAGTTCGTCGATGCCGATCAATGCAAGCACCTTCTCAAGGATAGTGGCGGCAAGCTTGCTTTCTCGGCCCCCAACAGCATGAACTTTCTCAGCTCATGCCTGTCTGACCCCGGATCGTGGGTCGCCCGCAACTTTGCTGCTGTCAATATCAAAGACTCCGCCTGCCACTGCGGCTTTGATGAGGTGTGCACCATTCCCCCTCCCAGCGAGGGAAACCAGCCTGTTTGCCCCAACGCCCTGGGCACGACCGGCCCCTTCAGAGGGGATTCTGTCTTTAACGTTGAGTTCGGTACTGGCAAGCTTGTTCCTGCCCCAGGCGCCGGAGTGTGCTAATCGCAGATTACACCTTTGCTTCAACTATGGAGGACTGGATATAGAATTGACTTATAACAGGAGGGACCAGTATAGGGAGGAGCGGAAATACAATCATTTGGACGTTGGTGTTTGGCTTTCTGATTTCACTGCGGAGATACCCTAGAACCTCGTCTTAGTATGACGAGAACAATTGATCTTCACTCACTGAACAGCTGTCACTGATGCTAGTGGTTGTCCATTAAGTCCAATGCACCGTGTGTTACGTTCAGAGTGAACCGACATTCAAAATGTTCGAGTCTCAAGCATGTGTTGTTAGGGTTAGGTAATTGGGCACCCAATTTGCATTATGCGTGTTGCTTATAGAATTGGCCTAGGATTTGTAACTTGATAGTAGCACTGCTTGCTAGGTAGGTAACCTGCTTGATCTCCGTGGGGTGCGATGTAATATAGGGGTGGTTAAAGGCTGACAAATCTCACCTTCGTGGAAGCTTACAAACACACATCCCACATTACTGCACCACCTACCTACCTAACCTGGGAACCTTCTTCGAGGAAGATCACACAAGATGCAACGATATTCGCATCATTTCATCACAAAATACCATAAATATGCCACCAAGACCCCATTGTATCCATCTTACTTCTTCTCTCTTTACTCCAACCCTCACTTCTCAAACGCCATCAACGAACAGTTCTCTGATCTCCTAATCTGGGCACCTTACTGATTACCTACTATCCAAAATACCCCATTCTACCACCGCACTCCAAATGGCCCCCATCAAAGCTGCCATCATTGGCCTCTCCGCCTCTGCCAAAACCGCTTGGGCTTCCCGTGCACACCTTCCGTATCTCTTCTCACCATTGGGCCGCTCCAAGTTTGAAGTTGTTGCCCTCCTCAACTCGTCAACCGAGGCCGCCCGCGCGGCGATTAAAGCATACAACCTGCCCGCTTCTACCAAGGCATACGGTACGCCCGAGGACCTGGCTGCTGACCCGGAAGTTGAGCTCGTCATCACCAACACCCGGGTCGACAAGCACCTCGAGACTGCTCTTCCCTCTGTCATCGCTGGCAAGGATGTCTACATTGAGTGGCCTCTTGCTGCTAACACCATCGAAGCTAGGACTTTGGCCGACGCGGTGAAGCAGCATGGTGGCTTAGGCATCGTAGGTTTGCAGGGGCCTCTGGGCCCCTTACCAAAAAAGCTCAGAGAGGTCATCTCTAGTGGCAGGATCGGAGAGGTCTTGAGCTCGGAGCTCAGGGCTAACGGCGGGATTGATGGGCGGGGTGTTATTCCGGCTTCGCTGTCGTACTTTACCGAGAGAAAGGTTGGGGGATACGTCTACACTATTGGATTTGCGCACCGTCAGTTCTCCCGCCCCTGCTGAAACATGCAAACGAAAATAGCTAACACTTTGTCACAGAGTTTGATCTTGTTCAATCCGTCCTTGGAGATTACAAGACCGGCCCCGACGCACCACAGGGCTTCCTGCAGATCCAGCGGCCCCAAGTCAAAGTCATTGGCGAGGACAAAACTGTGGTGGAAACTGTCACTTCCGACACGCCCGATCTCATCTTTGTGCACGGCTATGTCGATTCGGGCGCCAGCTTGCACTTCAAGTTTCGCGTTGACCCGCCTTTCCCTTCTGACCCTGCTCTGGTTTGGACCATTGCGGGAACCAAGGGTGAGATTAGGGTTGTGGCACCGAGCTCGACATTCATCCACATTGGCAATGCCGCTGATCCTCAGAAGTTCGAGGTTCATGACTTTGAGACGGATACGGTTGACGAGGTGGAGTGGGACTTTGAAGATTGGCAGAAGGAACTGAATCTCCAGGCAAGGAACATTGGAGCTATTTATGAGGATTACTACGAGGTGAAGAGGAATGGCAAACAGAAGACGTTTGTAAGCTTTGACGATGCGCTGAAGCGTCACGAGCAGTTGGAGGATATTTTGGCAAATGGTTTGAAGCAGTGAGGTAGCGATAGTCGGTAATTTTGCTACAATCCTAGTTAGGTCCTAGCTTTTAGTCCCAGAATTCATGTTATCAGTACTCCCGCTTGACCCCAACTCAGATGATACCTTCTAGTATCGTCCCATCTGTGCATCACTGTTTACTTGTATTTGCTGGTCTCTGCTTAGACGAGTAAGAAGATACACCATGGCCTCCTGCTTATTATCCTTTGCCCAATCCAGAGCAGTCCGTCCATCTCTGTCGGTGACATCAGTTCGCGCGCCTTTGCAAGTAAGATAGCGCACGATGGTCAAATCCCCCATGAAGGCGGCGTAATGCAGCACCGGCGCTTTCTTTGCACCACAGAGAGTGTGTAAATCTGCTCCGTGAGCTACTAACATGTCAATGATTCCTTCCGCTGTATTCGGTGGACTGCATCCCCAAGAAAGTCGGTCGCTCTTGGTGACCACCTTGAACAAGGCCGTGTTTCCCTTGCTGTCTCTGCTCTCGGCACATGCGCCAAACTGGAGAAGGATATTAACCTTTGCATGCGAAAACCTTTTGGCTGCAAGATGAAGGGCCGTGAGTCCATTAAACTTCTCGTGTACTTTTGCACCTTGCTGTAGGATGACTTGAAGAACTTCTGTGGGACAACTCTTCGCCGCATGGTACACTGCAGGAATTCCCTTTTTTGTGGGAAGGGTAAAGTCGAAGCCCTCATCCGCCAATCGACGACAAACTTGCTCCATAGCTTGATAGTTTGCAGCATTTGGCCATTCTAGCAATGATACCAAACGTTGAAGGACATCAGTCTTCGCACCTCTCTTCAGAAGAATATCGAGCTCCACGGAGTTGCTGGCTAGCCCGTTCGGCTCATCGATGTGCCCTTCAACCCACTTGAACTGCCCACCCTCGTATAGTACGGAATAATTGAGATATGGCCAGGGGCGGAAAGAAGCCAGCATCTTGAACGCGGTATCGCCATCGTGATCCTTGGCTTCGATGTCTGCCCCAGCATCAAGAAGTAGTTCGATACCCCGGTAATTCCTACGCAGTACTGCAACGTGCAGTGGTGTCAATCCTCGTTGGCACCTAGGATCCACAAGGGCACCACGATATAGTATCATGCAAGCCATATCACTATGGCATTCATGGTATGTAGCCCAATGCAGTGGGGTTTCTCCGAGGTAATTGCGTGCGTTGATATCTCCCCCGTTCTCGAGTAACAGGTCCAGTATTTGCGGACTTCCATGTCCAACTGCCAAATGCATCGTGGAGATGTAGCCGCCCTCCTCCTCATTGTCATGGCAACCGGGTAATAGACAATTCGGTGAGGGGAAATATGGATCTCGTGGTAACACTGGCTTGACCTCATGGTTGAGATCTGCTCCCCTGTTCAACCAGATCCGCATCTCGCCTTCATCGCCCCAAACCAAGTGCTTGAACAAAATGCGCGGTTGCAAGCCATTTTCTCCGTTATCCTGTGCGTTATCGCCACTAAATAGTACTCGCAAAATCTCGAGATCAGCTCGAGAGGCAGCCTCGCGTGCCGCCTGCTCCCTTGCATCAGGTGTTATCGAATCTCGGCGTGCTAGCATAGCCCTGATCATTACGATATTCCCAGCAGTCGCGGCTGACTTCAAGACTGCGCACACTGCGTCGTCCGTTGTCAAAGGGTCGACGCTGCTCTCAAGTAGAAGCTCTATAATTGCAACGTCCCCTGCTTTCGCTGCCAGTTCAACGGTTGTCTTTGCATGGCTTCCCAGACAGGCACCATTGTCGAGTAGGAGTCTGCAAATAGCAGCAAGTCCATTGCTGCATGCGGCTTGGAGCGCAGTCTGCCCTCCTAGACATCCGTAGTGACCCTGATCCCTCCGGCATGCGAAGTTGATGTCAATTCCGCTTTGAACCAGAGCTTTACATGTTTCAAGCCGTCCGTGAGCGGCCGCGTCGTGAAGAGGTGAGTGCCCACGTCAATCAACAACGTTGACTAGGGCTCCTCGGTCGAGCAGAATCTGCAAGATTTCTGTATGTCCCTTAGCTGAAGCCTCGTGGAGCACAGAGTGGTTATTATCTGATGGAGAAACGGTGGCTCCGAGGTCCAACAACAAAACCACCAAGTTTTACGGTTCTCGCCTACAACGTGATAAAGAACTGATCCCTCTGCCACGCGAACGTACGCGTTGATGTCTGCTCCTCTCTCGATGCAAGCCTGCATTAACCTCAAGTTGACATCCACGGTGGCATCGAAAAGCCCGCTGTTCAGGAGATGCTGATGCCAGGTCCTTTCAGCGTTGAACAACATCTCCGCCGCTGCCTCACTGTTCAGCTTTATCGCCATCTCCAATGGCGGCATTGGGTCCTTGCCCCCAGACTTTGCGAAAACCGAAGCAGTGGCATCTGAATTCAGTAAGAACACCACCATCTCTTCCCTGTCCCACTCTACGGCCGAAAACAGAGGCGTTATGCCATCTGGTCCCCGCACGTTGACGTCGGCACCTTGTTCAAGCAAGCCAGCCGCGAACTCAACCAGTCCCATCGAAGCTACTACGTGAAATCTGGCCCAGTTTGGAGGCAAAAGTCTGTACTCTGTTGAATGACCCAACTCTGAATAGCCTGACATCTTTCCTGTCAATGTCGCTGCTTGCTCGGCAGTCATAAATGCCAAGATGTTGTCCACAAACTCCCAGAGCAGCTCCTTGACTGGCGCTTCCATTTCGTATTGTACGTGGTTTCTCCAGTAGTCTGCAGCACACGCCAAGAGAGGGTAGGTGTCTAAACGAAGGTCCAGCTCCTCTCCGTCCGCGCAGTATCTTTGGACAAATGGGTCAAACATCATGTACGTCAAACATGCCGTTGCGATCATTGAAGGAGCATCGGGAAAGAGTTGCGAACGGAGGCGCTCAAAATACTCTTGCGTGGTGAAGTGAACCAGTCGAACGTAGCCGCTCTCTTCCTCCAGGGTCACCAAACCGGCACAAATTGCAACGAAAAGTTCCGGGTCGTGGAGGCCTTCGGGGTCCAAATCCTGATCTCCAGGCATGACAGCCAGAGCATGCTGTAATTCCTCAATGGTTAGTGGTCTGAGTGTCGTTGAAATCCATCCCAGAACTTGGTGGGCAAGACTGGCATCACCGGCGTCTTGGCTCTTGATCCGCTCCATAGCCTGATCATAGGTTCCGTCCAGTTTTGCTGGCAAGACATCCAGAGTTTTGCGAAGCTCGCGTCGGGTTGGCTTCCTTGTAAGCTCGTTCATGTGAAGTTGAGCCATCAAAAACCTGCCTCGCGCATGTTAGTGTCCATCCTTGCTACGCAAAATGTGCCGGATAAAGGAGAGTGCATGCGTACATTCCCTTGCAGTTACCCATCACCTTATCGATGATTTCCTCCAAAAGATCTGGATCAGTCCGAATATGCTTCTGTAAGCGACTATGCTCACTTCCGACGCGACCTCCAATGTATCGTTTGATATCTTCGTCACTAGCCCGAATCTCGAGTCTTAGAACTGGGCCCAGGTCTTCTTTCTACTCCAATGGTGTATCTTGATGTGAAGAGAAGCTTCACATGCTTTGGCAAGTTGTGCAGGTCTGAAGCTAACCTGCTCTGGGTATATTCGGTATCAGCACACTCATCGAGCGCATCGACGATGATGTATACTAAAGAAAACCCCATTACTTTGTTTTGTAGAAACCTGGTAATGGTTTCAAGTCGAACAGGTTTTTCGTCCTTGGAAAACTTCAATATGTCTTCATCAATAACGCCTGTGTGTTGAATAAGTTGCTTGGGCAGGCTTCCTATCACATTTTGAACGCTTTGCTGACTTCGCTCCTTGTAGTTGCAGTACAAGTATAGAATCGGTGTGTTTGTGCCGCTAGTCGAAGTTTCAAGGAAGCTAATAAGCAAAGAACTAAACATGGGTCAGATATTTGATATATATAAGGTCGGCGTTTCGCTGGAAGATGACTTACGCAAGTGTTGTTTTCCCGGCGCCGGCTGGATTTCGGGTCAATATATACTTGTGGCCAATGCAAGCCGGAGATTTACATACGAATCCCAGGACACCACAACACTCTTTCGTTCCCGTCAAGTCATAGCTTAAACGTGGCGTCGGAAAGAAACCACTCCCCAGTGCCGGGTTCGAGGCGCCTTAGGGCGTCCTGATGTTTGGATGCAAATCGAGTGGGGAGAGCCAATCGCATATCTTTTGCATTTGTTCGTCTTGTAGTGTTTGGAAATAAAAGGTAGTTAGAACAATGGCACTCTGTAATACTCAGCAACAAAACAAAGACGCCGGATGAGAGCTTACCTGATCGTTGGCTTGCAGCACTATCTGTCAGGCCCTTTACTCTATCCTTCACATTGGTCATGTCCACCTTGAGGTTGTTCATGCGCTCTTTGATGCCATCTACACCTTCTTTTACACAGACCAAATCCGTGCTGATGGCCAACAGGAGCTTCCTATGCATGATTCAGATCAGCAATGAATGACAACGCGGAATGGGCCAATGTTGGTAAAGCCCTGTACTCACGAGTGATCGCCCAAAAGTGCTACCGAGACAACACCTTTACACCTTTCGATCCGGTTCATCAAGCCATCCATCTCTTTCTTGTTTAATTTCCAGGTCAGCTTTCCCTTCAATCCTCCCTCCCTTTCCACTTCCAACCTCAACGCGAGCTCTTCCATTTCCTCTCTCAAAAGATTGAAAACGCCACCCTTCACGTCCAGTCCCTTGAGCGCGCTGAACCATGGGTCTGTTTGCTCCACCTCCTCCATCAAACATTTTGGGTCTGTGAACATGGCGACCATGGCGGAGGCATGCTTGGAAAAGTTGGCCCGCTCGGCATCCGCGTTTTTGACATCTTTGAGGTAGTTTTTGACCTTGATTGTTATGTCAATGAGCTGGATGATGGACGCCACGAGGCCAACGGCAGTGGCGGGCTCCATCGCTCGGGTCTTTCGATTGAAGTTTCTATATTCGACGTTGTCAAGTGAGAAGTTGGGCTGCTCTCTCGGGGGGTAGGTAATGGACGTAGATGGTGTGTGGCCCAAGGCAGCCAGGCTGTGCCTGCATGCCAAGACGAAGTCCAGCCGTTGGTACCGGAATCTATCGTTCCCAATAGACTTGAGAAACCCAGATGGGAGCTTTAATCTGCAGTTTAAAAGCAGTAGATTGGTTATATATACATGGTAAATACAATATTCACAGATCGTCCTCCCACCATACCCAATTATTTCAATCCAAACGCTCTTCCCGGTCCCCTTTCACTATACTCCATAACCACCAAAAATACGTATCTCTAATGACCCCTGGGGTATGCAATAAGCTCCTTTTATTTGGTCTCCCACTCTTCCCACTATAACAATCCAGAAAGGTCAAGACCTTACTGCCACAGAACTCCACTCTCCATATCCTGGCCATCTCTCTTGACACCCAAAAACTCCTTCAACCAACACTGGGGATCCGGATTGGCCATCGGAATGAACACAGCACCAGCACACTTCTCCTCCTTAGCGCAACGATCCAAGCAATCCGCCAAACTCAGCACATCGCCCTTTACCAAACCCAACACGCCATCACCGCCAGCATAGTTAGCCCCGCACTGCCGTCTAAACACCTTTTGTTGGTTATCAACGGTAACCGTGTAATCAAGTCCATCCGCCGAAGGGCAAGAAAGCGAAACTGTCTTCCCCGACGCGGTGGTGGCCGTCGACAGTGTGAAACCCCCTCCATCATCAGGATGAACCACTGGGTCGCTATTGACATATGTTAGCACCAATGAGCAGCTCTTGCAGAAGAAAGCAACATACCTCTCTGCCGTGCCAGAGGTTTTTATCTTCCCCGTTGCCACCGCCCCCAGCACACCCGCCAAAGCAATGATAATAGCCACAAGCAGCACCAGCACCCAGAATATCGACCTCCTCACCAGAGGCTTCTTCCCAAAACTCCTGCTGCGCGCACGGGAGAATGACCTGTCCGGATCCGACAGGTTCCGGCTGTGTCCGTTCCTCGGCCCGCTCCCACCGCCGCCGCCGCCGCCAGCACCGGGAATGTATCCTATTTGTGGATCCCGCTCTACATCCTCCGCGCTGTTGATGCTCCACGCGTCTCCTAGCGAGTGAACGCCTGATGGTCTCGGCTCGGGTATTGTCGTCCCTTGCCCGGCGGTGTATGTCGTGTGCGTGGGTGCTGGAGTTGGGACCGGACTTGGGCTTTGTTGCTGATGTGCTTGGAAATACTGGACTGTAGATGGCGGTGGGGATCTCGACTGCTGTGGGGGGCGGTGGTGTTGGTGTTCGTGTGTGGCTACCTCGGGGTAGGTCTTTTCGAGGTGAAGCGGCGGCTGCTCGGTGGTGACCTCGGGGAGGTTGCTCTCGTTTTCTTGCTGTTGTGATGGTGACAAACGGCCGGAGAGGATGGAGGATTGGGACTGTGGAACATAGATGACTTCAGGGTAGGTTGTCGAGTTTCGCTCGGCGGCGTTTGGTGGGTGGTTGGGGATGTGGATGAGCCCGTCGTGGCCGGTTTGTGGTGTGTTGTTTTTCTCCATCTTTGTGTGGTGTTCCAATGGGTCCCCAATCGCTCGTTACTGACCTTGAAGACTTGAAGCACTGCTTGGTGTCTCGTCCAAGGGGCAACAATCAACAAACGAATGTGCCAAAAGACGAAAGATGCAAGACGGAAGTTAAGAACAAAAGAAAAGCCACCAACCCAACATCGTGGGTGAATCGCCGTTCGACATGTGTACTGTAAGATATTGGCGAGCGTGGTGGAGCTAATGAAGGCCTGCGGCGTGAATTGCTGCGCTGCAACCCTTTCCCGCTGATTCTCCACAGAAAACGAGAGCTCTTTGCCCAAAGCAGTCTCGTGGTGAAATTGGCGGACAGGGGAGCATGCTGCTGCGCCGCTCTATCGGGACGCTATAGGCAAGAAACCTTCCTGAATCGGGCCATGCCTAGTGATCTTTGCAGGGGCTGAGATCCTAACGGTTAGTGCTGCGCTGTCGTGATCTGCAGTCCCGCTGCTCTTGCGATTTGCTGGTGCCTGCGTCTTGGAGGATAAGAAGAGGCTGTGCTGCATCACAAGCTCGAGATCTGTTGCGATGGTGTTTCTTTCTTTAACAACCGCTAGAGCCCAACATGCAGATGAAGATGCTGCGGCCGCTGAAACAAAGAGATGTTCACTACCTACGAATAGTTGCAACTGAGCTCCCTTGTTGGCGTGACTTCGAGTTTGCCAGGGACGGACTTTGACCCTCGCCAAAATAAAATCCCTCTGCGAGCCTCACGGACTTAAGAAAACCTCCAAGGATGTTTTCCTATTGAGATCATATGAACCTCAGATTTTCGGTATTGCCATCCATCAAAGTCATGTGACGCTCTTATGTCAAGGTGAGTTACTTCGTGAGTTGTTGTTTTTACACCGTTCATGTTGCCACTGTTATGGGATTATATCCGGGGTAGGGTTATTTTGATGTGGGGACGGTTGACGTGTGAGGTTTGCACTTGACGTAGGATATTCGGACAATTCTGGTGGAAATTCCATACATTTGGCAGGGAGTCTGGAGGGTTTGAGAGGTATAAGGGGACGTCGTGGGCATTGTACCTCTTTTACCTTCCTTTTCTTTTCTTCTTTATCCGACAATTCAATATTTTACCTGTGGCCTACGCCTGTACCCAGCCGTAGGCCCTTAACCGTCACGACGATAATCAGGGGTTCCAAAGGGATCGAGGACATGAAACAACACCCAAACGATAACAAAAATCACAGTACACAAATTCGGTACAACATACCCCCAACAATACAACAAACAGATGACCTTGATAATCCAGGATTTGTAATTGAACCGCAACTGCCGAAACTGCTCTCCATCTAGCCCTTGACGTGACCAAATCCTCCGTCACCACGACAACGGCTACACAGGTCTCCGTTCACGAAAGGCAAATATCCAGAGACACGGTGCACTCAGAGGGGTGGTTGGCTTGGCTCCTCCTCCTGGCAGGGCCCTAGATCAAATGATCCTTGTGGTCCGACCACTGCTGACTCCATGAGGGCAGGGCAGTGAGCGACTGGATCTTCGACGAAGGATATCGTCAAGGCGGACTGATCTTGTTCTTTTTGAGATTGGTCGCAATACCAAGGCAGGGAAAGAACATGGGTTGCTTTTGCCCATGGACACAGCAGGACGTGTGTCTTGGGAGTCGACCGTCTGTAATGACAGGGGTTCATTGGTTTGGGTCTCCGTTCCAACCCCGGCGTCATTGGGAGGTGATTGCTCGACATCCGCCTGTCCCTTCAACCGCTCCGGACTTCCACCATATGCATTGCCTGTGTAGGAGAGCATGTGTTCGAGTCCAGCGACCGCATTGCGTCGTTGCCAATAGCGAGGGTGAGATCTACGCCAGCGCACATGCCTCGAAGGTCGGAAGCCAGGATTTTCGGCACGGGTTGTAGATGACAAATGGGTGTCCTCGGCTTTTGGTGTCAAAGCGGAAGAACTTGCTGCTGGACTGCCATTCCCAGACTTGTAAATGGCCTGTTAGCTGTCTCAGTGTAGGTAACAAAACAAACCATGCATTATGAGAAAACTCACCAGATCTATAAAGATATGCATCGTGTTGCTCATGTCATAGACTCAGGAGCTGCTTGCACAGAAGTCTCAAGATGATGGTATGGGTCGCAATGTTTCACGACGGTCCGGTCTTCAAGTTCCATATTCTCGAACTTGGAAGACAACTCCTATGAGCTGTGCTGGACTATGGAGTAAATAGACAGCAAGGAGAAAGTTCGCCACTTCCCACACGTGCTACCCATAGCGCCAGGGGGTCCGCTGACGGCTTTGGCCGAGGACGCGCTTGCATCAGACGGGATTTGGCTTGAATTTAATTCGGAGCTTTGAGAACCCGGAACCTGGTTGCAAGTCCCTAGCTGTCCCTAAAATGAGACGCTTGTTGCATAGTGTGTTAATTGTAATGGAATTGTCCTTCACCATTGCACTTGTTGGGGCATTGTCTTCCAGCCGGTCTCGAGATTGCTCTTTATCCCCACCAGTTGCGTCTGTGAGAATATGGGCTTGGGATAAATACCAGAGTGGATTTGCATATTCAAGAGAAAGCTTCATCCCAAGTCGTAGTATTCATGGGACTTGATGATTATAAACCACTTCGCTAAGTCCATAACACACGGGGCCGCTGTCACGGCCATTTACAAAGGCGCAGGCGGATATGAATCGGCACGGCCTACTGTCTGGGAATTCGTGCTGAAGTAGACTAATATTCTGTAGTTCGGTATGTGTTGATCATCGGTACTCCGAACATCAACGGCCTGGGGAACTTGTGATGATTCGGGTGGCTGATGAAAGCGTTGCGGCAACATCCACTGTGCTGGTGCCAGTGTCCGGTAGCGACGGCGGAGACGAGGTTGAAACAAGCTCGTCGCTGGAACTTTCTACCGGAGCTAAGTTTTGAGCTATTCTGCTAGCGGGGGAGTTGGGGTTCAAAATGGTAAATATGTGGACTACCTTTCTCCCGTTGATCCACTCATCCCCTCTTTGCTCTTGGCAAACAACTGGGGTACCTATTCAGCCCCTGCGGGGTTAAGATGCCAAACATGGTTCTCTCTCCTGGGCATCGTCAACGACAGAGCACCCTTCTATGCGAAAGAGGTTTCCTGAGTATCACGTATTCGGGCTCTTTACCCTCGGTTAAACCATCGCGCAACTCCTGCTCAATTCTGCACTCATGCCAGAGATGCAGTGCATCGAGAGGCGCAGTCGTCCTTGGGTCTGGCCTCCGCGAGGATCGGTCAACAATGCAGACACTGGCTGACGAGGCTCTGCCAACTTTTCAGCTGCAAGCCCTCGCGCAACACAACCAAGACGCCACATCTCGCTTTTGTCCATTCAGTGTGCTCCGCAGACCCCCTCGTTCTCCATCCGGCTTGTTTCCTTCCAATCGGAGATCAATACTATGCATCGTTATTGCCTCCCAGCCGTTAGCCATGGCCCATCTCCAGCTTCGAGGAAACTCGGGGAGGGTGTGACGAATCCGGCATGGAAGATGCATGTCCAGGGTAACATGAAGACCGCATATATTGCTCGAATCAGCCGAGCCGATCACCAAACATGGACCCTCGATGTCAGTCTTCCATCTTTTTGGGGTGACCCTTCTCCGTGTAGATCTCTTCTTCTCCCGTCAGAAGCTCTCATCTGAGCCTGGAGTACATAATTATATTTCTCAACATGATACCCCTTCGATTCCTCCTCAGTGCCGCCCCTGTCCTTGCCTCCGCACATGATTTCTCCGCACCGCCGGACAGCTCCAGACAGCAAAACCCTTCGCTCGTAACACGCGGCGAAGGATTCTTCCGCTCCCCGCTTAATGTGCTGCCCAACCCAGCGCCACCAAAACTGATCCGAGGCCGACAAAATGAAGTTACCATTGAAAACCAGTTCACCGGAACCCGCTACGGCGTCGACATAGAGGTCGGGACACCCGGGCAAAAACTGACGCTGATCCTGGATACTGGCTCGCCAGACACTTGGGTGAACCCAACATGTGACACTGCCAATGTGCCTGACGACTGTCGATCGTTCCCGGTCTACGACTGGAGGAAGAGCTCAAGTCTGAACGCAACGCGCGTGACCGACATCCTCGTGTATGGGAAAGGGAATGCGACAATACAATATGTTAGAGAGAGTGTCAAAATTGGAGGTGCGTCTGAATCTCTTGCTGGAACGCCATGCTCTCGTCCGAGCTGTGACTTATGTTGATCTTCCACATGACAGGGGCCACGGTTAGAAACCAGGTCATCGGCGTAGCCTTCGAGTCCCACGACATCCCCCTGGGAATCCTTGGCCTCTCACCCCCTATTCGAGGATTCAACGAGTATCCTTACATTCTCGACACGATGAAAGACCAAAAGTTGATCAACTCGCGAGCCTTCAGCATGGATCTTAGAACCGTCGACTCCCCCGAGGGAGCGCTCATCTTTGGCGGCGTGGACACTGGAAAATACATCGGATCTCTAGCCAAGCTCCCTATGCTGCCTCAGAACCAAACTCCAAGGGGAGCGGACAGATACTATGTCACCATGGGCGGTGTGGGACTAACATACCCCGACGGTCTAGTCGAAAGATCACAAGAGCTTGAAGTCCCTGTTTTCCTCGATTCGGGCGGAACACTCAGCCGACTTCCCCGACGAATCTACCAAGCCTTCGCCTCCAGCTTCGCAGACACCCAATACGACCCCTCAACCGGTTTCTATTTCCTCGACTGCAATGTTGCTGATCTGGAAGGCTCCATTGACTTTTACTTTGGGGATAAAGTGATCAACGTGCCCTTCAACGATTTCATCTGGCACGTTCAGGGGTACTGCGTGCTGGGCGTGCTCCCAGATGACGACGGGGAGCCGGTGCTGGGAGACACCTTCCTGCGAGCGGCCTACGTGGTGTTTGATCAAGACAACAGAAACTTGCACCTGGCTCAGGCGGCGAATTGTGGAAGCAACATCATTGCCATCAGCACGGGGCCAGATGCTGTGCCCAGTGCGACAGGCCGGTGCACGGCACCGCCTCCAAGACCGACGTCTGGGAACAATAATCTGGATGTCACTGCTGAACGGGGCCCTACGGCGACCTTCACCGGTGTGGGACCCACAGGTATCGATATTGGGCCCGGCCCAGTGGCCACAAGGGTGAGCGGGACGGGCCCGCTGGGGATCAACCCAACCGGACAGTCCAAGGCTTATTCTCTCAAAATCGATGTATGGAAAGCTGTCGTGGGAGCTTTGGTGGTGGGGTTAATCATGTAGTTGCGGGTTATCGTCGTTGATATAGCAGTGTACATAAGACTTGGCGAGGAGAGATAGACGGCTGGGTTTGGGTTCCTTTAGAGCATGCGCGGCGTTCAGGGCTTAGGGGCGAGTTTGTATTCCAACTTTGATTTCGATTGTGCGTCGGCTCGATTCACTATTTCAAGGCAGCTAACAGCGACAACATGAGTTTTCTATTTCACCCCGAAAAGTAGGCAAGATACCCCGTCGTCTAACTGCAGCTGATAGCTGACTCACGCCTTGCCTCCAAACTTGGCAAGATACTCTTCGTGCAGTTTCTTCTGCCTGTCCCAGTCCTTCTTCAACTTTTTGGCCTGGCTCTTGGGCACTGGCTCACCCCCCTCGGCCAGCTTTGTCGGCAGACCGTCAGCATCCCACTCGGTATATTTGGGGTCGTCCTTGAACATGTCTTGCGGGGCCACCTTGGCCTTGGCCCACTTCTCCTCCTCGGCCTTCTCTCTAGCCTTCCGGGCCTCCTCCTTTTGCTTAGCCTTCTCAGCAAGCTGGGACGCTTTCTCCTCTCTCGCAGCGATAAGTTTGGCAGCAGGCACAAACTTGATGAGACTCGGCTTATCGGTTTGATCATCGAGCTGTACGCCAAGGTCGGTCAAGTCATAGTCGCGGATACGGTCACTGAGGGCGAGAACAGCCTGCTTGATTTGAGGCTCTGAAGCAAGGGTTGGGACGACGGCCCGTAGCTCATCGCGGAGACGGGAAGTGGCACGAAGATATGGCAACGCCAGCTTCTCCACGTCCTTCTCGCCACTCTTCTCTACTTCGGCAAACTCGGCGTCTGGGGAGTGCTCGAGAGCAGATTGAATCGAAGAGGCAGAGAGGTGAAGCGATTGAACATCGGCTTTAACCTTCTCGTACGCAGCAGCGTAGGGCTTGATCGCTGTTTGGGGGTCGACGTCAGCCGCAGCGGTAGCAGAAGATGACCCCCAGCCGAGGCCATCGTAAGGTGGCTTTGCGGTAGCGTCCAGGCCAAAGATACCTACGATCTTTGTCACCCAGCGGGCCACCGCCTCGACAGGCTGAAGATTGGATGACTTTGCCTTGTCGTTCATGTAGATGTTGGCGTTGCGGACCAGGCGCAGGATCACTTGCATGGCACCAGGAGTGTCGAAGGAATTGCGAAGTGCCGCATCGAGGTCCTTCTTCGCTTGCTCAAGGTCCTCAATGAGACTGTTTCCGGCGCCTGTGAGAGACAGGTACTTGACACCATCGGTTGGCGCATCAACCTCGGCAAGCTTGGCCTTGATATTGGTGAAGAAGTTGTCGACAGTATTCTCCCAGTTATCGGCCTGCTTGCGCATATCTCCCGAGATCTCCACACCATCGTTCCATCGGCCCATCAAAAAGACGATGCGCATGTTTCGCGCTGTGTATGTGGTAGCCAGCGCGTCTTGGATTGTTTGAAAGTTCTTCAAGCTTTTGCTCATCTTGCTGCCGGCAATTGAAAGGTGACCCATATGCAAAAAGTAGTTGACCCATGTGTGCTCGCCCTTGCCGCACTGGTGGAAAAAGGCCTCGCTCTGAGCCAGCTCGTTGTCATGGTGAGGGAAGGCAAGATCAATGCCACCCGAATGGATATCCATGTTGTCGCCGAGCTTATCAGAGGCCATCACGGAGCATTCAATGTGCCAGCCAGGTCTCCCCTGACCCCAGGGGCTGGGCCAGTATGGCTCACCGGGCTTGCTCCGCTTCCACAGTGCAAAATCGGCGTCGCGTTTTTTCTGGCCGCCTGAACTCTTGGACAGAGAGCCCTCTCCTTCCTCCTGCAGGGCCTTGTCGTTTCTGCTCTCCGGGCGCAGTCTTGCGTAGGTATTCCCAGCCTTCTCAAAGGCACCAATATCAAAGTAGACTGAGCCGTCGGCCTCATATGCAAACCCCTTCTGAATGATTTGCTCGACAAAGGACACAATCTGGGGCACATACTCAGTCACCCTCGTGACGGCGGTAGGCTCCAGAACATTCAAGGCTGCCATGTCATCGTTGAAGGCCTTTTCCATCCTCTGAGTGAGGTCAGTGAAGATGGTCTGATCGCTGGTGTCGATCGTCTCTTTGTACAGAGAATCGAGATAGGGAAGCAGAATATCTTCAGCACCGTCAAAGCCAGAGGAAGTCTGGAGGGACTTGGCTGCCGAGTCCATGTTGTTCAGGTGCATCTTGATCTTGGCCTCGGCGTCCCCTGGCCTACCCTCTCCACTGAGGGTCCCTCCTGCAAGAACCTGACCGTACGCGGCATCTTTACGCGCCTGGTAGTTGTTCTCATCCAACTCTGGTTGACCCTGGGTTACCAAGAGGGGAAGATTGCTTTGAGCATACGCTTGGAAGGCCTTGGAGACGAGTTCTCGGAGCTGCTCGGGGGTATACGACTTCTCCTTTTCCAAGTCAAGCAAGCGCTGTCTCCTGGCTAAATCGATAAATTAGGCTCTAGTTTCAAACACAAGGATAACGGTCAAGTGTACCTTTGATGATGATCTTGTCGTCGACATCAGTATAGTTCATCACAAAGTTGACTTCGTAGCCGAAGTAGTCCTGGAATATACGGCGAATGATGTCTGAGATTTTGATTAGATTCCGAAGCTAATAAAGGTAAATGTTTGCAACAAACTATACCGTTGGATAGATAGTTTCGGGCATGGCCCAAGTGACTGAGGTCGTAGGTTGTTGGCCCGCAAGCATACCACGAGATTTTGCCGTCGGTCTTGGGTACGAAGGGCACCGGCGGACCGGGCTTTAGAGAGTTGTGGACTGTGATAGACGCCATCCTTGACTGTGAATAAAATCGGAAGTACCTCGGGGGTTGCCTGGCGATTGGCGTCAACTTCTTCAATGAAGAAAAAAATGGTCGTGTGCCGGCGATGGAGCGCATGCAGGACCTGGGAGAGTTGCAGTTTCTGGAATGACCTCTAAGGGGTCAAATCAGTCTAGCTGCGTCGCAAGTGTCTGGATGTAGAATAGAAATAAAGGTCACCGTGGCCGGTTGAAGATGAGTCAAAGCCGTGGTGTTGCGACATCTCAAACCGCTTTGGCGGGGCACCTGCCATTGGATTGTTCCCCACCACAATGTGGCGCAGCTACTCAGCTGGCAAGCTCACACCAGCCACACCCTGCCCGGGCACTGAGAACGCAGGACATGACACATTGTTTACTACTTGCAGTACTGAGGGCATATTAACAGAAGGAAGGAAGTTTAAACACAAGGATTTGCCTCTTGTACTGCTCTCTCATATTTGTAACATCTCTTGCAGCTTTCGCGTCACCTCATCAACAAGATCACCATCAACTGCATCCAAAACCTTTAGACCCAACTTCTGCGACACAATCTCGATATTCCCTCGCTTCCTGTAATCCTTGTGGCAGCACACAATCAACTTGCCTGACCTTGCAAAAAGCCCAAACTCCAACAGGCTGATGGGCGCGTCTGTCTGGGGCCCAAAATACACCACCACCAGATCGGCCTGGTTCAACCTGTCAAACTCCCATTCCACCTGTTCTCGGAAGGGCGCAAAGTCGATGTCTTCCTTCCATGAGCTGTCCCAGTCCGGTCGAAGGGGGTTGAACACGGTAATGGGGAGGTGTGCGATGGACTGGAACAGTGTGCCTCGCCACTCTGGCCCATTAGTTCGAGTGGTTGTGCCGGCCAAAAAGACGGTTTTCTTGCCTGTCACGGATGGGCGTGATGGGGCTTGTATGAGCTGAGCTTGTGATGGGGTTGCCATGCTAAGATATCCGACGTTCGTTGCACCCGAAGAAGATGTGATGCGAGAAATGCCCATGGTTTAAGTTGTGAGATCCAGCCGAGATATATACTCAGGGCAGCATTTGGCCAGATGGATTTATATTGAGGCTGGGGCTTTGCCTCCTACACCCAGCGCAGCCAAGTCTGTTAACAAGGCACACTAGGGCAGTGGTTTCGTTCAAGATTTTCATTCATGCTCTTGCAGGCAAGGCATAGTCGCCATCTTTAGTCATGATGGAGGTTGAGGTGAGGTCAAGTAAGGTTTGGCGAGATCTGCCCCAGCATGGACCACATGGACCAGCGACCCACTGCTTCCACGGCGGTGAGTTCCTACAACGTGCCAATTCCCTGACAAACGCGACCTCGACACGTCGAAATCTGTTTGCTCAAATTGTTAAACGAACACCTCCACATCGTTAAGGGCCCAAGGTAAAAGTCGGCCTTTTCTTCGAGTTTTTTTTAATCCCAATAGCATCAAGGTGGCTTTGTTCGTTACAACAAATTTCCCCACCCAGCTGATCCAACCATGGAAGTGCCTAAAGGTGGCGCTGTGTCTCAGGAGGCGCCTGCACCGGCACCGAGAAAACCCTTCATGATGAGGCGAACAGGAGTCAGCGGGCTTTTCCCCCCTCCATCTCGCACACCAGTTGTCGAAAGTGAGACTCGACACTCTGATGCCACCCCCACCCCACAGCCACCCGTCAGTGAAGAGCCCTCGATCATGCACCTTGAAGAAACGATCCACGTGGGCGACAAGAAGGCGTCCAAGAGGTTGTCCAACGTCCCTCCGCCAGAAATTCAACGAGAGTTTGATACCGCTCTCAACAGCGAGAGCTACCCTTCAGCCCTAAAACCTCCGTACTGCATTCCTCGCTAACAATCATATACTAGGTAAAAATGGTGCGACTGTGGGTACCAAAGGTTGCATGCTTCCTCCGGGCTACCAGCAGTTTAACCATCCCGAGTTCCCCTGGATTTGTCCCATTCGCTCTTGTAGAGAGCTATTTGACGCTCTTTTTGGCCTAGGGAAGCATTTTAATGTAGGCTTTGCGGCTGATACTGGAAATCATGTCGGCCCTGGCTAACCATGCCAACTACCCAGATATCACACCGCGCATCTCGTCTCAATGACAATATGGACGGAACCCTTTCCGAGCTTGGCAAATATGACAGTGCTACAAAAGGCGACGAGATCCTTCACGGCGGGTACGCGAAACCACCCCTTTTAGTATCCAAGAAACCCATCAGCCTCGCCGACAACCCCATGTTGAGCTGAGCGTGCAGAGGGCCAGAGACCGTGTCGCGAAAAAGTTGATACAGAGGCAGGGCTTGCTAGCTCCCCGTGATGAAGAGGAGTCCACGCTGGACAGCCTATCCTCTCCCCCATCTTCAACTCGCGCCTCTACTCGTTCACAGACAGCTGTAACACCTCTTGCGGCTCCTGCCGTTCCCGCTGAAGGTCTGACGACAACCGAGGATAACCGGCCCTATACCATGTGGCCAGACAACAACGGACAACTCGTCCATATAAATGGTGCCTTACTTCCAACGGGGTACCAACTCGACAGCGCGGTTGCCGACCGGCCATGGATCTGCCCCATTCAGTCCTGCCGCTATCCTTTCAAAGCATGCCATGACCTCGGTCGGCGTTTTCCAATCCGCATCCACCGTGGCATCGGGCTGAACGATAACCTCGACGTGACGTTTTCTGTTATTGAGTGGGGGGGGGGGGGGGGGTGAAGGGCAACACGCTGGAGGCCCCGTATGTTGTATCCCGCGGCTGCTGGAACAAACCCGAAGAAATGAGCCTTCGCAAGGTCCCGCCTTACCCGTACTTCAAAACATGCGTGTGGGTGCCCGTGGACGACGATGGTCAAGAGGTACTCAATGTCCCGTCGCATGCCGAACCTGCTCGACGACAACAGCCCGGGCGACAGTCCGATTCAAGCGAAAATGGCGGCAGTAGGAATGACATCCCTGAAGATGATGTTGGCCAGGGCAAAAGAATCCGAGATGATACAGAAGAGGAAGAGGATTCATACCTGGAAGGACCTGCGGCCAAGCGCTCCCGCCTTGTAATCTTGAGGATCCCACAGCAACAGCAAGCAGAAAGTTCCGCCATCGTGATACCCGGTGCCAGGCCCATACCTCAAAGCGACCTTGAAATGGAAGAATGGGAGGTCGGCGGCCTGCATGCTCAACACACTTTTTCCAGCTCGTACCTCTCGAAGCAGGCTACTATTCCGGGACATGAGAACTTGTCGATTCAGGTCTTGAATATTGCTTCCGGCACGAGCCATGTCTTTGCCGCAGACAAAACCAAGACTCGGGTGTGCATGCTTGCGGCTGGGAAATTGAAGGTGCTGTTTAAAGAAGGGGAAAGCAGCGAGGAGGGCGGCGAGGAGTTTGTGATTGGAGCCGGGGGAGTGTTCGTAGTTGGAGCAGGAAGGCAATGCTCGGTGATGAATAGATGCTATGTTGACGTGAGGTTGCAGGTGACGAGTTGCGGGATATAGGTTTTGGATAGGAGACCGGGGCGGTTTGGGGGCATTCATACCAACGTCCCCAGTGTTCGTAGGATGAGATGAGATAGAGGGGCATTATGAGACCCATTTGTGCGCGTTGTTTTCGATACCTCGCCCATTTTTAATTTAGACGTTCTGACTAAGGCAAGGTATGTTGCTTAACATACCACATAGTTCATCAATAACAACTAAAAGCTTATTCGCATCGGTTCCATTGTTGTTAAGATCAGATCGAAGGTACCTGGCTCCTTAAACGAGCGTAAATTGCTGCAGATTTATCCCTACATCCCGCAACGCATCTGGTGAGACCTCGAGCAGGTGTGGTTCCCTTTCGTATCTAATACAGGGGATACCGCATTCCTCTAAAACTTGTGACGGATCGGTTTCCAGTGTTCTGTATTCGTCATTACGCAGACCAGAACGAAACTTATTGATTTTATTTTCGGGAAGCACGTCCTTGCGATATCTCCAGTCGACAGTTCGGTAGTGTTCTGGCAATGCTCCTGTGATAGCTTCGCCATCCATCAACCCAACAACGAAGCAGCTTCCTGATACCTGCCACTGATTTTGCTCGTCGGGAGATGAACCATCCCTTTCTTTAGGTGTCAAAACAACCGGCACCTGACAACCAAAAGCATACATACCATATCGCCAGCCTTTACCGAGGAAGATGCTACTCCAATATCCCGATCTACTGTCCGAAAAACAGATCTGCCTTTCATCCTGTCGCCAATCTTGGACAGGAACCTCTCCATGCGTTGCCATGTCGGATCATAGAGACACCATATCTCGTGGAAGGACCGTGCTTTCCAAATGATGAGCATGAGTTCTTTGGCTTCTTGTAACGAGAAGAAGTCAGGTCTGTGAACCATTGTCTCTTGCCCAGCCTCGAAAACTTCGCTGAGATTGCCATACAGGAAAAGCCTACACCAGGCCTCCAACCACGTCAGACCGGTGCCTGGCAAGAACCATTCTCGTTCATCATAGTTGTCAGGTACATGCTTGCACCAGGACCGGATGCAGTCGAATACCATGTAGGGCTGGCCATCGTAAGATCTTTCATCCTCCCAGCGGTCAACCCTTTGAACTTCTGAGATTGGTACACCGTTGGCCGTCAACACGCCATCGCCCACGTATTCGACCTGGGCCGATATCCAAGCAGAGGCGCTCCAGATATTTTCTGAATTCGCCGCCATCCTCATGGGCGATGACCAGTCAGGGACCCAGCTAGGGAGGCCGTCCAATTCAATGGCAGAGCGATCATAGGATTCGAGGAACCCCAGACTCCGAAGCTTGGTGGCTACACGAACCGCAACATCGGTGAAGATAGCCGCCGGGTTTTTGTCGTAGTCCGGCTTGATTCCCAACTGGCGGTACTCGGGTGGGAGCAGGCCCAGGTTGGCGTAGATAGCGTCCCTGGGATCTTTCCAGTTCAGCTTGCTGTTATCGAACCGAAGCCGGTCAAAGGACAAGAAGGCACCATCATACAATTTCGCACAAATGTTAGAGACCAACTCGCTGCCCGCCTTATACTTCTTTTCCATCTCCTGGGTCCATACTCCATATTTATCCACGCAGGTGTAGGGTTTCACTGCCATCCAGCGGGCAAAAGTCGCGAAAAAGTGCCAATCGAGCTGCTTAAACCCGCAGACAAGCACTTTGTTCTGTGACAGTTTCACTTCCTGCCGTACCCATAGCCTTGTGAAGTACTCCCTGTTGGTGAAGTGACACAGGTTCAATAACGGCCAGGGCCATTCGAATTCATAGGGTACCGATGCATCTGCCATGGGCGCGTACTTTGTCTTCTCCAACAAGTCCGTGGTCTTCATCATCTCATCGCCCCAATCGACATTTATGCTACCACCGATCAGGTCGACCCATTCCATCGCCTCGTCGCTGTCATCTGCGAATGGACCAACCCATACATATGTCTTGGCGGCTTTGCGGTAGATTTCACCCATAAGCGCCACTTGATGGCTACGTTCCGCTACATTTTGCTGGTCAATGCATATGGCGTCAATCCACATGGATATCCATTCCTCTGTGTCCCTGAGGTGCCGGAGTGCGATCTCGAGATTTTGCGTCACCATGATGATGTTGTGGTTAGGGTCAACCTCTTCATAGTTTGGTGCCCAGCAGTCTTGGACGAAGACAGGCTGTGGGTTATCCTGAGAGCCCCAGACGTAGGATAACGCGATGTAATCTACCTCAGGCGCAATAGCAAACTCCTCGTGTACTATCGAGATGACGATGTCGTCTTCGAACTCGGCCGGTAGGAGAGAGATCCATCTGAATTCTTGTTTGGATGGGTCCAAAGGTTTGTATTGAAAGGTTGTCTGTGCAGGCAAGAGGCCAGAAGGTTCGTCGGTTGGGTGTTGAAATAGTGTTGATAAACCGTAATATCGACGGTCGAATACGGGACCCCAGTCAGGCTCCTGTCTCTTCTTTTCCCTCTGTCCCCTCTTTTCTCTCTGTTTCTTCTCTGGGTCTTCCTCTTCACACGACTCTTCATCACAGGGCCCCTCTTTCTAATTGGGGTTTTCCTGCTTATTAGCCTCGTTCACCTCATAAAAGTCTTCTTCCTGTCGTTGCTTTTCCTCTTCACAGGGCTCTTCTAGCCCAGAGTGCTGCTCCTGCTCAACCACCGGTGCCAGTGCAACAGTTATCGTGGTCATGGGGAGTTTATCCGGTGGAACAAGCCATGTACAAGTCTAAAGCAAGCAGTGCGTAAACACAATGAAAGAACTAATAATGCATGCCCATCACATCCCATGTGGGTTTCATGCTGACTTTCGACAAAACCATCCGCGTTGAGCTTAGGAAGGAAGCTGCTCGCCAGAAGAAAAAATGTGAGATGAAGCAGCTGGATATATTTAGGCGCCCAACATGTTTTTCCTACACGTAATTCTGTCTTATGTTGATTGGGGCGAGGCCTTTGTGTGTGGCCATGACAATTCCAACCAATGAAATCAAATTGTGCCCAGAACCCAGCATCTGTAAAACTCCAAAACGCCTTGCCAATGCAACCTGCAGTAACAGTCTTAGCCAAAGAATGAAAATACGACCGGGCGTCCTGAAAAATAAACTACCACCCTCTTCTTGGCCCTCTCGGACGGAATCCTCCGCCGGCACGGGGGCCTCGTGGCCCCTTATTCCAGCCATCACCGAATCCTCCTCCCGGCCCCGTGGGAACATGGCCCATATCGTCGTCCATCTGCTGCACTCCTCTTCCATGCCCGCCGCCACCTCCGCCGCCGCCCTGGTACCTCCCTCTCATTTCCTTGGGGAAAGATTCGTACGCCTTTCTCATCTGGGCGAAGCCCAAGTGCATTTTGCCAAAGAAGTGATCGGCCAAACGCCTGTCATTGTCCAGCCTGCTGAGATAGGCACCACACACATCGCACACCTGTAGCTTCTGATGTCCCGATGGCCCAGACGTCTCACTCAGCGCCTTAAGCTCCTTCTCTTTGTCTGCCTTGGCCGCTTGGGCGTGTCGAACCTTGTAGTATTCGTCGTAAGCTCTTCCTACTTCTCCCGTTTCAGCCAGAATCTCCACCTCCAGCAGGCCATTCGCGATTGTTGAGCCGAGGTCAGAGATAGCCTTCAACAGCGCGTTGGTTTGCCGGACTTCATCAGGCGTCTTTTCTAAGCGTCGCTGGAGTGTGTCGATGTTACGGTTGCAGGCATCGATTCGCGAAGACAGGTCGCGCAGGTAGTCGTGCTCGAAGCCGAGTTTCTTCTTTTCGGGGTCTGGGAGGGAGTCGTACTCTTGCTTGAGCGGCTCGGAGTGGACGCGAGGGCAGGGGCCAAGATCTGCCTTGGTGTTGGTGAAGAGGTCGTGGGGACAGGTGCCGACGAGATAGGATCGGCAGACTTTTGGGTCGGTTAGGGGAAGCTGGGCGGCGCGGGTGGTGAGGTTGGAGCCCATCAGCTGCTCTAAAGGAGAGTTAGTGACATGGAGGGAGGCAAAGAAGAATAGCGATAGGACGGGATGAGGACTGACCAAGAAGCTTTCTTTGTTCAGCTGCCATGGTTCCGGCCGGCTTTGGGAACAGACAGGCAAATATCTAATGGGAAAGATTGAATGTTGTAAGTGACGGGAGGTTCAGGTATCGGAAAAATAGCGATGAAAAGCGCTGACAACTGGTTACTGGTTTGTATGCTGTGCTGATGTCGACGTCAAGGTGTGGCTGGGATGCTTTTTGGAAAATAAACTAATGGTTTGAGTTCAGCCGCGTTGCAAGGCTGGCGTTGCTGGAAAATGCAACACGCTGGGAGATGTGGGGTCCACCCGTTACTATGGGGCTCTAATTGACCCCTGGGCGCCGCTCGGTGTCTGACAGTGGCCGTCATCTCGTGCGTGCGTCGCGACAGCTAAGACACACACCTACGATGCACTGGCTTCTTGATCCCTGAAATACATCAAACTTTTAGTCTTCTCTTGTACCGTATGTGTTGCCCGGCGCCAATGGACGGACCGCCGTGATTGTTGGGAAAATGCGTCAACTATTTTCCTTCGCTTTGCTCTCGTTCGTTTCCTTTTCCTCTCTTCTTTCTTCAGCATCCGCCGCCGCGGCAGACTACCACGAACAGCTCGTCCTTCGACCACTGCCTCTGTCGGCACTTTTAGCAAGCTTCAATTTCCGATCCAACACTTCGCTCTCCGAGTTTGAAGCGCACAACTTCCGATTCTTCCCTCGATCGCTCGGACAAATTCTCCAACATGCCGGCACCCAAGAGCTGCACCTGAGGTTTAGCCTGGGGAGGTGGGATTCCGAGAGCTGGGGCGCGAGACCATGGGGCGGCGCCAGGGAAGGGGGAACAGGCGTCGAGCTGTGGGCTTGGCTGCAAGCTGCGACGGACGAGGAGTATGACTCTTCACAATGATTTCCGTTCCGCTCCCACGAACTGACAGCTTTGGGCTACAGGGCCGATCACAAATGGCTGACGCTGACGAATGCGCTCTCTGGCCTCTTTTGCGCCTCGCTCAACTTCATCGATGGCACCCGAACCACCCGACCCGTTATGTCCTTCCAGCCCGAGGGCGACCATCTGAATATGACTGCCGCCGACACACATTTGCTCTATGGCGTTCTGCCCCATGAGGTGGTGTGCACCGAGAACCTTACCCCTTTCCTGAAGCTTCTACCATGCAAGGGCAAGGCGGGCATTGCCACCCTGCTCGATGGACACAAGCTGTTTGATGCCTCATGGCAGAGCATGGCTATTGATGTCAAGCCTATCTGCCCCGCCGGTGCAGAGTGCGTCTTGCAGATCGAGCTGACCATAGATATGGTCCTTGATATTGACCGGTCCAAACGGCCGAGGGGTATGGGCTTTCCCTGATTTTCGAGGGACTGTCATTCGCTAACATGGTCCAGGTAACCCGATTCCTAGGCCCCCTCCCGGCCATGAGCTCCCCTGCAATACCTCGAAACCGTACCACGCGCCCGACACGTGCTTCCCGACCGATCACCAGGCCAACCAAGACTGGACGCTGTCCCAAATCTTTGGCAGAACGATGAAGGGAACATGCCCCTTGACAGACCCAGCCGTTCCACCGGTTTGCCTCCATGTTCCGGATTCGCGCAGCGTTTTTCACTCCGATGGCGTCCTCGAAAAGAAGAATCTCGACCGGGTTTCGCGCTGCTTTGAGATCCAGCCAGACGTTGATTTCGAGATTGTGCTACCGGCCCCGGAAGATGAGTCAGCTGTTGTCGTCAAACCAGAGACTCCTTTGCTATACGCCGAGCGCAGCTTCACGGGTCATGGCCAGGAACGCGGTGGTGTGCAAACCATCCTACACAACCCAAGTCCCGACACGGAAGTCGAGTTTGTCTACATGGAGTCTCTTCCGTGGTTCATGCGCATCTACCTGCACACCATGTCCGCTCGTATTCAGGGGCAGACCGCCAAGGACGACTCCTTGATCAAGGAGGTCTACTATCGCCCGGCTGTCGACCGTGCAAGGGGCACGCAGCTCGAAGTGCGCATGCGCGTCCCGCCAGCATCCACCGTCTTCTTGATTTACGACTTTGAGAAATCCATTCTCCGATATACCGAATACCCCCCGGATGCCAACAGAGGGTTTGATGTTGCGGCTGCCGTCATTACCATTTTGAGCCCGGCTGCCTACAACCTCCGAACCACGTCCTTGTTGTGCAGTTTGCCGACCCCGGATTTCAGCATGCCATATAACGTTATCATTTTTACTTCTACAGCTATCGCACTGGCATTTGGAGGCATGTTCAATATCCTGGTGAGGAGGTTCGTGGCTGCGGATGAAGGGCCTGAGGTGGGTCTGGCTGCGCTCAAGAAGAGGATTCAGGAGCGTGTTGGTTTGTTGGTGGAAAAGCTCAAGAAGGGCAAGACTGGCAACGCCTCAGATGAATCAGGCACAAAACCTGACAAGCTTGAGACCGTTGACACGGCCCAAAGCATAGAGGGAGCTTTGAAGGAGTGAAGACGTAGAGGGGCCTTGGCACTATGCAAATAATAGAACAGGTGGTCCAATAATTGCCTGAACCATTCTCGGGTGTTCACACTTGCCACCACGCAAGCTTTACCACGGTTCAATACAGAACAACACTCAAGTCCGGCGCATGTCCTGCTTGGCAAGAATCACCCAAGATGAGCATCAGCGAAAACTCCAAGCGGTGTGAAGAGCACGTAGAGCACCTTGAAGGAATTTAGGAGGTAGAATGTCCGCAAATAAAATGGACGCCGTCGATTGTTTCCAGAAAGAGTGTTATATCCAATGCCGCTGTATCCAACCTCATAGACGACGTTTACCTACCCTTCAACGTCCTCAGCCCAATCTCCAACCGGCTTCACCCAACTGGGACTGACCACCGTGTTTGTAGCGGTAGGGCCTGACGACGGTAGCACTGGAAAGTCCTCAGTTGGCTTGGGATTTTGACTTGACTTGGTTGTGAGCGGTTGTGACACGGCCGAGGGGTGATGTCCGCCCTTGTTTTGTCTAAACGCCTCCTGCTTTTGTCTGTATGCGTCGTCCGCTTCGAACAAGGTCCTCCCTTGTTTGTTCTGCCTAGAGCTGTGTTTTCCAAATGCATCGCTTTCCTGGTCGACATGTTCACGGCTCGGCTCCTGGGAAGCATACCTGCTTGCTCCCAACCCTGATCCTGTTGATCCCTTTACTTCGCGATTCGCCCCCTTTCTGAAGGCGTCCGCTTGGTCTAAATCCACCTTGTCTTGGTCCCATGGTGCTCTCGTCCCTTTACGACCCTTGTTTTGCATCCGGTCTGCATCATACTTGTTTCTCTCCACCGGGGCCGGCTTCGGCTTGGGCGCATCTCTCGGCTTGCGTTTTCTCAGGCCAGCAGCCTCCTCCTGTTTGCGCTTCAATGCCTCTTCTTCGCCCTTGGCAACAGCAATGGCGTGTTCCTCCTCATCCTGTTTGATCCGTTGGAACTTCCGCTCCTTCTCAACAGAAGCAAGTCTTTTCTCCTCCATCATCTTGTCGGACTCAGCCTGACTCATCCTGGAGCGTTGCATACCGCCACTCAGCGTGCGGATATCGCTCGCCGCGGCGGTGTTGTTGTTTGGCTTCAATTTCCCCCTGTGGACATAGCTTTTCGGACCCGACGGTGCGTTCGCCGGTGTATTGGTGGTATTCGAGGGAGCCGAAGCAGGTGGTGCCTTGGTAAAAGACCTGTTGTCGTTGCTCTTGTTTTTGGATGCGCGGGATCTGTCTGGGTAGTTATGTCTTGACTGGGCTAGCCCCCCGAGTTGTGCGCGAACAGGAGGGTCTGGTATAACCTCTGCCGCTGGTTGTTGACGAACCTCGGCGGACTCTGGCTTGGAGGTGGTCGCCGGCGGGGGGACAACGGCCTCTCCCTCGTACGAGACAGGTTCGATATCGTCGGCAAAGAGGTCATCATCGGTGCGGCCGCCGAACTGATCTTGGTCCATGGTGAGTAAGAAAAGAGTTGGGTATGTATTTTGATATCTATATTCTCTGGTCCCAGACCGGATAAAAGCTGTTGTTGGGATGGCAAAGATACTTGGGAAGAATGGGGACCAAAACATGCGACGGTGTTGATGTTGTTGTTTGGATGCACCCTGAAGTGGGGGAATCGAGGGAGGGCTTTGGTTCGAGTTCAGCCCGCATCAGACAAGGCTTGGCACACATCCCCCAGCTGGCAGCAGCTGTGGATGTGTGTGTGGTGTTTCCATCGCAGCCTTGTTTTCTCACTCGCCATCTGAGCTCAAAACTCTCATCCAAATTAATCAGTCAAATGGAAGGCCTTTCCCCTGATAATGAGCAGCACCCGAGAACTGCCGCCTGATGGCACCTAGGGTCGAAGCTTCGGTTGAATGATACGGACGTGAGCCGCCTGCTCGGCTTGCTAGCAATACCTCTGGGCCTGTACTGTGCAGCTTGAGAGGGCTGGCTTCTCGGCTGCCACGTGAAATGATGAAGATGAATCAAGGGCTTATCATCAATTCAGTCTGCTACAGTTGTTCAACAAGGGACTCAAGCCAGATGACGTGCGGACGTTGATTGAGTGAAATAACCTGGTGCCAGACATGGCTGGATCTGAATATAGTCTCGTCTCGTTGGCTGACACCTATCAAGCTGTCACGAACTGTCTCAAAGACTCGGCCAGCAGTGTTCGGTACCGTATCTTCGGACATTCTGTGGCTAACAGTGGCTTATAACTCCTTAGAGATTGTACTCGGAGCCTGCCTGCACCACGAGAAAGGGGATTGGGGGGCCATCGGGCAAACCCCTGCATAATAAAGTGCTCAATTGCGCTCTAACCGAGGCCTTTGCCAGCCAGCAAGGTACACAGCTTTCCGATGAAGGCACATACTACGCAGAGGAGCTGACTGTGCCCCCCCTTCCTAAGACTCCGTCCCGAATGACACTGGCCTGCGTCTTTCTCTGCCCTCGCACCTATCATATCATGTGAGGTAGTTCCCTGCGAGCATGGCATGCCGGTGGCCTGAAAGGGGACTCTGGAAACAACTTGCTCAACGAAGAGGTAAACGAAGATGCGTGGGTCGTAAGCAGTCGGGTACCCTCTCGACAGGGACCGACTGCCAACCGGGGAGTTTCAAGTCTCAACAGATAACAAGTCATCCCGTCTGTCCCAGACTGATTATGATATGGGATGCGCCCAGGCGCCCCAACGGGACACCTCCACGCCTTCACGTCCCGATCGAAATACCTGCTACGATCTTGATCAACTCTATCCAGCACAAGCTCGAAAAAGATGCATCACGAGGGTCCCGTGTCAACGATGCTTATGACGTTCGTTCTGTCGACATCAACGCCACTGTTCTGGGCCTCGTGGCAACCCCAAAACGCAGGCGACTACGCGGCAACGTGCATCTTTCTCGTGGTTCTTGCTGCGTGGACACGTGTGTTGATGGCCATCCGGCACACTCTTGAGCGCGCAAGCTGGGGGAGGAAGTCGTCGTACCCAGCATACCACCGACACAAAGTTGGCGGCGACGAGGAGACTGACGAGCACATACATGGCTCCGGCTCCAGCAATGCAATACCAACACTTGCACAGCCTGTCAAACCTGTCAGCTGTGCCCGGATAATCCTAATGGGTTTGCGAAGCTATTGGCTCGACACACCACTCTCACTGAGACTCGCGAGGGCAGGCTTCGATATGGCCATAGCAGGTCATGCATATCTCGTGTAAGTGCTCATATATCTACTGGCCCATCCTTGAGTTTGGGGCTGACTTGTGTATATTCTTTCCAGAATGTTGGCTGTGATGACGATGAACGTCGGATACTTCCTTGCCGTATTGATAGGTGTATTTGCTGGGACCTTCCTGTTCATCGCTGCCAAGGATAACAACGGCGGACACCAAGATGAGGATGAATGTTAGCTAAAGCTCCAAGGAAAGACTCCCTCTTTGATTGACGCCGAAACCGGCTTCTGCCATTTTGTACCTTATGTCAGTCTGATCAAAAGGTCCCCTGCCTTGCTGAGGGGAGGATTGCTCTTTGGATTGTACAGGCATCACGGAAAGAAATTGTGTCCTCTCATCATAGATTGGTATCAGTGATACCAATTTATGTCAGTGTCAATCAATATACCACCAAGATTGCCAACCTTAGTTAGACTACTTCCCCCTATAGGTTTCTATCTTAACTTTTTGCTCTTGCCAATGATGATGACTAACAGAAAGGTTTTTGTGAATAGAATACCCTAGGTAGCAATAGTTAAAGTTTTGAGTTGCACTGAGCATAAGTGGTCGCTCCGTGGCCAGTTGGTTGCTCTTCTCAATCGCTCTTCACTGTTGCATTGACGTTGTCCTACTCCAGCCCTTCTGTGGGCGCAGGACTTGGGCGCCTTTCCAGTCTACCTTACAGCAAGAGGCTTTTTTGGCCAGTATGTGGACAGGGTGAATTGAAACAGTTATCTACCAAGTTTTGTGAGTCATTGTAGTGTATGGCTCGTAGCTGAACTTTGTTAACCTTTTTACGCAGATGACTAACAGACACTTTTCCCACCACATTATAAGGTCTACAACCTGCCGCTGACCAGCCGACAACAACCTTATCAATCTTTCATATCTTGTACATCATGGCTGGTTTGCATGTAACACCAGCAATTGTGCCTAGCCATAACCACGCCAGCTTGCAATTTCAAACGGCAACTTCGACGACATGTGAACTGATGGAACCCACCAAGATACCAACTGTTCCAGAGTACGATCCATCGTAGTATCGACGACAGTTCATCAACTACATCAGGAGCCCATTATATCGACTACCTGAGGAGCTTCTCCTCTATATCGCCAAGGATCTGACAGACGAAATCACCCAACAAATACTTCGCTATACATGTAGTTTGTTTCTCCGCATCATCTCGGGGCTATAAGTGTGGCACACCACTCCGCCGCCGAACGTATCCCTGGATGAAACAAACTGGCAGCTGGCGGTGTGGCCATTGCACGGAAGCAAGGCTGACAGACGCCGACAAAAGCCTCAAGTGGCAGATCTTCTCCGAGAAGATAATGGCGTTGGAAAGTGTGTCAGCTGCCGCGGCGCGATGTTAGTCGGATATGTCAAATGGCGACTGCTGGGCAGCAGACCTGACACTGTGGTGCCACGCCTGCCAAGGAAGCCACCCCTGGTTCCTGTTCTCATTAAGCCAACGCCAGGAGTCAAAGTTTCGTCGCATCTGTCTTAGGACCCAGGGTGCTGTGAGAATGTGTGCCCACAAAGTGATCAGGTGGGCAGACCTCGTTGGACACGCAACTGAGAGGGTAAGGACGCCAATTCACTTACATGGCATCCTTTGCTCTTCCTGTGCGAACTCCACATATACCACGGCTGCATACGCTCCATTCGTCTTTCGGCCTTTAACCAACGGCCAAATGCAACTCATCGATCCTCGTCCTGTATCGGTTCACATTGGTTGGACCTACTTGGCCTTCGACCTCAACACCTCAGTCCCAGTTTCGAGACAGTATCTCCGCGGCTGTTTACTTCTCCAAAACCAGGCTGCGTCTGGAAATAGACTCTGTTCCCATGTCACATTTCCGGACGGCCAATTACTGTTGCCGTTCGAGCACAATCAGTGCGCATGCTTCGACCCTCCCGAAACCCCTTTGCAACCCCGGGAAACTTGGCAGCCCCTCAGTCATGGCTGTCTTCATAGCCGGGTCTCGATGGAGCTGTGCTGCCGCTGTCGTTCGATCAAAGAACCTCACCGTCGTGGGCACTTTCTACCTTATGAAAAGGAATGGTCGGCGACCTTCACATCTCAAACAAAGATGTCTTGCCACTCATATCAGTGCTCCGAGTGCGACGCACAGTACTGTTGGATCCAGGAAGGTGATTCCGATCGTATCTATCTCAAGTGTCTGAGAAGAATCTCCACACCCTTGGAACAAAGGCTGGCGCCTACCTCTAGGGCTCTAGGGAATGGCTCCGAAGTTGGGACCCAGACACCTGGGGGATCACGGCAGACCATGAACTGAAGCGTGTAGTTTGGTGCCTAGATGCAGCATGCACCACAAACTCCCGCTGGCACGAACTGCTGCGGCTGTTGTTGCGTTAACGTTATACCCCTGACTAGAATTGATCGTCCATGGAATAAAAGCACCAATATCGAGGTCCATTTGCCATCAGAGAACGCCCAGCTTCTCTCTCCCCTTCCCCATGCTACAAAACACAACACAAGCTCACGGTTGCCATACGCACTACACAACCTCCAACAAATCATGCACTGCTCGTCCCGAAACACTTTGGAATGGAAGGGTTAGACAACAAAATTCCTGTCAACCTAGACATCGCCCACGAAGGATTGAGGACTTTCAAGATCTCATTACCGCAAAAAGAAGAGAAGATCTAGGGGGACAAAACACAAAAGGCTTCCAGTGCATTAGATAGATATCCAAAGAGATTATAGAATCCAAGGTTTAACTTTCCATCAGGATCCCTATAGTGAGATCCCCAAATCTTTGTGTGGAACCAAAAGGACATCCTACCCACAGGGTAGGCCGGGTGGCATATATCTCTACACTTTGTGATTTGAACCACGCTTATTACCAGCCTTTGACTTTAGACGAGTGCCATTCTCCACCTAAAACTCATGCTGATTTGATGTCATGCAGACGGCGACCAGTGTAAGTGACTGGACTGACCTGTGATTGTCACCAATAGCCTGCCCAAAATCGATTCTTTGTCTGACATGCAAGGTTCCTGTCTTGATCTTCTCGCTTCCCATCTTATTGGCAGACGGTCAACTCTCTCTGCACCCCCAAACCAACATCCACTGCCGTCTCTCTCTTTCATTGGCTGGGACATTCCGTACCAACTCCCGCAACCGATTACTCCGTACTGTACATCGTGTCACAGCCCACGATAACATCAATCTCACCCGATATGAACCCCCCTCTTTTGCCCCCCTCCACCATCAACTTACCTACCTACACCCCAAACCACACCCATCACAATGTCCTCCAACACCGCCGCCTGGCTCACCTCCAAAAACTCCTCCCCCTTGGACATCAAACCCGCCCCATCACCCCCCTCCCCGCCCCCAGCCAACTTCCTCGTCATCAAATCCCAAGCCGTGGCCATAAACCCAGTAGACTGGTTCATCCAATCCCCCGGCAACCCCCTCTTCTCCTACCTCCGCTACCCCGTCATCCTCGGTTCCGACGTCGCCGGCACGGTAGTCCGCTCCTCCTCCCATCTGTTCGTCCCCGGCGACAGGGTCGTCGCTCACGCCTTCGGGACAGACCGCCGGTCTAACTCTTCGGCCGAGGGCGCGTTTCAGGAGTACGTCCTTGTTCGTGAGCACCTCGTCGCCAGGATACCGGATCATGTCCGTTTCGAGCAGGCGGCTGTTTTACCTTTGGGGTTTTCGACTGCCGCCACGGCGCTGTTTTTGGGGCGGGATCAGGGCGGGTTGGGGTTGGCGTTGCCGACTTCGCCGAGGGGAGATGACAAGAATCAGGTGGTTATTGTGTGGGCTGGGGCGACGAGCGTGGGGAGTAACGCGATACAGCTTGCCAGAGCGGCGGGGTATGAGGTTTACACTACTGCTTCGGCGGGTAATTGGGAGCATGTCCGGCGATTGGGGGCGGCGGAGGTGTGGGATTACAAGAGTGAGAGTGTGGTGGGGGACATCATTGGCAAGCTAAAGAGTGAGAACAAGGTGTGTGCTGGGGCTGTGGCGATTGGGGCAGGGGCATTGCCAAGATGTATCAACATCTTGGGTGGCTCCAGGACTGTGGAGGGTCAGCCAAAGTTTGTTTCGCAGGTAAGCGGGTCCAAGGATCCCGGCGAGTTTCTTGGGTTGGGGGCGTTTGGGATGGTGAAGCTTGTGGTTGATATGGTGTGGGCTGGCATCACGACAGTGGCCAAGGCCAAGATCAAGGGCGTGGGGTACAAGTTCATCTGGGGAAGTGATATTGGTGATGACAAGAACAAAGATGTGGCTAAAGCGATATGGAATGTGTACTTGGCGCAGGCATTAGGGAAGGGTGAGTTTGTGCCGTCGCCTGAGCCACAAGTTGTCGAAGGGAAAGGGCTAGAGAAGATCCAAGAGGGTTTCGACATCTGTAAGAAGGGTGTGTCGGCGGCCAAAGTGGTCGTTCTCGTGTAGAGTGCCTAAACCCATATTCTTCAGATATCGCTCGCTGCCTTGGATGTCAGTAGTCAAAGCGTTGTCAGAGTTGAACAGCAAGTCACATGGAATTGGCCTAAACGATGAGACATCTCGGTAATCTTGAACTTTTTTCTTTCAATTTATCAATCTATGGGTATCCAAATTTGTACAAGAAAAGAAAAGAAAATAGGTAGGTGACTACGATCCAGGCGCTTACCGGTTAGGTGCAGATAGCTCCCATAGGGACAGGCTGAGGAAATACCTTGCCTGCCACCTTACAGAAGCAGAAGCTGCCGACCTTGTTGCAGGGAGTTCCCCTGAGAGGAGGAGGGGCGAGAGCCGGGACAGGAGCCGGGGCAGGAGTGGGCAGAGCACCACCTCTGGAAGGAAACTCAGTTGTGGGGTCAATGGGAATAATTGTAGTGAGTCTGCTAGTAGGCTCAATTGGGATGATGGTGGTGAGCTTGGTGGGGTCCTCAATAGGAGTGATGGCACTGATCTTGGTAGGCTCATCAATAGGGGTGATGGCACTGATCTTGGTAGGCTCGTCAATAGGGGTGATGGCGCTAATCTTGGTGGGATCATCGATGGGAGTGATAGCACTAATCTTGGTGGGCTTGTCTTCGATAGGAGTGATGGCAGTGATTTGCCTAGGTCCCACGACTACAACTTTGGAGACATACTTGACGCTCCTCTTGCTCAAGGGGTTCCCAAATAAACAGGTCGTATCAGGAGCCACTGCCTGAGGTGTAGCAATACCTCCGTTGCAGATTCCAAACTCGGATGGCGAGAAGCAAAAGAGACTACGCTCTGGGGAGCAAGGAACGCCGACCAACTCCGGAATGACGACGGCAGGGGTTGTAGTGGGAATAACCACAACTGAGGTCTCCAAAGAAGTAGGGGTGATGGTTGTAATATCCTCCTCTGGGGAGGTAGCAGTGGGAGGGACGGTGGCAGAGCTGGTAGAGGTGATCAAAGTAGACGACTGACCTTGGGTGGGAGCAGGAGCAGAAGCAGCCCCAGAGTCTCCGTCGAAAGTAGGAACGCCAGCAGCCTTCTCGCAAGTCCCCTCGCTGCGGGGAGCAGGTTGCTCAAGAACCTTTCCGAACTTACCAGGATTGGGAATGTTGAGAACACCATTGTTGGTGGTACACTCACCGCGAATGTTGGCCACGAACATCTGAGGAAGCGAGTTGAAAAAGGTCGTATCGTCGGAGCCACCGCTGATCTTAACAGGGGCGCAGTTCATGTAGACCTCATGATTGCCGATCTTGTTGTACCAAGTCCAGGCGAAGGTAGCGTTCCCGTTTGGCATATCCTTCGGGATAGGAACGTTGAACTGTCTAACGCACTCGACTCCAGAATCATTGCCGCACTGGGGAGAGTCAGCACGTCCGTCTTGATCAGGTTGGGCGGCGGGCAAGTTGCCAGCTGCAGAGACAGGATACCCTCCAATCAAAGTGTAGATTGTCTTCCACTTTGACTTGTCAGCCGGAGGCGGGAAGTCATAGGTGACACTGAACTGGCAAGAACCGCCACCATGCTGGGCACCGCCGGTGAACTTTACGAGCTGCTCGGTACCGGCCTGCATGGATGTCACCTCGACAACATCGGTGTTGCCCTGGCATGGGAAGGGAAGCGCCCTAAGAGGATCGACTTGAACGAGGGAGCTGGTCCCGTGGTAGTTGTAAGGGATGGGAGTGTTCATAATGAGATGGGCTCTGGCCGCTTGAGCAGCCAGGGCTGTAGCTAGGAAAGACACAGTATGCATGATGATGATGCGTATAAGGTAAGGTAAGAGATGATGTGGTGAAAATTTTCTATATACCCCAAATCTTGCCTGCTTATATGATGCCCGACCTTCTGGTCCTATATGTATCAAGGGATATTGCCAAGACAATGAATCATGTCTAGACTTTGTCTAGAAGGCAATAGCCACACCAAAGGTTACCACAACCGTAGTCCAGAAATAGCATACAAATAAAGAGAAGATACTTTGGGGACAATACTGTCAAGATTCACCACGTGGTGACAAAGAGGATTGTTCTTGAAATAGGACAATTTAAACAAAGAACCATCGACGATGATATTATCAAGGCACACGGCGGGCAGCTACTGAATGTTTCATGCCACTGTCCTGGTAGTTTCTGGCAATATCAGGAACCTCTCCCTTATCTCATGTCCAAGATACCGGTGGTTTGCTTACTCCGAACCATCACAAGACATTGCAGCGGCTTCTCTTGCGCAGGTTCACCGACTGGCAGTAAGTTCCGGCCTAAGACTTCCTTTACTTTCAAATGCCCTCAGTATAGCCAAGCTCACAAACGGATACGACATGATACGGTCATGAACCCCCCACTTGGCAATCTCCTCTCGAATCAAGCCCTTCGCTGTTTGGTGTTCGACGACCCAGCCTGCTGGGCCCAATAATTTTTTGGTTTGCTCCTTTTCTTCCTCGAGTTCCTCGAACGTGATGCCTCCAACCCTTGTGGCACTGATTGCATGCCAACACATCTGGTCACTATGAGACCAAGGGAAGTCGTAATCATCTTGAGCATGAATAATGGTGATGTGATACTTTTGATCTTCGCCCGACATCTCCTCACAATGGCGAACAAAGGCCGGAATGTTGTCTTTGCTGGGCCATTTGCTGACAATGAACTTGCTGAAGAACGCAAGAAGTCGAGGGAAGGGAGCCAAAGGACCCAGGAGTGGAATAGTACCAGCCACGCGGTAGGTTGCTGTCAGTCGCTCCACATCTGCAAAAGGTGCAACAAAGACGATGCCGCGAAGAGAATTGGGTCTAGCTGCGCAGCTAGATGGCGCACAGGTGATGCCAGTCCCTATGAACTGCCCAAAAACGACGATTCGTGAAGGGGGGATACTGGCTTCCTTGATGTCCCAGTCAACCAAGGTGAGAGCGTCAATGAGAAGACCTTCTTCGGATGGTGAGCCCCCGCTCATTCCAAAACCACGATAATCAAACGCAACGGTATGTATCCGGCCTGGGGCACCCGCTGACATGGCCCGGTAGCTTGGTGGTCACCAACCGGAACCCAGTGTGCCTGCGGCCCCGTGGAGGTAAAGGACCAGGAGGGCCTCGGGATCATCCTGAAGCAGCTGGAAACCACGACGCTTGGTAATGTCTTGGGAATTTGCCGTTGATTCTTTGATGAGCTCCTCTCCATGCTGGCGATAGAGTTAAAGCGGGAGCATATGCCAGGCCTGCAGCGTGACTCTGTCCGGGGCCTGGAGAGTGAATGGGGACACTTCGTTGCGCAAGAAGCCCCATTGCTCAGGCACAGTGATGTCTTGAAACCAGGTAAGAGTCACCCTGTGCAAGTAAAAGACTTGATTTTGAAAAAATGGGATAGCGAGGCTAGTGAGGAAAATAAAGTATTCAACAACAAAAACACCAAAAATGTAAACCGCCGAGTATAGGACTGAATTGAGGGACATGGGAGGTGGCATGGTGCATCTGCAAGCTATAGTTGGTACCTTATTTCGTCAACAAAGCTCGACGGGCAGTCGAAGTGTAAGAATAATATAGCAAGGAATATGAATATGAATGTTTGGTTGCAGCACCCGGAAGTCTAGAACAACCTGAGACTTTCCGCGGTGCGAGATAACTCAACTCCAGGCCCATGATGAAATGTGCAGACTGCTCCGTGTGAGGCACATGTCACTGCACGGGCCACCTGGCAAAGGGCTTCTGGTTGTGGCCAACTACCTGGTACCCAAACTCCAACTGCAGCTATATGTTGGCCAACAGTAATCGTTGTTGTTATTGTCGATGTGCATTCAGCTGCACGAGGTACTTGGGCTTGGTCCTGAAACCAGCTGGTGCCACTTTTGGTTCTCCAGGTTGGAAAGGTATGTAAAGCGAGGTCCAGCCCGGTAACTGCTCTATAACCGATAGGTATTCTTTAGCAAAGTTGAACTCGAGTTCCACACCAGAAAGTTTACCCACCTTACGATACCTCACCTTCCGATTCAATCTATCGCGGTTGTCTGCTTTCTTTGATCCCGGAGGCGTGTGACTCGATTTCCGTTTTGAGCAGCAAGAGACAGGCGACCAGGTCGCGAGACAGGAGGTAGAATGAGCAGCAAAGCGGATACCAAAGCCCTCGAGCCTGAAGTCAGAGCATCTGCCTCTTTGGAAGCTTATAACGGCCGCGTTCAAGGGTGGGTTGGTGAGCCGGATTTACGCGGAACTTGGGGGATCCTTTGGACGTCACTTGTTATTATATTTATCTGCACTTTCATTCTTCACTGCTTGAATGTCCCACACAAGTCAGACACGTTTACATCCTCTTCCGCCGTCGGGTCCTATGGACGCTCTTGGCTATTCCAGCGCCAGAAAACTGTTCTCACCTATGCCGCGGGGCGGTGGGGCAGAGCTCGTCACTCTGTTCACGACTTCCACAGCTCCGGCTACACCCAATGGAATGGACCATGTGAATGGCCTTCTTTGCCGATGTGGGAGGCTTCGTGTTCGAAGCGGCAGCCAGTGGCCCCTTTCCCCTGAACGCCAAGCAACTTCACTGGTTAGTTGTTAACAATCATATCGAAGATCCCGAAACCGATGTCGGCGAGATCTGGTACAAGTCAAAACAGGACCGGTTTGCACGCCTCATCACATCCTTTCAGGTTGGCTACACAATCATACATGCGATTGGTCGGGCCGGACAGCTACTGGCTATCACGACGCTCGAGTTGAACACTATGGACATCGTGGTATGCTCTCTGATGACTGCTTACGCTTGGCTTCACAAGCCGGCCGATGTCAGGACACCGATAAAGCTTGCGACAAGAACAGCGATCGGCGATATTACGGGCGATCGGCCATGGAGAACCACACCATTAGATTTCATCGATGAGAACGGTCCGGGCCGGACACTCAATGTCCAACCGTTGATGAAAATGCCAGTGATCCCGCCCGACCAGCTGATTCAGCATATCCCCAACGACCGGTTTCCGATGAACCCATATGGTGCGCAAGAATACTTCTTGTGTTTTGCGAAACTTTTGTTTACTGCTGTTCATGTGGCTGGATGGAACTTTTCCTTTCCAACTACAACGGAAAAGGTGTTGTGGAGAGTATCCAGCTCGATACCGTTTGGTGTCACGGCAGCATTTTGGGTTCTCGAAACAGCAGCGTCTTGGATACGCCTTGGGAGATGGAAGTGGACCTATCTCTGGATAACAAACAAAGGCCGCTATTCCCGATTCTGAGCAAGCAAGGATAGAAAAGCTGAGGGCCAAAGCGGCACGTGAACCTACCACTCTACCACTTGCATGGGGGTTCTGGACGATTGGGCTTGTTGCTTTGCTGTATGGGATCGCTAGGATGTACTTAATCCTCGCGGCGTTTCTGGAGCTGCGAGACATTGATGCCACAGCTTACATGAATGTGAGATGGTCGATGTATATACCTCATATTTAGAGTGACGGAATACCACGTTGCTCGCCCGTTGGAATTCTGGGGACGCCACTCCTCGGCACTGTGTCTACAAGACGGCGATCGATTCCTAAAATTACGTCAAACTGTGTCACTCTGACCAACGTTCATCGTCAAAATCTCCGCGGCATCGTAGCGACGTGTTTCAGTTATCCAATTTTCTTTGGAATGCACTCGGCCGAGTGAGCATCACTGCCTATCCGCCCAAAATATTATCTTTTCGTTGCAATGGAGGATAAATAGACACACGTTGTCCTGATGCGCTGAATCTAGAGTGGAGTTTCCCACAAGCGCTGAATAGTAAACCCTCAGTGACCACATCCAAACAAAGAGTCTGGCCCACAATGAAGCTCTTTTCGTTCCTGATCAGCTCCTTGCTCCTTGCCTTCGCGGCAGCTCAAAGTACATACATCCCCACGTTGTATGACACCTGATATGATATGACTCTAACACCAAACAGCTTGTACAGCCGATATATGTCGCAGCCGCATCAACCAATACGGCACACAGACCGGCCGAGCATTCTGCTTCACATACCTCACGCCTGTCGTCGTTGCTACCCAAACGCTGAGGGTTACTGCAGTTGCTACACGAGTCAGCACGTCTATTCCGAGCACGCGCACCGTCACAGCTACGTAGGTTTTATCTCTTGGTTTCAAGGTTCGACCAATGCCACCAGCTAGCTAACCTCCGTTCTCACAGAGCAACCGGCGTCACTACCATCGTGAGACGCCAGATTCTGCCGGCCTCGGTATCATCGGCCATCGCATCAGCGTGTACGAACAACGCGTCAAGGATTAGCAGCGCCTGTACGTGCTATCTTGCTGGGCGATAAAGTGTCAGGGAAGTGAAAAGTACCTAGGAAGGAAGGGAAGGCATTGCGTCACGGCAGAGGCTGGGGATGGCGCATGGTAGGTAGGTAGGTAAGTAGGGTAGTTTTCAAAAATGGACAATCAGTATTTAAACCGACATCTCCTTCACCTTGGCGCCCCCAGATCCAGACTCTAGCAATCCTTCCAAAACCTCCAAGTCCCTGAACGCTTCCTCGGGAGTCTGCAGACCGTCGACCTTTCCAGTGCCGGCCTTGATAGCCCGTGCAAACACAGCCACCTCCTCGCCAACACCAGAGCTGTACTCAAACTCTTTCTTGCTCTCCCCCTCCTTGGTCACAGTCTTGACCTCGGTTGGGCTCCAGCTGACAGTTCCATTGGTTGTGATGATCTCCAAATCCGTCCCGTTCTTGAACTCGGTCCCAAAAGAAAGGACAATCGAGCCATTCACGCCCTGCTTGGTCGAAGCAACACCGTGGATGGTATCCAGAGGCTGTAATCTCTCTTCCAAAAGAGCGGTATACGCAGCCACCTTGCTCAACTCCTGTCCAGAAGCCCCAAGCAAGTATCGCAGCGCAGCCACAAAATGCACTCCACCGTCCAGCAAGAATCCACCCTGGTAGTCAGGAACCTTGCGCCCTATTCCGTGTCCATGTTAGCATCTCACTTTCCCTTCCCATACGTAGGTAGCCAGAACAAACTCACACTGAGTGTTGAAATACTTGTTATCCTCCGCCACCCACCCAAACTTCTCCAGCTTGAAGCTCACCACCCGGCCTCCAATCCTCTTGACCTCCTCCCCAGCAAACACCAAACTCTTCATGTACCGAAAGTTCTCCGCCACACCCCACAGCGGCTTCTTCTCGGCTGGCAATTCAGTCTCGTACCACTTGATCAACTCCCTTGCCCCCTTGACATCGGCCGCGACGGGCTTCTCGGAAAGGACGTGCTTTCCGGCCTTGAGAGCAGCTTTGATCACCTCGGGCTGGGCCAGAATAGGCAACGCAACGTCCACGGCGACGATGTCGTCTCTCTTGAGGAGGTCAGCCAGGCCGCGGCCGGGCTCGGAGGGGGAGTCATAGTAGATGTCTGGCTTGGGGCCGTCGGCGGGGAGGGCGTCGGCTAGGGCAACGGAGGAGGTCTGAGAACGGGAGTAGACTGCTTTGAGGGAGAGCAAGTCTGGGGAGGCGAGGATGGCGGGGAGGTGTTCTACATTTCGTGTTAGCCTTGCTGCGTACTGGTGGTGGTGATGGTTCTGGTGATGGTGAATGGTGGTGGGAATGGAGGCAATGACGTAAGGGGTGTGAAAAGGGGCTGTTTTCATTTTTTGTGGGGCATTTGTTGATGAGAAAGGACCAAAACATACCATGACGGGCAAAGATGCCGGCACCAAGGAGAGCGATTCCTGCCATTTTTCCTGATACTTTTTGTCGAGTTGGTAGAGAATTCTGGTGATGGGAATGGAAGACAAATGAGGGGGGTTATTTTATTCTGGAATTCAATTACTCATCAATCCTGCTACGAAGGAACTTTGAGGAATAGAGCCTCCGGCCGGCACTGAGTGGATGACGATGTGTCGAGAGTGGAGAATGGGAGATGCTGCAGCTGTCGGGAATCGGGCCGGCCGAGACAGAACGGGGAAAGGCTTTTTCCTTGGCGAGTTCCAGCTGCCGCGCTGTCGGGTGTCTCGCGGTGGGAGGGAGATGCCGTGCGCGCCGGTTGGAATGTGTTGATTCATGCCTGACGGGAGACGAGAAGAAACCAAGACAACAGAATGGAATCTGCCATGCATTTACGAAGGGAAGATTGGAATGAGGGGTATATGTCACGTGTGTATCACGTGGAAGATGATGATTAAGGGGCGCCCCTGAATTGCAACTATGAACATAAGATAACATCGATGAAAGTATGGAATATCTTCAGCCACTAAGTAGACTATCCCATACGAATTCGAACCACTCACCATGTCATTCATTCAATCGGTAGTTGTCAATTCAGCAGTGCCAGCCAAGCAGGGTGTTATAATAGGTATGTTGGTAGGTTGGATCTTACGGGTGCTGATCATGAATGGAGCGGACAGTGTTTCCGAAAACATCAATTTTCGGCTCCACGATGTATCGATAGAGCCAGAGTTTCACTTCAGGCGATTTGTGATCCTGGAATACGCCACAAGCTATACCCGTTTGGCCATCACGCATATCGATAATGAAAAGCCACGATTATTAGGGCCAGCTGAACCTCCCCTGCATACAGGTTACAAACTTTGTAGCTGTCATTCGGTTCTAGACTTTCGACACGGTCTCTGTTCCTTGCTTCATCAAACTGCGCTCCATCAGTCCCGCCAACGAATTGACGTAGATAACGTTCTCAACGCCATATAACTCTGTCCCAAGGACTGCATCATCACATACTGCCATGGCTCCATACGCAATCTCAATCGACAACCGCTCCGACATCAAGCGGTCTTACGCCCTATTCGCTGAACCTCCAACCATCAAGCACAACGGCGGCTCGGCCATCAAAGTGGTCACTCGCATCATCAGCAGCGCCCGGGGGGTGGCATCCCCGCATGGCCAGGCCAACTTCACGCTCTCCAAAAAGTTGTACGCAAGATGCGGGGTCTACGATGTCGAAGTCGACCCGTCACCTGACGACCAGAACCGAAAACGCGTCGGGAGTGGCGTTGAGGTCATCGACCAGCGACTTGTCACACTCGGGTCGACAGACAAACATGGCAATATCGTACCCGGGACCACGCTCATGATAGACAGCTCGAGCGGCACGCCGGCGTTTACCGAGAACAACCCCGCGCCGTCCGGTGCTGTTGGGTGCTTCTGCATTCAGACCCGAGGCGACTTTTCGGTCAAGGAGGCGAAGCTGAGTAGGTGTTCCTTCTACTGATAACACTTTATTTTCACCCCCGCACATCCTGCTAAACGCCGAACCCCAGACCAATTCGTTGTCGGCTTCTGCTCGTCCACACGCCAGAGCATCGGCCCTTATGCCACCTTCGTCCCGCAGCCCAGCGAGGAGTATCAGATCGCGCCATCCAAGGGCTTTTACGTGGTCGTGGGGAACTTCAACCCCTACGACCTCGCCGACATGAGGCTCAAGGACAGCATGTCCGCCTGCCATATGGATTTTGCCTCCCTCGAGACGGACTCTGTCACACTAGTCCACCACAGCAACGGGACGCTCGTCAGGCAGGTGGTCACAGATGGGGAGATGAGGCCGGTGCCAGTCCCATCACCCAACCCCCCAGTCTTTGCACGAGCTTTTGCAAGAGAGGAATTCAGGGTCGGAACTGCAACAGTCACGGCTAGGTCGAGTCAGGACGATGGGAGTTCGAATTCGATATCAGGGAGCTCTGCTGGCACCTCGACACCAACTTGGTCCGTCTTGAGCTAATCATCTTTCACATGTTACTGAACTTCAATTAATATTACAAGCCTCTGACAAGGCAATACTCGTACACCTTTCCCCACAACACCATCTCACCCGCACAAATCAAACAGAGCCACGCTGGGATCATGGTCCGACACCATCTCGGCGTACGACCCCCAAGTGTTGACGTGAATGTGCTCAAAGTCGCTCTTGCTGCTGGCCGCAAGCGAAGGGCTGACGTACATGTGGTCGAGCGCCTGGGCGTTCATGTCAAAGGCGTAAGTGTACCGCTCGGTGGGCTTGATGCCGGCCACCTCGTCCAGGTCCTTCATCTTGCTGATCTCGGCAAAAGTCTTCATGGGCCGGACAAAGGAGAACTCGTTGAAGTCGCCGGCGGAGATGACGGCAGCTTTGGGGTCGGCGTTGAGGATCTGGGAGATGAAGGTCTGGCGGGTGGGTCAGTGACTCGGGATCTTGATAAGAACAGTGGAAGAAAACACTTGAAGACCTACAGCAGTGACGTTAGCCTGGGCAAGTCTGTCAGTCACACCACCATTGATGGGAGGACGACGGTCGCCGTGGAGGCTGGAACCGCCGCCCTTGCTGCCGAAGTGGACGTTGACGGTGAAGAAAGGCTTGGTGGCACCCTTGGCGACCCAGGCACCGACAACGGGCTTGCGAGAGGCGGTCCAGGCTGGGTTGGCAGGCTCAATGCGGCCCGGGTTGAAGGTCAGGGAGGGAGGAGAGTTCTTGCCCGAACCCTTCACAACGGAGGTGGCATCGTCCCCTTGGCCCTGGTTGGGTTTGTAAAGGGAGATGATGGCTGGGTTGTAGAGATAGGCGGGACGGATGTTGCCGCCTGGCTGGCCACCGTCAAGGTTAGGGGTGGCGGGTGCAACCTCGGCGAACTCGTAGGTCGGACCACCAGCGGCCTTGATGCTGGCAGCGAGAGCGGAAAGGGTCAGGTTGGCAGAGGTGATGCCGTCGTTGTTGGTGGGGCCCGAGTTGTCCTGGACTTCCTGGAGGAAGAGGAAATCAGGGGACTTGAGGTAGGTGACGACGTGGCTGGCAATCAGGGGCAGGTGTTCAGACGAAGGAGACAGATTTTCGACGTTGTAGCTGCCGACAGTGATGGCCTTGCACTGGCCCTTGCTCTTGAGGCTGGTGGGCTTCTGAGCAGCAACACCCTTGGCGGGCTTGCTCACCTTGACGGCGGTGAGGGGGAGGATCGAGTAGAAACCAAAGGCATGTTGCACGACACCGGTGATTTCCTCGAGTTCATCGCCCATCTTGCTGGTGTTGGGGTTCTTGGTGCCATCAAGAGGGGAGCCAATGACGATAGCCTCTGGGTTGGAATCTATGGTTTGACATGTTAATAAAAAAAACCAAGAGCCCAAGACCAAATTGGCAAGTTTGCTCACCTTTGTCGGTCATGGTGATGCCTCCCTGCTTGTTCTTCCCCGTGACCTTCCAGTCACCGACGACCCAGGTATCACCATAGTTGTTGGGTTGCTTGATCACACTCGGCTTTCGAACGGTGACCAGTTCACCGCTCAAGCTCTCCCAGAAATCCAATCCAAACTTCTTGGGCTCCAGCACAGGGTTCACTTCGGAGATGTTGGCCACTCCGTTGGGCACATTGTAGATGTCACCGCCATCCAGCGAGCTGAACTGAGTGTTGGGGGGGTCGATTGTGTCCTTCCCAATCACCAAGGCCTTCACCTTGTTCCCGCTGGAGAGCACCTGGACATTCTTGGGAGTGGACAACTCGGTCAGATAGAGGTAGGCGTTGCTTGACCGATACTCGAGCACCTTGGCATCCAAAGAGATGATGTCGCCCACGGTCAGGTTGGCACCCACATTGCGGTCAAAGACATAGATGGCCTCAGAAGTGGCAATGTCCTTGTCCGGGGTTGTCGACCGAATGAATACTCCGTTGGGACCCTTGGCGATCAGGAGACCGGTGACGTTGGTCACGGTCTGCCCTGAGTATGGCGAGATGTACTTGTTGCCATTGATCTCGGCGATTGTCAGGGCGGACGCCAGAGACTGAAGGCTCGTGATGGCAAAGATGCCGAGCGCAGTCGGTGAGGCCTTCATGATCGTCGTCGTCGTGGCTGTCGTCGGGATCGGGCTCGGGCCTGTGCGAGTCCAAGCTGTTGAAAACAGGACAAGCCGTTGCAGGCGATCATCTCGTAGTTATATGCTGCATGTTCCTCCTGTATTGCACGTGGGATATGCAGTTTGTTGATTTGATAGGCAAGGCAAGTACCACATAAGGCGGACCTGGCCGCCGTTACACCAGTTATGTTATCGTAGCCCTTCAGGGGCTATTCAGGGTGCTGTGCGTGTTGATTGGCTGGGGGTACTAGCACGTTGGGCGGGCGACCTGCCTGAATGGACAGGTGGTTAACGATGCCAAGGCATGCCTCCAGCTTCTAACCCAGCTGAGTGGCCGCCTGCCTTTTCCATCCTACCGTGACTTCACGTGGCGGATCTCTGGGGATTGGTTATCACCAATCGTCGTCGGAAAGGGCCGAGGGACCCATCGCGGTGATACGTCTAGAATACTGGTAGACTGCCTGGGAACAATTTAAGCATCTTTGACCAGTGATGATCAAGAGTGACAATGCTACTGATCCCGATGGTGGCCTCGGCTGACGTGGAAGATATCGGCTCCCTTGCGATCTGGGGTACTAGTAGGTAGCCAAAGGAACGATGTCGGAGGTGGTCTTTCTGAGCAAGAGATTTGGGTGCAGACTTGAGGCCAAAAGCACCATCGTGGTGCCGTATCTCGAGATATCTGTGGTCAGCCTTGTCATTGGTTCCGTGGCACATCCAAGAGGCAAGCACAAGCCAATAGCCACTCAAAAGGGACAATGATCAAATGATATTTCCAGGTTGGCAAATGATCAGACTCGAACCAAGAAGTGACTGGAGCGGGACGGAAGGGCTAATGCACAAACCGAAGCCGTGCGCATTGGAGCTATCGCGATGACATCTGCACCGGCCGAGAGGTCCGAGCCCGGCATCGACAAAAAGGTAAGTCGATGAAATTCCCGAAGATTGACGGTGAGCAGATCTCGATCATCTCGAGACAACCCGGCAGTGTTGGAACAGCGATTGAGACATGTTTCAGCAAACACCGAAAAGAAAGAAGAAAAAAATGAGGAAAACAGATGAAAGCCCCGCATCCCCCGCATTTTCATGACAGTGCTTGGGCCCCAATCCCCCTCACCACCAAGACGCCGGGACAGAGAGAGACTCTGTGCATCTCACGGCACCGGCACGGCATTGCATATGCTGCAGGTGCCATGGTAGGCTGCTGTGTGTGTGATGGATCGATCTGGCTGCAGGTTGGGAGGAGACTCTATGAGATGCCAAGCTCTGATCTGTGAAGCTTGAAGTTTCTCGGCCACGTCCTCTCAGCCAATTTCTACCAAAGTTGGGACCATCCAAGAGATCGGCAGGAAAGCGGGGGGATGTGCTGATGGTTCTTGGGCAGGTTCCGTCGCCCAAAAGAGAGAGAGAGAGCATTGTGAAGGGATAATAAACGCGGTCTGTGTGCGTGGGGTTGCACTCGCTACCTTTAATATCGCTGTCGTCGCCGGTGACCATGATCAACCATCTCAGATTTGAAGAATGACAGAGCATCGACGGGCGATGGGGGTCGCAGATCAGTCGGTAATTTCTTGGTTGTGGCAGCACCTCGCAAGCCTGGTCTTCTTACGGTCGTCTGCTGGAGCTACATACAGTGAGTGAAACAGGTGGAAGGGGATGTTGTGAGTTTCACCTAGCGTGTGTAACCGTTGCAGTCTCCCCTCTCTCTCCTCTCACACACCTCAGGCTCACTCTCTGGAGATGCTGGTACCGGGTGAGTGTTGCTTTCAGGACCGGAGCCCTGGAGTACTGACTCGGGCGGAACCAGAAGAAGAACAGGAGCTGGAAATGACAGGCCATGGGAATTCCGGGGTCTAATTCATCGTGTTTCTTTTTTTACACTGGATGATCGCTGGCGATTGACGATTTCCAAGCCTTCTTTCAGCTGGGGCGCTGACCTGGCCTGAGATTGCTGACGATCGCGCAAGTCTTCAGTACCTTTCTTCCTCTCCACAGAATGCGACCACTTGGCAGCCCCCAGGGGACCCAGACCAGGGTATCGCTGCCTCTGTTTTGTCTTTGTGTCGCCATTCTCACCTCAGCCAGACCTTGAACAAGAGACACCGGTACTGCTCCATAATATTGGATATGCAGAGGTGACGCCGATTAAATTGCAAGAGACAGAGGGTGAGGCTTCCTCAGTTCATCGGAGTAAAGAACAAAAGATGGAAATGATGGAATCTGCAGTGCTGTCGGTCCACGGTTCCCGTTCCCTTGCTTTTTTGCAAATTTTGCGCCACGGCCACAGTGGCTTGCAGCAGGGGAGGAGCAGGGCCACAGCAGGGATCTCAGCATCCATGCAGCAAATCCACAGGGGAACGACATCGACATGAACCTGAACAAACACGACCCCCCCGACCCGTGACCGCGACCGGGAAATATTATCAGAGATGGCCAAGCAGAATGGGGAAAGGAAAGGGTTGTATTCTCTCACGGGCCTCCCATTCTTGGTCCGATGCGTGCGCCCATCGCTTCTCCTTCTCTTAGGTTCCTCTGCTTCTTCTTCTGCTTCTTCTTCTGCTTCTTCTTCTGCTTCTTCTTCTTCTTCTTCTTCTCTCCTCCTCCCGTCCTCATGTGCCTCTTCAAGACACAGTACCTACGCAGTATTTACCTCCAGTGTAGACTTATAACATCCTTATCGCCGTCGTTATCACCACCTCACCTCCAAAATTGCGCCGTCGTGAGCAGCATTAGGTGGGTGGGGCCGTCCAAAACACCAGGGATTCCGCTGATTGCCGATAGCAAGGGGTGGGCCAAGAAACGACGAGCCTCCGAACGACTGCTGCGCTGAGGGCCGTGTGCCAGAAAGGATCCGTCTGCCGGGAGCCATATGAGAACGCGACAGCCCGTCGTCGTTCGTGTGGGTTGCGCGCCTTGACTTCCATCGACTTCATCCGTCGTCGACGCTCGACACCGACACCCGTCTCTAACATCGAAGCCAGCAACCCCCTGGAACCACTGACGTGCTGCTGCCGGCTCCCGAAATTTGCACCTGGCTGGATGCGAACACCGACCACGGCCGACCACCGACCAACCGATCCTGTCCCCACCACTTATTTTCTGCTCTTGTTCTTGTTTCCAGCTCAATATTATTCTCGCTCTTCCCTCCTGCCACGACTGTCATGAGCTGCCCCAGGTGACCCGGAGAGAAGACACACACCAGAGACGAGACTGCCCTGTGCTGCTCGAGATCCGACCGGGTCAGGTTCGGCATCGGCCCCGAGCCGAGCCCAGTGTGCAATGGGCCACTCGTCCAAATTTCCCTTCTCGCTCCCGGGCCGAAAACACAAACAATCGCAACCCGCCGCCTCTGCCGCGCCGCTGTCCATCTCAGAGCCACTCACAAAAGCCCAGAGGATCCTCGGCACCACCGCCATCAGCCTCGATCTCGCAGGCGCAACATCAGACACCACAAAATGGGGCCCGTGGGACGGCCAATCGAATGCGGGGATCAGCATCAATGTCACGGAAACACCGGCCGGGCGGGACAATGCGGGCTCTCGATTGGGATCTGCGCGTCGTGATGATGCACACCATGGATCTTCGGGGAACCGAGACAGGCGCTGGGAGGAAGAGTCGGCTGTGTTGCCCAAGGATAATATGGCGCCATCAGGACGCCACGACGACACCACTGATGCCTCCAGCCTGCGTCGCCAGCAGTCCAGCTCCACCATCCGATCCTACTACGACAAGGCGAAAGTGCCATTGGCCATCTCCCAGCAGACCGCAAACTCGGCCATGGCCAAGGGACTGCCATCCAAGGCGCATGCCATTCTCGACTTTGACGGCAACTTCAACACCGAGCCGAAAGGGCTGAAGAAGAAGAAGCCCTCCAGGCTCGATCTCTCCTCGCTCCTGTCCAAGAGGAGTCACAAACATCTCAGACCGGAACCCACCAGCGGCCACGTCCTGGGCTCTGATATGCTCACCACATCACCGTCCGTCATGTCCAGCTCCTCTGCATCAACGCCCCCGCCGATTTCACAGCGAATCGACCGGAGACTTCGGAACAAGATGACCAAGGAGTCATTACGAGAACAAACAGCCACTCCCGATCCACGGCCGTCACCCATCAGCTCGGCCGGGCGCTCGGATAGCCCAAAACAAATTCCCATCAAGCCCAACGCCGAACTGCACAACCTTTATGACCATTATGAGCAAAAAACGTTTGACGAGGCGCTGGAGAATAACTACCAGCAAGTTCCAGAGCGTCGGGGGCCACCGCCAGACCGCGCGCTCCCAGCATATCCAACACCACCCACCAGCAACACGGGCAAACCCTCCCTCTCACCTTTTCCGCGCAGCGCATCGCGGACAGGCCAGAGGCAAGATCCGCCACCTCTGACTGTCAAGGTTCCAGATGTCCATCTGGTCAGGCCCCCAAGCGCGCCCAGTCTTGTATCGCCCATGGCCGACTGTGCCAGCATTTCCAGTCGGCACACGCGAACGTCCAAAGCGTCAAAACGCACAGACCGCAGCCTAACGGAGATTGACCTGCTTCAGAACAGCGTCTTGGCCCTCTCGTCCGATTCAGAAGACGACTACGATGCCTGTAGCGACCAGCTTGCCGTTCCCCCGCCCCCCAGTGATGGCCCCGCCAGTCCCGTCAGCCCACGATCGGCCATGTCTCAACCATCTTTCACCAGATCCGAAGACTCGAGCCGAAGCAAGGCACCCAAGCAAACCACCTTTGCCGAAAGTCCGCAGTATTTCCCGACCCGGGAGCAACAGGCTGCGGCTTCCAAAGCGCCAAAATCTAACCCACGGTCCAGCTCATTGGCCCCCAGCTCCAGCATGAACAACTCACTGCAGATCTACCCCCCACAAAACCGTTCCTCCAGCAGCACGACGGGTACGGCCCGAACGCATGGGTATTCGGCGCTTCAAACCCCAACGACGTACGAAGCCAAGGTGATCAGCATGGTGCCCAAGAGCAAGTCCCAGGACCAGCCAGTGTGGACTGTGCCCGAGGAGACCCAGTTTGAGGACTTTCCAGCGCCCCCCATCCATCCCACTCAGCGACCACCGCAGGCTTCACGCCCCGAGCAGACACCGCCACTGTCGCCCACTAGCGTGGACTTTTATCTGCAGAGTCAACGGTCGTCTTCCACGCAGGACGATGGTTCCATAGCTAGCAGAGGCAGCCAGGGCAGTGGCAACCGCAGCGGACGCCGTGGCAGTGCCGCCAGCAGCATTCAGGACAACCAGAGCGGGCGCTTCATGGCAGTGACGCGGCAGGAAGAGATGCTGCTGGCTGCCTTGCGTCAGAAGCGCGCCCGGATGCGTGAGGATATTCTTGCCGAATATGAGGATAACACGGACCAGGAGGAACACCCGGGCCTGAAGCGGGAGGTGACCAACGACAGCAGCGGCATGAGCATGATGTCAAGGCAGTCGTCTTTCAGCATGAGCACCGTCCGCGCCGAGGCAAACCCGCTGTCGGCACGACCCCGTCACCAGGACTCTGTTCGGTCACGGGCGAGCAGCTCAGCGGTTGAGCAAAGCGGAAAGCACGGTCACATCCTCGTCATGATGGACGAGTCCAGCTCAGATGTTGGCCCAATGGTGCAGCTGGACGACTTTCCCGCGCCGGCCGAGTCTGACCGTCGGGGCAGCAGGTCCAGCTCCAGATCGGGACAACCTCACAAGCAGCGTGCATCCTTGTCGGCAATGTCCATGCCCACTACCGGCGCGCGGAGGCCACCTCGGAGCGGCAGTCTTCCCCGCAAAGGATCATCCGATCAAACCAGCGTTCAACCCACCCACCCGGCCAACAACTCGATCCCGAATCAGATCCTGGAGGATCCGGCTGAAGACGAAGAAGACGAAGGCATTCCGCGCCCAGACTCGCCCATCTCGCCCTCGGATTTCCCCGTTCCCCTGTCGGCCACAAATCCGTCGACCAAGATTGCCAACAAGAAGCACCTGAGGCTCAGTGCGTTTGGCACCTACAAGCCGAATGTAGAGGCCGGCTGGTGGGACGATTCTGGCTGAGCTGATCTGGGCATGTCCGTTCTTGCGGCGCACCACAACACACATTTTCTTGAATACCTACGAGGCTGGATGTAATAGATGGTCACGGTCTGCTAACATGGGGCAAAGGGGGCAGGGTGTTCTTTTGGGTGGGGAGGGGGATTATACTGCACAAGGAGCATCATATCCATCGATTTTGCATGACCGGACGGACGGATGGAATGGGTTCTTCAGCTTTCTGCATTCTAGACCATTTGGCATTGGAGGAGGAGGCAGGTCCCTCCATCTCTGGCCGCTTTTTACACGCCACATATATTTGGTCCAACCGTCAAAGCGGACTGGTCGGGCACCTGGACATACCTTAGCATCTTTGTAATTGCTGATCCCACCACGATGAACAAAATACCTATGCTCTACAGAGCTATTATGTAACTAAAACTAATCATATCTCGACCTACTTTACTGCTGCTGGGCTTTTTGTGCAGTGTTTGTGTTTACCCACCTCAACCCCCCCTAGCCAATCTCTCCTGCCTCTCCACCTCCTCCCTAAACACATTCCTCCCCCTGCTCGGCGAGTTGGGCGAGGTAGGCGACCAGCTGTCCCGATCGGTGAGCTCCACCCCAATGTTGGTCTCGGATTTGTTATCCCCCGTCACCACTCCCCCTCCAACCTGGTCCTCTTGCACCCTCCTCCCTCCCTGTCCGGTATACCCACTCCCTGATGACCTCGCCCTCTCGCCAATCACAGGCCACCTCCCCTTTCGACGACGGAACAAGAAGCAAAACCCTGCCAGCCCGATCAAGATGGCAATGATGACAATAGGGAGGACAATAGCCAGGTGGTTGGTCCCGTTGCCACCCCCAGAGGCTGATGGTTCAGGATTGGGATCGGAGGAAAAGACGTTGACTGTCGGGCCGGAAACGGTGACGATGTCGTTCGCTTCCTCGGTGGTGGTGTCGTTGTGCTGGAGGGCGAAGGAGATGGGGGAGGTGGTGGGGAAATTGAGGGGGATGGTCCAGGCGTAGAAGCCAACCGAGGCGGGGATGGGGATGGGGGTGAGGTTAATGCCTGTTTGTTGAGACAAAGAAGAGGAGGAAAAGAAGACGTGGAGGGTGAGGGGGGTTGATTGGGGGGAGATGTAGGAGGGGGACCAGGTTACTGTGGTGAGTTAGGGGTTTGGGTATCCAACTGAGGTGGGGGGAGAGGAGGGAACAGACTGTAATATGTGCGCCCGGCGATGAGGGAGGAGCCGCGGCGGGGGAGGCAGAAGGGCTCGTCGTGGCCTTTGTCGGATTGGCAGGCGAGGAAGGCGGCGGATTCGTCGTCGTCGTCGTCATTGTTGTTGTTGTTGTTGTTGTTGTTGTCGGGGTTGGTTGTGGCGGTTGCTACTGGGGCGAGGCCGGTGTAGGTTGAGAGACGGCCGTCGGGGGATAGGGTGTAGGTTGCGGTGGAGATGAGGTGGGCGGGCGGGTTGGAGAGGGTGGCGCGGTGGCCTTCGGTGGTGATGACTTTGGGGATGATGGTTTCGGCGTCGCCTTGGGGGTTGATGGTCACCCAGGGGAGAGGGGCGGCGTCGGGGACTGATCCAGCTTGTGGGAGGGAGAAAGCTGGTGGCAGGAATAGGGAGGAGGCTATTGTCGCAAGCGCGACTTTGGGCAGGTATCTCATCTTGAACTGCCGGGCAGTCTGTGGTATCACGATAGACCTCAGCTTGAGATGTTGGAGGACAACCTGGTCCGTTATCGCCGGGTGAATGCGCAAAATGCCAAATGCACGCACCTCTGGGTCTACGGGTCTATTTGACACAGAAAACCGCGAGAACCCACGACTTGATCGAGGCGAGACGCACACCACCCTCGCATACTGTCGAAGCAGGTAGCCAAGACAAGGTAGCTTCCCCTCTCCAACATCCCAGCCGCCCCTCCTCACAGCCAACCTGCATGATGCTGCTTACTTGCCGTTTCTTTCTGACTCTCGGCACTGCATCCATGGGACAGTCAAACTTGACTGGCCCAGGTGGGATGTCTCGAGTGCGTGTGGTTGAGGGGGACGTAGCCGTCCGTCCAGTTTCCCCCGCAATCCTCTGCTTCTGTCCTGCCCCTCCAACCAATCCCACCATCATGGTGTAGGTTGATTGGCTGATCAGGGCAAGTTGTGAGCGGTTTATGCGGGGAATTTGCATGGCACACACATGTCTCCCGTGCCACCCCATATCGCATCATCCACTTCTGGTTTCTATTTGTGAAGCAAATGCTTGGAGGGGTTGAGAAGTAGAGGCAAGATGAGCACTAGCCTTGCTTTTGGGCTGGAAGCGTTGCGTTGCTCCCCGCAGATCACATATTGGGGATAGGCTGAGGAGAGCATCATTGATTTCCCTTCCACGCTCCGTTCTCCTCTCGCTACCGCGCTCCTGGTTCTTGGATTCTGCGTAGATATTAACAACATCTTGGCCCGCCTTTTGTCTCCTTCATCTTGGTTCTTGGGCCAGCATCAGGTGAGGCTATACAGAAGACGACATGGTGAAGAAAGCCGTCTTGGCCGGAGCGTGTCTCTACACTGCGGGTGCTCTGGCACAGGGGACCTGCGGCGACATTCTCGTTCCCCGCAACCCTGCTCCGGTTGTTGCCAATGGCTGGCAAGCACAGCTTGTCGCCGGCGGGTTGACCAAGCCACGAAGTATCCAGTTTGATGAAGCCGGTGCTCTGCTTGTTGTGGAGAGCGGCAAGGGAATCAGTCGTCACAGATTCACAGACAACGGCGGAACATGCCTCCACGCCAACCACTCCCACATGTTGGTTGAGCTCCAGGGTGTATGTTTTGAATCCCACATCTCCTCTTTGCAAAACCAGACTTCTGACGCTTCGAACAGCTCAACCATGGCCTCGCCCTGTCCAACGAAGGGGACATCCTCTACGCCTCCACCGCCGAATCCGTACTTGCCTGGTCCTACAACGCCCGCGGCGGTGCCGTCACCTTGCAACCTCGCACCCTCGTCGCCAACATGAGCAACAACGACCTCGTCACCCGCACCCTCCTCATCTCGGAAAAAGTCCAAGGCAAGCTCATCGTCTCCCGCGGCAGCGCAGAAGCCAACCGCGACCGCGCTGCCGTCCTCTCGTCCGGCCTCTCCCAGATTAGAGTCTTTGACATCACCAACCGCTCTGACTCGGAAAGTCCTTACAACTTCAACACCGACGGTGACGTTCTCGGCTGGGGGTTGAGGAATAGCGTCGGCGTGGCAGAACACCCCCGGACGGGCGGGATATACGCCGTGGAAAACAGCGTGGACGGGGTGACGAGAAACGGGCAGGACATCAGGGAGAACAACCCCGGAGAGGAGCTCAACTTTTTTGGCTATCTTGATGAAACTGTCAACGTTAATGCTTCTGCCAACAACAACTACGGCTACCCTCACTGCTTCGCGGTTTGGGACCCGAGTCACATCCCGGATGGGGATGGGCTGGGGGTGGGGAAGCAGTTTGCCGTGGAGGAGAACAGCTCGTTGACGGATGACACGTGCGACACTCATTATCTCGCGCCGAGGTTGACGTTTCGCGCGCATTATGCGCGAATTGCATCTCAAGTTCTCTACTGGGGGGCGAGACGGGGTATATCACGTTTAGGGGGGAGCTGTAGGTCTTTCCTTCATAATATCCTGCTTGTGCCTGTATGCTGACCGTAACAAATAACTGTTGACCGGTCCTCGCCCGTGGGGTACAAGGTGGCAAGCATCGCCTTCAATGCCGCGACAGGAGAACCAGTGGCATCGGCTGATAGCAGGGGGGCCCTGAGGGATATCATCACGAATGTGGACAACACGCAATGCCCAGACAAGTGCTTCAGGCCGGTGGGGCTGGCCATTGACTCCAAGGGGAGAATTTGGTTTTCGAGCGACTCTACGGGCGAGATTTACGTTCTGCAGAGGACAGGCGAGAACTCAGAAGGAAAGTTTGTCTTGCCAGAAGGCGGACAAAACGGGGATGGGAGCGGCACCAATAATGGTAATGGAGACTCAGCTGCGTCCACGGTGTTTGGGTGGGAGACAAGGGTGCTGGGTTGGACCGCGCTTGTTGGGCTGGGGGCGTGGTTGATGGCTGTGTAAATGGGGAAAAGAAGGGGTGCCTGTCTTCATCGAATTGATACCATGAAGAAATCGTAGCATTGTACATCCAAGCGGATCAATCCTGTGACATGCCTCCAGTCAAGGAAGAGAAAGCTATACAGTTCATGAGGGAAAACTGGCAACCATTGTAACAAAAAGTCATCGGCGGGACGGCTTGGGGTAGCATTGACCCGGAGTTGAACGAGCCCAGACACTATGTGAATCAATAGCGTGGTGTTGAGGGGGGTGGGGGGGAGGGGGGACTGCAGCTTGTGGTGCAGGCTGTGGGGGCTCATCTTCCGGTATCAATTGAATCTCCGACTACTCGTTTCAACGTCATCTCGAGCTTTTGCTTTCTCCGGTATCTCTCTGCATTTCTATCATGCATGCTTGGACCTGTCCTTGAGCTCACTCGCCAGCCCCTTAATGCCTTGCTGCTCCTCTAAAGTGAGAGAAATGTCAAAGTATCTCTTCAACGCCTCAACTCTGTCCGCCTCGCTCAGCAATCTTGTCGTAATTGGGGCCTCATTCCCATTCTGCTGCTTGATGTAATCTCTGTGCAGAATCACTTTGCCAACGGGGTCTTGTTTCCCCTCGTCCAAACGGGTTTTCATGCACATGACACTCTGCACAAAGAAGCTTTGCGGAGCTGAAGATGTACGCATATTCATGACCTCAAAGTCGCCTGGAATAAACTCGAGTTCGCCGAAGCAGTACATCTCGCCCCACGGGTCGTCTTCCTTTTGCCGGACACAATACACCCAGACTTTCTGGTTTGGATCTGTGTTGGCATCGATGCCACGATACTCGAGCATTCCTTCCGTTGGGAAAACAGTCAAAAATCGGTGTTCATGTTGAAGAGGAACTGGTCGTGTAGCGCCGTTTGTGCCAAAGCCAACATCGACAAGATATCGCTGGTTGTCAATCGTGACGATGTTGACCATGTGATCCCTAGATAGAATTCGGGTTAGCCCAAAGTGAAACTACTAGTCATAACAAGCTCCCTTACCATCCTTTATATCCTGCATCTCCTCTAACCCTTCCACCAGTGCTGAAAAGCGTGAATCCCAGACTTCGCAGGACGGCGGCGAAGAAAGCGTTGACTTCCATACAGTAGCCGCCCCGTCCCCGGTTCACAATCTTGACGAATAAATCCTCTGGATTCAATGAAAGAGTTCGATATTTTGAGTAGTGCAATGAGAGGCTTTCAAATGGAACGCGGGCCATATGTAGAATTTGGATTCTGGTGAGTAAGCCCAGGGGGTCCTCGGCAAAATGTTGATTCACATCTTGCGTGTACCCAATGTGCTGGAGATAGTGAGAGATTTGGTCGCGAGTGTAGGTGGCCATTTTGAAGAGTTTGTCGTCTTGTGGTGGTTGAAAAGAGACAGGGCACCGTACCTACCTTGTAGAATGTTGAAGTCAAAAAGGTGCCTGATAGCGCTTGATATGTAAGCATGCCCAGGGTGTGATGTTCTCCACAGCCTCGGAATCCGATGATCGCCGAGCTGAACGATTCGCCAACATCGGCATACAGTTCGCATGCAACCATACCGTCATGGATTTTTCGGGTTTTATTTGCCTTTTTCGTCGTGATCCACTACTTGACAGACGTCAGGCAAGTAGCGCGACAAAACATCAAATCATGACCACTGGGACTCGGACACTCGCCCAGTCTGCTTTCGAGTCACAGCTTCGTACCCTGACTCGGGCGAGAACAGAAGCGGGATTATCTCTGGCTGTGTATTCCAGGTTCTTTCTTTCAAGGAATATTCATCACAATTCATACCTATGTACCCGATTCTATCCACATGTAACCAGGTGAGTGCATAGTCTTGCTGTCAAACCACCGCCTCAAATTTCCGCCAACGGCTTGCCAACAATGCCCGCTGGAAGCTGGTAGCATTTCTCCTGCGCCGGGATACGCTCGCCTTGGTCCCACTGTTTTCCCAAGTTGTTAGAACACCGGTATTTTTTTATGTTTGGAGTGGGATACATGTCAAGAAAGGGCCAAACTCACATGCTCATGCACACACCCATCAACCCACCTCCACCGGTCCGTAACGCTGTATCTCGCGTAACTCATGTTGGTGCTGGCATCGAAACACCAGGCCGTGGCCTGCTCAGTGCCAATACGACGGCCGCTGCAGAACAGGGGCCAGATCACGTTGGGTCCAGACTGATATCCAGGGGTGTTTTGCTGAAGTTCGCGGCAAGCCATCAGTGCACGTTCTCGCTAAATGGCGGGAGAGACATAAGTTACCTTGTACACGTTGTCGATCAGTGAAAACATGGTCCTCGGGTCTCCGTCAGTGACAAAGGCACGGTAGAACTTGTAGGCCCTGATGGCGGTCTCTTCGACGGTGGTGTTTGGGTTAGGGGTGCAAAGCTGGGGAGGGGTGCGCAAGTGGCAGAGGTTCTCTCGCTTGTCGAGGTCGGTGGTGGGGGCAGCGACGGCGCCGAGGATCGGGGCGAGAAGGACGAGTGAGAACCGCATCTTGGATATGTTGTGTTTGGTTGACGGTGAAGGGACAAACCCTGGGGCAAGATTCAAAGGGCGGAAGACCGAGTGTCTATATACCTAAGGTAGTCATGCCGATGATAGTGACGGCCTCGATCCAGGCAAGGACTGCAAGACCGCTGTGGCACGGGCATATAGAAAGCTTATTATTGCTTCGATGAAATGCCGGATGCTGCTGTTTGCTCTGTGCGGGTAAATGGAGAATACCAAGACCGCAAAGACCTTGTATTTTAATCTACCTGCAATCTGCCCCACTCTATTCCGGTGACTGCTCGTCGGTTGATCGTCAAACGAGGGGTGAAATGGCAGGGCTGATCTCTGAGAGAAACGCCATTCGAGCATATGGCCGGATTAAATCTAGACAGGACCCCTTTGAGGGACTATGTCCGGTGAGCCGCACGAATGGATTACGCGGGACCCAAATGCCGGGGTCTTGGAACATTGTACAAGGCTACCCTAAGCTGTATTACACTTTGAAAAGAAGTAGAGGCAGGGGCAAGCAGCTACCTCGAGGTAAATTCCTGGTCGAGTACTTTTCGTGCGGTGATTCACGAAGAGATTAGCAAGGAAGAATGCATTGATCTTCTTGGACTCTTCAACTTCTTATTCTAATACTCACAAGACTTCTTTTGTGCTGTCAATCAACCTCCTTCAGTAGTAGGCAGGTTGTTGATAGTGGTAAGCGGAGTGGAGCTGTTCATGGGCTTCTCAGGGGTAAAACACGTATTGATCTTGGCCAACCAGAACGGTCGAACATCATAACAAACATTCCAACAACAACTAGCAGGAACCAGCGATACAAGAAACAGGTGGATACCAACATGCCTTGGAATCCTGAGCTGCCCTGTCTCGTGGCTGACTACCTACATAGCCCTAACCCTGGAGGTCTGCCATTAGCCTATCACGTGTGTGGGTGACCGTGGTCGCTGCCCCACCAGATTCTCAACGCGAACTCATTCACATGAAATGAACATCCAGATTCCAGGCGATTCTTTTGACGCAGAAACCACAGGGTGTAACGCTGCATCGCTTCATGGTAGCTATCTTATGAATACCAGTCGATCCAATACTTTACTCCCAGGTGCTTGTACTTCTTCAGACGCGGCGCGCGTGGCTGCTGAACCGAAATTCCATCACGCTCTTCTCAGAATCCCAGTTGACCTCAAGCGCCGTGCCCCTTTGGACATCACACAACCATCGATCAAAAGAAATGCCTCCACCAGTAGCACCGTCTTATCCAGAATCAGAATCAGAATCAGAATCAGAATCAGAATCAGAATCAGAATCAGACCGTGTTTCTGACTCCGAGTCCGAGTCCTCCGATAATAGCATTGACAATGACCTTCTCAAAATCGAAGACTTGTCAGATTCAGCCAACGGCGCCATCTCACATGTGCTGGGCAGGCTCCCTGACAACCCCAAAAGAAAAGCCGAATATGATCAGGATGGAGACTTCCCATCAAGATCCAAGAGGCTTTTAACTTCGGCTCACAATGTCTCGTCTTCCTCAACCCCTTGCGCCTACACCAATGGCTCCATGCATGCGCGCCAAAGCTTTGCGGCACCTTTCATCGAACAACCCACACAGTTCCGTGAGTAAATTGTATCTCCCGCCATGACTTCTGGGTCCAGTACTGTTGCTAACACCTGCCAGCATGTTTCGACCTGTTGGAAAAGACATTTCCCCAGCACAGACCCATACAGATGAGAACATTTCCGTTCTTCCGCTGGCTATGCCGACAACCCGTGAAAAGAATCCCGGCTGTAAGCTTGCGTTGGAACAACAAAAAAACCCAAAACATGCCCTCTTTCATGATGCAGGCTTGTGGCGATGTCTTGCCTCGCAAGCAGGCCTGCGAGCGGTGCGCCGAGATGAAGGGGCCCTACAACGAATGTGTCGTCATCAACGATGCCGAGTTCGGGAAATACACTGGCGGGTCTTGTGCCAATTGTTGGTATGGGAAGCTTGGGTCATCGTGTACGCTACGTACCGGAGTTACTAACAGTATGTTATCCGTTTGTGACCCACAATCTCGAACGTTGGCTTTTTAACAGGGATAGCAGGCAGTGCCCATCTAACATCACCACCACCTCCAGCATCGACAGCCACAGCAGCAAACCCACCGCTTCACCCCAGCTTTGCCGCTGCCGTACAGGGTACCGAAACACCTGTTCTTCACCCTCGCTTCGCGACTATTCTAGAAAGGAACAACCCCACCACGCAAGCACCGCCGTCACAAGGCCAACCACCGGCATTATCGCCTGCTCTGTCCTCACTCGCTACTTCGGTGGCGATCACGACAAACCTGGTTCAGCTGTGGGAGAACAGATACCGCAACATGACGCCTGAAAAGCTGATCGAGGCCTATGAACAGCTGCAGGAAATGCAGCAGGACCTCAACACTAGGACTCAAGCAATACACCGCGTCATTTTGGGCGGGCTGAAGGATGCGATGAATGTGAGTAAGCGAAATGAGAGCAGTTCTACGGGAGAGAGTTGAGGAGGAAAGAGCTACGTTGTATGATGTATTGTGTAAAGGAGACCATATCAGCTGATGCATGATATCGGTGAGACCGGTATAATTGCCACTGGAGTACGGATATGGATATTGCACACCATCACCTGAGCCCAAGTAGTCGAGCTGGGACATGACAGCCAGTTATGGCAAGAACAACACACCAGCACTTAGTAGTAATACTATGGCAAACAACTTCTGGAAGACGATGAATTTTCAATTTCCACAGCGCTCGGTTTGCCTGTTCACCAAGCCTGTACTCATTATACACAAAAAGTAAATATCCCAAACCAAAACCGAATCTTCCCACAATCCATCACAGACACATAGATGAAAAAAGTCAAAAAAGTCAAAAAAAGAAAAAGCCATGGTCATTTCTTCATCAAAAAAACTCCTCTCTCACTCCTAAACCACCAAATCCCTCGTCTCCACCAAAGCAACACTGCTGATGAACCCATTCAAGTTATCCAAATAGCTGGCCTGATCCACCCCATCAATCGTCACCATGTTCTCCGTCCCCACAGTGTTGAGGTTGTAAATCGTGGCCCTCGACCGCTCCAGGCTCAAGATCCTCTGCTGGCACCTCGTCCCGGTCCCCACCTGCGAGCAGTTGACGTCGTAGTTGTCAAAGAAGCTGTACAAGCCCGCGCCGTAGATGAACAGATCGGTCGTGTCGACCGCCCGGACGCCCCACCCGGAATCACCGGGGGTGAGCAGCTCCGGGTCGTGGTAGCGCGCGTCAGGCGCGAAGGGGAGGCGGGCGTCGGGGTTGGGCTGGTAGTAGGCCGTCTCGGTCTGGACCTGGCCAGCAAAGATGGTGGACGCTTTGTAGAACTGGTATTCGTACAGCTGGTGGTGCTCCACGCTCGAGGCGACGAGCCAGAGCGGGCCGCGGGTGTCCTCGACGAGGAGGCCGCGGCCGGCGTAGACGGTGATCTGCTGGTTGTTGGCCGGCTCTTCAATGTCGTGGTCGGCGACCCAGATCCAGTTGTTCTCCTGGTAGAGGTTCGCCGCGTTGCGGGTAATGTGCATGGACATGAAGGCGGCCACGCAGTCGACGTCGAGGTTGGCGCTGGTGATGGGGGTCTCGGGCGTCTTGGGGCACTGGGTGAGCTGGAGGTCGGAGCCTGCGAAGCCACCGATGCGGGTGTGGACGTCCCACATGCCCGAGTACTGACCCGCGCGGGTGGTGGCGAGGTTGTACTCGATCAGGATGGCGCCGGGCTGCTTGCCGCGAGTGGAAACGATGGTGTTGGACCACTGGATGCGGCCTTCAGATCCCGGTCCACGGCGGTTGCCGACTTGGACCACTGGCTGGGGACGTGTTGGATTCTCAAAGTAGCGGCCGGATGACAGGATGACAGGGAAAGAAGAGTCACCAAAGATGCGAGATCCAGGTGGGATGAACACTGTGCGGGTCACGCGGTACATACCGGCGTTGATGTACGCAATCTTTCTTCTCTTCGCGGCTGCCTCAAACAGACGGTTGAGAGCCCGGGTGTCGTCGGTGGAACCATCACCCTTGGCGCCAAATTCGCGAGCAGTGAGGAAGGCAGACAGAGGCTGATCCTCGTAGTACGGCTTGGACGCGGTGAAGTATCTTCCTCCGGGGGCTGTCAGCGCAGAAGGACGAGTTGGTGGAGTGAAGGTGCCCTGGAAGAAAACGGGACCGCTGTTCTCGTCGTAGCTGTTTCCGCGGCCCCAAGCGGGAATGGTAAGGCTGGTGGTGGTGGAAGTGGTTCCAGGAAGAACGGTGCCAAAGGGGCCTCTGACGGCCACAGGAACATTCTCCAAGTCAAGGTTCTCAACAATCAACGTGTTTCCAACGTTGGGCTGGTTGGGATTGGGCCAGGCATAGGCGATGCCGATGGGCGTGTCGGTGATGCTGCTGTCAATGATGGTGATGGTGCCCACATTGACAAAGGTGCCGTTGTTTGAAGTCAAATCCCATCCTGTCGAACAGTTGGTGATACTGATTCCAACATAAGTCCAGCCCCAAGACCAAAAGTGCTCGATAGCAGTCCGAGCGTTGTAGATGGCGATGTTCTTGAAAGTAAATTGCTGGTTACCAACAATCATGGCCTGGTTACCACCGTAGAAGACGAGATCGCCAATATAGCCGCCAGAACCCTCCTCGATAAAAAGACCTTGGTGACGGGTACCTGGCGCCTCGGAAAGGCGGAACTCGACGTTGGAAAGAGAGGTGGCCTGCGAACTGGGCCAGTGAATGGCGGCAATCTCGGTGTCGAAGGCAACATCTGTCAAGTCGAAAACAAAGTGAGCGACCTGGCGCCAGAACACGTTGGTGGCGCCCCATGCGAGGACACCGCCATCCTGGTATGGGTTGGTATCAAGAACCCAGCGACCAACAAAGTTGAAGTCAGCCTTGATGACGGGAGGGCATCCCGGATTTCCGATCAGCTGGGTGTAGTAGAAGTCGGTGATGGGCGCGGTCACCCTATACGTGCCGGGAGGGAAGTAGATGAGGCCAGGAGTGATGGTGCTGCCAGTGCAACCTGGACCGCACCGGCCTTGGGAACTGATGGCCTCGTTGATGGCAGCCGTGTCATCAGCAATACCATCACCAACTGCACCAAAGTCCTTCACATTGCGCCAGACTTGATAGCCCGCCGTTGGGGCATACGGGGCCACGCCTTCGTGGTCAATTCTCGCCAACCAAAAGTCATCGCAGGTCACCGGAGGAGTCGGAGGCAGTGGCGGCAGTGGCGGCTTGGGTCCCGGTCCATGTCGGCTCTTGAACTGGCAGTTGCTCTTCTCGGCCGTTTCACGCTTGAGCAGCTCATGAATCTCGGCGTCGAGAGCGTCATTCAGGGGCAAGGCCGTTGCCCCAAGGAAGAGGACGGAAAGCGTCAAGAGCGACGGGAAACGCATCGTGATAAGGGCTGAAAATTAAGGGATTACAAAAATGTAATAATAATAAACGAGAGACTATGATGATGCTTTGTCCCGCATCAATGAGGATGTGATGAGACCGGTCCTGTCTTTTGCAGACCCAGAAGCCAGACCGAGGAGGGGGAGGGGGATCAGCAGTGGTTTATACAGCTTCACTTTTCTTCTGCCCCCCCTGCAGCAGACATTTTTACGAGTGAGCGGCTTCTTCCCGCGGGAGGGGAACCAAGGGAACCAAGGCGACCAAGAGGGCTGGCCACGGTGTGGCGGGTGCCAAGCAATGCCGGTGCTAGCCCAAAAGGTGTCGACAACTGAGGATCAGTATTAGAACCAGGCCCATGTCCCCGCCCTCCTCCTGTGTTGACCAATGATGCAATCTCACAGCGCTCTCTTTTCTTTTTCATCGCGTCTCACTGCATTCCGCATTCATCGGGGGCGTGATGTTTTGTCTGAGATGGGCACATGCATGGCTTCTTTACGACAAGACTGCGCCGTCGAGGGAATTCTTCCGTGTCTTGCCAACTGTGGGATACCTCATGGAATCGTGGATCGCAATTTATCGCGGGAATGGGGGAGCTAAAGCATCGCAATTAGCGCCCCAAACTACCGGGCCTCTTGGCATGTGCTTGAATTCCAGGCTCCGGCGCCTTCTCCATGAGCAATCTCTACAAGAGACATCAAGTTGTGGATGAATGATCGTGTCATCCAGATGAAGCAGCTTCACACTGATCGGATGTGGAACGGTGCTGTTTGTGCCTACAACCTGTTGCAGCTGGGTATCGCCAAGGGTACCAGTGATCTGGGGTGTTGGTGGATGTCAGGTACGATCAGAGCACAGACCGTACTTTATTTTACCGCATCTGCACTTCAGTTCAACTGCAGAGGGGTGTCAAATGATACCTGATGGGAAACCGGCCAGGTGAGATAGGTGGTACATGGAGAACCGATGGCCGAGGTGCCACCGGAACCGACCCAATACCAAGACTTGGATGCAACACACCAAACCACATTCATCCAAGAAGGTAGTTGTACAGACCGCGATGAGTCTGGCATCTGTGAGACCGGACAGCAAGATGTTGGAATTGATCTTGACAAGTGGGAGGGGTTTTATACCGCAATATGAACAATGTCAAATCGAGAAAGGCGCTTATTAAGAAAAGGTTTGACCAGCGTGTGTCCACTTTCGGATGCCCGTATGAGTCTTCCCAGAGAGTCTCCTGAAGGTACCAGCTTACTCATGTGACAGACACGTGATGCCGACGTCAGTGGCACTGTTTCTCTAAAATTCTGCCGTCTCTCAAAAACTGAGAGTTCGCACCGGGAAATCATATTAAACGGCAACATCTGGGCATCGAATAGTCAGTATGTTTCTACGCGTACTGTTCGATACGGAGTACCGCCAGCAGGTGTTCTATTAGCGCTTGCACGGCGTGTTGAGTCACTGGTCGAAATACAACTCGATGCCACAACCCACCAGCTTCTCCGTAGGTCCTGCCGCACAACATCTCCAAGAGCACACAAAAAGGGCTCCTTGGTCATAATAGGATATGAGCTTCCTTTCCGCTTCTCACGCCAATCTTTTCCCCGGATCAAATCTTTGCCAGCAACATGCAATTTCCAGCACAACTGCTCTCGCTGCCAGGCGAGCTTTGCTATCAGATCTACCGCGACTATCTTTGCGACGACACCGAAGATGGATATGTTTACGACTTTGAAGCCGGCCAATTGAGAAAGGCAAACAATCAGCCGATCGAGCTCGATTTGATGTACACCTGCAAGCTCATTGCCCAAGAGATGCGAGGGCTGGCGCTGAGCCTCCACTCCATCGCATTCTCAACACTCTACTCACGACAACTTCACACCAGAGCTGCACGTTGGGCTTATTTTGTCTCGCGATTCAGAAGCCATGTCGGGTGGTACAAGGTGACCCAGATCGTACCCGCAGAGGAGGTCCAAGAAGTAGCTGGTCCACAATCCTTTATCCATGCCATCTTCTGCCATTACAAAAACAGCAGTCTTCCGAACTTTGATAGGGTGGGTGGGATCAGGTTCCATCTGTTCAGCGCGACCTCAGGGCCCGGCTAATAGCCAAAGCTGTCACTGAACCTGCCTGTCGCACCCATGTTGGCACGCCGACCGAACATGAAAACTTCGAATATCACACGAGACGATGGGATGTGAGAGGCGGCCTGGCTGCCTACCTTGACGTTATAAAGGAACCGTGGAGAATTCCAACCGACGACGAGCTTGATAGGATCGGTGCCCGTCTACCCATACGCAAACGAGAGGCTTCAGCAGCTCTCAGAGATATGTGGCGGGACCACCCTGGCAGGTTCAGATTTTCTGCAGCAACCGCAGCAATTTATTTCCTAAATTCCCTCCCTACCACCACAAGAAAGCATATACGCCGGATTCATCTTGACGAGGACAGAGTATCGGTTGCCCATCCCGAGTGCCCTATACGCGGTCTTTTGCCTTTTTACCTGGAAAATTCAGGACTCATGATAGAGCGACGTGCTAGTCTTTGGAACAATCTCTTCCAAGCAAGAGCTTGGGGCGAGGCTAGGGGGCAATTTCTAGATCCTTTCAGCGGGTTCACGGTTGGCCTGCTCAACTGGGGCGCGACGGACCATGATGCCTTGCCAGCGAACCATGTCACGAGGCAAGTAGCGTTATGGATGGCAGAAGCCTCACATCCTGGTATTTCTGACGCCTTCAACTTGGTTCTCGACGGCGGCCCAACACAGGACCGGTCAGCCGACGTGTTTCGCGAAGCCGTTCAGCGAGACGCTGCTTGGCAAGTTGCAAAGGAACGTCGGTTCAACGATCCTAAGCGCACTCTCTGGATGCGGATGGAAACTGCGGAAAATTGCTGGCATGTTGTTAGGTTCCCTCAGCTGCTGGCCGACATCAATAAGCCAACATCACGCACAAGATGCAATTTCGACCCAGGTCAACCATGGAACGACGACCAGATCAACCAGATCATCAGCGCCAACAAGATCGCCGAAGATGCCCTTTCGCCCAGTCGTTATGACATGAACATGCAGCTGCTCCCCGTGGGTCCATTAGACGCATGGGGGTTGGGGAGGGACCTAGACTTCGACAAGGCTTCTCCCTTGAAGTCATTTGATTGTCTTCTTGAAGAAAACGTGGATCCGGGACACTTGGCTTGGGAGCCACCCTGGTAGTAGGCGCCTAGGGTAGGTATGTGGAATCAGATACGACGAAAGGAAACACGAACGAAATAGTTAGACTTTATGTCTCTTGCCAGCCTCTGCAGGGACTTGCTACGCTGTTCTTATAGCGCCTGAATCGTGTCACAGCAGCATTGCGGTCATGGTTAGGTGAAGGTAAACACGGCGTTTCAAAGACTTGGCGAGGCACAGAAGTCTGAAAGTCTTTTGACAGTTACTGTGTAAGAATCAGATATGTAAGCGGCCCCTTTCCACAAAGACCAAAGCTTGCAAGTTCGGGATGTGGGCGTCCTCCTGATGGTTTGAGATGCGTTTTCACATCTGGGACTCTCCCTGGAATTTTCGGCGGCATCTGGAGGCATTCGGCTGCAGGTCCAAGAGCTTGGCACCAGGCCAGCGTCGCAGCCAGCCCCTGTCTTGCGTCCCACTCTCAGGAACGGTCCGATGTTGATTGGATGGAGGAGCGGATATTACCTAATAATCCCCCGTCGCACACAGACAAGCTTAAACAACCAGCGACCAGGGCTGGGACCTGAAACACCACGACAACTTCACGCCCAGTTCACGCCATCTTGCCTGGCAGATGGAAAAAGAGAGGTCTAATTTTGGCCCCCCCGACCCCGTACATACAATCTCCAGCACATGGGACGACAGCCAAGACGCGTCGATCCGTTTCGAGATGGGCTCATCCAAGTCTCCCCCCCTTCGTCTGCCGCCGCCTGGACGCAGCTGATCCTGGATTTGCCCGCCCGCCGTTTCCTTTGGTGTCTCTCTGAGAGGGAACATCGGGGCTTGGCGCTCAGTATAACCTCTGGCCGGACCTCCCGAACTTTCTCTTTGATCCACCCACCGTGATGCTGTCACTCTACCGACACGTTCCTTGCTGTTGTTGATCCAGCCGCTGTGCTTTGCAGCTTGCCTGTTTGGCTGTGTTTACTTCTCATCGCCCTGGAGGCCCCTTTTTTGATACCCCTTCTTGTCTAATATCTACCTTGTTCAACAGTGGCTTTTGCTATTTGGCGTGTTTTGTTCCAGCCTTTGTTTACATACCACATAATGTCTATGCAATCATGTCCGGTGTCTGGCGTGGCCGGCGGCCAGTGTCCTGCTGGTTCAGTTGCTGGCAGCCGGTCCAGCAGCCGCATGGGACCTCGGGGCTGCTCCTTTTCTGGCTATACCCAACCGGGAGACATTCACGCAGCATTTGATGTGAGCCGAAGTCTGGAAATAATCGTCGGATAACGTCGACTGACACAAGACAGATCCCCCGAGGGGTGGATGCCGAAGAGTGGCTGCGAATGAGGGAACGCAAGTCGATCAACGAGGTGCTGTACGCCAATATTCCAACAGTCAACGAGATCAGCGGAATGAAGAACATCGATACACTCAATGTGGCCGAACAGGATCTTTTGGCTGTTGCACTAGGGGCCCCTGCGCGTCAAGTAATGATCAGAGCTGAGGAGATTGGACCAAGGACTGGCTGGAAAGATGGGTACCTCAGCGTCGAGCACGGGTTTTGTCCACCAGATTACGACGAGTCTCCTGGTGCTCTCGCCAACTCACCGGGACGGATATGGTCAGATTTGTGTGAACGAATGCCGGGATGTGTGGCCAGGGGTCGTGTCCGGGAATCCGTTGCCGCCCTCCCCATCGTTGAGGGAACACCAGAAGTCATTCCAGACAGGGCATTGTGGGCAGCGGTGGTAGCTCTCGGTATGCTGTGCTCCATCTATCGATACGAGGATAATAACGACGGCAACGAGGGAGTAACGGTCAATCCTACGAAATGGCGGCCCAAGTGCGAAATGGGAGACGATCTGGGAGAAGAGCTGGTTGGAATTCCGCGAAGCATTGCGCTACCATACTGGCAGGTTTCAAGGCGCCTCGGTCGATCCATCCCCCATCTCACCTTCTTTGACCAATCATCCGTAAGTGGGCCGGGTGTTATCTTTCTCTTCTTTCTGTTTTGATCTTTGAGTCTTGCTAACAGCACATCCGTCCACAGTTCAACATGAAGTTGCGTGACAAGACCGCCACATACCCATACGTGGGAAGATTCGACAACATGGACATGCGATGGCCTGTCTTTGGCGAGAGGACAGAAATTGCCTTCCAGAAGGGCTGTGCCGATACGTCGGCATCATTCCAACATGGCCCCGATGCCATAGCAGCCTGCCAGGAGCACGTCATGAACCGCAATGTCGAGGGCCTCCTTCGAGAGCTGATACGACTCAAGGAAATCCTCGAACGCATGCCCAATGCCTTTCACACCATCAACACGAATCCCAACTCGGGTGAAAACTACGTTCCAGGCCACCAATGGGTTCGCTGGGGCAAGTTCTCAGCGCCTCTGAGCAAACGTTGCCCTGCTTCATCCGGTCTTCAGTTCCCCCCTTTTCTCGTCATGGATGCGTTCTTGGGCCGCACCAGTTACGACTCTTTTCTCGGCAAGGAGGGTCTGCATCTTCGTGCATGGCTTCCCTCCAATCTTCGGGCCTTTATTGCCGCCATCGAATACCACTACCGCATCCCCGAATTTGTTAAACAGTCGGGCGATCCAAGACTCATGGGTGTCCTTGATGGTATCATCGAGGCGTATGTGGGTGAAAGGGGGTTCATGGGCACACAGTGAGTTACTTTGCACTTTCTGGAAGACAAGGTCGGCAGTAGATAAAGGAGTACCTAACGTGTCCATCACAGCCGGTACAAAGTCTTTGGCATTCTCGAGATTGCAAGCAAGACAGGGAGGACAGAGACAAATGGTCTGTCGGGCGCCCCTGATTCCAACGACAAGCCATGGGAGGAGACGCACAAGCAATTCTCAGCGGCCATGAAAGAGCGCCTCGAGCCATTCCGTGGCAAGATCACCATCGAACCCCATGAGATGCGCGGGACTTTTGAGGAGTGCCGGTACAAGTCCCGGATCTTGAGCCGGTCCTTTGTTGACAACGACCCCAACCGGTCCATCGCCATGGTTACCATCGATCTACACAACACTGGAATCACCTTCCAACCAGGTGATCGCCTGGCTGTCATGCCGCTGAATAGCTGGGCCGAGTGTGCCAAAGTTGCTGCAGCCCTGGGGCTGGGGGACTACCTCGAATACCGGATCACGCCCAACACCCAGTGGCAGCGGTTCGCGCAGCACCTGGGCGCCGTTTCACATACCTCCACATCACACCTCACAGTCAAGGATATCCTGAGGCGTGGCCATCTAGCGCCCATCACTAAGGAGCTTGCCCTCAAGGTCCATGACATGCTGCGTGCCTCATCCAACACAGTGCTTCAGGTTCTGGCGACAACCGAGTGGCCGGTCAAGGGCTCTCTCGGCGACCTGCTTCAGGCCGCTGTGAGTGAGACCAACCCGCACATCTGGGATCGCGCTTTTGACCTCACCGGGGACTTGTCGTGGCTCTGTGATCTCATCGCAGTGGAAGTCCCCAGGACATATTCCATCTCCAATTACTCTCAGGAGCTTCTCCCTTCGGTGGTTGAGTTGACCATCTCCCGGGCTGAGTACAACCTATGCTCGACATTCGCGGGAGAAGAGAAGATTGCATGCGCAGGTGTTAGCAGTGGCTTTCTTAATCCGTTTGTGGGTGCCAGTGATGAGCTCATCGAGGATGAGGAGGATGTGCTCATTGGGGTCAGCCGACCGCTCAACTTCCAGTTGCCAATCGACCGGGCGGCGCCGGTTTGCCTCTTTGCTGGTGGCTCCGGCATCGCGCCGATGCGAAGCTTTTGGCAGGCCCGCCTGGCCTCCCACAGCAACGCGGCTGGTCGAGACCTCTTGTATCTGGGAGTTCAGTCTCGAGAGAAATTTGCGTATGAAGAGGAGCTGCGTGACTACGTCGAGGCCGGCCTGATGGAAGTCCATCTTGCATTCTCCCGGGATAGCCGTGGCCTGGTTTACGACCGACACTCGCGCGAGTTGGTCGAGAAGGAGATGCCACCACGGTATATTGATGCCCTCATAGTGCAGCAGGGTGCCACCATCTCGGAGTTGGTCATGTCGAAAAAGCAGGGCGGCCTTGGTGGCTATCTTTACGTCTGCGGCTCGGTGGCTGTTTTTGACACGGTAATGAAGGGGATACGCCAGGCTCTTTACAACTACTGCACCTCGACCATGGAGGCTGCCGACACCATCATCAACAAGGCTTTTGCCGAGCGGCGCTTCATGTTGGATGTCTTCATGACCCCCAAGCCCTTGCCGTGCAACCTCCCCACCATTCCTCTCTCGCAGCTGGCCCGTCACACCGGCCATCGACCCGACAGCCGCATGTGGATTGGGGTGCACGGCAGTGTCTACGACGTGACAGACTTTTGCCCCATGCATCCTGGCGGCACCTTGATCATCAAGTCCAACGCCGGAGTTGACTGCTCCAAGACGTTTGACAACCTTGCTCACACCAACAACCCCGAGGTCAACAGCCTGTTAACGAAGTACTTTGTTGGCCAGCTCACACCAAAGCCAGACTTCCACGGGGTCCTGGAGCTTGGAGATTTGTATGATCTTTGGGCTGCTTACCTGCGCACAACTGTTGAGACCCTGGTTGCTCACCAGTTTGAGATGTATGACATTATCGGCGCTGGTGATGTGGATAGCGCTAGGGATGGGTACCTCCGGGAGTCTGAGGACGTTTGGACGCGTCCCAAGGCCGTGGGAATGGTTAGGGTGTTTTACGACTACCAATCTCGTCTGCTGCAGGGAGGTTTCTCTGCGCTGTTTGGCCCCAAGCTTCAGGAACTCGTGCTCAAGCTGTCCTTCACCCTTGCTGATAGCGCTGGTGCTGGATCCGACGTGCGGCTGCCCGACGTGCTGGGAATCATTGCGCGCGCAAAGACATCTCCGGACGCCATTGCAACATCTCAGGAAGTCGCTCTGGTCGGTCAGTTTGTCGGCCAGAGCAGTGGCAACATCAGGTTTGCTGAGCGTGGCATCTTCAACTACGCCGCCAAGAGCGTTGAGCTTGACATCGAGTTGCTGGAAGATATTCGCGAGGAAGCATGTCACGGCATGGACGCCTTTGACAGCGTCATGGCTATGGAGGCCGAAGACGACGACCAGCGCTTGATGGTGCTGGCGACTTTTCTCATGCAGGCCCTGGAGCGCATGGCCAGGAGATTGGAGGTGTTTTACGCAAAGCTCGCCAAGCACAGCGTGTACAACCCCGTGCTCGAGCGTAACCCGGCAAGAACTCGCTGGAATCTGGTGAGGCAGAGAATTCGGGATGGGTCTTTCTTTGTCCTGACCCAAGAGACTGTGCTTGGTGCTGCACCGGCATACGTGTCAGCCCAGCAGCAGAAGCTGGGCGTTGACTTTGACAATGTCATGAACAGAATCCAGGCGAGCATCCGCGGCGCTCCGAAGGCCAGCCCGACGCCACAAACACTGAACGCAATGCACCTCGCCAGGGCGAGCACGGCTCCAGAAACGAGCGCCATGGCGACGCACGAAAACAACACGGCAGTCAAAGCCATGTCCAGCTTCATCGATGCCAACATGAGATCCATCCGCCGGCTGAGCAAGCTGCCATCCTCATTGACCTTTGAGCAGATCCAAGCCGCCATGGAGCAACAGCATCGACCACCCACCCCGTCATCCATGATTTCCACACGGTCACCTCCCATGAGGAACACGTCTCGCGCCACGTCGCTGGAGCGCATGATGGCGTCCTACAACGGCAGACCACTGAACTCTAGAACATCACAAGTGTCTGGTTCTGCCGCCGGCCACATGGTGCACGGTGCCTTTGGCATCATGGCGCCTCATCCCATAAGATCACCCCCTACTCCACCGCTCGACGCCGCAACGGCCATGACGGCCATGATGGGCAAACTAAATGTTCGGTCTCGTGGTCGGTCCGTCCCGCCCTCGCCGGCGGGCTCGGTAGGAAGCACAGGAACCCGCGTTGGCCGCAGCATGAGCGTGCGGTCGGTTTCGCAGTCGCGGCCACCAGCGCACGCACCCAGACTCTCCACGACCTCGCTTCGGTCATTCAGGTTAGGAAGTCAGGGAGGAGATAGGATGCCCCTCAGAGTCGCGCCTACATTTTAGTTTCTTTTCTTTTCATAGACATATGGATACTTTTTATACACTTGTTTGCCTAGCAATATGGCATATTTACATACCTTACCTCTAAATGATAGCTACTTTTCCTTGATATTCACAACTGTTTTGTCTGTTTCTGGCATGTTGTTCATAACCTGTACAATTTCTGTGCTCAAGAGCCAGTGAGAGTCAAATGTGAAGGATCGCCGCGGGTTTGTCATCCCAAAAGTCCGAGGACACCAACTCAACAAAAGTTCACCCGCGGTGCACCGCGGACAAGTTGAGCGGCATTGCCATCTACATATAAAAGGGCCGTCAGTGCCAGTTATCCTATTCTATTTTTTCTCTACAGACCCAGAACTCCCAGACTTTTGACATCCGGACTTCATCATGACAGAAAAGAAGATCCTCGCCGTGTTTGGCGCAACAGGCCAACAAGGCGGCTCCGTCATCAACCAGCTCGTCTCTGAACCCGCGGCCTCCCTCCCAAACATCTCACAGTTCCACCTCCGCGCCCTCACCAGCCGCTCCTTACCCATTTCCTCAGCTTCTTCTATCCCACTCGAGCAATGGTACCGCCTCATCGGCAGTTCCCCTGATACCGATACCGACAACAACACCACCAACAACACCACCAACACCATCCAAGTCACCCCCCAAGTCGACTTCCACACCCCCTCCACCCTCCTCCCCGCCCTCAAAGACGTCCACACAGCCTTCATCATGACCACGCCCTCCTTCACCCCCGTGACCTCAGACGACCCCAACTCCAGCAAAGAATTCCTCGCCGTCCAAAACATCCTCTCCGCCGCCCTCGCCCAAAAAGTTGACACCGTCCTCTTCAGCACCCTCCCCAACATCACCGAGCTCTCGTCGGGTAAATACACCCACGTCACACCCTTTGACGACAAGGCCCGCGCAGAAGCCTACATTCGCTCGCTGCACCCGCAAATCAAATCAGCGTTTCTGTCGCTTGGGTTCTTCATGAGCAACTGGCTGACGCAGGGGTTCTTGGCGCCGAGGTATGATGAAGACACGGACAGTTGGGTTATGAGGCTGCATGTTACTGGGGGGACGGGGATACCGCTTGTTGACGCGGGGAGGGACACGGGGAAGTTTGTGGCGGCGATTTTGGAACGTGGGGTGGATGGGACCGGGGAGGCGGTGCTGGCTGCGGAGGGGGTGTACGCTTTGGATGGGATCGCCGAGGTTTTCTCGCGGCACACGGGGCAGAGGGTGAGGTATGAGCAGGTCACGGTGGAGGAGTTTAGGGAGACGGGATTGAAGGGGTTTCCGGAGAGTTTGAAGGATGTTTTGGTGGAGGGGTATTCGGCGCTGGAGGAGTTTGGTCACGCGGGGAAGGAGACGGGGGCGTTGGTGGAGGAGGGGAAGAGGCTGGTGAGGGAGTGCGGGTTGGGGGAGCTGGTGAGTTTGGAGGAGTTTTTGAAGAAGGAAGGGTATGTTTTGGGGGAGGGCCCCAGATCGAAGCAGTGGGGTTCTTGAAGATGGTTGGAGTTGGTGTTGTTGTCTTTGGATCTCTCTTCTCTTTACTTTCCTCTGTATCTTTACTCTAAATTCGCCCCGGGCCGAGGAACACGATAGGCCGTCAGGGAAAAGGGTCGTACCTACGCAACTCCCCAGAAAATCAAGCTTTATTGCAGAACCCCCAAGCCAGATCTACAGATCTACCTGCTCGGCAAACACGGCCAGGAAAGCGCGGCCAGGAACTTTAGGCTCAAGTTCCGAAAATCACGCGCACGAATAAATGACGATCATGTCTTTGGTTGGTGGCAGTTATGGCTTCCGCGGGGAAGATGCATGGCAGGTAAGCTTTGTTCATACAGGCTAATGTCACTCAGATAATGGTTGGTGGCGGCTTCCCGGTATCTCTATGGCCAGTTGTTATGGGAATACCAAGGAGATAGGGCCCAAAAGAAAACTAGTAGAGAAGTAGTATGGGGATAGGTGGCGCTTCTTTTTTCATGGGGCATGAGAGCTGATAACGGACTGGTGCTCTCCGTCCGTAGCCAAAATATGGCGTTGAGTTTGAAGCAGATGAAGATACACCTGCCTGGACGGAATCAAGGGCATGACGAGTTTCGATGAATTCGGGATCGCAAGGACGGCTGGGGAATCCGGGGCATGTTTCTCCGTAAGTGGAGAGGCAATACAAGCACTCAATATCCGACCACGGGCCACGGCACTGACGGCGCGGCTTTGTAGATGGGACCTCGGTATTTAAATACCATAAATCTCTGCGACGTATTTGAGTTGGAATCACTATTGACCTCCCGGAAATTACCAACTTACCGCCAAAGATGTTGCGCCAACTCGCTCTTCTCTCACTTGCTCTCGTCCCCGGATCCCTGGCCCAGGTCTCGGAAGGGTTCGAAAACGGATGGGACCAGTCGGCATGGCCAACATACGCGCCGGACTGCAGCCAGGGGGGCAAAGTCACTCTTGACACCGCCAACGCACACAGCGGGAAGAACTCCATGCGAGTCGATGGCGGCGGTGGTTACTGTGGTCATATCTTCTTCGGCACTTCCAAGGTGCCCACTGGAGATGTATACGTCAGGGCATGGATGTGAGTCCAGAATAGCATACGAAGCAGCCCCCATCGGAAGGCGAGGCCAAAACCAGCCTGCTAACAACCCTCTGACAACAGCAAAGCATCCAAGGCGCTCACGGCGGCGCACGTCACCTTCATCACAATGCCCGACTCGGCGCAGGGCAACAAGAAGCACCTTCGTATCGGCGGCCAGAACAGCATCCTCATGTTCAACCGCGAGTCGGACGACGCCACCCTCCCTGATCTCTCTCCACAGGGTGTGGCCACCTCGGCCGCTCTCCCTACAGGCAGCTGGCAGTGCTTTGAATACCATCTGGGACCTGACGGCACGATCGAGACGTGGCTGAATGACAAGGTCATCACTGGGCTGACAAGCAAGCCGGGCACTGCCAACCCCAATGCCGCGCAGTGGCAGAGAAGCTCAATCAAGCCAAAGGTCACGGCCATCAATTTCGGCTGGGAGTCTTATGGCGGGGACACCAACACCTTCTGGTATGATGATATCGTCGTCTCGTCGACCCGTGTGGGATGCGCGTGAGCGCCGAAGATAGTGTAAATAAGATCACATGAGTTCCTGTGGCTTCAGAACCCAAGCTAGGAGTAGAAACACCTCAAAATAAATCCGTTGATGTGATTTGAGGGCGCCAAAACGACGCTATCGTGAGATCTTGGCGTCGCTTTTGTTGACTCTTTCTGGCCAATCAGAAGTCAGCTACGCACAGGCCCCAGCACCAGGGAGGCCTCGGTCGTTGTCGGAGCTGATAAATTCTCAGCGGTGAGCAACGACGACGCCACCAGCGTGCGACGACAACATCATCCTCAATTCTCATTTTTGACATACCTCACCTAAAGAAACATCCAAGCACAATGCCCACCGTTCAAGAGCCAACACAACAGGAGCGGATGGAAGCCATCCCCCAGGACGGCAGTGTAGTGAAGAAGGTCATTTGTGAGCAGCCAGTAAGCCAAAACCCTCTTGACAATCGACCGACAGTGGAACGGCGAGACTAACACGAGCCTCAGAAAGCCGAGCCACTCCCACAGGCGGATAACGAGATTTCGATGCGTGGCGGCGGTATGAACATTGGGTTTACATGTTGCGGTGGATCGTGTTCATTCCATAAGCACTGCTGTTAGTGAGAGAGAATGGGGGAGATGAGGATGGAAGACGGAGGACGAAGGATGGAAGATGAAGACAACGAGGACCCATGATTGTAGATGCTACCTAATAATTGAGACATTTGTCGGAATTGATGTTGAAGGAAGCAATGCGGCTCTGCGCCAAGCAGCCCGATTAAAGTCTGGAAGCCTCCTGGAATTGAAAGCCGACTGCCGCGGCGGGAGCAAACAAAGCATTCATCCAAACGGTTGATGGCGGGGCACATATCCACTCGTCAACATGATGTCATCACTTCGCTACTACCACCAACCGAGCCTTTCCTTCAGGGATCCGTCCTCGAACTGCGTCTTCAACATCATCCGACCCTTTAACGTTGTCAGAGGATATTCAAGTCTATTTGGTACATTGCCTGCATCATAGTCGACACCCTTCACAAGACGAAAAGAAAAAAAAACACGATATCATCGAGATGAACCGCTTCGGAACGCGCAACCTCCTTCGTCCCGTCCAGCAGCAGACCCGGGGAAGGCTCACACAAAGATGCTACTCCAATCTGCCGCCTCAGGGACCCCATGTGGGTGAAAAAGGAACAGCAAAGGTGTACAACAAGGATGGAACGAACCCCAACAAGAACTTCGTGTAAGTTTTTGACCAGGATGAGCCCTCAGGGTCTTGATACTGATGATGGTGCGACAGTTATCTGGGAGCAGGCGTGCTAGGTCTCGGGGCCGTATATTTCATGTTTGGAGGCAAGAAGAAGAGCGGGAATTCGGCTGCGGCCGCGGCTGACCGAGCTGCTTGAGTGGGATGGTTGACAAGGGGGACGGGAGTGTAGGATGAAAAGCTATGGAATGGAATAAGTGGACGTCCGAATGAGTAGGTTTGGCATTGTTTTTATTACTATCGAGTTAATCGTGCTGTTATCGTTTCCAAATCATGCGGGCTTCCCGTTCAAAAGAGAGTACCAGTACCAGTTCACTGTCTTGTCGCATTGCATGCTTATGAACCCTTGACGTTGCACTCTTTTTCTAGGCTTTCTGGGTAGTAGGAGAGTAGTACTCGAGACATCCCTCCCGTCGCCGTTATGCTCGCCATTTCTTTGACATTGTCAAAAAGTCCCATGGTGGGACATGTGCTCCCAGTGTCTTCGAGGTGGTGTCACTGGATCACCTGCTAATGCAACTAAAATGCGGGGAAGAGGTGGACCGTGTGACGCCCCAAGAAGCTGGGAGCCTCGAGGTGGTGTTTGATGGGATTTTGATGGAAAGTGACGGGGTCATCCGTCCCAGCCACCTGGGTTCTCATGAATGAGCCTCTTCTACATAGGTTGTCATAATTGCCAGAGATCTGGAGTGAGCTCAAGTTCCCGTCTCTTCCGTCCAGTCGATCGCTGAGATCATGATCGGTGCGGCGTAGGCCTTGGACACCCAGAGATCGACTTGGCGGTACCAGCCCTGTACCCCGCTTCCCCGCCATTCTGGTGCAACGGTTCAGGTCCCTCTGAGGTACCACCGCTTGGCGATCTGCGACTGCAGGGGTGAGGGTGGGCAGCTTGGGAGCTGTGCAGAGAGGTCCAGCAAAGCAGGCCAACGTCTGCAGCCAGTCTGAAAACGGCACAGGAGGATAAAAATTCTGAAATAAATCCAAGCTTCCGGCCCTGCCAGAGCTGTGCTACTCCCGTTCCTCCCGCAACAGCCTCTTCTTTGTTGCATTGAGGACTGGAACGAGGGCTCCATTGTGTCTCTGTCTGCCCGCTGGCGCGTTGGGCGAAACACCCACGAACCCCTTTGGCGACCTGAGACCCTCGATTTTCCAACAGTGACGTCGGAGCGCACTGCCCACGGAATTCACCAGAACTGGACAGCAATTGCGAATCGCGATCCGGGCATTCCTCCTCCATATCTCCTCTAACCTGCCGTTTGTTTTGACACAAGCCTCCGGCCTTCCCACGTCGTCAGCGGCTTCAGAAGAAAAACATCATGGCTCTCCCCACCGCAGCGCCCCAGAGCGGGCCAAGCTTGCTGGGCCTGCCAATGAAGCAGGCCTCCCTGATCACAGTACGCAGCTTTCACAAAACACAACACTCGACAACAGGAAAATGGCAAAAGACTGCTGGGAAAAGATGGCTGACATGATGGTTGGGATAGTTAACATTCCAAAATTCCGCATTAATACTTGTACGTTAACTTCCTCGCGCCGGTAGCCCCGACGTTGGTGTGGCACAACAACCTCATCTCATGCTAACGGACGGGCGCTTCCCATGCCAGATTATGCATTACTCTCGAGTGATGGCACCTCCAGGTGACCACCGATACTTTGCTTCGACTGCCGTGCTCCTCAATGAGCTTCTCAAACTCGCTATGTCCCTCACCTTTGCCATTTACGAAGTATCCCGAAGCCTGGCGCCCCAGACCCCGGCAACAGTCCTGCTTGAGCAAGTGTACCATTCGGTATTTTCAGGCGATGGGTGGAAGCTGGCCATTCCGGCTGTGCTGTACACGCTGGAGAACACGCTCCAATATGTTGCGCTTGGGAACCTGGATGCGGTGCATTTCCAGGTCTTGTTCCAATTAAAGGTCGGTGCTACCGCTGGGGGGGATTGGGTCACAGAGGCCGTTGGAACATGGAGAGTATAGCAAGCTGACAAGGATGGCTAGATCATCACGACAGCAGTGTTTATGGTGGTGCTGCTGGGCCGGACGCTTGGGGCCAGGCGGTGGCTATCCCTTGTCATCCTGACTATGGGGGTGTCAGTTGTATCGCTTCCGTCGGCCAGTTCCCCGGATCTTTCGGTTGACATCCACGATTTCAGCGACCACTTTTTCCCACGGTCAGTCCACGAACTCGGCCAATTTGCTGGTGGTGTTGTGGAGGCGGCGAGGGAATTGACGAAACGAGGTGTCACTGGGCTGGTTGGGGAGCTGACTCGACGATCGGCCACCTACGAAGGCATCAAAGAGGACCAGGAACCTACGTTGTCGACGATGAACTACTCGGTGGGCGTTACGGCTGTTTTGGTCGCAGCACTTGTCTCGGGGCTGACGGGGGTTTACTTCGAGAAGGTGCTGAAGGACTCTACCACACCAGCCTCTGTGTGGACGAGGAATATCCAGTTGTCATTTTACTCGCTATTCCCCGCGCTGTTTGTTGGGGTCGTCTTCAGCGACGGACGGGAGATCGCCAGGCATGGTTTCTTCGACGGATACAATGCGGTTGTCTGGACAGCAATTGTGCTTCAGTCGGTGGGCGGAATTTTGTCGAGCATCTGCATTCAATACGCAGACAACATTGCAAAGAACTTTGCGACCAGCATCAGCATCATCATCAGCTTCCTTTTCAGCGTGTTCTTCTTCGACTTGGAGATTACAGTATCGGTACGTGCAGACAGCTCGAGACACGAGTTTAGTGATGGTTGCTGACATTTTCATACCTACAGTTCTTGTTTGGCACAGCTCTTGTGCTGGGAGCCACATACTTGTACGCCCTCCCGGAAGGAAAACGCGCGCGGCCACCACCCATCAGCATCGCCAGCTACGAGAAGACAACAGTGGAGGGCACCCCGCGATATCTGGATCAGGACAGGCTGAGCGTCAACCCCTTGGACTCTGCTCACGGTGCAGCTCTGTCTTCGTCCAGGCCCGCTTCGCCGCTGCATTTCCACCCTCGCACGCCTTCTTCGAGGGGGAAGCGGGCTGAAGAGTGAATGGTGTGGGGTAGGATGGCCCAGCAGGAGGGATGCCTAGCACTACGCCGGAGTAACATCTGGCAAACGTGACATTTGGAAGATTGGAAAAGAGGCAGCAGGATTTGGATACCCACAGGTAGCTGCAAGCATTGTTGGAAAGACCATTTACCTAACCTCATCAGCACGAATAGACATGAATTCATCCCTTAGGTATCTGGTATGGCACCTTCCAGGTTCTTTCCATACATGACTTTTCATTTCAGGCAGCCAGGCAGATTTCCCGGGTGACGGAAGGTGTAGGATGGTGGAGTCGATTCCCCGCCTGCGTGGGCGTGCTTGAGGCAGGACCTGGAGTGAGGGAAGGAGCCGTCGTGATGGGCAAGCACCCCCAGACGAACTGGCTTGGGGGGGTTCTCCTTCCACCTCATCCCCGGGCAGCCCAGTTCATCTCCATTTTATCGTTTGATACTCGGGCATCCCGCATCCGCATTCTACAGCCCAAGTCCAGCTGCAAACGCCTCTCAACACGTGTTGCAATTCTTTCTGCCTCTGTCATACCTTCCACCCGGGCACTTCAGTACCTTGCGCAATTGGCACACCATGTCGCGGCCATGGAGGCCCAACCGACCCCATGTTGCGAAACGCAATCGTGTCGTGCCAGTACCTGACGACAGTGTACGTTCCCGGGACGCTTCCCGAGACACCCGTCACTCACACAACCACCGCTGCGCCTCGGAGATGGATCCCCGGACCCCGGACCAGTTCCGCTACTTGAACCAGCCGACGCAATTTGATGATCGACTGGGAGACGCCTACGGTAAGCTAGCTTATTCTTGTCGTTCTAGCCGTTACTTGACGCGGTTGAGTTTGACCTCCCCTGATTAATTAATCTTTTAAAGCCATTGAACAAGACCCCGAATACCAACAAATCATTGCCGGTTTATCGAGACACACCGCCCCACACATGACAGAGAGACATGTTAGTCCTCCATACCAAAACGCAAACACTCCTGGCTCCTTTCAATCGCAACACCACCCAGCCCACAACATCTCGCAGCCTCGCCACCACCTATCGCAACGACAACCATTGGCTTCATATTCAGGTCAGCATGGTGGAGGTGTTAATACGGAACTCTGCTAATTCTGTCCAGTCTCTCCCGTCCTCGAGCCTTCCGCCCGCAGTTGGTCGCATGCGAACTACAGCCCGCCCCCAGGGTCAACTACCCACACGCAACCGTATCACACGTCGTTTGCAACTACAACAGCTACCCAACCGGACATTACACACCTTCAACCCCTTCCAACTCCCAGTACTACGCGAGAGCACGTTCCCTCTCAACGACAGGGTACTGCGCCTGTTGTTCACGGTATACGCCTCGTCAACTTACGAGAGGCCCTGCCAGACAAGTTCCGCGCCCTGTTCCCCTTTGAATTTTTCAACGCAGTACAGTCCAAGTGCTTCGAGGCAGTGTACAAGACCAACAACAATGTGGTGGTCTCGGCACCCACCGGTAGTGGAAAGACTGCCATCCTCGAGTTGGCAATTTGCAAACTTGCTCTCGATCGCGGCCACGAAAACTTCAAGATTGTGTACCAAGCACCCACCAAGGCCTTGTGTGCCGAAAAGGCCCGCGATTGGGAAAAGAAGTTTGGCCACATGAAGCTCAAGTGCGCTGAGCTCACCGGGGACACTTCCCAGGCCGAGATGCGGCGCGTTGGCGATGCTTCGATCATTGTTACCACCCCAGAGAAGTGGGATTCGATTACACGAAAATGGCAAGACCATCGCAGGCTTCTGCAGCTGGTCGAGCTATTCCTCATCGACGAGGTTCATATTCTCAAGGATGTCCGCGGCGCCACGTTGGAAGCAGTCGTTTCCCGCATGAAGACCATTGGAACCAATGTTCGATTTATCGCTTTGAGCGCCACCGTTCCCAACTCGGATGATATTGCCCAATGGCTTGGCCGGGACCATACCAACCAGCACCTGCCGGCACTGCGAGAGACATTTGGTGAAGAGTTCAGGCCTGTCAAACTGCAAAAGTTCGTTTATGGATACGAGTGCAACGGCAACGAGTTCATCCTTGATAAGCTGCTTGACTCCAAACTCCCCAACCTGATTGCCAGGCACTCTCAACAGAAGCCCATACTGGTGTTTTGCTTCACACGGAAATCCTGCGAGTCAACGGCCAGTCTGCTGGCCGAATATGCTGCTGCCAGGCCAAATACGAAGCTGTGGCCTGCCCCCAAAGGCCGGATCCCCGTCATCAGCCGAGAGCTGCAGGAGATTGTCAAATTGGGTGTGGCATTTCACCATGCCGGTCTCGATGTTCAAGATCGAGGTGCTGTTGAGCAGTCATTTCTCAAGGGAGAACTAGGTGTCATATGTTGCACGTCGACATTGGCCGTTGGCATTAACCTGCCATGCCACACGGTTGTGTTGAAAGGAACAATGGGCTACGCGGATGACAAGCTTCAGGAGTACTCTGATCTCGAGGTGATGCAAATGCTAGGTCGAGCGGGACGCCCCCAATTTGATGACAGCGCCACTGCCATCATCCTGACCAAGGCCGGCAACAAGGCACGGTACGAAAAGATGGTGTCCGGACAAGAAATTCTCGAGAGTACGCTTCATCTCAACCTGATCGAACACCTCAACTCCGAGATAGGCCTGGGCACCATCCACGATCTCGCGTCTGCAAAGAAGTGGCTTAGCGGCACGTTCTTGAGCGTCCGGCTTCGACGCAACCCAAGCTTTTACCACTTGACTGGCAGTAATTGCAATCCCAGCCAGATCGACGCCAAGCTGGAAGAGATATGCGAGCGCGACATTAAGCAACTGCAAGATGCCCAGTGTGTTACCGACAACGAGACATTCAAGTCAACCTACTACGGCCGCGCCATGTCCAAGTATATGGTTGAGTTTTCCACAATGAAGATGCTGTTGCAGATTCCCAAGGCTGTCAAGATGGGCGCACTGGTATAGATCCCACATGGCTTCACAGAATTATGTTGACCACGGCGCGCTGACCCCATGGCCACAGCTCACCATCCTTTCACAAGCCAGCGAGTTCAAAGAGTTTCGTTTCAAGCCCGCCGAGAGGCCTTTGTTTCGCGAGATGAACCAGTCCCCCCTCATCGTCTATCCAATCAAGGAAGCGGTCACGCAAACATGGCACAAGATCTCCTTGATGGTTCAGGCCCATTTGGGAAGCGTTCAATACCCCGACTCGGCCGATGCAGCCAAGGCTCGACGTCAACTGGTCTTGGAGCGCAAAATCGTGTTTGAGCGACTCAACCGCCTTGTCCACGCCGTGATTGACTGCAAAGGAAACGACTATGATGCGATTGGCATGAAGAATGCCCTCGAGCTTGCGAGAGCCCTCGCTGCAGAGTCATGGGAAGGTCGGGTGACACAACTGACCCAGGTACCCAGCATTGGGCCCGTTGGGATGCGTAAGCTTGCCAGCAAAGGCATCCGGACAGTGTTGGAACTCGCCGACATGGACAGCGTCGACATTGAGAGATTGATGGCTCGGCAGACCCCCTTCGGAATGACTATCAAGAGCTCTCTTGAAAAGTTTCCCCGGTTGAGCTTCGATCTGGAGCTAGTCAGCCACAAGTCTCAACCTAATCCAACAGGCGTCACCGTTGGGGTGGAAATTAGGGCTAACCTACGGTATTTGAATCGACTCGGTCCACCGTATTGGAAGAAGAAGACACCTGACATCAACTTCCTGGCCGAAACTACCAGCGGGACTCTTTCGTTCTTTTGGCGAGGCAGCATGAGGAAGCTGGAGGTCAGCAAAGAGACAGGGTACGAATTGAAGTTCTGGGTTGGTCTCCAAAATGTTGATGACGACATTGTGTGTCACTTTACTTGCGAGGAGATTGTTGGGACGATGATATCCAAGACACTGAAACACAACATTCCTGCCTCAGCATTTCCCAAGCAAGCCGCTTTCTCCACCGTGCCCCCGAGCTGGGCTCCGCCAGCGACAGCCAAGTTCACTCAACCACGGACGATTGATGGCAGCAATGATGCTGATAAAATGGACGAGCTGGACGATGGTGGTATTGACGACTCTGACTTCATTCTCGCCGCTGAGCAGGCGGCCGCTCGGTTAGCACTGCGCCCACAGTCATCATTCACCACGCCATCTATCCAAGCACCCAGGTTTATGATGGAGGGCCAAAAAGACGCTCAGGCGGAACAGTATCCAGGAATCCATGAGTTGGTCGAGATGGCACAGGAAGAGGGTTCCTCTCAACCCGAGTCCGATACATCCCCCCCAGTCCAGCTTCCAAGCGGAAAGTGGCAGTGTAATCATAACTGTGCGGGTGGGACTCTCACAAAGACGGGCAAGCCATGCACTCACAGATGTTGCAAAGAGGGACTTGACAAGCCACGAAAGCGGGCACCGCCCAAACCAAAGGTCAAGCGCACGGCCGAGGAGGCCTGGGATGGTTCTAAGAATTCCCCTCAAGCTTCGGGCGATAGGAAGCGGCCCAAGATTGAGTCGGTATCACGGCCCGGTGCCACTCAACAGGCACCAGGCATCCGCCCGCCTGTTCGGTCTGTCGTAGTAGACTGGAATGCGTACGGGTTCACAGAGGAGGATCTGGAGTGTATCGATCTTTCATCCTATACCGATGATGAAGGCGATCCGGCTACCACCAAGTCGGAGCAGAATGTAATAACAAAGTCCAAGCCCAAACGAGCAAATGAAGTCCGTACAGCCGCACAACCTCCTCACCATTCAGAGACGGACGATGAGGCCGACTTGCCCAGTCTGGACGAGCTTTGTGCAGCGAACACTTCAGCCATACGGAAAACGCCCGGTGCGGCCTGGCCGCGGTTTCAAATGCCTTCCACAAATCCAACGGCCTTCAGACCTGGCGCCTCTGACGTGGTGTTGTTTGAAGGCATTGCCAAAAAGTTTGAAATTTCAAACACCTGCAAGGACTTGAACTCTGATGAGGGTGATACACCCTACCCTAGCAGTTCGCCAATGTTTGTGGACCAAGAATCGCCAGCAAGCTCGAATATGTCGACGAACGAAACTATGGCGGTCACTCGCGAAAAGCAAATGAAGGAGGAGGTTCGGTCTGGCAGGCCCTCGTGGCCGGACGGCTTGCCCGACTGGGTGAAGGTCGACTCCAATAGGGAGATTGTGGATTTCTTTGGGCCGTGTGTAACATATGTATGAAATGAGGGGGTTTCGATGTGAAGAGTAGATGGGAACGGCTTGGGGAGGATCGACATTGCTTTGATAAAACACATGGCTACTCTTTAGTAGGCGCATTTCAACATGAAGCTTACCTGCACGGATTCCATGGTGGAAGCGGACGGGGATATGAGGGTGGTCGGAATCAAGGACATTATTTAGCCAATAGGCACAAGCGGAGAAAAGCATACAGGCATAATATAGCTTTAGACGTCCTCTGGGATAAAGAGGCCCAGGTAGCGGGGTTGTCCTCGGCAGATGAATCCAGTGTTTGATCAAGGTGTTGTTGAGAACGACCATTTAACATGACATTGTGACCGAGAGCACCTTGGGGGCCCTCCAGGGTACCCCGCGCCTCGAACAATCCTATTCCCACCAAAACATGAGGCTATCACGACTGCTTTTGTGGACGGCCGCCGGGGCTGGCGTGTGTGACGCGGTGACAGTCGAGGAACTAGCCCACAATGTCTCTCGCATCGAGTCCCTCCGCGAGATCAAGGATGTAACTTCAACGTTTGCGCAGCTAGCCCAGTTCGGCCGCTACGCTGACATGGCGGCGCTGTTCGCTCCTGAGGGTACTCTACTCTGGGGCAACACCTCCATCCAGGGTCCCGAGGCGATCAAGACATGGCTTGAGGCGGACGCGGGGGACATGAACGGCCGCCTGCCTGGATCACTCGACACGATGGTTCTCGCCACACCGCTGGTGAACCTAGCTGTGGATGGCAAGACGGCGGAAGGGAGGTGGAACGGGTGGAGGTTTCAGGGGGACGGGAAGGGGGCCACGAGGATGAGGGGGGGGATATGGGAGAATGAGTACTCTGTCACGCAGGAGGGCAGGTGGGAGATAGGGGTGATGAGGTATCATGAGCTTTACGAGGGGGGTTATGAGGGTGGGTGGAGGAATGTTGGGGGGAGGGATTTCGGGTTGGTGCCTGAGTTTCATTATAGTGCCGAGGAGGCGGGGGTGCCGATTCCGAGGGGGGTTGCGGGTGTGGTTGGGGAGGGACCGGAGGGTGTCGGGTTGGGGAGGAGAATAGAGGATTTGAACGATGAGGATGAGGTGAGGAACTTGCAGCATGCTTGGGGGTATTATGTCGATCGGAGGCTGTGGGGGGAGGTGGGGGAGCTGTTTGGGAGTCATAGTTGGGGGGTGTTGAGGGTGGATAATGTGGGAGTTTTTGAGGGGCCCGGGGGGATAAAGGAGGGGTTGGAGAGGTGGATGGGGGGTGAGGGGTTGAAGCAGGGGGTTCTGAACGAGCATCTCATTTTTGATACGGTGGTCAAGATCCGGCAGGAGGTTGACGAAAACGTGCCGGATGCGGAGAGGATGGCGGATGCGAGAGGGATCGAGATTGGGTTGGTTGGGGACCAGGAGAAGGGCACGGCATCGTGGCGGTTTAGCTTCTTCCAAAGCTCATTTGTCAGGCGGAATGGGATCTGGCAGTTTCTCAATGTCACGATCGCACCGTTGGTTGTGGCGAATTACTCTGATGGTTGGGGGCACGGGGGAGTTATGCCAGCGAGTACTGTTGATCCAGTGTTGCTGGATTACACCACGAGGGGTACCAACAAGCCTATCGCTCAGACAGCGACGGCAGACTCCCTCGAAGAGCTATCCCGTCGCCTTTCAAGGTCATATGGCTACGAAGGCACAGAATCCATCTCCAACGCCTATGGCTTCTATATCGACTTTATCGACGGTGCCGCCTGCTCGCTCATGGCCGCCATCCACCACCCATATGCCAACAAAGAGTCACCGTTTGCCGGATTCTACCACACCCGTCAGAGAGTCCTGGAGGCATGCACACAAGCATACGGCACGTCCGCTCGTCCCACCCGATCTGCTATATCCTTTCACTGGAGGCCGCAGCCGGTGATTCACGTTTCCCAAGACGGGCGTTCAGCGAGTTTGAGAGCGAGGCTATTGCAACCAGCCACCGACAAGACTGCAGGGACGATCAGAGGGGGCATGTACCATGACCAAATGGTGCTAGATGAGAATGGGAGCTGGAAGCTGTGGAGTTTGACGATTGATGAGTTTTACTGGACAATGAATAGCTGGAAAGAAGGCTGGGGAGGTGTGGAGGTGAGAGACAAGGACGCGCCGGATCAGCCTCCTCCCAGAGACTTGGTTAGGCAGTACCCGCCGGATCTCTGGCTGAATGAGATGGAAGGGGAAAGAGAAGTTGGGTTTATGGGAGGGAGGGAAAGGTATGTTTCTTGGCCAGAAATTCAGAGAATGTGGTTTGGGTATAGAAATCCAGTCAGTGGAGGGGTGCCGGAGAACGGATCGTACTGTCCCGGGTGTGTGCCTTGCTATCAACATAAACCGGAGTGGGGGATGACGAAGCATGGATGGCAGGAGCCGCCTACTGGACCGACGTTGGTGAGGGCCATGTTTGCGCCAGGAAATGGGAGTTCGGATGATGGGATGTTTATATCGGTCTCGGTGACACCAGGACCGGGAGAGGTGGTGGAAGGTGTGGTGAGGTTAGTTGGAGAGCAAGTTGAGCTGGAGTATGTGTTGACGGAAAAGGACGAGGGACGAGTGACGTTTGAGTTGCCCAGAAATCTATCTGGGGGCTTTCACTTGTTGGAGGCCACGTTCTCGGGGAGCAACAGGTTGAAGCCGGGAAGAGACCTGATCGATCTGACACTCCCAGGAGGACCGGGCTCGCGGTTGGGTGACTGATCGCTTCTTGGAAGGTGACCACGTCAGTGTCACTCTGCGGTCAAGATTGCTTCTAGAAGCATTTGACTCCTTTTTTTTTCTTTTTTCAAGCCCCGGAGGATTTGTTCCAAAAATGCGCCCTGCATGATGGTCTGTGCCTTCGACAGCGGCCCAAGGCGAACACCTTGATTTGGGTCGAGGTAGGGAGTTGAAAGCATGAAATAATTGCCCAATTGGGCCGTTTCTTCTTTTCTATCAAGCACAACCAATCATATCAAATATCTTGCCATTCCTCTTCGTCTGTGGTTGGTCAGCTTCCAGTAAGCAATCTCAAGCGCCTCAATAGTTCAACGTTCCCGAGAGTCTGGATCGCCAAAACAACACTATCGAACAGCCACTGTTTCTGCCGCCCGCAAACTCCAGATGACCATGAGAGTAGGTATGGAATAAAAGGGTCTGGGCCCTCGATCAAAACAAAAGGTTGCCCATGTTCTTTCACTAATCCAACTCCGTGTCACTCTTTTGATTTCTGTCACTCGTTTTTGCCATGAAGAACTTTGGGGCTGTTGCTCTGACTGGTGCTGCCCTGCTGCAGGTAGCTTCTGCTGCTTGCTGTCGCAGCAACAACTGTTTGAAAGCTGTTGTCTTGGCCAATGATGATGGAATTGCTGATTGTTCGGCCAATCTGGTCGTTACCTTGACACCCTCGGCTGTGTAAGTTGCCCTGGACCGCAGCGAGTGTACTATACCGAAAGGTACTGACGAGTCAAATGCAGCACCTTGACCGAGACATTGACGGTGATCGAGAGCGCAGTCGAAACTGCTTTGTTCACTGAGACGTCAACCGAAACCGCATCGACCGAAACAGTCCTCTTCACTGAGACGACCACAATCACGGCTGCCACACAGACGAGTATCGTCCTCGAAACCACCACAGTTCCCGTTACTACCACCGTCGTCGAATCGGCCTCGGCCGTCACCACGACTGCGTTCGTCTATCAACAGCAGATGACGGCTCGCGATGTTGCGTCTTCTCTCCCCGAGTATGTCACGGCTGTGTGTGCCGACTGGGAGAAGTATGTCAAGGCCTGCAGTTGCGTCGGCATTGAACCCACCACCGTCACGGCAGCCGCAGCGACCGAGACTGTCACCGTGACAGCTGGCGACGCCATCAGCACGACTGTGGCCACGCTCTCTAGCACCCAGACCGACGTCATCACTGTCACGGAGACTATCTCGGCCACTGTCACGGACATCGTCTCCGCCACAGAATTGGCAACCGTTACCGACACTGTCACTGCTTCCGAGACGACTACTGTCCTCACAACGTCGACCCCTACGAGCGTGGTATCGCTCACGTGCAAGCCAACGGGCACGGTATTCCTGGCCTCTGTTTCGCCATTTTGGGACGGATCGACCCGGTGGATGAACGTCGTCAACAGCAACATCGTGGCCTGGCAGAGCTTTGCCGGCGGTCGTCCAAGTTCGACATCATACACTGCCCTCTGGACCACTGATAGCAACGGTTACTTGGGACTCAAGTACACCACCGGAAACACGGAGACCCTGGAGGCGTATGTCAGCAAGAGCCCTACCGGCCCCTCGGTGCAAGTGGTGGTCAGGATAAAGTCTGTTGTTGAGGCTGCTGTCGCGGCCGGCACACACGAGAGAGTGAAGGCGTGCATTAACCCCGTCACCAACGAAGTGTACATGTCAGGGCGGGGGAAGATGAACATTCTGGAGTGTGGCAATGGTCTGTATCTGTCCAGTGGCACCACGGGCTCAGACATTCGGTCAGACTGCCACTTGATCAAGCCCAAGGACAGTTGAAATGTTTTTTCCCGCAATGGTAGGCGTGGAGACAATCGTTGATGGCATCCAAGTATTTGACCCTGGTAGCAAGAACAAAGCGACGCATCACCTCCATGTTTCCTTGCGAACCCTCCCAAGCTTGTGCGATATCTTCTGGTACGTGAACGTGATTAAAGGTAGGTTAACCCGCAGCTGGTTTCCACACTGTATCCAGACAAGTCCCTTACCAATCATCACAATTGTAAAGCTTTATTTCAACCCTATGGAGGCTCACGAACTGTTACACACTAGGACAAACGCCCAGAAACAGTACGTAATAGTTCGTTTTCGTCATTCTGGAGTTGTATCACGCCAAAATGGCAACACCTATTCACTTACATACAATTACAGAGAGGCTGGTAGACATCTGAACTTCAACACCTCGCTGTAACCTCACCTGCATACTACAAAATATTTCTCTTGAGCATTGCCGGCATCACAATGTTCAAGTTCACCACCCGCCTCACCACAACCGCACGCCAAGCCGCCCGGCGCCGATTCTCAACCACCCCCGCCCGCCTCCAGATACTCCCTGTAAAAGTCACCGGCACCGGCACTGGTACCCTTCAAAAAGTTTCCGTTCCAGGGAAGCCATACACCTTCACGGCGGACACATATCCCGTTCTCGGCGGCGCTGACTCGGCCCCCTCACCGGTTGTCTATTCCCTTGCCAGTCTGAGCGCATGCAACCAAGTCACTGGCTCTGTTGTCGCGAGTAATCATGGGATCAAGCTTGGAAAGTGGGACGTGAGCGTCGAAGCGTAGCTTCCAACGGCTGTGCTGGTCAACGGGGAGCAGGGGAACCCGAACTGGGAGAGTCTGAAGCTGAGTGTGCGGGTGCAGACGGATGTGGAGGGGGACAAGTTTGACAAGTTTGTTTCTGAGGTGGAGAGGAGATGCCCGATTACACAGTTGTTCAAGTTGAGTGGTGTCAAGTATGAGAGCGAGTGGGTTAATGAGAAGCTGTGAGGGTTTTATGCCGGGGGGGAGTGAGGAGGCTTGAAGCCAGTAGGATGTTGAGGTGGGAAGCGACAGAGCAATGGGCTTGAAACATATAGGACCTATGTATTTCGTGTTCGTAGACAGTCTCGATGCTTACATATCGAGAGAGCGTGTTCTTTGAGCACAGGTTACGCCTTCAGTCAGCCACACCGAAGGTTACCACAATCATGCCACGTTGTAAGGGCGGAGAACACTGTTGGCAGACGTGTGCAGCCACTAGGGCTTTGATAGGCCGCAATGCCACTAGGAAAGTAAACAGGGGTGTGGGTGGCGTGACTCGTGAGGTGAGAAGCTGAAAGCCGAATCGGATTCTTTTGGAGATTACCAAACTTCCCCAGGCGCGTCAATCCTCGGGTATTAAAAAGCTGGTGCGGAGTCCTTGGCACTCTTTTGACGTTCCCCCAAGAGTCTTCCCAGGTTCCCATCTCGTCGTACTCTACGCAACATCAAAATGAAAGCCTCCGTCGTCACCCTTATAACGCTCCTGAGCTTCTCGACCGCCACCCCACACAAACGAAGAGATGGCAAATGCGGGGGGCATCCAGATCCAATCAAAACGTGCACAAAGACGCTCGAGGCCTTGAAATGGACAGTCGACGACTTCGACTTCCATGCCTCTTACGTCTTCACCAACCCGGCTCACCAGAACTCGTGGGGTTATGTCAACTTTAACGTTTCCAACGATGTCGTGCCCTACACCGCTTCGTGCAGTGCCTCTAGCAGCCAGCTGTCCGACTTCTTCTATGGGACCGTCGAGTATGCGTGCACACCGGCGGGAACTGGTGTGCCGGCTGGGGCGAAGGTTGGATTCAAATTCAGCAGACCTGCTGGCACGTTGGAGATCAGTGAGACTATTGACTGCAGTGACAAGTAGGTTACCCAATGCATTATGTATACCTGGTAGCCAGCTCACTGACATACATGAGCAGGCTGTTTTCTGTAAGCGGAGCGACCACCTTAACCCTGTCATGCACCGACGTGACAACGGAGAATCCTAGCTGGACGCCTGGACAAATATACAGCGCTCGCGAGATCAAATGCGCGCCAGTTGATGTTACGATTGGAGCGGGGAGTGTGACGGCACTGTAAAGACTGTCGGCGCGCGTGTATCTATGATGAAAGAATTGGAGATTTGTCAACGGTTGGGTATCAGACTGCATGCACTCTTATCGAAGAAAGTGAAGAAAGTGAAAGTTCGAGACAGGCAGGTCAACCAGTGCCTACCCTGGCCTTCCAAGTCCATGCGCATTGTCACCGGCATGATTACTACTTTATAGCAAACGTCATCGGTTCGGTCAGACACCTATAATAGGAGCAAGCCCCTGATACCAGATCCCTTCAGCTCTGTCTCACTTAACCACCACCCTCTTCATTCCTTGCAACGACGTCATTGCATTCCCCAAGGTCCCACGGTACGCAGCACAACTGGGCGTATTCGACAATCCTTCCGGCCGTATGACCTGGGACAAGAGATCGATCGCCACAAGTGCCGGTCTACGCATGGCAAAAGCCTGCCAAGAAAGGTGCCAACCCGCCAAGAAGTCACAGCTATAGCATATATATGTTGATAATCCCGGCGCCCCTGGAGGTGAGAGGTCACTTGCCTCTTTCATACACCACCGACCAGCCAAGACCCGGGACAAGAACTGCGGAGTGGTATTCTCTACCTGTTTGTTTATCGGCTATAAGTCCACCAATACGTGCGAAGAGCCTGAACAAGGTTAGGAGTTGTTGATCCCTTGGTTTCTTGAATAGGCTATTGCCGCAGCACCAACCGACCTAATTCCCATAACAAGCACTGAGTAACAACAGCTTCTATATAATTCGACCCATCTGCCCAACCACTCTGAAGAGGCTGTCACCTCTTTTCTGGCCAGGCACTGAATAGCAAAGAGCCAGCAACCATGAGATTCGGACTTTCTACCGCCTACGCCCTGGCGTTGGTAACCGGTGCTTGGGCAGCACCATCGACCGTGACAGCTCGTCAGAACTCCCCATTCAACACGGCAGCGATCACCGACTTTGCCGAACCATGGGCTCTTGCTTTCCTGCCCGATAACCGCATCCTCGTGACCGAGAAGAGGGGCCAGCTGCGTCTTGTTGATCCAAACACCAAGGCCAAGGGCACCATCACCGGTGTGCCTTCAGTCCGCTACGGAGGCCAGGGTGGATTCGGAGACGTCGCCCTGCACCCCCGCTTCTCTGAGAACAACCTGGTATACATCAGCTATGCCGAAGCCGGCACCGGAGGGTCTGGCGCTGCGGTTGCGCGGGCCAGGCTGGTGCTCAACACCAGCGGCGGCGGCGCTCTGCAAAACGTCGAGGTCATCTGGCGTCAGTCGCAAAAGGTCAACGGCGACGGTCACTTCGCCCACCGCATCCTCTTCGACTCCAACTCTACCCTCTGGATCTCATCCGGCGAGAGGCAGCAGTTTGACCCTGCTCAGTCCATGACTTCCAACCTCGGCAAGATCATCCGCTTGAACGACGACGGAACGGTCGCGGCCGGCAACCCGTTCACTGGCACAGTCGGTAGCCAAATCTGGGCACTGGGTGTCCGCAACCCCCTGGGCATCGACTTCGACGAACAGGGCCGTCTTTGGGAGGTTGAGATGGGACCGATGGGCGGTGATGAGCTCAACCTGATTGAGAGAGGCGGCAACTATGGGTGGCCGATTGTGTCCCAGGGCAACCACTACGACGGCCGGCCTATCCCGAACCACAATACACGCCCCGAGTTCATTGCGCCCAAAGCCTTCTGGAACCCCGTCATCTCCCCATCCAGCGTGATTATCTACAAGGGTGACCTGTTCCGCAACTGGAGGGGCAATGCCATCATCAGTGCCCTCGGAGCTCAGGGCTTGGTGCGCGTGGAGATTACCGGTAACACGGCGCGGGAGGCTCAGCGCATCTCACTCGGACGACGCATTCGCTGTGTCCGACAGGGGTCTGATGGCGCATTGTGGGTGCTGGAGGATGGTGCCGGTGGAAGACTTCTCAAGCTCACTCCCCGTTGAATGGGTTGAAACCTGAGCACACTTGTGAGATAGCAGCTGCCAACCATAGTATATAAGGCTCAGTTGGGGCAGACATCAAGGTTGTCGGACTGAACATTCAAGTGCTTTTATTTCTAGTTCATAGATAAATTCACGGATGCAGCCAGTCGAAGACAGTCCTCATCATCAACCATTGTGTCGCCAAGATTAAGGAGAGCTGCGGCTGACTGCCCAGCATCGATTCCCTGCTTTTGGGATCTGTAATGATAACTCGGTGTTATGCCCCTTTCATCATTATCTAACCAGCCGCAGCTACAAGAATCAGCCTCGAAGTCTCATGTGTTTCTGGAAATGATTTTCGGATTTGCGGCTGATGGTGTTCACCAATTGTCTTTTCGAAAACCACCCTGAGTTTGTTACACCACCAACAGCTGCCACACCACAGCCACCGTCAGATAGATGGCTTGCCCAAAACGTTCAATGAGATGGAAATGGTATTCATCCTAGATGCGCATGCTTTTGTCGGGCGGTGTTAAGCCAGGGGGGAGAGACATAGAATATCATCAACGCCGAACTCATAACAAGACGCCTGTTGTTGAACCAATGCTTGCGCGGATGTACGCCAAGACGTCCGTCGGGTTTGCGAAGCATGCCGAAGGCTGTTGACTTCTTGCTCGTGATAGTATTATTTTTGCCTGGCTGAAATGATGAGACGCCTCTGATGATCATGAGCGGTTCATGACTGAAAGAAGAGGCATCCTGGGAGGGACAAGACCCAAAGACAGGAGCTTTTCTCGTCTATAAGTACAAGCACCCGTCCTCACGACATGTCGACTCTCACTCCATCAACTCAAACTCAACAGCTAAGAACTAAACACAAGTTTCAGAATCGCCAACCTTCATAGTTGAACCGCCCCATCTATTCACCCCAAAATGAAGCTCTCACTCCTTCTCCTCGGCCTCCTCACGGCCATCCAAGCCTCCCCAGCTCCGGCCCCGGTCCCGGCCCCGGTCTCAGCCATCGAATTCCGCTCGCCCACCGACCTCTCCGCCCGAGAAAAGGTCGTCTCCCGCACCATCAACCTCTCCTCCACCCTCGTCATCCGCGACGACGAGCCCTGGCCGGTCAACCACAGAACATACACCCGCACCCACACCCTCGCCCCCGTCATCATCGGCACCAAGACCGGGTACACCCAGAAAGTCACCTACGAGGCCAGAGTCGGCGGCGAGATCCGCGTCGAGGTGCACTTGACCCTGACGCTTCGCCCTTCTGACTTGTCGGTGCTTGTCAACTACCAGATGCTGCTGTTTGAGGGGACCAGCACCAGCACCAAGGATCTCGACGGGAAGATTGAGGGCTCGCGTCGGGTTTTCAAGAACACGGATGGGATGATCAAGAATACGGTGCACAACACTGATGAGGGTGGTGATCGGGCTGGGTTGGAGCTCAAGGTTGTCAATGCCCCTTGATTCCCGTCATGTAAAGGCCATGGTGAAGTGCAGGAAGCTATTGGAAGTGTGGCAATCTGGAGGGTCAGCAAGTACACGAGCAGTTTGGCCAAGCTTTGCGGAGGAAAGGGAGATTTTCTATTTTCTGTACACCGCCCGTACTGTCTCCAATGTTCGTTTCCGTTCTAGTAAATCGATCAGACACTCTTTCTTACCTTTCCTCGAATATGTCATACACCTATCTTCTAATTCCATTGAGGGCGAATCCAATAAGGCATGCACATGGTGCCGCTCAAGAACCGGAGATTCGACTCGGACCACTTTTCCAGCTGACAAAGGACCGGCGAGACGGGATGTTGGTTTGTGATTATTTTCCTCGCTTGGAAAACCTACACCCTCCAACATCCTATCGGCGACCCGGGAAAGTGGCGTAGAATGCTCTGTCGTGTAACCCGGCACCGGCTGATATCTCACGTGGAAATTTGGCCCAATGCCGTTATAGGCCTTGTGCTGTACCTGCGAATGCAAGTCAGCAGCTCTATTGAAATTCCGGCCACCGCCGTGCGGTGAACGACTGCAGCGGACATCGTTCCCAATTGGTTCCCAGTGGACTGCCCCTGTTAACGGCAAGGGGGTGACCTGCGGGGAAAGGGGTCCCTGTCTGGGCCGGTAGCCAGTCCGGGGCCTTGTGGCAGCGTTAGTCCAGTCTTGGGTAGTATTTTCGGTATGGTTGGTTCTTCAACACCATGCCATTGTGCTGCAGGTTGTGCTTTGGCTGGGATTCTTCGGGCGGAGGGGGGACAACTCCTATAAAGGCCGACATCGTTGGTTCGGTGAGTTCAACCCCCCCTAATAGCTTCACTCATAATCCTCTCAGCGGCCTCAACATGGTCACAGTCAACCTCCGGGCGACAACTGTCGCAGCTGTACTAACTGTTCTAGCTGACCAAACGACGGCAACATGCCCCTCCCGTTTCTCCTGGGAGAACAATGTCTTGACCAAAGCGGCCGTCAACAGCACCAACAACGCAGAGCTCTTTGACTTTGGTCCCGTCGAGGGCACGCCGGCGAGCTCCAACATCATCGGTGGCATCCCAAGACCGAGATGCAAAACTTTCCCCGGAGATCCCCTCTGGCCATCCAACTCGGTGTGGAACCTCCTCAACCTGACGCTCGGGGGCGCGCTCATCAAGACAGTTCCCCTCGCCGCTCCATGCTACAGCGACTGGCCTCAGTACGACGCCGCTCAGTGTGAATACGTCAAAACAAACTGGAACAGACCGCAGCTCCATGTCGAGGACCCAACTTCGGCCATGTTCCCGCTCTGGCAAGGGCAAACCTGTATGCCCTTGGATCATCCCAGCCAGATCTACGACAACTGCACCTTGGGAGGGTATGCTTCCTATTCCGTCGCCGTTACCAAGGTATCCCAGATTCAGCTGGCACTCAACTTTGCTCGCGCAACCAACATCCGGCTGGTGGTGAAGAACACGGGTCATGATTTCGCCGACAAGTCTATGGGTGCTGGTTCGCTGTCTGTCTGGACTCACAAGCTCAAAGATATCCAGTACATTCCGGATTACACCTGCAACGGACACTCGGGGCCAGCTCTCAAGCTCGGTTCCGGGGTAGAGACAGAGGAAGTCTACCAAGCTGCCGAGGCACACAACGTCACCGTCGTTGGCGGTGAGTGCAGAACTGTGGGCATGGCGGGCGGGTATATCGCCGGAGGTGGCCACTCCCCCATGTCTTCGCTTGTAGGTATGGGTGCCGACCAAGTTCTCTCGCTTGACGTCGTACTTCCCAACGGTCGTTTCGTCACCGCCAGCCAAAGCTCGTACCCCGATCTGTTCTGGGCTCTCCGAGGAGGCGGTGGCAGCACCTATGGCGTGGTCACCTCGGTGACTGTCAAGGCCTACCCTCAGATCCCCGTTTCGACTCTCGGCTTCGTCTTTGGCACCTCCTCCAATGTCACAGCGGACACTTTCTGGGCTGGTGTGGAAGCATACACAACCTATTTCGACACCTTCACTGCGGTCGGCGCCTACGGGTACTGGCTCATTGTGAATATTGGCCCGGGCCAGTTCTTCTTCAGCATGAACCCCCTGTGGGGAGGCAACATGACGCTCGCTCAATTCCAACCTCTTATCCAGCCCTTCTTGGACGACCTCGCCAATCTCGGAATTTCTATTGATCCTGTCTGGAACGAATACCCCAGCTTATACCAAGCACACTCTGGCACTTTCCCCCCAGAGAACGTGGGAGGGGCTGACAACCGCGCCGCATCTCGGCTCTTCCCAAAAGACAACTTCATCAACCCAACCAAGAGGAACGAAACGATGGCTGCTGTGCGGTATGCCGTCGAGGCAGGCGGTATCTTGATTGGCTACAACATCCGTGCTGCCCCCAACTCAGCCGTGAACCAGACCAACAGTGTCAACCCCGCCTGGAGAGAGACAACCGGCTTCTTCATTCTCGCAGCTGCCTGGCCTGCCGATGCCAGCCCTGCCGTCATCCAAGCGCAGAGCAACATTTTAACGAATGACTGGATGGCGAGGTGGAGACAGGTGAGCCCAGGGGCGGGAAGCTACCTGTCCGAGGGTGATATCAATGAGCCGAACTGGCAACAGTCTTTCTACGGCTCGCACTATCCAAGACTGCTCCAGCTGAAGAAGAAGTATGATCCGACCGGCTTGTTCTACGCGCATACAGCTGTCGGAAGCGAGGACTGGGAGGTAGAAGGACAGCTGCCGGGGCTGCCGACTCAGAACGGGCGCTTGTGCAAAAAGCCTTGAGTGTTGCTGTGTACCTAGATATCTCTGAAGAAAGGCTTGTTTCCAAACCACCTCAACAGACGTTTTGTTGGTAGAACGCCACGCCGGTAAGCACCGCATGAAATGTCTCTTGTCTGCAGCAGCCATAGGCCGTGTCTGTCATGAAAGTGCTAGCTGAGAACGCCCACTACCCGAAACCGTGATTCGGATCATGATGTGTTCGATATCAGATGATCATCCTTGGGCCGTGCATGACTTTGACCTATCGATGAGTGAGCGGCCTTCAGGGTCTGGCCGAGACATGACATGAATGCACGTCATGAATGTCTGAACACGGTCGCCACGGACCTCCAAGCGCGGGATAAAACACCCCCATAACCTGGGCAATTCCATATCTTCACAAGAAGTCTTCAAGAAACTCGTCGTTCAACATGTTGTCCCCTACCGTCCTTGTCGACCGTCTGGCCGTAGACAAACCGAACGACGTGTGGGCCAAAACCCCCGCGACTTCATTCCAAGGAGAAGCCGGCTGGGAGGACATCACCTTTTCCCTCCTCAAAAATGCCGTCGACGCGACGTCTGATTTCATCGTCCGGAAATTTGGGCCAGGAGAGACTGAGGAGGTGCTTGCTTACATGGGTATCAATGATATCCGGTACCCCTTTGTCATTCTCGGCGCCCTCAAGGCAGGCTACAGGACCCTTTCACCATCGCCCCGTAACTCAAAAGAGGGGAACTTGGCGCTCCTCAAGACAACAAAATGCTCAAAGTTTCTTTGCTCGGGGGAATTCTTTTCTCATATCGCCAAGCTGTCGACATCCATGCCGAGCCTCCAAATGCTCCAGATCCCAACCGTCGACGAACTTCTCATGCCGTTCACCCCCGCTTCGACAACTCCAAAGGGACGGGCCAGCTACTCAGACCATGAGACTCTCATAATCCTCCACACAAGCGGCACAACCGGCCTCCCCAAGCCCATCCACATCAAGGCCGGCGTCTTTTCCACCTTTGAGACGATCACATCGATCCCCACCCCGCCAGGCCGCACCAGCACCCACTGTTCTCTCCTCCTCACCCGCCTCGTCTTATCCGTGACTCCTTTTTTCCACATCTTTGGCATAAACTTCCTCCTCCGTGCCCTCCACTACCAAAAGCCCATCGTCCTCCTCCCAGCCGACAAGCCACCCACAGCGGAGCTCATCCTGGAATGTATCGTCAAGACCAAGCCCAGCGCCCTTGCCTCGGCCCCTTCTATGATAGAAGACATCTGCCGCCTCCCGACTGGCCTCTCCGTCCTCTCCACTCTGGACTTTGTCTTTTACGGTGGCGCCCCTCTGGCAGAAGCGTGCGGGAACCAAATCTCAGAGGTGACTTCCCTCTACAACGGCATCGGATCCACCGAGGCCTTCTTCATGCCTACGCTCCGGCTCAAAGACCCCAAAGACTGGCAGTATTTCGAGTGGAACCTAGAGGCTGGCATGGTGATGGAGCCGACGGAGGAGAACCCCAACTTGGCAGAGGCGGTAATCAAGCGGCGTCCAGATGGCAAGTACCAGTTTGCCTTTTGGAACTTTCCGGAATTGCAAGAATGGCGGACTCATGACCTGTTTGAGGAGCATCCCACCAAGAAGGGGCTGTGGAAGTTCGTCGGGAGGCTGGATGATATCATTGTCTTGAGTAACGGAGAAAAGGTCAACCCGGTGGCGTTTGAGAAGATTGTTGATGGCCATCCGTGGGTTCAGGGGGCTTTGATGCTTGGCGCGGGACATTTCCAAGCTGGGATACTGATTGAGCCATCAAAGGATCATCAGGGTGATGACAAGGAAGAGTTTATCGACAAGATCTGGCCGTTGATCGAGGAGGCCAACGCCGAGTATCCTGCGTATGCGAGAGTGTGGAGGTCAACAATTATGTTGACCAAGCCAGAGAAGCCGTTCAAACGAGCTTCCAAAGGCTCCATGATGAGACAGGCGACGTGTAAGTTGTACGAAACCGAGATCGAGCAGCTTTACAAGACGCAGGAAATGGCTGTCGAGGAATCTGATGCAGCAGGCCAAAGCAATGAGGATGTTCAAGAACTTGTTCGGAAAACCGTCCGCTCTGTCCTCGGAAGTCGGGCGGCAAGGCTGACTGATGATGCCAATATTTTCCAACTGGGCGCCGACTCGTTGCAGGCATTGCAGCTTAGCCGTATCTTGACTTCGTCTCGCCTTAAATGCAACGCCAAAACAGTCTATGACAATCCGACTGTCGTCCAGTTAGCAAAGGCAGTCAGTGCTTCTAAAAAAGACCAAAGCCCTGAGAATGCGGTCTCCCGCGAAGAGCGCATGTCAGCCATGATCTACCGCCACTCGCGCTTCCCGAAGTTGGTATCACCCCCCTCACCTCCCAAGTCACCGCCCGCAACCTTCAACGTCCTCCTCATCGGCTCGACCGGATCGTTGGGAAGTTACATTCTCAAAGAGCTCCTAGACACACCGGACATATCCCAGATCTTCTGCCTCAATCGCTCTGTGAGCGCCCGAGAGCGTCAACAAAAGTCCTTTGACGATCGTGGTCTTGGTTCCATCTCCCCATCCCGAGTCCAGTACTTCACAGGTGAAACCTCGGCGCCCAACTTTGGCCTCGAGTTCCCTCATGACTTCGCCTCTCTCCAGCAGCAAACCGACATGATCATCATCAATGCCTGGCCCGTCAACTTCAACAGCCCACTCGAGGCTTTTGAGCCCGTCATCGCCGGCACAAAGCAGTGCGCCGACTTTTCTTCAGGCTCCCCTCGCAAACCTCACATCGTGTTCATCTCCTCCGTCGCAAGCATCCTCAACTGGGCTGCCGTTCGCCACATCCCCGAAGACGGCAGCGAGATCATCATCGGCGAAGACTGGGACCCGGACAACAGCCTCCCGGCCAAACAGGGATATGGCGAGTCAAAACACGTCGCGGCATCCATCTTATCCAACGCCCTCCACGCAGGCCACATCAACTCGGTCGCCGTCCTCCGAGTCGGCCAGCTCGCTGGAGCAGCCGAAAAGTCCGGTGTCTGGAACCGACAAGGTGTGCCGCCCTTTTCCCCCTACTCCCCTCCGTGAGTAGACACCTAACCTTTGCCCAAAAGAATGGCTCCCCTCCCTCCTCAAAACCTCCACCGCAACCCTCCACCTCCCCTCCTTCCTCCCCTTCCCCATCGACTGGGTCCCCACCGACCTCGCCGCCCGCGCCGTCGTCGACCTCTCCCTCTCCTCCTACCACCGCTCCACCACCACCGTCCAAACCTTCAACCTCGTCAACCCCCACACAGTTTCCTGGTCCTTCCTCGTCCCCGGAATCCAAGAGTTCTACTCCCCCACCCGCAACATCAAAATAATCCCCTACACCGACTGGGTCGACGAGCTGAAGCGCGTTAGCGCCACAGCCACCGATGAGCAGATCGAGCAGATGCCCGCGTTGAAACTCCTCGACTTCTTCGAGGGACTAAACAAGGCACCTGCTGCCAGCACAGGCGGAGAGGAGGGCAAGCAGGTCGACGTGAGGTTCGCGACGGGACACGCCGTGGCGAAGAGCAAGGCGATGGCGGGGATGGGTGTGATCAACGGTCGGATGATGAGGAAGTGGATGGAAGAATGGGGATTTTAAAAGAACATTTCAGATCGAGTCACCTGGAAAACGCGAGGAGAGGAAGGAAGGCACGCAATGACAAATAGGACTGTTTTTGGTGAACCCTAACCATTCCTCGGCTTGTTCACCCCCTGAATTGTTGCTTGGGTGGGTGCCCCTTATCCAACCCCCAAAGAAGCAGGACAATAGATACCTCCAAGCCAAAACCGCAGTTAAAAGATGTTTCTTTGTTGCTTTCTTGACACAGCACCAACGTTTATCATCGCGCTTCTCCTTACGCCACCTACATTCAGCCCGACCTCAAATCAAAGCGCCTTCCCATCAAAGGGACAGGGCCCAAGTACATCTTCTAACAACAAACGATAGGGCGTGTGGCTCAGTTGGTAGAGCGTTCGCTTAGCATACTCACCTGTATGCGAAAGGTCCTGGGTTCGATTCCCAGCTCGTCCAAACATGGAGCATATGTTCCAAGTATGTCTTTTGCTCTTTGTTTTGGCTGACAGGTCTCGGGTCGAAAGAGGACGATTGGCCATCATCATGAGCGTTCCTCCTTTTGCTCTCCAGCTAACCCCAGCATGAACTCAAAGACACGGAATATCAAGAAGTAGGCCTGATCAGCTTTACGTTACCAACTTCGGCTGGCAAGACAACCTCGTCTGAAAGCAGAGTACAAAAGTATAACATCGATTCCTAACAAGTGGATTGCCTGCTTGGCCAAAACTTTTTATATAAACCCAGAGCCTCCGCCGAACCTGTGCGCCTAATAACCCTCCCTTGTCCCATGTCATCAAGTCAGAAAACTCATAGCACAAAGTGCTGACGATGGAAACCATCAAAAAAAACATCCACCCATTCCACGCTATGCATCAAACGCCCGGACACCTCAGCTGCCTAGCATCACCAGCTCAAGCGAGACCAGCCAACTGCAAGACGGTTGGGTGGTTGTTAAACAGTCCCTGGTTGAGCTTGAACAGTCCTTGGACGATGTGGCGAACAATCTCGCGGGTCTCGTCGTCGAGCTGATCCGCGGGAGGGCTGAGGACAGCCTCAAACACGGGAATAAGCTGGGGGGCGAGGCCTTGGATGGTAGGCTCGTTCAGCTCAAACAACTTGCTGATGCACTGGTAGACAGGCGTGTTCTCCTCAAAGTCCTCCTTCAGCGGCAGGAGACCGACAAGAGCAGGGAGGACGTGAGGAAGAGGAACCTGGTCAGCGTGAGCCATGATCATGCGGCAGAGGCAGCCAGCAGCATTGTCCTTGATGCGAGCCTCAGGGATCTGGAGCATGGGCTCAAGCTTTTGGAGGATGGTCTGGTAGTGAGGAAGGTAGATGTTGGAAGCCGTGGAACTGAAGATGAGCTGTCCAACAGCATACGCAGCATTACTCTTGGTCTCCTGGTCCGTATCCGACAAGCGCTTGAGAAGCAGCTTCAGAAGCTTCTCGGTGTAGGGGGTAACAGTCTCGCCCATGTTGGCAGCGCACTCAGCAATGACGCCGACGCCGGTGGACCTCTCAATGTTTTCGGCCTCGGAACCGGCGAACTTGAGGATGGGCTTCTCGAAGATCTTCCAGAGCTCGTTGAAGTCAGGGCCGAGGGCAATAGCAAGGCCAATCACGACGTCAAGGGCCGTGTCAATAACAAGCCAGTCGTACTCGGATGAACCCAGCACCTCCTGCTCCTCGTCGTCATCGCCAAGATCCTGCTGGCAGGGGTGGGAGCGAGTGATGATGGCACCAACGGCAGTGATGGTCTCGGTCAGGAAGACGTTGTCGGCAATAATAGCCGGTCCACAGGTCTTGAGAGTGGCCGCAACATTACGGTTGATGTCGGTAACAACAGACCTTGGTTCATACATGTTAGCCTCTGATTGCAACCAAAACTGCCAAACGGACGAAGTGATGAAAAGGAATCAGGAGTAGATAATACGCCATCTCAGCATCCGCATTAAATGCGTCTGAGTGAGCTGGGTTAAACGTAGTGTGGTCATCATGGAAGGGAAAAGTAGGGTGAACGCTGGGAAGTACATACCGGTCGGCTTCTTGCTGCCAGATGGCGCTGGTGGCCTTGGTGACAATCTCGCCAAGCTTGACAATGGTTTGGGTGGGGGCCTGCTTGAGGGGAAGACCGGGCTCCCAGCTGCTGCCAGTCTCCTGCTCCATGAGCTGCCAGACACGCGCATACGCACGCCACAAGGTGGAAATAGCGCACTTGCGGCAGCCCTCGTACGAGTGCTCAGCGAGAGGGGCGACCATCTCGATCGACTTCTCGAGGTACTGGGCAATCTCGGCAGGGCCGCAAGCGTGGGTGAGCAGGTCACCGAGGATCTCAAGAGCAACCTCCTTCTCCAGCGCCTCGAGAGAAACACCAATCTCGTCCCACTCATCGTCATCATCGTCTTCCTCCATGAAGCTCTCCTCATCCTCGAGATCCTTGATCTTAATCTTCTTACCAGCGGCGATGATGTCGTCATCGGTGCCGACAATTCCCTTCTCTTCCTCACTCAGCTTGAGGACCATTTCCTCCTCCTCCAACTGTAAACTGTTGAAAAGGGCCTGGAAAACGTCAGGCAAGAAGGGCGCAAACTCCTTTCCGTAGACCTTGGCCAAGCTGCTCCAGAGAATGAAGCTGGACTCCCTGAGGCGGGTGTTATCGAGGTGGAGTCCCTCGTGGCTTGACTGCATGATGTCCACCACATATGGTTGGAAAGCCTCGGCACCGACGGATACCGCCATGCGAGCCATGGCATCCAAAACACCACTGCGCACAGCCAAGTCATCCTCGGAGCTCTTGATCTGGAGGTAAGGGGCAAGAGCACGGACAATCGTCTCGAAAGAAGGCTTGAAGTCGGAGCCCAGAGACTCGGCAATGGCACCCAGGGCGCCAGAGGCAGCGATCTTGACCTTGTGATTGTCGTGGTTGATAAGACCGCCGATGAGGCCAATAAGCTCACCAGAGTATTGCTTCATGAAGTCGGATTCGAGGGCGTCAGACATGGCGTCAAGAGCACCGCAAACGGAGCGGATGATCTCGATATTCTTCTTGGCAAGAGACTGGTCCTGAGTCTCGGCAGTGGCAGCCTGGAGGTTCTTGACTAGACCGGTCATGATAGCCTCGTTGAAGGGAATAAGCTCCTCGGCGATCTCGTCGGCAAGGTGGGCAAGACCAATCAAGGCCGTGTGACGAACACCGACATCGTTATCGTTCAGGAGGGCGATGACAGATGGCATGATGGACTCGATCTGGGAGGCGACGAAATCCGGGGAACCCTCGACCACGTTGCCGAGGGCAAGGACACCGGCCTTTCTGAACCCTGGCTCGGCGTGGCTGGTCATCTGTGGAAGCGCATCAAGCAGAGGGACAATGACCTGGCGAGGAGGGAGATCACTCGACAGTGCGTCCAACAAGGAGAGAGCAGAGCGGGCAGGGGACATCTCGTCCTCATCCTCGTCATCGTCAATCTCGGTGAGGATCAACAAGCTCTTTTGTGTGAGCTGCTCGCCCATGCCCTTCATGCCTTGGATCTTCATGCGGCGGTAGCGAACAGTCTGAACCAGGAAGGAGATGGCCTGGGAGCGGACGTCATCGTCCGCCTGCTTGTTGGCCGCGAGATCGATCATGAACTGGACCAGGTCCCTGAGATAATTGCCAAGTAACGCGGACTCATAAGCCAGGAATTGCTGGAAGACCTCGAAGGCGTTGGTTATCTTCTCATCGTCCTGGGCCGTGACAGCATCCTTGAGCACATCCACCATGGCGGGGATGAGGGTCTGGAGCTTGGCGACGCTCTCCTCATCCTCGAGAGGCTCGAAGAGCATGAGCATGGCGCCAACCGACATCATGCTGTTGATTCGAACCTCTGCGCTGGCCGAGTCACGAAGGGTATGGCTGAAAAGCTCGAGCAACTTCATCATGTCGTCGGCAAACGCGACTGGGTTTTCCTCGAGAACACTCATGATGATGAAGGAGCCAATCTCGCGCTGTGTGACATCGGCATTGGCGCCCAAGTTGAGCAGCGAAGGCACCAGGTCGGGCCACTGGCCATCCTCCAGATCAAGGGCAGCGATGGCGGCGACGAGACGGGACTCGGCATGGCGGGCTCTGGCGAGCTGCTCTCTCATAACAGCCTGGACGAGAGCCTCGCGGACCTGGCCCTTCTGTTCTACGGCGACCTTTTCCCAGTGCTTGACGGCCAGGCGGGCGGCCTGGACCGAGGCGAGCTGCCGAACATTGGGGTCCTCGTGTGTCGCAACAATCTCGATCAGGAGGAGGAGCGACTGGGGGTCTTTGAAGTAGTTTTGTTGGAGCTCAGCCGTGACGGCCTTGACTCTCTGGGTATCGGCTGTCAGGGCACAAAGGTTAGCAGGAGATAAAAAATGAAGAATGGGGATTATCAGGAAAGGGAAACTTACGGACTTGTGAGTCCACGAGGAGGCCCACCAACGTTTGCTTGTCCATGGTGCAGCCAGGCAATGACAAACAAAAACAGAAAGAGAAATGCAATGGAAATGGGTATCAACAAACAGAAGGAGGGCGAAGGGGAAGGGGAATAAAAAGAAAAGTCAAGAGACGGTCTCCGCCTGGGAAGGTGGGCAGTGAGGGAGATGATGGGTTTGTGGGAAGGAGGAGGGAATGTCCTGGGCCACCACCGACGAGAATGAGAAAAAAAAAATCAGATTTTCTACCATTTTCAGTGTGGAGGTGGAACTGATAAGAGATTGCTTAGCGTGGGGCGCATTTCAGTGCGGGGCACCCAGGCACGCGCAAAAGAGGGGTCCAAACCTTTTTTTCTGTGTCTGCCCCTCCTTTTCACCTCACCGCTTTCCCGTTCCGCAACTCTCCTTCAGGCAGTTTGTCGCAACTTATTCCAGAAGGAAGCTGTGGATTCACATGCTCCCGCGGGGTATCATGACATCAATTTAGAGATGAGGAAATCAATCATCAATAACGCCTTCTACCAAAAACATGCAAAACTGATAAACCCAACCTCTCTTCTAACGCCATAGGCTTCTTGTCCTTTAGTCCCGTTGCCCGAACAAATGTCTCTGCCAACACGTGTCTTCCGGTCTTTTTACCGGACTGAGGTGGAGTACCTCCCGTGTTCTCCGCTCCGTACCCCTTGATATGCGGTTTTACCTCCAGCCACCATGGGAATCCCCTCTCCGCGACTCCCCAGCGTCTCTTCATCTGTCGTCTGCCACACCTCCTTATACCCCACCAAAACATCCCCCGGAAACTTCCACAGAAATACCACTCCGACCAAGAACATCAGCACTCCATCCAGGGCCAACAAGAAAACTTCCTTTTGCATCAGGATGCTTTGTTTTCCCGCCCCGAACTCAATCATCCTGAAAATTGACCTGACCATGATCAAGACCGAGCTGATGTACAGCGCTAGAATCAGCTGCCGCCACGGCCCTTCCACCCTGAGGCTTCTCTCGGTTGGACGCTTCAAAATTCGTCTGTGGAATATGATCGTCGTGACGATGAACATGCCGAAGAACACAATCTGAATCGCAAGGCCACCGAGCACAATCCCTTCAGCTTGCTTCATGGCATCCGGCGTCTTGGCTTGGGCCATCAATCCTCCACCTACACATCACCCACTCGTTAGTCCAGGTGGGAAGCAAAACACAGCAACAAAACATACCAGCGCTCTGCGTCATGAAACTCAACACGTCCCCCACAACAAATATCTTGGTCAGCCAGGTTGTCCGCACAATTGCGTACTCGTGTGCGTCTAGAAGTCTGATCAACCTCCCGAGCACCATGTAGATAGACGCTGCCATCAGCGCTGGGGCGAGCAAGATGAGCAGGGTTTGTATCAGGAACGGGGTGAGTGTGAAGTTCGGAGCTTCTTTAACGGCAACGCAACGCGCGGCATAGCCTACTGCTTCGACTTTGGGTATGTTAGCATATACCAACGGTACCATGTCCCGGAGAACTTGGTAAGTGTACGATGAAGAAGCACTTACACAGACAGGCAATCGCAAAAGCGAGAAAGTACCATGTTCGCTTGCGGATCAAAAAGTAGAACTGGCCGATGGTGACGATCGAAAAGAGGACGGTGAACACAACATTGGCGGGTAGGTTGGGATCGTAGTCGTAGAGTCTGTACTCTGGAAGTTCCCCTGCATCGGCCATGCTTCAGGTAGAGTGGCTGAGAGAGAGAGCTGGATGGGAACTATGAGGAGTCGAGTCCGGCACCTGAGAAGAGTAGGTATCTAGGTAACAACGGGCGATGGATGCTTTGAAAAGCTAACGGTTTGTTTGGATATGGGGAAAAGGGAAACGACACAGGTCGAGTGGACCAGCGTATATATTCTCAGGTTCCGTCCATGCCTCACTCGTACAAGGGTTCGGCAGCCTTCGCAGGAAGGAAACCAACCAACCTGTGGATTACGTGTCCACGTATTCCCAGATCCAATGCAAAACAACCTCCGTCATATCCACCCTCAAGGCGCAGATTTGATAGCCGACAAGACATTACCAGGTTGGGCGGCTCTCAAGTAGTGGTGTCGCTGCTCGGCATGTTCCGCCGCTATACGCGTATAGGGACGTGGGTAAGCTACCATGGTACGGGACCACTTTATCGGGTAGGTCCATCAAAGGAGATCCCCTTCCGGTGGTTTGATGCTTACCGACAGCTCGGGATCTAGCAAAAAGTTCCATTGCAGACGTTGGATTGCGGATGCAGCCGCATGGTGAATGCTTGCTTGGACGCAGCTCATTTGGTGTCGTGCTCAACCTGAGTGGGTCAAGGGGCATAAAAAGGGGCGCAGCCCCCTGCACCATTGAATGCTTCGACGCGCGGAAGTGCTATACGCGTATCCGTATCCAAGGCGTTCCAGTCAGTATATGTCAGCCCTATCGCGCTCTGTCTGGGTCGCAGCAAACCGCCTTCCTCCGTTTTCCTTTCACTGCTCTTAGAAATCGACATTTCCATCATGTCTGATACTCGCTGCCAACCTCGTTTGTGCGGGTAGGTATACTCAGACATCTTTCCGCAGAGGTAGGACACAGATCGCATCCAAATTAACCACAACTACTCCCCGGGAACTGCTGCATGGCTTTAAGGTCGCTTCTTACCTTGGTGCTACTTATTCGACCTCCTCCTTTCTTTCCTTCACTATCACCAAGGGGCAGATCGCGCCATCAAGCCAAACGCCTTCGTCCACCGTCTCTCTGCATACAGCGACGGTGCCAAGTTTATCCATGTCTCTTTGAGTGACGAGACAGACTTGTACTCTATCAAGCTCAGTTTCATCGCCAGTCTCCTGAATATGGTACCGCTTCTTCACTACCTCGACCGCAGTGGCCTTTGACTCCATCCCGCGTACCCACGACCGCAACTGCTTAGCCGATATAATTGGACCGTCATCAGATATGAGAATAGGAACATGGCGTCGAGGTGGCTCCCACCGCCCTGGTGTCGTGGTTTCCAGCATGCCAGACAGAAAGAGGGCGGGGTGAACCATCTGGATGGCTGCCATTCGGCTGGTCCAAGACCTTTTCGACCTTGAGAAGTCTGCGTGTTTGCTTTACTTCGGGTTTCGGATGTGCCTGCAATCTGTTGTCTGAAGCAACATTAAAACAACATAAGACCCCTTTGTTGTGCTCTGTGAGGTCCTTCAGGAGCTGCACATCTTCCAAAAGAAGCATGCATAGCTGTACCTCGCACGTACTGCAACCAGAATCCTCACTTTCGTCTTGAGCCTCCCATATATTCGCGATGGAGCTCAATGTGCCGCTCATAATGGGAGGTGGTGATTCCAAACCCAAGAGGGCTTTCATGTCTCAACCAGAAGTGATTGGGCCAGCGTCGGATATCAAAAGCGGAATTCGAATCTCTAGAGCTCTCCAGCCGGCGGCTGAAACTTCCAAGTATTTACGCCATGCGTCGCCCCATGGAGATCCCATTCAGGTTCGCGGTTATGCTTCGATTCCACAGTGCGTTTAGCAAGCTTGACTCGGAGAGCTCTATCGGTGGGCATTTGTTGCGGTGGTGATGATTTGTAAAAGTGCCGTTCAAGGTATCTTGGTCTTCGTACATTGGTGATGAACGAGGGTTTGATCTGGCTTGCGCAACCGCCCCTGACCAAAGGTTTGGGTTGTGGATTGCGGGTTTGTCTTGCTTGCAGCCAAGAAGAGCTGAGAGTGCTTCTCGGGAGTGCAGGTGAAAGTAATATGCTCGTGATTGAAGATAGGTATGGCTATCGTTGGCATTGAGAAAGCGGCGCTGCCCTGAGGTGGGTGGGCCGGCAGGGTTAGGTGTTCAGGCCAAAAGTCTAGACAACCGAAATAGAAGGCGACACAGGCCACAGGTCCATTTATCACTCTTCCCGCCCCCGCAGTCACTTCAAGCCTACGTCCAATCAGAGGCACATACTAAGACGTGGCCTACTGCCAGTACAGTGTCAAATGGCCCCTTTACGCAGTTCACCGTGGAATTTACGTCTCTGATCAACAGTTCACGAATGCTGAAACAACCCGAAAATAACTTCAGACACTAGGGATTCGGTAGCAGCAATCTGGGTACCTGGGCACCTAAGGTAGATAACTCATGGGTGCCCGTCTAACAGCTGTATGTTTAAACGCACCCTGATCAAAATAATCATACCTAGGTGGGTAGGTACCTTAACTACCTGGTAAGGCACACAAAACACTCCAACGTGAATTTTACATTTTTTCAAACAAGAATAGGTCAGTTCACTAGGTATTAGGTATTCAGGGCCTATTAACAATCTTTCGAGGCATGCTGGCTTTCTTAAAGGTGTGTTAATTATCTTTTAAAGTGTATGAAGTCGTTATTCACGGGTAGGCCGGGATAGAAGCACCCCCATTTCAGAAGAACATAAATGAAGCTGAAGTCCAAAAGTTCACATCACCATGGATTTCAGGCTTATTTTGTAACTATCATCTGTCAACTGGTCTCACCAGTCTTCCTCTACTTCTTCAGACGCACCACAACCATACCCAAGCATATCGCAAATCAGCTCGACTACCTCTGCAGTCGTCATTCCAAGCTCTATCGAGTAGTCTTGCATTTGGATCAAGGCTTCTTTCGAGTCCACAGATAACTTTGAAGAGAATTTCCAGGCCTAGAAGTTTTGATTACGTACCTTAGACTGGGATGCTTTGGTTCAGTACCTACCTAACTGCGTCTAGTAGGTATACAGATTTGGCGTTCTTGGTATTGAAATAGCATGAATAAACTGCATTTTCCAGTTGAGGGTGCCTTGGGGCAGCTTTGAAGCATGATTCCCCCTCCATTGGAGAACGTGGACATGGCCCGGAAAATGTGCGCCGGACTGATCGTTTTCGCTTCCCCACCCTATGCCTTTTTGTGCAGCTTCCTGTAGCACCTAGCTAACTCCGGACATTTCCAAGCTTCAGTTATCATCAGAGTCTTTCTTGCACCACCCAACTACGTAGCAACATGTTTTACCAACCAGGAAAAACCCACCACAACCTGCCTTTCGATCCCTTCAAGGCATGTGTTGTGCCTCGACCTATAGGATGGATATCAACCACCTCCCCTCTCACGCCGGCTTCCCCGTCCACACAGCCAACTCATAACCTGGCACCCTTCAGTCAGTTCACAAACCTCAGCTTCGACCCGCCATATGTCATGTTTTCTGCCAACCAAACGCCCGAAGGCTTCAAGAAAGACACTGTGCGCAACGTGGAGTCGACGGCCAAGTTTGTGTGGAACCTGGCGACATGGGATCTCAGGGAAAAGGTCAACGCTTCGGCTCAGCAGCTCCCTTTTGAAGTGGACGAGTTTGAGCACGTAGGTTTGGAAAAGGAGTTTAGTTCTTGTCTGCCGGGTGATGTCCAGAACCCGGTTCCGATGGTGAGGGAAAGTCCGGTCAAATTTGAGTGCAGTTATCACTCAACATTGCGACTGCCGGGAGCGTCGGTGATGGGGGGTGTGGACTTGGTGATTGGAAAGGTCGAAGGGGTGCACATTGCGGACTGGGCCTTGTCGAAGGAGGGGAAGCTGGATATTGGCAAGACGAAACCCATCGCGCGGTGTGGTTATTACGACTATGTGGTCTTGGACAAGACTTTTGAGATGGTCATTCCTGGAGGAGATAAGGCAATTTTGGCGGGGCTGGAGGGCAACGCGGAGCAGGCTCAGCAAAGCATGGGCCGACCTCCTGACGAACAGTAGATGCCACTTTCCCCGGATTCCAGAACCCTTCCACTGCCGAAATCCCGACTCCGCTCCGGCTCCGACACCGGCCGGCAAGCTCCACACGTCCCACTGGCAACGGCCGCCAATGATTTGTTTGGCAACATCGACCCCTCACTCACGACATTTGGGAAGCTCAGTCATCGACTTCCAGTTTCAGTCTACCTAATGCTCCAGCTGCCTCTTCGTGCCAGCTTCTACATCTTCAAATCCTTTGCCCAACCATCACTTGCATCTATAACCAAAACCAGAGCCTTCTCTCCCTCAACCCCAGCAAACATGAAGCTCCTCTATCCAACTTCCTTGGTCCTCGACCCCGCCAAAATAACCGGCTTCCCCACCCTCACCCTCCACCCCTACGATGTCAAATCCCCCACTCTCCCCTCCGAGCACCATGACGCCGAGATCCTAGTCACCTGGGCCAACTCCAAAGACAATCTCACCTACGCGGTCAAGAACCTCAAGGACCTGAAATGGATCCAGTCCCTCGCCGCCGGTCCCAATGACGTCCTCTCGGCCGGGTTTGACGCCTCCAAGGTCAAGATCACCACCGGCTCTGGGCTGCACGACAAGACGGTTGCCGAACACGCCCTGGGCTTGTTGCTCAATGCCGCGAGAAGGTTCTACGAGATGAGGGATTACCAACTGCAAGGGAAGTGGCCTGGTCACCTTGGTGGTCCGCAGCCAGATCGGGAGAAGGGTACCTTCAGAACACTGAGAGATGCCAGAGTAACAATTTGGGGATTCGGCAACATTGCCAAGTCACTGACACCGCATCTTGTGGCTTTGGGCGCGACTGTCAAGGGGCTGGCGAGGAGCAAGGGAGTGAGGGATGGGATTGAGGTGTTTGGTGAGGACTCGTTGGAGGACATCTTGAAAGAGACGGATGCATTGGTGATGATTCTGCCGGGGGATGCCTCGACGAAACATGCTTTGAACAGGGAGAGGCTGGGGTACTTGCCAAACCATGCGTGGGTGGTGAATGTGGGGAGAGGAACGTCGATTGACGAGGATGCGTTGTTCGAGGCTTTGGAAGGGGAACAGATTGGGGGAGCGGCGTTGGATGTGTTTGAGACTGAACCGTTACCAGAGGGCAACAAATTGTATGGTGCCAAGAATTTGATTCTGTCGCCACATGCTGCTGGTGGGCGGCCACAGGGTGCTGAGGAGTTGATTGTGGAGAACCTGAGGAAATTCTTGGGAGGTCAGGAGTTGAAGAATATTATCTGAGGTCTGAAGGGGTGTTGATATGATGTAGAATCCTCGTGTTCATCGCCATGAATTCAAGACAGATCATACATATAATATACCTTGTCTTATCGGGATGACCCCACTATTGATGTGACAAAAACACCCACGTAGGTATCGACTAAGTTCTGCAAGCCATCATCTTCTGTCCCAAAAGCTTGAAAAGTTACTATGGAGTCGAATAACCCACCACCTTTCAGTCCTTTTCTCACATGCTGCGACGACATTTTGCATCCGGTTCTCGACTATCTTGACCGATGTGACTTGCATGCGGTCTGCCTCACACATCCGCGCCTGCTTGGTCTGGCACAGTCCTATCTGTACGCCAAAATACGCCTTGATGACAGGGAAAAGATAGCAAGGTTTGGGGAAGACAAGCCGCCCGCACCGTCTTACTCTTACGGACTGTGGTGTCAAGACCGGATCTTGCCCTCTACATACGCTCCCTCGACTATGAGCGTTTCGACGGGTGGATCGGTGAGGGACCTCTTGAGGTCATACTCGATTTTGTGCAAAGCCGTTGGAGGCATATGCCTTGGTACAGGGAGTGGATTCAAAAGGAGCCCGATGGGTTGACGGATGCCCATCTGGCCCTCCTTCTCACGCTTCTACCGCGCCTCGAGCATCTAAGCCTCTACAATAACTTTGAGAGGGACAGCGTATGCATAAGCCTTGTGCAAACTGTGCTCTGCAGTCCAGAACTGGTCCAAGCCGACGAAAAGATATTGCAACATCTCAAGACCGTTACTCTCCTACATGTCCATGATGAACCTCACGTGCGGCACACTGAGGACGTCCTCCCATTCTTTTACCTCCCGTCGCTGACAAGCCTCGAGGTTTACCTGGACAACCCCACCAGAGGAGCAAACCCAAGTCCGCATCTGGTATGGCCCACGGTCGCACCGCCATCAACACCGATCACCTGTCTCAAAATACGGTCATTCAGAGAGCTTCACCTACCCGAGTTGCTTGCCGCCACACCTCGCCTGAAAACACTCTGGTGTGAATGGGAATTCGACCCGTACCTTCATGATGAGTGGCCAAGGGAGGCTGAGCACAACACGCCTGTTTTTGACCTGAATATCGCGATGAATGCCCTACTGCAAGTCAGAGATAAATTGACCGAGCTCAACATTGGGGCTTCCAACGGTAGCGTGGACGGATGGCCTGGCACTGGCCCGGTCCCAACCAAGGTCGTGGGTGCAATGGCGCTTGGGGCCTTCGACCAACTCAAGACTCTTGCCATTCCACTCGCGTTTTTGGTTTGGGTTGAAAGCACCCGAGATTGCCAAAGGAGCCGAAATCTTGGGTACCTGTCTCCCATTCAATCTCGAAACGTTGGCGCCGGGGGGGTGATCTATTGGTGGGCTAGGGCGGTGTATACGATCACTGGCCGGGGATGTCCTGGGACCAGAGAGCCCTCATGCGCATCATTATTCGTTGGCTGTCAACAGTGTCAGAAACCCAACCAAAATTCCGAAAGCTTCTCCTCCATTTGGGGCACTCCGAAACACCGGAAGATCTTCCCTTCGATGATGCTTGATCCGAGTCAACACAGATGGGATGGGAGCTCAAGAGCTTGGCTAGTCGACAAGGTATTGACACCAAGTTTGTCTATGTCGATAGAGATGCATACGAATTCGTGCATGATACTTGGGCTGATGAGGAAGATGGACACTTCGTTTCAGTTTCAGGATCCGATACGGAGAGCGAACTGTGAAGATTTTGAACCGAATATCGGCTCAGGAGTAGGGGTGAAGTGTAACGGGGTGGTGGCTGATCCGTCTACATTGGAGAGGATCATATCGCGGCTTGTTGATACGGGTGGGACGTGGACAAGAAGGGCGACGGAGAATGGGGGACAATGAGGTTCGATGTCACGAGCCTGTCCCTTTTACTTGCTTGGCACATTTCCCCGTGAAGGAAGGGATGCAGAGAATCAACTTTCAGTTCAGGAAACTTTGAAGGGGGGTGGATCAAAGAGCTTCTGCCTGCAGAGCCTGATTACAGTGTTGAGTAGCATGGCATACTACGACCAGATGGGATAGTTTGATAAATACACCATGTCGGAGCAGTCCTTTGGGTTGGCCGGTGTTGATGGAAAGTTACAAATTGTGGCTACGGGAAGAGATACGACAGGGTGTTGGGTCACAGTCTCGGAGAGCGACGAGGCGTGGAATATTGGGGCAGCCGCGGCTACCAGGCAACTTCTCGACAAGTATGTGGCCGTAGATCCCTAGACGTCGTCCAAACAAACACTTGGATACTGGCGTTTTATCAAGCATGTTTCTTATTGTATCACTCTCCCTAGCACGCCTGTCTGGAAGGCTCGGCGGCTCGATGCCGAACTCATGGTCGAGAATGAGTACCTGCCGAGACTGTGGCAATCGCACTTAATACCTTCACTAGGGCACCTACCAGTGGCGAACTTGGGTATAGGGGTAAAGCTGTCGCTGGGGGTCGAGGCGCTGAGACGGTAGAAGGTATATCAGCAGAGGGACATTATACAGCACACCTTTGATGGGCAGTGTGAAGGTGCAGGAAAATGGGTGTCAGTAGGTATCATTTGAAGAGATTCACCCCCTTACTTGCGGATAGATCTCCGATAATGGCAGATTCAGGGTCACGGCGTTGATTCATGATCCCTTCGCCATCTGCTCAACTCGTTACTTACGTCGGCAGTTGGTTCGGTTTTTTGCTCGGCGCGGATGCGGTCCAGAATCACACAATTACCGAGTTCGCCACAGGAGTCTTATGTCCACCTTTACCTTCCTTACCCATCAAGACAGCAAGATTGAACCACTGGTATCACTTCAGTAAAAGGATATCGAGGGCCCAATGTTGTTATGTCACACAATATCTTCAATTGTGTCAAGATCTTCACGCCTTTGATGCGGATTTTGTTTTCTCTGACACTGACACTATGCCTGGCTAGGTAAAGTGAGCAAATCCTTCGCCAGTCGCCTCAGTCCACCAGTCGGCCGATGCCGATCAGTGGCCCACCAATGAAGCCTTAGCTGGGTACCCCACGAAACAAACGACGGCTTCTTCAATGGATGCTGGTATTCTGACATCAAAATATACGAAATATTTACCTAAGCACCTAAGGTACCTAGATACTCCGTGGCTATGAGAGAATTGCAAGGTAGTGTGGCCATGGTGCATTTCCCGCACATGCATCCATACCTACCTAGGTATATGCATGGGCCGAACCCAGCTCGAATGCAAGTTGCATAACAGCCATCCTCCCATTTCTGCGCGCAATGAACAACTTGAGAGGAATTTCTGTTAGCGTTTCTCCACCTATCTTCCCTCCCACACCAAGACCTGAGACTAGACCGAACCGGCTTGCGGGGAGCTGCCCCCCCGGCCCCGTCCCCCGGCTTTAGGTAGGGTCCTGGGGATGTCGAGTCCACCCTAAAAACGAATGATCAAATCAAAAGGTGCGAACAATGGATTAGCGTGGGGTGAGGAAACTGAAGCAGAAGAAAATATGTTACGAATGGGAACTAGCCTCTTATGCAGTTGATCGACAGGAGTCCAATGCAACCTGCGCACCTCACGATGCCCATCAAATCCCTTGCCCATCCCCAAAAAGCAAAACTTCCCTTGACACTCAAAAACGCCGCGACCATGTTTTTGTGCCGCCCAGAATCCTCAAAACCTGGAGTCTCTCATTATTCTCTTCCCCAGGTTTTCTGAAATCGCGTCACCACTTCCCAGTCATGGCAGATTCCGATGATTCCAAGTCCGTCCTGCCCGGCATCCCGGGTTACGACCCTGACAACCTGCAGCCATGGACTCTCGCTACCGTCGTGTCGGTCACGGTTCTTTCCACCGTCTCAGTCCTCCTGCGCCTCTGGGCTCGATATATCAAGGCCCAAAAGCTGTGGTGGGATGATTGGATGATTGTATTTTCTCAGGTTTGTGCCAGCGCCGCTCATGTCTTGTACAATTTCTAACAAGGCCCGGCTGGCAGTTATGGAACTTTGTCACGGTTGGCTTCATCTTTGCCATGTATTCGGCCGGCATGGGCATTCACGCCGACAAAGTGCCCATGGAAAAGATTGTCCTCATGGCCAAGTTCCTCGTCGTCGCCGAGATTTTATACGCCTTCAACCTCGTCTTCACCAAGATGGCCATTCTCTTCATGTACTACCGCATCTTTCGCTTCCCTTTCTTCAAGAAGATGGCCTGGGGCATCAGCGCCTTCATTATTGCCTGGGTCATCACCATCACCTTCCTCTTCATCTTCATCTGCGTTCCTGTCGAAAAGCTGTGGTATCCGCACCTGCCAGGCCGCTGCATCAACCAGGTTGGGACGTGGATCGCCAACGCCATCTCCACCATCGTGTCTGACATTGCCATTCTCGTGCTGCCTATCCCTCAGGTGTGGAAGCTGCAGCTGCGGCAGTCTGAAAAGATTGGTGTGACGGTGGCTTTCTGCTTGGGTTTCTTGTGAGTTTTCCAGCCCTCCGCTTGCCAGGCTTCCCGTGCCATTCCCTAACCTCAATCTCAAACCCAGCGTCGTTTTTGCCTCGGCGTACCGAACCACGGTGCTTTTCACCTACACCAACGACGACCCATCGTACTCCCTCGCACCGACTGTCGGCTGGACCGCCATCGAAATGTCTGCAGGCATCATCTCGGCAAACCTGCCCACCCTCGCCCCCATCATGAGCCTGATCTTGACAAGGATGGGCATCTCGGGATCCCTCATCACAGGCGGCAGCGGCAGCGGAAGCAAGAACGGCTTTTCCTCCAAGAACAACTTCGGCGGCACTGGTGGAGGCAACATGAAGTCGACGGGGTCAGTCAGCGACCGGACTGAGTCTGGTGGCGAGCTGCGAAAAGACGGCGACAGAGCCTTTTACCGTCTGCCCGACGACTCAAATATCAGCGAGACGGCACTCGATACTGGAAGGACGGCGACGCTCACCCGCGACGATACTGGGTTGCGGCCGGATCATGGCTATGCTTATACGGTAACGAGCCGACCAGGGAAACAGGGGGACAGTGAGAGCATGAGTGGAGACGAGGTTCCCTTGAAGGGAATCAGGGTGCACACGGACTTCAAGCAGTCAGCAGACTAACCACGTCATGATGGTGCAACGGGGCATTCCGCAAATTTGGGAGAGTACCTAGTGTTTTGTTCAGCGAGTTTTGGTTAACGAGTTCCATTGGATTCTTTTTCTTTTCATTCCTTTTGTCTCTTTAGATACCATTTTACTACTTTCTAGACGTACATACCTGCATCCGGGGCATATTCTGGGCGTTCGGACGCAATGCATGCCACCTACTACATGATCTTAGCTTAATTCAAGATATTTCCAACGCATCTGTTGCGTTGCTAACCTCTACGTCCATGGCCGCACTGTGCACTCGACATTGCCTACCTACCTTGGATGCCCAGTCATGGTTATGATCTTCATGGACTTTGTGTCAAGCCTGGCGTGTAAGCGCTAAAGCCCCTGAAGCACCCTACCACGGCGGTCTTGGCGATGTGCTCGGGCGGCACTGTCAGCGCTGCTGTGGCCGGGGAGCAACGCTTATTTTGACTCACCCGGCCTGTTGGCGCCTGCCGTCCTCACTGTCCTCGCCGAATGAGGTGGCCCGGGGTCGGGGCACCCATCACACGCATCACGTCTCTGTAGATAGGTCCTAGATGGATAAATCATAAGAATCCCACCTCCTCTCCTTCTTCTTTCTTCTCTTGCTTCGTTTTATCCCAACGTCCACAATGGCTACCGTCCACAACACTGCCACGCCTGCAGCGGCGGCGGCAGCCACCGACAACAACAACAACAACAACACCAACAGCCTCGAATATGACCTCCTAATCATCACCGACGCCACAGCCTCCATGACCACCTTCCTTGTCTCCCTCCACTCCTCCCTCCAGTCCATCGTCCGCATCTCCACCCTCACCGGCGCCTTCTCCCGCATCGGGGTGCTCGCCTACCGCGACCACGACTGCGTCGAGTGGTCGGCCGAGAAACATGCCTACGTCAACGACCACGTGAGGGTCACCGAGTTCAGTGGGTGGTTCGGCCAAGACCAGGACAAGAAAGACCTCCTCGGGTGGGTTCAACGTCTAAAGGTCCAAGGGGGCTACTCCACGCCGGAGGCGGGCAAGACGGGGGCGCACTGGGCGTGCGAAGTCATGGGGAGAGATGCCAAGGAAGGGGTCAAGAGGGAGACGGTGGTGATTTGGTATGCGGATGAGTCGCCCCACTTGAGGATATTGGATAACAAGGCTTGGGAGCTGGAGCAGGCGGCGTTGGGGAAGGTGGAGGGCGGGGAGAAGTTCAAGGATTGGGTCTCGGCTTGTGAGCAACTCAGGCGTAGCGGGGCGCAGGTGTTTTGTGTGACGGCGAGGACGTTCAAGAACAAGTGCAGGGTGGATCAGAGCCGGGCTGGGCTGGGGGTGGCGGCCATGTATTCGTTCTTGTCGCAGGTCACGGGTGGGAGGTGCTTCAGTTTTGACACTTTGTCGCCCAGGGCGGAAGATATCTCGCAGCTGACGGTGGGAATTTTGCTTGGTTGGCTGGGTGCTGTCACGGAGAAGAAGGGGCAGGGGGGTGATCGGAAGCTGGCCTACTTGAACCAGTATGGGACGCTGAAGGGCATCGAGACGGTGGAGTCTGAGACGGATATCAACGGAAACAGGTGGCTTCCTGTTTCCGCGAACAAGGACGTTACCGAGGCTCTCAGGTGCAATCTCACGAATGCCTGGGTCAATGAGAGCGACATCGCCAAGATTGTCGATGTCCGGAACGGTGGAGCGGTCCAGGACTTTGCAAAGAGATACATGGATGACGAAGAATACCGGACCCTGGTGTGTGCTCAGCTGCGGGAGATCATCGAGACAGATGTGACCGTCATGGCCCTCAATCCTGTGTTCGGCACTCTATGGAGATCAGTCTGCAACGACCGGTCCAACCCCGTCAGAGACGGACTTATCACCAAGTTTGGGTTCCACGTTGATAGGATACCCGACGCCGAGCAAAAGTCGCGGATGAAGAACTGGCTGGAGGAGTCGTACGACATGAAGGGCGAAATTGTCAGCATCATCAGAGAAGTTGGAGATGGTGAAAAGTACCCCTGCGTGTTTCTCGATCCAACGCTCAGGTTCGCTGGCAAGAACGAGAACGACGACGACAGCCGAGATATGGTCTTTACTCGGGACGAGCTACTCGAGATTGGTCGATCTTGCGATTACAGGATTCTGCGCCGACTTGGAAAGGTCCTGACCCGGCTCACGTTTGTGGCTTCCAAAGACGACCTCCCAGCCCATGTTCAAGATCTGGGCGAAGCTGAGCTCCCCCGGATTCCGCTCGCTTTGGCCAAGGCGGAGCGCAAGAGGATGTTTTGGAGAATTTTGCTGCATACTGTGCTGCCTGGTACCATGCTGGCCCTCCGTCCGGCCGCCCTGGTCGCTGCTCTCACATTGAGGATGGGGATCAAGGCACTGGAAGACGCAGCATTTACTGAGCTCTCCCTCATGAAGGACAACTGGAACACTCTTGATATTCCCGAGACGTGGAACTCCAACTGTCTTAACCTTTTGCTCGAGGCCAACAAGAAGCGCCCAGGTGCAGTCCTCAGCAAGGAGGATGCCGAACTCTTTGAGGGTTTGGTGAGCTACAAGCTTCTGGAGATGAATCTCGACACCATCGTTCCTACCAAAATAGGATGGACGCCCGAGAAGGCACGCGCTCACATGGGCCCTGTGGCTGTCTGCAAGTCTTGCCAGTTTCCTCGCTCCGTCACCATCATGGGCAACGAGGGAATCTGTGGTCTGTGCCACAGCGCCAGGGAAGATACCGACAGGGGACGCGCCCATCGAATGGTACACGATAACATCTCCAAGGACGACAATGGCGCCACCGAGATCAGCTGGGTGGAGTGTTCCATGAACGACTGCCGGGCTCAGTATGTGGTCTACTTCCCCAACCAGCTCAACGTACGGCCTAAATGCTGGTTCTGTCGGCAGAGGAGCTTTGTCTCGAAGTCAGATTCCAAGTACGACCAACTGACCACTGCGCCGTGCGTCAGCTGTTCGATTTGTGCCAACAGGGTGATATGGCCTGCCGAGTACCGGCCTGAAGGCTTCGATGAGAGCTCATTCATCTGCGCTCCCTGCGAAGGTGGCAAGAAGAATCGTATCGAGGAGGAGGAGCTCAGCATTCGGACGCTCGCCAACGAGAACGGCAAGGATTGGCTCGTCAAGAATGACGACGATATGATCCCGGCAAACGTCGTCTTCGGCGGCAGGTCGGTGTTCTTTATCGTTTCCAATTTGGCCCACGGAAGAGAGCACTTTGCGGACAAGGTGCAGGTCTTACCCGCTTCTGACAAGGTGGCTTTGAAGGCCCGAGGCAAGAAGGTGCACAATGTTGATGAGCTTGTCAAGGCCGTGAAGGGATGGGTCGACTCGCGCCGGGTCCAGGCTGGAACTTGCTCTCTCTGCTTCAGCGACCACAGGAAGAAGGATCTCCGTTTGGCCTGTGGTCGGAAGGGATGTGGCGAGCTGATCTGCGGCGATTGTGCTGACTCGTGGTACGGCATCAATCGAGTCGGCAAGATCATCAACGTCGCTGCTCTCAGCTGCCCGTTCTGCCGCAGACAGCCTTCGACGAAGGTCAAGTTGCCGGAGGGTGTGAGATACTTGGAGGGGCTAAAGAATGCAGTCGAGGAGGCCGGCAGCTGGATCTTCGCCTGGTGTTCCTCCTGCAGCTCAGCCAAGAGGTACATGGAAAGGGTTTGTGCCGCCGGAGCACCAGTCGACGTCGAGAACTGGAAGTGCGAGGACTGCACACTCACAGCCGAAGTGTTTGACTTCAAGCCATGTCCAGGGTGTGGTGTAGGAACACAAAAGACTTCTGGATGTGATCACATGACGTGTATTGTCAGTGGTTGCAACACGCATTGGTGCTTCAAGTGTGGCGAGGAGGTGGATCGCCATGAGATTTACAACCACATGTCGGAGGAGCACGGCGGATGGTACAATGGAAGGGAATATGAGGATTACGACGATGAGGAAGACGATGAGGTTATGGAGGATGTTGTGGAGAGGGTAGCAGCGGTTGCCATAGTTTGAGGGTTTTGTATTTCGCTTTTTTTGTACCGTATGATGCATGCTTTACTGAGCCGATAGCGTTGAAAATTTATGTCTTGTTTTGATTCAACCAATACTCAGGTGCGTCTTAAATAAAATCATAGGTAAGGTATGCACTAAACCCATCATTTGAGGGGTCCTAACCACCTTATCTTTCAAACCCTTAAAACTATATCTCAAGGCTTTCCAATTTATCCTTTAGGATAGGTATATAATGAATGTTTGATATCTCTAAACTGTCCCTAGCATGGCTAATAGGGAGGCAGGATATCCAGTATGGAGCAGTTAGCGAGTAGCTTGGGAAGTATAAACAGCGATCATTTGAGGCAGTTGTTGCGCTCTCCCTTGTTTTTCTGGCGCTAAAGTCACATTGTGCAGTCTTGTGTCCATCATGAAGGAAAGTACACCCGTTTCGGGCTTGAGTAGCTATGCGGGCGTGGCAATGGGTAACCTCGCACATCGTGGCGAGCCCGCATTCAACATCTTTCCCCAATCCTGTTACCTTCAACTCCTAGCACCTACATTAATAATTCCGCCCGAATTCTGAAAACCACCAAACATCGGACATTCTACCTTGTCCCACCAGACAAGACAAACCGCCAACCATGAACCTCCTCCTGCTCCTTCTCATCCCCGCGACAGTTGCCCTCTCCACCGCCAGCACCTTCCCCCCAACTCCCACCTCCACCCCAAACACCACGCCCATCCCCCGCCCCCTCCGCTACGAAATCGGCTGCAAGGACACCATCCTCGACATCCCCTCCATGATAGTCGCCGCCCGCTCCCTAATAGGCTACTGCCGCGGCATCGTGACCCCCTGGACCAAAGTGTCGTGGGTCTACAACAACACCCGCGCTTACATCTGTGATTCAGACCAGCGGCGCCCCCAGGGCTGCCTCTGGGACCAAGTCTATGACGCCTGGGTCGACATCGGAGTAAATTGTGGATTCGGCAGGGCAGGCTTCACCTACGAGCAGCAGTACGAGAAGACGTGGGGGTTCGATGACGTGAATGCAAAGTGGTGTGGGACGATTGATCCGTACTAAGTGAGCTTGGTTGGGTGGATGGTGGTTATTACATGGTTTGGTAAAACTGTTAGACTCGTTTATAGTTACAAAAAGAATGGGACCTCCCTCATCAATTCATCACCTGTCATGCCAACCCCCTCCCCTAACGCCATCTATCTAGTATGTACTATTATCCTACAACTCCTCGTGTAGCGTAGTCAGTTCCCCTTGAACACCTCCTTCAGATACACACAGCACTCCTTGTACAATTCCTCCGAGCCCGCCGCCGGCTTGGTCGGGTCAGGCGATTTATCCCACGCATGCGGCACCCCAGGGATCATCTTGTGCTTGACCGTCTTGTTTATCGGCGCTCTCCCCAGTCTCTTGGCCAATTCCTCCCCTTCATACTGGAGCATATCCCACTCGCACGTGTAGAAAATAACCGTTTCGGGAATCGCCTCCTTCAACAGTGTGTCGGAAGCCTTGGTAGGCGATAATATCGGACTGGCGAGGCTAACTCCAGAAGGGTAGAGATACGAGGCGTCAAACAGCGACGTGAGGTTCGCAGGAAGGGTTTGGTCCGGCCGCACACATCTCGCGCGCTTGACCTCGCGGGACTCGGTGTAATCGCAGATGGGGTACCAGGTCGCGATGGCGCGGATGTTATGCGGCGGGACTGGCGCGGACAGAGTCTTGAGGTGCTCAGACAAGCAAATGGTAGATGTTATGGCGATGTTTCCACCGGCCGAGAAGCCAGATGTGGCGAGCTTGTGAGGGTCAATGTATAGCTCTGGGCCGTGACGGATGAGGTAGAGAAGGGCGTCGGCGCCGTCTTGGACTGCTACCGGGAAGGGGTACTCTGGGCTGAGACGATACTCGACTGATACATAGACAGCCTTGCATTCTTCGAGGACAAAGCGGGCGAAGCGGGCGTCGTCGGTGGGGGCGCCGATGGTGAAGCCTCCGCCGTGGAAATTGATAACGGCGGGGAAGAGCTGGTTGGTCTTTTTTCGCTTGTCATACCCTTCAGGGGTGTAAAAATGAAGGGTCAAGTTGCCCTTCTTGTCGGAGATGGTAGAGGGAATGGTATGTGTAAAGGCCGGGCTTGGAGGCTTCGGGTTGGCCAGGAAGTGCAGTGACATGCCAATGTACTGCAGCGACCTCCACCAATTAGCCGATATTTTGAGCCAGGTGCGGGACGGGGGCGATCCAACGGCATCTTTGGCGGTTTCTAACGGTTTTTTGTCCTCCTCGGTCGGTTGGGGTGTCTGGGCCGGTGTGCCGATGAGGTTGATGTTGGGGATGGGAATGCCGTCGACGGTGGGGATCTTGGACATGGTGGATGGATGTCGTTGATATGGATGACAGGGGTCAATGGTTCGGGACAGCTTTGACAGCTCTTGGCGCGCTGGATAGCACAAGTGTGGGTTTCATCAGTTGCTAATTACTGAAACAATGGGAGAAAACAGTCAATGACAGCTCGATGATAAATTATGGGAGTAGCAAAAAGCAGTGCCGCTGAAGGGCGTCAGCTATCAAGCCTCAAACAGCACTGACAACAGCTAGCTGCCTAGCCAAGAGCTGTTGATGTCATTCCAGAAATCCGGGGTCCATGTAAATGCATATCCATAATTGGCTGGGCCTTCTGTGCAAATGGCGGGGCACCGTTGACACCTCCCAGCCTCCAGCCTTGGCAAATCATGTGACTCGGATTGCTGTTGTGTTTCAGCTCAAAAAACAAATGCTAAACTGCGCTCTGACGTCACTGAATAGATGATGTCATCGGTGCTAGCCCCTGGGCCTCATCTTCACATGGAAGAGTGCATGAACACCGGGCAACTTGCTCCGCTGGTGGTACCCAGGAAGCCACTCACCCACTCAAATCGTGGTGTTTGGCGTCGGCGGGGAATCGATGACACATAGCCCGCAGAAATAAGGAAGGAGAGTGGCTGTCGTGCCCAAGAGAAAGGCATGCTGATTGTTTTCGCGAAACAAACAGCGGTCCAGGCACGAACTGGGAAAGACAAAGCGTGCCGAACTCCGTCCGAAAAGCTTGATGGGAATAAACCATCCCTATTCTTAGTGCTTAAACAGGTATTCCCGCCCTGGCAGCTTCAGGAACCTTCGTACCTAAAAGCAGGTACACAACACGCACGACCACCACAACCACAACCACCCCGATCCGTATTTAATCCTCGATTGTTGGTCTCTTTTCGTTTTGACTTTCTCCACCTACTGCCTACTTGACAAAAGTACGCTACCTATACTAGTGCTTGACCATCAAGAGCAGCTTGCACCGCTGACGTCAAGCTGTTAGGCTTGACAAAAGCACATCACATCCCCATCTTGTGGAACCCAACCTCATCCCCCATTTCTCACTTCTCCGGAGCATACCCAACCCAGCTGCATCTACCCCGCGCGCGTCTGAAGATCTCGACAATCACCCGCCTTGGCCGTCCAACATGTCGCCAGGCAGCTTCAAAAAGCCTCTCTTGGCTCTGAATCGCATCATCGGCCACCAGTCGGCAAAGAATCACATGACCAAGCCCAAAATTGGCAACATTGCTGCTCTCGACAGTGAACGCGAGGAGAAGAAATTGAAGAAGGCCCTTGAGCAACGCGTCAAGCAAGACGAAAAGGAGGAGGAGCGACGGTCTTTTCAACAGCGCCGCAAAGAGGAGGAAGAACGCGCCCTTTCTACCGACCCCCCTGAGATTGCGGCGCGATATGGCACCAAGACTAGCGATGTTCTGGTGGAAACCGACTCCGTGCAGCGCCTTGCCGCCAACCCCGATAATGCCGGCAAACAGATCGAGTTCATCGCGAGAATACACCACACACGTTCCCTCAGCTCCAAGCTAGCCTTCATTGTGTTCCGCGAACAGATTGAGACGATACAAGGTGTGGTAGCCTACAAGGAGGGCCACATCACCGAAAACTTTGTTCGATGGGCCGAGCATCTGATGACTGAGAGTCATGTCCACGTCAAGGGCACACTGCAGAGGCCACCAGAGGAGGTCAAGGGGTGCTCCATTCACGACCTCGAGGTGCTTGTTGAGAGCATGCACCTGGTTGTTCCTGTGAAGGAACACTTGCCAGTCGATGTCTTCTCCATCGACCTTGTTGAGATGGACGAGGAGTCTCACCAGCTCGAATCCTTGGCCTCCACCAGAGTCAGAGTAGCCAACCGTCTCGCCTACCTCAGAACACCTACCGCCCAGTCCATCTTCCGCATCAACAGCGGCATCTGCAGCATCTTCCGTTCGGTGCTCGAGGGCCATGGCTTCATTGAGATTCACACACCCAAGCTCATGCCTGCCGCCACAGAGTCGGGCGCTGAGGTCTTCAAGGTTAACTATTTTGGACGCACTGCCTTCCTGGCCCAGAGCCCGCAGCTCTCCAAGCAGCTGAGCATCTCGGCAGACTTTGGCCGCGTGTTTGAGATTGGCCCCGTGTTCCGTGCCGAAGACAGCAACACGCATCGCCATCTGACGGAGTACACTGGGTTGGATTTGGAGATGGCCATCAACAGTGACTACCACGAAGCCTTGAACATTATCGACGACATGATGAAGAGCATCTTCAAGGGTATCTACACGCGTTTCCGCAGAGAGATCGAGATCATCAAGACTAGGTTCCCCCATGAGGATCTCGTCTGGCTGGAGAAGACCCCAGTTTTTACCTTCAAGGAGGCCATCGCTTTGTTGAACGAGTCCGGCTGGACCGACGACCATGGAAAGCCGGCTTCCGAGCTTGAAGACCTCAGCACGCGCGCTGAGATCCGTCTTGGCGAGGTCATCAAGAAGAAGTATAATACCGACTATTACATCATCGACAAGTTCCCTGCTTCTGTCCGCCCCTTTTACACCCATCCCGACGAAGAGGACCCGCGGTTCACCAACTCATTCGACATATTCCTGCGCGGTCAGGAGATTACGACCGGTGGACAGCGCATCCACAAGCCGGATGTCCTCGTCGAGCGCATGAAGAAGGCGGGCATTGAGCCATTTGGCATGCAGGAGTACCTCCAGGGCTTCGAGTATGGCGTGCTCCCTCACGCAGGCTGCGGTATCGGTCTTGAGCGCATCATCTTCCTGATGCTCAGCCTGGGCGACATCCGCAACGCCTCGCTCTTCCCCCGCGATCCCAAGTCACTTCCTGAGCAAAAGGCTGAAGTTGTGCGCCTTCCTCACCCCGAAGCCGACACGATCCGCTACGCTTACGACTTCGAGCACGGCTACCCCAACCTCGAGATGCCCACGGTTGAGAAGCTTATTGCCAATTATGGTGATGCCACGAACACGTCCTGGCTTGATGATCGGTACCACGTCTGGCGGCACGAGCCCACGGGAGCCGCAATTGGCTACGCTGAAGAGAACGGCTACGCTCTCGTGATGGGTAATCCCCTGTGTGACCCACATCAGTACAACATTGTCATTCGTGACTTTTTGAAGCACATGCGCTCGCAAAAGGACCTTCGACCCCTGTGGCTATTGGTTTCTGCGGAAATTGAAGAGATCCTTGGGTCGAAGCTCGGCTGGCGCACGTTGAGCTGCGTGGCCGAAGAGCGTGTCACCATCGCCGATGCGAAGAAGGTGGCCAAGAAGGAGCGCCAGGCAGAAGACGCCGGTGTCATCATCAAGGAGCAGCCCATCGACGAGCCCGTCCCCGAGGAGCTGCGCAAGAGGATCGACAAGAGGATTGAAGACTGGAAGGCCGGCCGTACGGGTAGACAGGTTCACATCACCGAGGTCAGACCCTGGGTCGACATGGAGCACAGGCGCTATCTCTGGGCCGAGACCAAAGAAGGGGAGATTGCAGCCTTCTGCGTGCTCCATAAGCTGTCGCCGCAGAACGGGTACCAGATCAAGTTTGCTCTGGACTTCCCCGACTCCCCCAACGGCACGATCGAGGCGCTCATCTCGGCCTCGATCCAAATGTTGGCCAAGGCCGGCATTCAGCATGTCACGTTTGGCGCGGGAGCCCTGCCCGAGATGGTCACGGGCGGAAACCTGGATGGCATCCGGGCCAAGATCCTGAGCAAGACTTACAGGACGGTTGCGCAGCAGCTGAGACTGGTGCAGAAGAGCGAGTTCAGAGAAAAGTTTGGTACGAAGAACGACTTGGTGTATATTTGCTATCCCTTTATGGGGCTGGGTGTCAGTGGGACGAGAACTTTGATCAAGTTCTTTGAGGATGAGATGTAATTCTGTGTTTTAGCACAGCCGTTCTTGTGGGAACTGGATGAGGGTGGAAAAGGGGTTTCATTCTAGCATATCTTTTTTCATGATACCAACTCTGTTTAGCCCTGTTTTTTGGTCGAGTTTCTTTTGTTTGGACTGCGAGATGGCGGGGAGTACATAGAGGGTAGACCTTTGCGTGTGGAGGAAATGGGTTAATAGCTCTTGATACCAGAATGTTGTATCCTCGAACAGTTTATACCCTTTTTGCAATTCTTGATGCTGCCAGATTGAGACCCAGTGTTATTTTCTTGGGAATGAGGCACTGAATGAGACGAAGTGAAGGAGGTGAAGTCTTCGGTTTCTTAGATGTTTCGCTCGTCAACAGACGACATCGCGTCATGAGCACAAGATCGTCAAGAAAATTCAACCAAGGTTAAGGCGCGATGGCAGAGTGGTCTAATGCGTGAGACTCGAAATCTCATCTCTTCGGAGGCGTCGGTTCAAATCCGGCTCGCGTCGTTCTTTTGTCATTTTTGACCATGCGTGATGCTCGCCATTCATCATAGGAAACCAATTACTCATTTTCTTCCAAAAACACCCGGGGTTGCCGTTTTTTGTCCGAGTGGTCGACTGTGGTCAGTTTCTTTCTTGTCTCTGCGGGAGTCTGGGGGTCATCTAATCCCGATGGTGCAGTTTGAGGGTTGGGGTTAGAGCTGCATTGATCGACATGCAAGGGTCCGATTGAGTTCGGCAGGTGGGGCGGCGGGCTGACAATGACATCATAGCCTGACGCAAGTCCACGACGTCTGCCGAGACTGTTCCTACCAAAACAAATGGTCGTTGCACCGCCAAATGGACGTCATTCGGCCTGTTTGCATAGACCCAACAATGCCAAAAGCCTCTGGCTATGATGAGCCGCCTGGTCTTTCTTTCCTGCAGATCGTCCTGCGGCGTCACCACAGCGAGTCGTCCCTTTTTTCTTCCTCCTGCTCCGGCCTACCATCATCATGGCCATGGTTTCCCCTGATCTATTCCCACTGTCTTCTCTATTGTCTGCTTTTTACAACTCTTCAGATTTGAAGCATATTTGATACTCACGACGAAAAAAAAAAACCAACACAAAACACCCAGCATGGCAGAAGACACCCATCTGCCCTACCCAACCACCACCACCGCATCGACAGCCACGAGCAACCTGAAGAATGACCCGCCAACAGGGCTAAACTCATCCTCCACCTCGACCACGGTCTGTGAGGGCGCGGTAACAGCCATGACCGAAACCCACCACGGCGTCGGCGCCCACCCCGAAGACCCCCGCGGCCTCCCCGTCGCCTCGTTCGAGGAATACCCCGGCCTGCCTCGGCTCAACTACCGCATCCTCGACTACAAGCTCAAGCTCTCCATCATCGTCGCCCTCCTCGTCATCGAGTCCTCCTTGTTACCCATCATCCTCTACTATGGAATCTCGGCGAGCACCTCGCTCCGTCCAGGCCTCGTCTTCGCCATCGTGACGTCGTTTTTCGGCATTGTTACCGGCATCGAGTTTGGTCTCCGGATGTTGAAGCTCATCCTGAAGGGCGATCAATACCGTCCACCGGGGGCAACAAAGTGGAGTTTTGATTTTACACATCACACGCTCAGTTTTGGGTACACAGTCATGTCTGGGATTTTGATAGGGGGTTCGATTCCGCATAACCCGCCGGTGAAGGTGCTGGCCATCCCGGTTAGTTTGTTTTTGATCCAGATGGGGGTTCAGCTTACGTGGGCGGGGTGGATGAATGCCACGGGAAGGAAGGCGCCGTTCAAGATTTCGAGCGTGAGCAAAGGGGAGAGGGTGCCGCCGTTGGTGCTGACGATTATTGAGGATATCGTTGGGGTCGATGGCGGGGCTGGGGTGGAGTATAGACGGGCTGTCTTTGCGAGGTATGCGGCGAGTAAGAGGTTTAGGAGGATGATTGCGGTTCAGAATTGGTTTTGGGCCGTGGGATCGTTGGTGTTTGGGGTTGGGACACTGGTGACGATCTGGTGTGTGCATTATTATATTGCCTATGGTATTGGTAAGTTTCTGTCTAAGGGGTGGGAGTCTGAGATACCCCTTAGGGGGAATGTGCTAACGATGTGTAATAGGATGGGCTACCCCGCTGGTCTTCACCATCGTCTGGACTTGGATCTCGGTTGAGTGGGTGAGACGGGATTTGAGGGAGGAGAAGAGGCTATGGAAAGAAGAGCATGGTCAGGGCGCCGAAATGCAACAGACGCAACCACCAGAGCCGGAAGTACAGCAACAGGAGACAAAGTAAAGGCAACGTATAGGTAGAACACGCATGGACTGGAGTTCAGGAGTCTGATTTGCTTTTTGGGACAGGCACCAGTGGTTTACTGATACATCGGCGAATTAGAGAAATAATATGTACAATCACAACATGAAAAGGCTTTTCAAATTTGCATATTATTCGTCGCATTCGAAATATTCATACGACCTACTGCCGCCGCTTACTTAGACCTTTGGTGCGCCATATCGGATGAGGTCCGCCGCCTGTGATAAATGTCAGTCGCGAGTTTACCATCTTTGTTTGGATAACACATACCTTTTCGGCAACAGCATACACCGTCTGGCAAGTGTTTGCCCCCGGCAGTGTCGGGATGACACTCGCATCCACGACCCTCAAGTTCTTGACGCCGTACACCTTGAGCTCCTCGTCCACCACACCACCTAGCTCCAACGGCATCATCGCACACGTCCCCGCGGGGTGATACACGCTCGGGCTCAGGGAGCTGCTCAAAAACGTCGCCAGCTGCTCGTCCGTCGTCACGCTCGCGCCGGGGGAGACCTCCCTTCCGCCCCAGTCTTTGGTCTTGGGGTTATCAAGGTAGTACTTCCTCGTGAAGCGGACAATGTCACCCATGATGGTCGCGTCCAGGGGGTTGGCCAGGGCGCGGTAGTCCACCTGCGGCTCGGTGTTGTGCGGGTTGGCCGGGTTGACATTGACCGTTCCCCTGCTCAAGGGGTGGAGGTCGACGAGCAGGCCGCTGGCGGAGCCGCCTTGGAGGACGAGGTTGTAGAAGGCTGTGTTGTTGTTGCTGAGGGCGGAGGCGTAGGAGAGCATCTGGGCGCGGTAGCCGGCTGCGACTGTCGGGTCGGATCCCGTGGGGAGGTAGGCGGCGTGGTTTTGGGCCGCGAGGTCGGCCGAGAGCTTGGCGGAGCGGGGGGAGATGACGGGGAAGGAGAGCCAGGCGGCTGAGTTGCCTGTTGCGATGGAGTTGGGGCCTGTGCGGTTGGCGGCCCAGATTTGGGAGGACCAGGTGGAGAGGGTGCGGTTTGTGCGGAGGTCGTCGGAGGAGGGGCGGGCGGATTGGGGGATGCGGGCGACTGAGGAACGGGAAAGGTTAAGGTTTGTGTTTTGATGGAGGGGGGAACAAGAGGAGAGGGGCCTTACATTGGAACGAGGCGGAGATCATGCCGTGGTCCTGGAAGTTTTGGCCGACGCCGGGGAGGTCGACGATGGTGTCTATGCCAGCTGAGGAGAGAACCTTTTTAGGACCTATCCCGCTCACTTGCAGTACCTGGGGGCTGTGGACACCACCGGCCGCCAGGATGACTTCTTTTCTGGCAGTCACTGTGGTCACCGGAGCGGCGGTGTTCCCCGGTTGGCCTCTTGCTGGTGCCGGGACGAACGAGACGCCAGTGGCTGTCGTGCCGTCAAGTACGATCTTGGTGACTTTGGACTGGGTGACCAAGTGGTAGTTGGCTCTCTTAACGTTGTCATAGTGGCCTGTCTTGGCAAAAGACCGCAGCACCGTCTTGGGATCCATAAAGGTTGGATACCAGTAGACACCCGGCACACCAGACCCGCTGTCACTGGCGATTTCAACGCCCGGTAGACCCTTGAACGCCTCCATCTGAGCCGTCGTGGCTGGGAACTGGTACGAAGGCCAACCGGCATAAACCCCTGAAGTGTTGCCCCAGAAGCTGGTGTCGTACGTAATGTTGGCTGTTCTTGTGATGTCCGCGTTGGGCGGCACAAAGTTGAGAGCCTTCTTGAAGTATGGCAGCAGGCCCTCCCAGGTCCAGTGGGAATTCTTGCCAAAGAAGGCCCCCCAGCGGTCATAGTCTTCTGCGGTCCCACGGATCGTCATCATGGCGTTGACCGCAGAGCTACCGCCCACTACCTTGCCAGCCAGGACTGATATAACACGGTTTCGTAGGTTGACCTGAGGAACAGATCGGATGTCGTACATGAACTGACTGTCGGACATTCCAGAGAATCCGCCTGCGACCGTGGTGAGCGACGCTGCCTCGCCTGTGCATCGTCAGCTTTATATTCGGTAGGACCATCTTCAATGTGGGTTGACGCACTCAGAACTCCGTACTCGATGACGAGAACCGTGGTCTTGCCATCCTCCGTCAGCCTGTCAGCCACTGTAAGACCAGCTGTACCGCCCCCAATGATCACGTAGTCGTATTCATTCTGGACTTGGCGGCCATCAAGGAAGACCTTGGAAGCGCGAAGATGTCTGCTGTACGCCGTTGGCGTCAACGTCAAAATGGCGACAAAAAGACTGGACAGCCGAGCCATGTTAGTCGTTGGAGCTCTCAAAGGTCCTCAGGACCTCCTCACCGGGCTGGGCGGCGGAGGCCTGCGCACTTTTAAGGGATTGGCATGGCATCGGTTAGACGGCCAAGTGCCGAGAGGGTCACTGCTCCGAGCGACAGGCATCGTATAGGCTGAAGAAGTCTTGGGACTGTCAGGTCATTGTTAGCAACAGCGCTGGATAAATATGCAAATGTCACCGCAAGGGGGAAACGCTGTTAAAAGTTGCCAGGTCGGGCCACAGGCGCATTCTCGGATTTATGAACTGTGCAAAGTGTCAGACGAAGCAATATCGAAGCTGGGACATGGCGGTTGTGCCTCTCGTCTGGTGTTTAGCCGCGTCCGTGGAAACACACCGACTGGTCAGTGTGTGCGGGGACCTGATATTAAGCGGAGGATAAGGTGTTGAAGCGGGAATGTGCTGATCTGCAGGTCCCAGCATGAAGCCCGGTCGGTTGCGCGCAGCCAGACGTAGGTAGGGAGGACGACTTGGTCCACTCATCGGCCGAAGTCAAGTGCGCAAAGTATTTACGGTACCTGGGTAGAGGAGAAGTGGGCTTGGACTTTTCTGGCGTTAAACCTTCGAGTTTATGGACCGCCATCTCGTGACAAAAACTGCTACAGAGTCTCATGCGCTCGCCATGAACCCAAAGATGACAGCCAGCCCCAAAACCGGCCCAGTCACCACATTCACCCTCGTCCCTCTATTCTCAACCGCGACAGCAGCATCAGTGACAATATCTGGCCCCGTCACCACTCCTTCTTCCTTCACCCCGCCAGACATGGAGAAAGTGCTCCCGATCTCTCCCCATCTCACATTCGAAAACGTAACCGAGACATCTGGGACCTGTGCCCTAATCAGTGCCGGATCGCCCTCAGTGGCATTACAAGGCCCGTTACTTGGCAGCCCATCAAGCCAGCTCATGAAGTCCCCTTCCGAGTTCCAGAGGCTGAAAACCAAGACCATGCCCCGCGCCAGAGCCTCCCCCATCCCTTTCATGCCGCCAAGTCGGAGGTAGTCAGATGAGTTCTTGGCTGCGCAGAAATCCTCTGTGATAGAGCCCTCGTATGAAATCCCGTCAAATCTCGAGTCAGTCGTCTCGGCTGTGTTGGGGGTAACCTGTCCGTTCTGAATGTAAAGTCTTTTAATCTCACTCAGCTCACCCGCGTCGTTGGTGAGAAATTGGGTGACGATGGTGAACGGGTTTGAACTGTCGATGTCCAGTCCCAGGCCATAGAAAGAAGGGCTCCCGAGGTTGAAGGTGTTGAGCCCGCAGCCGTCTTTGTCGCAGACTCCTGGGGCTCCCTTGCCGCACTCTGCCTCGCTGGAGCAGAGGAATGACCCAGGAGAGGAACAGGTATGGGGAGTAAACGAGTTGGCGCGGGAGTTGGCCTCCCAGATATCCATTTCGTTGCAGCAAGCGCCGGAGGAGTTGAGGTTGGGCTTTTTGATCACAGATCACAAAACCTCGGATTAGTTCTCCACAACAGCAGATTGCCTATCGCAAGCACGTAGACTTACCAGCCCGTTGATCCACGGCGCAGTCCTAAAACACTGCGCATCACAATACCCCGTCCCGTACCCCGCCCCAGCAGGGTTGCTCTCCGACCTGCTCCCGCTCAGGTCCATCTCGGACAGATACACGGCGCTGTTCATCCCGCAGGGCAGTCCCGAAACATCGACATCTACAGCCAACTCCTGGCCCAGCAGCGTCAGAGGTTCGTAATTCTCTCCATCCTCAGCGAGGAGATAGACCCTCGGGCTGACAGCGCGGTATTCAGCTCCGTCAAAGAGGTATTGCCTCAGTGTCACTGCCGAGCCCACAGCAGACACGCCAATTCCGCCGTATTCAATCCCTTCGAGGGCGCAGTTTGCTGCGCACGAAGCTGGATCGTCGGGGTCACAAAGCGAAGGGTTCGAGAGGAAATCGACAGAAGCGCAGGAGACAGAGGGGTCGGAGACGGAGTGGAAGTGGCGGGATAAGGCGTCCGTCACGAGGGAGGTTTGCTTGGTGGTGCAGATGCCCGAGGAGGTGCATTGCTGAGTTGGGAAACGAGGGTGGAGTTCGGGTGTTAGGGTGCCAATTTGTTGGGCGTGGGCAGATGCAGGGGAGAAGAGGAGGAGGATGAAAAAAGGGGCGAAAAGGGGGGTTGCCATGGTGAACTTGGTAGGCTCCACAATAGGTGTAAACAATGGGGTTGGATTTTTGCTTGTCAGGGGGACTGCTTGAAATTTCATGCGAGTCCTCGGATTATTTATTGGGAGCTACTGGGCCTATCTTTTGCGAACCTGCAAATTCGATGCAAACCTGGTGTCGTCCTCAAACATCTTGACTTCCCCCCGCGGATTGATTTACACGATCCGTAACGCAGATTTGGCTAGGTAGTTATACCCGGATTTGCTAGCCTGCGGAAATCAGAGGGTTTCGGAACGAATGCTCAACATAATCTGTCACCTGGAGTTTTGTTGCAATTTGTATAGGCAAAATCCGGCACAACTGCTCCAGGGGCGACGGAGTTGTTTGGGCACACTGAACCCGCGGTCGATCATTGACCCCTGAACTTCGCTATGGCCTCGAAGCAGGATCGCGACATTCGGCATTTGGAGAACACGGAACTTCCTTGGGCAATCTTACCTACTACTTACAAGCCGACTAGTAAGTGGGGTACCTGCACTGCGCGGTTGAGTTCCGTGCAAGGGCAAAAGACCCGGCAAGGTAACGTGTGCTTCAAAAGTCTGTGCAGGTTCAAGGTCAATGACCGGATAACACAATCCCGGATCACGACAGATGCCATCACATCATCACTATTTCAGGGGCTTGGCTAACTTCAGCTTCGTATTAGGGTCTATGAGAGGTAATTATTACACTCTGTCTCGAGAGAAAACCATTGACTGATCCAGACAAAAGCATCACTGGATATGGTGTCGGGTGTTTTCATTTGAGGCTTCAAATGGGTGTTTCGTGTGCTTGTGTGCTCAAACTTTTTGTCCACGGGTACACCGCCCCTCTCCTTGAATGCCATGGTCTCCGGGTAACCCCCGGAGACCATGGCATTCAAATGAATGGTATGTCATCCGTATCCATGTAATCATTGACGCCGTAGCTGATGCAGTGAAGGCCGCCCAACATGGGCGCCGGGTTGGTCCAGGTATTGTCATCGCTGCAGGTCTGCCACTCAAGACCGGGCCAGATGCAGTTGTAAAGGCCGGCAAGTGTGTCGCGCTTGGTGTTGGAGGTGGAACGCTTATCAGGAGGGTTGCAGGGACCGGTCATCACGGGTGTGTCCATCGCAACGCCGGGAAGATGAGTCAACTTTAGGAAAGCATGAATTCCATAGTTTGTGCAAGTCGTGGTGACGCCCCCCAGCTTCCCCATAGGGATGACATCTGACCATTTGTTCGAACTGCACTCCTGCCACTTGTCGCCGGGGGAGATGCAGTTGAATCGTCGTGTCTTGCCGTTGCACTTGCCAGGGCCGGACTGGATCGGGGTAGCGTCCGTGGTTGATAGATCGCGTTCGGAGACATGGCTGCCGACAACACCAGCGTCTTCTGTCAAAAGGGGTATCTTAGCATTCCAGATTGAAGCGACATGGAAACAGAGAAATGAACTTACCGGCGCGAACAGCAATCTTGGTCTCCAAGGTGGTTTTATGGACACCAAATCCCCAGAGAGAAGAGGTAGATTCGGCAGTCCAGGTATTGAGGGGCTCAACGGAGTAGGACTTGGTGGTGGTAGGCAACGCAGTAGTGCGCGGCGCGGTGGAAGACTCGACGGTGCCCCAGATGGGAATTTCAGAGTAAGGCTCGCAGTCAGAAGCCAAAACCCTAAGGCTAACCGCGGCCAGTTGAAAAAACACAGCTTTCAACATGATGATGGCGTCTCTGAAGGAGTGTGGCTTGAGGTTCCGGTTAGAATGGAGAGGGAGATGTAGGAGATGGAGTTGAAACAGAGAGAGACAGAATTCGGGAGATGAGTTCCCTCATATGATTGGTATCACTGGTGGAGTTGTGCAGCCTCAGAAGTACCTGTGTATCGGTGGACTTGAGATCATGGAGAGGAAACCCTGAATTTTGTGGGGTATATCACAGCAAGCTCCCATTTAAAAGAGTACCCATGTGCTCTTGTCACAACATGGCAGAGATTTGTTGGATGAGCCACCCACCCTCTGGTTGCTCTTTAGAGCTTCCTTGTTGGTACATTTCCCCACACTCTTTGTGGCATTTTACCTCGCCTGTAGAGTATTGTTCACACTGTAGACAAAATGGCTGGCACGGCAAAAGTAAGCCATGCCTCAGAAGATAGTTGTAGGCCTTAGAAATACCTAATACGCCTTGAAAAGAACAGCTAATAGGCCTTGAAAACAACTAATTGACCTAAAATAAAAGTACTTTATGTCTCACAAAATAGTTGAGAGACCTAAAAAGATAGTTGAGAGACATAAAACGATATTCAGGAGGTCTACCAACTTTCTTTTGGGGCATGGTTGAGAATACGATATGCGCCAACGTAGTTTTACATTGCTAGTTATGATGGCTTTGACTACTCACTAATTCCTCCGTACCGGGTATCCTGCTTCCTTGCAATGCTATCGCCTCCTTGATCCGTGGAAAATCACTCGTCCCGTCTGTCTACGTTCGAGTGCGATGCCCTAACGACTTTTCCCTTGCGTTTTCCCTTGCGTTTTCCCTTGCGTTTGCCCTTGTCTTTGCCCTTATCCACGATCTTATCCTCGATCTTATCCTCGACCCACTCGCCCACCGCTCTGTCGGTCACAAAAATACCCGCTCGTTGCATGGCCACGGCCCTGGTCTTGCTTTGCTTACAGAGCTTGGCGAGAAGCTCCCATAACGGCGAGTTATCCTGAACGCGCGCCGGCATGTAGTAATGTTGCAGGCCGATCATCTCCAGATCCTTAAATCGACGCCAAGTCATGGCCATGTGGCTTGCCGTGATCCTCGTAAAGAAAAAGTTGGCGGGGATGGGCCAGTCGCAGTTGTGCTCAATGGATTTGAGATTGGGACACCGTTTGACGAGGGCGGTTTGCATCTCGGTGAGGTAGCTCTTGGCGTGATTGGCATTGCCCTCGCAGTGAATAACGATGGCTCGGATGCAACCGGCGCTCCGCTTGCCGACACGATTTACCCAGCATTTGTCGTATGGGCTGGACAGGCCAAACTTGTGCTCTCCGTAAAATAAAGAGAGAACCTCGCCGAATATTTCCTTGTCGGTGCCCAGGGCTAATCCCAAGAAGGCGCCGCTCGTTCCGTTTCTGGGTTGACGCAAGCTATGTGATGGGATCTCGATCTCGGGGATTCGGGGGACGATGGTCCTGTCGGAAACAAGACAATAACGGTAGATCATGTTCCGAATTTCGCCTGGGAGAAGCTTGAAATGGGATGCCGGCGCGCTGGGCACGACCGAGTTGTCGGCGGCTGAGCTGGTTGTGTTGTCGGGCTCCGTGGCAGGAGGACTGGGAGGGAAGGGTGGAAGCGGTTCTTTGTCGACAGCACCATCGCCAACGTCGTCGAAAGGCGCAGAACGGTGGGGAGGGGGCCGCGGATGTGCGCATGCGCTTAGCGTCGCCGGTGGTGCCCGCCATGGCCGTGGCTTTGCGTTTGGTCTCACCCATCGTGTCGTCCCGGTCAGGTTCTTGACATGTCAGTAAAAGGTGAAAACGGCAACGGGAGAGGAAATGATTGTTGGGCGATTCACTCTTGATTTGGCGCAAAGTGAAGTGGCGATTCTTGTCAGCCGTCGACGGTCAAGTAAAGATGGTTGTGGCTGAAGCGAGAGAGGAAAAAAGGGTTTGCTGGGAAGAAAGCGAAGAGGCGGAAAGTCGCGCCTCTGAAAAGCTGTTGGAAGGCGGGGCGGGACAATAAGGTGTTGTCGACGATGGCTCCCATTAACGCCTGTGACCAACTCTCGGCGCACTGGCCGCTCTTTGCTCCGGAGCAGCCCTAGTGGTATGGTTCAGATGTATTATATATCATTTTACAGTTGGCAGATACTAAAGTAATTATCTCCATTCTTCACAGCCCCCTACCCGCTCCTTGCCCAACTGGCGACTGAGGTGTTGGTGTCCTGAACATCCTCCTCTCCATCATGTACCTCTCATGCGAGCTCATAACCTCGCCATCTTCCTCTTTTGCTTCTCTCCCGTAGAGCCTTCCAGCAGAAAATGTGGGCGGCGGGGGAGGAGGTGTCTTGGGATACGAAGAATAGGCGCTGTAAAAGGACAGCCCGTCGGCGTTATGGCTGATGCCCGTGCCGGTGGTGCCGGTGCTGGTGTTCTGCTGTTCGGTAAAATCGGTGGATTGAATCCGGGTGCCGCACTGCTTCTTGCGGCGGCAGCGAAAGATGCAGGAGATGATGAGGGTTATGATTACGAGAGGCACGATGATGGCTGTGATTTGCGCTGCAAGGGAAATTCCGGAGTTGGAGGAGGGGGGCTCAGTGGCTGACGGGGACGGGATGTTGGATATCGTATGAGTTGGATAGGTCGAGAAGGAGGGGGAATTGTTGGGGCTGGGGGTAGGAAACTGCAGAGACGTTGTGGTGCTGGAGGTGTGTGAGTCGCTACTGTGAGAAGAAGTGCTGGTTTGGCTTGTTGTGAGTGAGGTTGATGTTTTCCTGGTAGAGCTCGATGCGCCAGTGTCAGCACAGAAGGGAAGGGGTGTATCGCCGCCGATGCAGGTTTGGCCGTTGGCGCAACAGATGCCGGTGGTGTCGGGGGTGGTGCCAACACATTGGAAGTCGCCGGAGTGGCAGACCCTGACGCAACCTCCTTTGCCGGCGCCGGTTGGGCAGCAAAAGAAGGCCCCGGCTTCAAGGAAACAGGTCTCATCTTTGTTACCTGTGGTGGTGAAAAGAGTCAGCGGTCGGCCATGTTGGCGATAAAGGGAATAAAAGAAAACATACAACACCAGCCTGCTTGGGGGCATGTTGACTCATCCGCCCGGCATATCCCTGCCGCTTGTCGTCGCTGGGGCTGAAGGCTAGTGCTACTTGCGATGGAAGCCGTGGTGCGGGTTACTGAAGGATTGGATGAGAACATTGATGAAGATGATGGGGATGGAGATAATGGCACCAAAGCCTGCCTGGCCGGGCGGAAAAGATATGTAGGAGATTGATCAGACATCTCGCGGCTAGGTACCAGACGCAACAGAGCTCCATCCTCCGAGATCTGAAGGACATACTGCAAGATATATATCGTTCGGTCCACCATACTGTCCCTTACCTCTTGGGCCGATCTATCATGATACCTGGGGGTCTGTGCTCCGCAGCTGGGTTCGTGGCTGATTTTACCGAGACCTGGTGGTCGATCGGCAGGCGGGATGGCTAACTGATCGCCAAAAAGACATGGCAGGATTGGCGAAGAGGGGAACGGGAACTGTTTGTCTCGCAGTATCGGTGATTTGATTTTGTGATGATGTTTCTACTGAAGAGCTTTGACGGCAATGCCAAGCAATCCCAAGCAATTGTGTTTTTGTCAGGATTCCAAGGTCTGTGGTCTTCTGAAATCTCAAGATTGCTCAACTTCAACGGGTGCATATTGTTTGGTTTTGCAGAGGATAGTCTGTGAAATAGTAATGATTTTGTGGCGAGTTGCATTCAGGGGTAAAAGGGGCGTGTTTACTGCGGCAACGATGACAAGATGGAGCGGGGTGACGGGTTTGAATAAGGCCCGTGCACCAGCTTTGACCCACCCAGCGGGTGTCTATTGGCGAGGATCAGCCGAGGGACAGGGATGGTCCAGGACGAGATTTAGCCGCGTGGTGTCACTTCTGGAGTTTGGGGAAAAAAGGACAAGACAAACACGATGCGACGACGACGACGTCTCCCGACCGCGAACTCTTCTTGATCCATTTCTTTCGACGGAGCGACTATCCCAGCATCGTCTTTTGTTTTTGTAACCCGTTCAGCCACGGCCATTCTCTCACTTATGAACCGACCACATTGAGCCTCCCTTTCTGTCGCCCAAGGGCACCCGTTGAAAAAAACCCAGTTCACTGTTTCCCGATCGTTTAGTTTCGTTGCTTTTCTCGACCCCGTTACACTCTTTTTTCGACGCACATACACCACCGAATTAATATAACACCATGGGCAATTGCGCTTCTTGCCTGGGGAGCAGGCGACGAGATGATTATGATGAGGTTGGTGGTTCCTCAGGGCGGCTTTGATGACGTTGCTGGTTTGTGCTAACCATGGCCGAACAGGACGACGAGGCGCAGCATCTCTTTGACGACCCGAACAACCTCCAATACGGCAGTTTTGAACAGCAACAGATGATGGGCCCCGAGGATCCACAGGAGGTTCAAAGAGAGATTGAGGCTCTGCAGAGGGTGGTTGCGCGCACGTCAGAGTATGCACCCCTGGCCCCTACCACCCACCCACCGGCTGACAGATGTGCATGAACAGCAACATGGTCGACATCTATGACATTGCACCAAGCAACCACCGGACGGCGTCGCCTTCTGCGGCTCCAGACAGTCCCGAGATGCCATACGCATATCCCGCCGCTGCCCCCGACGCCAACCTGGTCCGCTATCACAACCTCCTCTCCAAACTCTCGTCACACGACGACCTGGCTGCTGTGGCACGAGTCGATTGGGGCACCCCCGACGACGACACCATCGAGATGCAGCAAAACACCGCTATACCCATCAAGCTCGAGGGAGCCACGGAACCTCTTGTTGGCAACTTTGCTGATGCTGCAGCTGCGATGCGCTGAGGGAGGCATATACAACATGAGTTTGAAGCTTCCGCCGTAACCGCCACTACACCCTTACGAGATCTCCCATGCGGTGGTCCAGGAAGGAACCGAGAAGGAATCCCGGTTGATCTGCTCCGGCCTTGGGCCGTACTTTGGAGGGGGCGCCTCGCACCTGCTGACCTGCACTTGCTGGCATGCCTCGTCCAACCCGCCGGTGTGCAGCTGTTCTCCCTCCCCCCTTCCCTTCTCCTTCCCCACCTCCCTCCTTTCACTTCATGTGGGGTTGCCGCTTGTCATCAAGGCTGGAAATGGTGTGTGGGTGGATGTGTGTCATGGGGCCAAGGGGGATGTGAGAGTGGGATGGGAGGTAAAACGTGGCACCGTGGGACGGCCCGTTTTTTGTAACGATTTGATACCCATGGAGGCCGGAGATGGCGCTTTCCATATTTGTCTTTGTTTCATTATTGATCACGCTCGGTAGGGCTGGAGACGGAGACTACAAAGTAGCTCCCAAGAAACGGTCGACGCGAGAGAAAAAAACATGGTATGGGCGTTTAAAACAAAAGGACGCGCTATTGCCGCCAGACACTGAATTCTACAATCATAAGCAAAGCTTCTTTTCTGTCAGGCTCCTTGTGACTGGTCCAGCTCACCCTTTCCCCTGGTGCCCCCATGACACGCAGCCAATCGGACAGATATTCGGCGAGAGGGTGGGAAACGCTGTCGGTTTAGTTTCCTCAACCCCCACCACACCCGCCATCGACAGGCACACGCACCAAGAAAACGACCGACTCGACAGGAAGCCTCATGATCCATTTAGCGGCGGCCACGTGCGTACATGCTTAGGGCTTTTTGTGCTGGTCATGTTGCTTCACGGTGGAGTCTTGCTAGATATAAGAACCCACAACCAGCACCAGCACAGCAAGCAACGCCAACATGCACGTCTATTCTCTTCTTTTTTGCCACCATGGATCCCAAGTCACCAACACCCCTAGCCACCGTTCCGCCATCCATCGGTCAGCCAAGCTGTCTTGTCGTACCGTTGCCGAGCGCGGGGGTGAGTGTGGGAAGTGGACATGCCACAGCTTGGCGGCCGGATACTATCTGTCATTCATAGGGCTTTTTCTTCTCTATAGCTCCGCCCCTTCCGGAGAGCGGCTCGCCCTGCCCACACCCACAATGCTAACCGATGTAGGCTCATTGCGGAAGTACATCAGACGTCCTGCGTGAATACCTGCTGGGGATGGGAAGCATCCAACACGTTCAACAGAGGGCAGATCCCTGACGACAACGCAACATCGAAAACGAAAGAGTATGCATGATAAGCACCACCATCACGACCCCGACTCCGACCGCCCGCCCCAAAAGCGGGAGTCTGTGCGTGATTCGGTCGTCATGTCATGGAAGACGAGAGGGACAACCAGCGAGGAAAAAGCATGGCAGTGGGGTCATGGCTGGCATGTGTTTACGGTGTGGCATGGCCGACTCATTGGGCCGCCTCTGCAAGAACTGCAGATGGCTATCGGGGCAAAAGGGGGGCCAGGGTCCGTTGCAACGATTGGAGAAGAGGGCAGCGGAAGCGAGAGGGACAAGAAACAAGACGCCCTCAGCCCACAGGAAGCAAGTATGGGAAGGAGAAAAGCACGTCACATCGGTTCTCTCTCACTCACTCTCTCTCTCTTGATCTCTCGATCTCTCGATCTCTCGCTCTCAGCTACCTAGCCTACCACGTGCCTACCGAACTAAACCGCGCGTGCCGTTCCACGTTCAAAGATGTCTCAAACCTGCCATGCCATGCCACGCCCAACCATTCCATCTTGTCGATTCCTGATGCCCAAGCCCGATGTTCACCACCGTTATCCATCATCACATCACATCTTCCCCAGGTTCTGCTTTCCAGAATTCCCAGGCTGTTTCGGAACGGCAAATGGGTGTGTTGGCCGTTGCTCGCAGGAAAAGAGGTAAAAAGAAAAAGAGAAAAAGCAAATTACACACACCTTCCACCACCGCCGCCGCCACCACCAGAAAATTGTCCGAGAAAAAGCAAATAAAAACGAGTATTCGTCCCCTATCCGAGCCGTCCCTTTTCGGCACCACGACGAGAACTCCCACCAGCAGGCCGTTTTCTCACCGTGAAACAAGCAGCTGTTCTTTCCCCGTCCTCTGCCACCAGATCTAGATCCCCTCACCTTGCCGTTGAGAGGAGAAGAGAAACGGCAGATGTGCCTCTTATTCATCCCCCCCCCCCCCTCCCCCCCCAATTCTTCAAATTCTTCTTGTTCTCGCCAGGTCCACCTGCCATATTTCGCACCCGGCTACAAGAGTACCTACTACCTACGTGACCAGGGGCTAGATTTCTTCCAGAACATTTTCCTTTCCCACAGGTCCACTCCCCCCCCGCGTCAACTCAGTCACCCACACAGTCTCCACCCCTTCCACCTCGCTACGGCATCTGACATCTCATCTTGACCCCGCCCTAGATGGAGAGGGGGGGTGTGGGTGTAAAGAGTGAGAGAAGAAGCAGAAAAAAAAAACCTTGACGGGTGTGTGATCTGTTTCGAGACTGCCGATGGCTGCCGATGCTAGTCTCCCCCTTTCCCACCTCATCCCCTCCCCCGCCCCGCCCTCGTCCCTTGCCTTTTGCCTGCCTGAGCAAAATGTAATGTGATGTATAGTACCTGTGTGTGCTAAACTTTCTCTCCTCCTAGCGAGGGGTGAGTGGGTGGGAGAGCAAAAACGGGGAGTGATCCCACTGGTTCTGTGGCCCCCTTCTCCACCCACCCAACACACACAACCTCTGTGTGTGTGTGTGTGTGGTGCGTGAGAGAGAGGAGTAAACGGGTCTTTACCAGAAGATCTTGCACACTGAAGAAAGGGTTGCGGATCCGGTAGTTGTCCCCCCCCCCCCCTCCTTCCCCTCCCTTTCCCTCTTACACCTGCCATGCTCAGGGTCATCTTCAAGTGTGCCAGAGGGAAGGGGGGCTGAAAAGAAACACAAAATAAGTGATATTTCGTTACTGTTATACGTAAAGCGCTTTTTCGTCTTGCTTCTCTGTGACATCTTTTAACATTTAACAATGAAAGAGCCGTCCATGCCGATTCTCGGCCTGCCAGCCATGTGGTAGTTCCCACCACCACATAACTCTCCAAGCCTTCCGCTCCCCCTCCCTCCCCAAGTTTGACCAATAATCACAGGACGTCCCATTGTGTGTCGTGAAACCCAAGCCGGACGTAAAAAACTTGAAACTCCCCTGCCTGAAGGATGAGAAAAAAAAAAGAACAACAAAAGCTGGCGCATGCTCTGTCACCCAGTGGTGACCAGTGCCCTGGTTTTCAAAGAGCCAATATTCCAACAAGATGACGAACCGTACCTAACAAGAGAAAACGTGACAAAGACAGAAGTGAACAAGTAAAAATGTACAAACGGCAGCAGAGGGCAAGTCTTCTCGCCCAATATTTCCTCCTCCCATCATCGGTTCCGGTCCCACCAGTCATGGCCAGGCTCCGGCGGTATCCGATATGCATCTATTCCCGCACCCACAACTCTGTCTGGTGGTCGTTTTTTCCCTCTTGGTTCTTGTCTCCCCCTCCTTCTCCTCTACCCTGTGCTGCCTGATGTTGTTTCCTTGCCGACGCTGTGGGATTCGCGCCTCCGGAAGGGCTTGCATCTGTGGCTTGATGGGGGGCTGTTCCGTGTTCCCCATTTCCCCCCCGACTCCACAGCGTTTCTCTCTAAAAAAAAAAAAAAAAAAAGAACCCTTCATGCAGTAAGAAAAAGAAAGTAAAAGAAAATCGGTAAGAATAAAAAGAAAAAGAAATGACGAAAAAAAAAAGTAAACAAAAATGAGATGTTCCTCAGCCCAGGAAATTTCTTTTTGTCTTGACCCGCCTACCCGTCCGCCGCCAGCCCTTCTTCTTCCCTCCTTCTACAACACACAAAACGCACATGGTTTTTGCCTCTCATGTTTCTCTTTTCGTCTCGATAAAAGCAACCAACGAAATTGGACGACCCGTCTGCATATGCTGTCAGCATTCTGTTTCCTGCTCGCGCTCACCCTCCTCGCCTCGTCTCGTTTCCTTCCTCCATCTTGGTAAGGTAAGGTAGATGAGCATAGGAAGAAGGTAGGGTAGGACACAAACCTTTTTTCTTCCTTTGTTCCTCCTTCCCATCGTCATATCACAACGTCCTCTCCCTCTCCACATGGTTTGCGAGCAGTTCGTTGATCTGGAGTTGGATGTCGTTCACATCCCGCATCGTCTTCTCGATGGTGGCCCTCCTGTTGCCTTCGCGCTGCCACCTCTGGATGTCGTTCAACATCTTGTCGATCCTCCTCTCCTTCTTGCACTTTTGCTCACAAATCTTGCACGGGCCCTGGGCGGGCTGCCAGCTGTAGACGAGCTTCAGTCCGCACGTCTCGCCGGTGCGGTACTCCTTCTCGCATTGCTGGCGGAAGGTACCCCACTTCCAGTAGCCACAGTTCCAGCGGGTTTGTTCAAAGTAGCACATCTTGTTGGGCAAAGGGGTAAGGTAGGCAGTGCGGTAAGGGTCTCGACGACAGTGTGTCTGTCGTGTGGGCCGAGGCAGTGTTGTGATTGGTGTGCTGGGCCAGACGGCAGAAGACTGTATTCAGACAGGGCTTCATGTCAGCGACAGATATCCACCGTTTAACCTTCTCACTCAGCAGCATCCGGAGCGACCTGCAGGGCTTGGGTCCCACAACATCGTTCATGGTGTCCTTACTGTTTTTGAGAAAAGGGGGCGGCCGAGAGCAAGACTGGATGCACTTACTGACTTGATGGTCGAGGCCGGCTGCTGTGGGCAGGCAGATGCTTGTAAAGCTCGTCCACTCTTTTCCTTTGTCGAGGAGCCAATGATGATGTTGTTGGAGTTCTGGGTAGCAGGCTGACCAAGATGTCGATGTATGGGGTTCTTGTTGACGGTATATCCTGAAAGTTGGAGAAAGAGAAAAGCGCCCTTCAGGTAGAGACGGTGAAGGATATCGGCACCTTACTTATAC